GGTTGATGATCGACTCAGGGGAGTGTGTTCGCGGTACTTTTTCCCCGCGCATCATTGCCTCAACTTCGGATTTGGTTCGGCGCCATTGGTGAAAATTGTACTTTTGTAGGGGACTGTGCGAAGTAGCCTCACTTTGCGTACGATTCTCAGCGAATCAATAGTGAGTCGTTCGAGAGTTCCCGATGGTTTGAAGTCCATAATTAAGTTATCCTGGTGCGTAAGTGAGTTGGATCTGCGGTATTGTTTAGGCAGATGTTACAATATGACCGTAATGCTTCGGTGGGGACGAGGTCACTCGTTCTGTGTGTTCAATTATGGGAGCTAGTGTCTTTTAGGTGAGATTTGATTATGTCAAGTTGATGGAAAACAGTGCACAGCACTGCATGCCACTGCTACCTACCCGCCATCTCACAAATATATATCCACGTTCTGGAAGTGCTTTGAAGTCAACAGATCGTCCCCAAATTCCATGAATTGATAAACCAAAGCGAATGTTCTACAAGTCTAGACAAAAATAGTCAAATAAGCATTTAAAATGGAAATTAACAAGTAAGTAAAAACAAAGCTCAAAGAAAAAAACATACAACAGCCAGGATTCGCATGTGGTCACCCACCATACTACTAACTGGCCGGCGTGTGGCTTAAGTACGGCTGAGCGGACGGGAAGCCCTGTTCTCCACACCCTATGGTCGTATGTGCTTGAAAAGGTATTGAAACCAATTATATAGTCAATTTGGAGCGCATAATTCCACACAATCTACATTCGCTTTCAACAACAAGCACCCCAGCAGATATGAGACGAACAACATCATCGGAAACCGACATACCCAATTGACCCCAAACCACTCAACTACTGTATCCACGACTCAAAAAGAAACAATAACGCGACGTGATATCAATAGCCCATCAGCAAAGCTGGCCTAAATAGGAAGGTAAAATAGCATGCAAACTCCCGCGGCAAGAGCGTGTAGATCTGTATCCGCCCCGAGAAGGTACGCGTGTACTCCTTGAGCATTACATCGTGCATGCTAATAATCCAGCTTGCAGGAATGCCTGGTCTGTCCATCCCCATCACCCGCCTCTTGCAATGCAAGGAAAACTCTGCCGGGATTTGCTCAGGGACTGGATCGGGGATCTTGCAGATGCCGAATCTCAGTGTACCCGCCTTGGTTTTCCCAAGGCAGATGCCTGCAGGAGATATAATCAGACAAGACAACGGGAAAAGTAAGGTAAAGCGAAAGCAGATTGTGTTGTTTCTCGGTAACCATTTAGGGTCCCAAGGTTTAGATTCTGCTGGGTACGTGGGTAGGTTATATCTGATATCATTTTCCTCTAAACACACATCCTGGAAAACGAAATCCGTGAGCGCACGGTGTCATAGGTATCAAGCTATCTAATTTGACTAAATACGACACTCCCCCCCCGCGGGCGTGGCCCGTACCTTGTTCTTTGTTCGGGACCAAACCCCTACCCTACACCGAAACACCAGCGCCTTGCCGAAGTGGACCACACAACGAAACTCAAACCGCATCCTCGGAAATGGCGCCTCCTCGAGAATAACATGCATCACTGCAGATGATTCGCACATGCAGCAACCGGTTCATGCGCAGCGGTTCCTACCTATACACACAAAGAGCGTGCTGTAGGGATCTCAATCAAGGACCGCGGGGGTGCTGCGGGTAGCCATTTCGGGAAGAAGTGGGAACTCTGCACTCTGTATCAAAGTACTGTATGTATGTATAACGTTCAACGACATATTCGGTATACTTTGATATGCTCGAGCCTCTAGCTCAGATCTCGACCTGTCCAAGCCCAATCAATTATCATAAGGAGGGGTTTGGGGGTGGTCACGGAGAATGACGGAGGAAACCTCGAAATGGCTTCAGGAGGTGGGAAGGTGATCCACAAAACAAAAGTACGAACTATCCCTACTTTGACGGTTCTAGTCCCCGAGGTTCCCGACGAAATAGAGTAGAGTAACGTAAAGAATAGTAGTACGTACGGCATACACCGTAAATGCAACTTTTACCTTAGTCTGCGGACAATATGTAGAATGTACGCAATAAACTAGCGCCATGTGGCGGGACCCATCTACTTGACGACGTTGATCTGGCATTTCCAATGGCACGGTATTTAGCCTGAAGTATGGCCAGGTTAAAATATGTATCATAGTAATCCAAGTAAATACCATGTTTAAACCACCTAATTTTAGGTACTGTACCAACGTCATAATACTCGAATACACATCACCGAAGTTCACTCATAACCCCATCCCATCACCGTAGTAAGATAGACCTCCATGAGGAATCATCCAATTTCGGATATCGAAATCTTGGCAGCCAGCATCAATCCCTCTTAGTGTTGGATTAGGCTTATTTGCTACGGCTTCGATCACAAGTGCGGGTGTGATGTGATAACCAAGCGCAGGCCCCGGGTATTAGCATGTATTAGCAGGGTCATGATATGGCGAAGGCCCGGATGAATACGACTCGAATACGATAGTGAGCAAACATTTGGACGCAATTGGGAGGGTGCAGTTTAGAAAAACGAATGTTAGGTGACGTTCGGAATCGGGGGGTCCATAGTGCAAGGATGGATGCACAAAAATGGTTGTGTCCGACGCTTTAAGTTTGATTTTGTATGTAGACTGCAGGGAAGAGGCGCCGCCTTTTGATGGGCGTCTATAGAAACCTGCACTGTCGTTATTATGGTAGACGGAGTACGGAGTTATAGATTCTCATCGCCACTGGTTTGCAAGAATCATTGGCGTTTCACGTTCAAGTCCAAATCCTTGGGTCATCGCTAGGCCGCTGAAGTATAAAAACTTAGTACATAAGTATAACTCAAAAGAACTCGCCGGGAGCACCGCCAGGGAAAGCAGCACCATGATTCACCAAGTATTCTCGACCCGTCAACAACAGTCCAGCCATTTAATACCACAAGCCCCTCCCAAAACACGCCAACATATATCCCGAAGATACCTCCCCATCGGCAAAGCCCGGTATTACCCCCTCTCCTTCTCCCCCTAATCACCAGCCAGCCAGAAAGCTAGATCTCAATCAAAGTTAAGTTTATAGTTAGAGTCATACAGACCAGTCCATCCACCGCGTACAGGGCCGCTTCTGCATAAACCTGTTCTAAACCTGTTCTGACGAAACCTCGCTTAAAGCAAGAATTCACGATGTCGTATTCCATATTTCATAACTTCCTAGTGTACTCGGTACAAATCCCAACCCAGACCGCCGGTCTCGATAAGCGAACCCCGTAAGCTGGAAAGTTACGGGGGGAGAAGTCGGATCCGTCCCAGCAGGCCTGCGACGGGCCCCACATGGTGAAGCAACGAGACTTTGGACTTGTGCTTGGGCCAGCGTGCCAGTGCGCCGGGTTTTGACTTTGTTGTACGGAGTAACTTGTTTGTATACCAGGTTATGTGACGTTAAAGACTCACTCACAATAACGAATGTTCTTTTCTATGCTGGAGGACCTAATTGGAAACGAAGCACGTACTCGACCTCTATTCTTGTCAAATTTCCTCCTAACGAATTGCCAAGCATGTCATCTCGTCCTTCCCAACGTTCATAGGCCACGCGGCTCCGGAAAATAACCCATTTACGGGCGGCCTCAGCGCCCATTTAGCGACCCCCACCTCGACTCCTGGCTACTCTACTGGCTACTCGCCGGCGACTTCTTGCTACCTGTACTTTTCGAGCGTTTCTAGTTTTTTCCCACGTTACTCCTCCATGGGGAAAAGTTCCCCCTTCCCAACCGGAGGGTGTGCGATGCATCACATTCGGGGGGGGGGGGGGGGGGGGGGAGTCATTGGAAACGACCATCCCACCCTCCTTTTGCCCACTCTAATTACGGCGTAAGCGGCGCGCGATCATCCGCGATCGCCGGGGACCGAAGAACTCCGCTGACTTGACTCGTAGAGAACAAGGGAAGGAGATTGGGTTCTCGGGGTTGGGATTAGCTTCGGAGGGGGGTATGGATAGAGTCAAGGTGAGGTTGATGGTTGGTTGACGGAGTAACTTTACTGGGTTGTTAGTTACAAACTTTCGAAGTTACGGGAGTATACACAGGGTGGAACAGTGGATAGGGCTGGGTTAGGTTGATCGGAGCGGGGCTGGGTGGTGATGATGATGATGATGGGATAGACGAAATGGACGATGTTATTATTGGGAGATCGGGATTGCTAAGGCAAGTGATGATGTGCTTCATTTCAAGATACTTGAATGGGTTTAGGTCTGGAACGTATCGTGAGGAGGAGGAAAGGGTACATAGGTACTGTACTTGGTACATTGTACCTTTTACCTGTCTCTTTGGGGGAATGGTGATGGTAGTGACGGGGTGTTCTGGGCAGGCCATTGGGTGTTGTTACTGTATCCAGTATGGAAAGCGAATGTTTTGTGATTACCGGTCTTGTTTTGAGATGTATGGAGTACTGGTAGACGTAAAGATAATGTGGGAATGTACACTAGGAGGAGATAAAGTACCGTGTACCATAGAGTAAGCTTGACACGCCAGAAATTGTAGAATGTTAGTCCTACGGTAATATGCTTTGCCCACCTTACCTCCCATAGACAGGTTTCGAGGATAGATGTAGCGGTGAATTATGGTAAGATAGGTATAGCAGGAAGCACTTGATTCTGAAAGAGCTGAATTGGATAGACATAACGTCTATCAAAAGCCATAATTGTATCTGATGCGCCGACGGTTCCAGCTGGATGGATACTTCGGGACGCCCGCTGCGCTAGAGGATCTGTGATGGTCTTTACTCGGCGGCGATAAACAAATCAATTATACTAGGAGTGAAAATATAGATGTATCTCAATTCGTGATGGAATCCCATCGTCAAGGTCGAGCTATTGCAAACCTTGACTGAACTTTTTTTGCTTTGCTGTACGTTCGTCAATGCAAGAGTATAAGGCCATTGGTAGGTTACGCGTCAGCCGACGAAAGGGTAAACCCGAGATCGAAAGATCTTGAGGCTCTTGTTCTCTGGAAAATTCAAAGAATGAATCCGGTTTTGGAAGATCTGAGTTATACTCAAAAGCCTAACGTTCTATATACACAATCAAAAGCCGCAGGCCCGATCCATCAAGCCAAATCATAGATCACCCCTCAAGGTAAGCCAGGAACAAGCAAAATCAACTTCCAAGTGACCCAAAGGTAATTGAGTCCTTTATCGATGCCACTCGACCTGGATCTGCCAATTCGAATCCATTCATAGTCCCAGGTCCACGTACGCTCTGTACTGAGATGGAATCGCATCCCCAAAATCAAACGATATCCACGCTCACACAGACATGTCTATTCGAAAGCCGTAGCTATTCAGAATCAACGCGCAGCTTCATCGCTCGAAACGAGAATGGAAATGACCATAGAAAAAGCAAACGGAAGCTGAGAGAAGAAAATGCCAGATTCATATCGCGGGTTGAGTTCGTATCATTATTGCGTGTTCACAGCTGACGTCGGGCGTAGCTGGTAGTGGAATAGTGCCCAAACGCCCTTGAGCGCTTCGACACGGTCTGGCCCGTCAAAGAGATCGTACCACCTGGTACGTTGCAGTGTGAGGACGTGCCAGGGCTGGTCGTCATTCGGGTCCGGGATGATAGGGCTGGAGCCGTTGGTGAGGACGTCGAGGTAGCGCTTGTGGACGCGGAGGTGGAGGATGGAGATGTGATGATTTATGGAGGAGATCATGTAAATCTAAAAAAAAGATTGGTGAGTAAAAGACTCGAGCACGAGGTTCAGAATAGCCTCACATCATCAAATGAGCTCTCCTTCGCTTTACCAATTTGCATGTACCGCATCCGCTTATCCCACAAACTGGGACCGGGTTGCAGAATCTTCCACTTCTCCCCACTAGACAACTTTCGCATCGCACTTGGCCGACGCGCCAAGGACGTCACGAATGGATGCTCAAACTTGTGCCGCTTGCGCGAGCCCTCCAGCTCCTCCGCCGGCGACGAGGGTTTCACACCTCCTTCCTCCAGCATCGAGTCTGGCAGCGGCAAGCCGTGAGCGCCGTTGACTAGATCATCCAGGATCCCGTCATTGGGCGCTCCACCAAACCGTGGTGCCGTCGTCCACCATTTACCCTCACCGGGTCGTAGCTCGATCGCGCCCTCACGCGCGCGCTCCTGCGCCGCCAGCAGCATACCACCCACCTCGCGGAAGAGATCGCACACCTCGCCGAGGCCAGCACCTGGCGCGTCGTGCGCGCTGCGGAACCCCGTTTCCGGTCTACATTGCGCAATGAGGACCGGTCCCTCGAGAATGCCGCTGCGGGCGATGGTGCGGTCGCGAGGGGAACGGGCAGCATGGAAAGATTGACGGACGGGGAAGAGGAGGCTTTGTACGGTGAGACGTGGTGGGAGCGTGGGAATGGTGACTTGGCAGCCAAATGGCCAGGCGATCATCTCGACGAATCCACGGATGGTCTCGTCGCGCATTTCGTCGGGCATTTCACTGCCTGCCCCAACACGCCGGCCGGTATACCTTTTGACCATTGGCTGGGAGGTCTTCTCGCTGCCGTCATCGAGGTTGCCATTGGATAATATTGGAGTATTATCCGCAGACTCCTCCTGGTCCACGTCCATTGTAGGCTCTGCTGGACCAGGCTCGCCGAGATCTCCGGATGCATCGTCCGTGTCCATCTTGTCCCCATCCACCGAGGCTGGAGGTGTTGGCGACGCCGGCCGCTCAAAATAGTTATCCAAACTGGTATCCCAGTATTGCGCCATATGTTCCAGACCCGCCCAGAACTTCCTGGTCTGGGTCACCCGCACGCGAGCGCGGCCCTCGCGGGGTGGCAGCCGGGCGACCTCGCGGAACGTATCCTCGTTATCCAGCAATAGCTCATTCTTCAAGGTCTCGAAGCGGTCTTTGGTCGGGTACGGGAGACCATTGCTCATGAGTGGGCGAGACTGATCCTTATCCTGGTCTTGGTTCTGGCCGGCAGCGACGGATTGAATTTCCGACTCGTCTTCCCAGGGCAACGGGGGTAGCGACCGGGCCTGATCGGCCGGGAACATGCGGCGGACATCGACATCGGACTCGACATGGACATTCAACGCCTTGAATCGATCTATGTTGATATCCTGGGGGCGCTTGATCGCGGCCAATAAGCCGAAGAGTTCGGGGAGGGTCGAGTCGGCATCGTGGGGGGAAACGTCGGGAAGGTTGTAGACGGGAAAGTCTAGCGGGGTTGGATTGGAGGGGGGATTGCGTTCCTTCTCAGGCTCTGAACTCGCCGAGGGTAAGGCTGTACGACGAATAGAGATAGACACGCATTAGTGAGGCGAGTCAATGGAAGAATGAAGTGTATCAGGAGGGAGAGGAGAGGGGGGCGGGAATTCAGGTCGTTCCCCATCCCCAAAGCGCAGGCATTCCGGGCGCCATGCGGTACGCTTTTTGGTGCGCGGGGTGGGCCGGAGTAGAAGAGCAACTTACCCAGCCCAGGACCCCAGCCGAACATGGTGTTCTTGCAGTGAGAGTAGTGGGAGGAGATAAATGTATCACATGCTCTGGGGGGGGGTTGGCCAGAGGAAGGGATTTGGTTATCGCTGGGTCGTCGGGGGCTGGGAGGAGAAGAGTGTTTACGATCGGGAGGTGGCAGTCGACGTTGCGGACGGAGTACTTTTGGGGCCAAGTGGAGAACGTCGGATTCTGTCAAGTCGCAGTCATGATGGGGTTCATCCGTGGTGGACAGGGGTGCGTGAGGCTAGAGAGAGTAGAGAAAATCATCAAGAAGAAGGATCTAAGTGTCAGCCAATGAAGGTTGTGCTGTATTTACTAAATTATGGACAGTTATACTTTAAGCCTAACAAGAGTTAATAGTCAAAGGAACGAGGCCGGAGCTCTGATTAGTCCTGGCGACTCGGTGCCTGTTCCGTACCCGAGAGCCGGACCGCAAAAACGAAGAGTATAGTACATGATGGCTATCCCACGGAAAGAAGGACTACTCTGGTTAGCGAGTTAGCGAATTTGTGACCTATGATCTCCCGGTCTAGATCATTGACCTATTCAGTCTGGCGAGCAACCTCGTCAAGTCATCCGTAACCCCGTGTTCCGTGTTTGGACTCCCTCGCTGCTCAAACGAGTTAGCCCTTGGGCTGGTGAAACGGCATGTGGTTGGACCAGTCCATTTCACAACTTTGGGTTTGTCTCGCAACGTCTGCCTTCAAACTGCCCACTTGTTTCGGGGGACGGGGGAGGAAGTCTCGTAGACTGAATATGGTCAGGGCTGAGACGTGAAGCCACGTTCTCGATCGCCGTTTCTCAATTTTTCCTCGTTGCTGGTTGTGGATGGGTATACAGACCCGCTAGGGGTTTCTTGTCTTGCTGCTTCATTTTACCGGCCTCCTAAAAACGAAGCTGTCTCGTATGGCATGAGTTTGGGCCTGCGAAGATGTATCGGGAGAAAGTGTAAAGGAGCCGGTAATTAGATCCGTATGTAGACCAGCCATGATCGCCCGCAGTATTCGTCCGAGATGTATGTAGCAAGAATCCGCGTGTCTGAAGCCCGTCTCGAGTCCTCTTGACTCGAGTGTCGAATGCAAAGAGGATACCTAGACTCGATGAAAGTCAATCAAGCGACCAATACCAATATCATGAACCACCCTCGAGACTCAACAATCCAGCATATTGCAATCATCCCGTGACGCAACGGTTTCTGCAGAGTCTCCCAGCCATCACAATGATCGGCCTTGCAGGGGCTGATTGGGGTCCCAAGGGGGGTCGGTCATCCCGGCCCCACCCATTTCTCCCCCCCAAACCCAAACCCAAACAAATACGCTCTGCTAAGCGCTGGGGTCTCTCGACTCCTTCTCACACCGTTAGAAGCGCCAGCTTCAAGTCGTGAAACAATGGCCCCCCTCCCCCCCTTGAAACCCCTCCCAGGTGGCCGAACGGTGGAGGGGGAGGGTGGTATAAAGTAGGCTGGGGCCGGGATCTGACGTGATGTGTTGCTATTTTTTCTCTTCTGGCCCCCCCCAATGCCACCCATGCAACCTGCATCTAGACCTGGGAAAGTGGTATATACCAAAGTGAAGAAGAGACCGGCTTCAACATTTCGAGTCGCTGGCAAATCGAGTCTTGTCGAGTAGATCACGTGCTGGACAATCGGCAACGCAACAAAGAAGATCGCAACGAGATGAGAGCCTCGCTTTGTTGACACTCTTCTCTCCTCTTTTCCTCCCGAGAGCATCATTTCGCCCCGTCCTTGTACCTCTCGTACCCATCCATAACTCTCTCATCTTTCCTTTTCGCTCTATTCGACCCACCGGTGGACCACAAACCCAAGATCTTGCTGATTTTCGTTTCTCTCTCCAGCCTGCGGGCTTGGACGAGATGCTCAAGGCTCAGTCGAGGACTCCGCCTTTATCGGGATATGCCATGTCTGATGTGCCCTCTGGCGCAGAGTTTGGCTCACTGTCGCTCTCGTCAAGGACGGTGGTGGCGATCACGTCGGTTGTGACTGAAACGGTCCATCCCACGTGGATCATCACCGAGGTGACCACAGTGGGGAGTTTGCAGCTGGAGACGTCTCTGTCCTCGTGGGAACAGCAGAGTGAGGAGAGTTCTGTTCCAACGGTGAAACCGGGCACCGTCCAGACAATCGCAAGCCAAACGAGTCAAACGCAAACGGCGCAGCTGGCCATGACAACCATCTCTCAGCTCACCGTTCTGTCGCCCGAGACTACGGCAACAGGGTCCTGGTCAACGGCTGACTTGGCGTCCTCTGCTTTGCCTGGTGGGCAACCTTGGGTGTCTCTACTTCCCATGGTGGAAATCTCCCTCACAGATCAGACCAGTTCTTCAGAGCTAGTGCCAGTACTGTCGTCCTCTACGATGTCCGTGCTGTCCAGCACTGCGTCCCCCCCGGCCACGGCCAGTTCGGTGCTTAGTGCGACACTCACCAGTCTATCTGCCACCAGTACCCCAACGAGCCCAGGCACGTTGGTCACCTCAAGGGTTGCGGAGACGAGTCTTACCCCCGTCTCAAATCAGTCGTCATCCTCGTCGCTCTTACTTTCGCCTTCCTCGTCATCCGTTGCAGGAATCGCCTCCGGCTCAGATTCCACCAATGGCCAACTCAGCCAGAGCACTTCGGGCTCTCACCTGGGCGCCATCGTTGGAGGGACTGTTGGTGGTGCTGTGTTTGTGGCCCTCGCCCTTCTAGTCTGTACATTGTTCCTCCGCCGCAGAAGACGGGGGACCTCCACCACACTCCGGGGTAGCCCAGGACGAGGCCCCTTGCGCAAGAGCAGCGACTCGATCACCACTTTCCGCGATCTGTATGGCTGGCATGACCAGCAAGACAATCGGCCCTCCTTCCCCATGGACCCAGGATTTTCGCCCCGGGGTAACACCGCGCCTGTGGCCCCGGCCCCGGCCCCCAACCAAGGAGTGTCCGTCAACACGATGGACCTGGCCCGGGATTCTGAGCAAAATCCCTTCTCCGACCCCGAGCACAGCCCGGTTTCCCCAATCATCAACATCCACCCTCCCTCCCGCACGGCGTCCAACTACTCCCAACAATCGGGAGATGATGGTCTGGCATTCCTGGAAAAATACGACTTGCACCCATCCACCCCCAGTTCTCGGTACGAGAGCATCTACTACCCCGACGAGGGTACGTTTACGCCTTCTATCCCTGAACACGATAAGCTTGCCCCGCAAGAGAATCGCAAGACTCGTCTCAGTACGCGCAGTGACCCATTCGATCTGGAGGTTCCGCCAAAGGCCTTGCAGGAATGGCCTCTGCTACCCCATCCGACACTATGGGGCGATAAATTTTAGACCGCGCATCATCCTTCCTTCCTTTTCTGTTTTTAGCCCCCGAGTCTTCGGCGCAATATCTGCAACCTTCATGCATTGTTGGAGTTATACGGAATACCCCCCTCGTTCTTTGGTTTTGCTAGATTTCAGCACTTTGCTTTTTACTTGTCGTCCTGCCTTGATTTATGGTTACATATTCGCCCATTTGGAAAAGCGGGTTCCACGACTACATGTGCTCACGCTGCATACGACGTGATTTTGGATGATACATGAATACGGTCCATGATGATTCTTGTTTTTCTGCCTGGGCGTTCAAATATGGTGGAGGTTGAAATTTATACGTGGGGACCATTTATGGGATATCTTTTCCTTCGGAGGCAGAGAATGTACTTTATCAGATCTTTTCAGTCCTCTAAACTTTCTTGTATCGTTGTATTTCAGCATGGTGTTTTCATGGGGGCAAAATGATTTTCTGAGTTTCATTTTAGTCTACTCTTCGTCATTGATTCCGGTATCTGTATGCGATCTTTGTAACCGAGAGAACTATATCTTTTAGGACTTTAGCCCATCACAGTTGCTCGGTATCTTGTGGGGCATACCCCCATACTTGCAGGTATTTGTTTCCACGTGGTCATGTCGATCACTCTCAGTCCTTGTGCCGTAGGATGGTTGAGGTGTCAGGGGTGCTACACTGCTGCGAACCTGCGAACCCATCAGACGAGATATTGCCGAGAACGGAGGCAACCCCTTTCTAAACCGAGCCTAGTCCACACGAGTCGTTCACCCATTTATTTGACTATGGTGGGTCTAATAGTTCAAACCAGTAGACCACGATCAAATGCTAAATTTTATGCATGTTGTACGCGCGGACCTCGGCTTCCCCGCATAACATGGTCTCCGCTCAAGCCATGCAGATCTCACGTTCCCACTCTTGGAGCTTCTTCAGCTGGCTGCTGAAAGCACTTCCTTTCCATCTTTAACCCTCTTCAATACTGTTCAATCTAATATAATCCCATTCATAATATCAAGCAAGCCCATCATATCTCAACATGACTTCGCTGGCGAAGAAATGGCCCTCGAGAGAAGGTAGGCCAATGCTGACAGTCACTATCCCCTACTAGCTACTACGTAGGTAACCACTCATGAAGCCTAAGGCTAATCCATAACTCAGGATTCTCGGCCGACGTCCTATCCCACGTCCTCCACCATACCATCCTCAGTCCCTGGAAGATCCTCCCCATCCTAGCCCTAGCCCAATACACCACCAAAGGCCGTGAACTCGTCGAATCACGCCCCCAACTCCTCAAAGCACTCAGAGCACTAGCCTCGATCGCAGTCATCTCCCGTCTCAGTTCCTGGCTCGACCGCCGCACCGTCAACAACGGCGTCACCGACCACTACGACTGGAACCGCGAAATCATCGTCCTAACAGGTGGCAGCGGCGGCATCGGCCAACGTATCGCACAACTCCTCGGGTCGCGGGGTATCAAAGTCGCGATCCTAGATATCACAGCTCCAACAACCCCACTGCCCAACAGCGTACGCTTCTACGAGTGCAACATCACATCTCCACCCGCCATCGCCGAAGCAGCGACCAAAATCCGCGCCTCATTCGGTCGTCCCACGATTCTGATTAACAATGCCGGTATTCTGACCGGGAAAACCATCCTCGGCACTAGCGAGGCTACGACACGGCGCATGTTCGACGTGAATACCCTCGCGCACTACTGGCTCGCGCAGGAATTCCTGCCGGACATGATCTCCTCCAACCACGGGATGATCGTGACGGTCGCCTCGCAAGCCGGTTACACCGTCACGCCGAATATGGTCGATTACTCTGCGTCAAAGGCGGCGGCGATCGCGTTCCACGAGGGTCTGGCTGCGGAATTGGTGACGAGGTACCAGGCCCCCCGTGTGCGGACGGTGCTCGTTACGCAGGGATTCACGCGGACGGCGCTGATTGCGAATCTGACACCCGAGGATACCTTTGTTAACCCTTTGCTGTGGCCGGAGACGGTGGCGGAGAAGGTTGTGGAGCAGGTTTTGAAGGGGGAGAGTGGGCATGTGCTTGTCCCCGGTGTGGCGGGGAGTATTGCGCAGAGGTTGAGGGGGTATCCGCTTTGGTTCCAGCATTCATTGCGGTGTCGGTTGGAGAGGTTGATGAGAGCGGAGTAGAAGGTTTTGATGATTTTTGGTGTGGAGTATCAGTCTTTTGGCTGATGTGGATTGGGGTTCTTATGGGCTCCGTTAGGGTATATCAAGTGAAGACAGACCGGGCTTTCTTCTAATTATAAGTGTTATTTGTGCTGACGATATCGATTTCGGTGTTTGTGTTGATTTACCCGTCTGATCAGTCTAGAGATTGAAGCCTGCTAGGTTCCGTTCTTGCAACGTTGATATTGAGAGTTCCACCTCCTATTTCCAACTCTCATCCTCTGAATGTGTTAGGACCCCTCAAATCATGCAGCTAGATCAAACCAACTCACATAATCTTCGGAATGATAAGCTCCTAATGTAACCTATGATGTCCTGAACATTGGATTCGTCTGTCCCAGAGACAACTCACCAACCTCCAGTACTTTAAGCCTCAACTTACCTGCTTTCTTTTACCAGTGCCTGCTGGCTACTGATAAGTGATAATCAGAATCAAAGTCCGAGTTTCGGCATGTTCTATTCCTAGCATGCGTTAATATCATCCTCGACATGGGACTGTATTTCTTCTGCTTCTTTCAATTGCCCCTGAATTTGCGGAGGACTATTTTGGAATGCCTTCCTTCTTCAAAAGGCTCATTAGAGCCTAAAAGTCCAGTACTGTGCGCCTCATGTTTCAAAGATAATTGAAAGTGATCTGCCATGTAAGAAAGATGGCATTCTAAGTTCCCGGGCCACGACGAAGATGGCCTTCTTCGTGACTGAGAAGACTTAATTCATTGTGATCACTTTGCTGGAGGTCGTCCAGATGCTGTGCGACTGAGTCTCGGGTGCCCTTTGCTCGATGTATGCGGCTGCTTGTACGTTTGCAAGTGGCATGTATTCCCAGAACCGCGGTAAAATGGGTCGCTTCTTGAGCTTGGGATTGCACTTTTCTTGAAAACTACTGTGCAAAGAGGTGCTGTTGCATACTTTTTGTCCATTGGCTTGACGACAAATGCAATGGCCTAATCCTTAAGGCATGAATATGCGGGACTGGGATATGTCGTGCACACATAATTCGAAGGACTCGACCTATCTCAAGCTTGAAATGGCAGCAGGTGGATAGTACTTTGACCAGAGCATTAGGTAGGCCTTCGAAAAAAAAAAAGGAAAAAAAAAGCCGTGATTTGTCTGGAAAGCTCTTTACGAATTATGATCAGCTTTGCGAGGTGTGAAGTGTTCAACAGCTGGTAGCTCTAATGCTTTCACGTTTGCCGTTCTGAAGCAAGTTCTGAAGAGCCAGTCTCGGTCGATAATTATAGGTGTGTCGTTACCGTCCTTATGGTAGAACTCGTTGTAGGAGTCATCCACGTTGCCAACTGGATGTTCTGGGTCTGGGCTAAATATGTTGGACTCCAGTCATGAAAACTCACGTGGGAGCTGTTTGGGCACCCATGCCGTTCATACAAGATCGGATCTCGATGGCATGTATTCTTTGGCTACTATATTTTGGATAACCATATTGTACCAAACTACTTCGTACATCACTCCAAATCATGTACAACCGAAAAATAGCCATAATCTTCGACCGTTATTGTACTACTCATCTCTTGCAGTGACCGAATCTCCCAACCTCCCCCAGTCCTTTTGGCGGCACGTGCACTCGCCCTCACCGCGATTTTGATTCGCTCCACTTCGGCGCTGAACAGTTGTTCATCGAAACCCACCAGCAGAATTTCTCACCTCTTTTTTACCTTTTACCTTTTGACCCTTTTTTTCTTGCAGCAAGTCCAGCAAGATCTGATCCTGCATGCTTTGCATCCTGTCTCATCCCATTGCTCTAACAGATATACTCCCCGAACCACTAACTATAGCTTCCTCCCCGTATTCCTCCTCCTCTCAACCTTGGGCCGAGGTGGGACTAGCGCGATCGTCTGGGTAGCAACCAGCCCAGCCAGTCAACCGAGTGGATTCTCTCAGTCTGCCCAGTCTCCGCTTGGGGCTTTCCGAGCAGAAGATCCACGGTTCAGCTCCCGTTGTTTACTAGAGGAACTGCCCCCAAACAAACCATAACAATCGAATCCAGCCACCCTTCCCCGACCTGCCTCCATCATTGTCATCACCATCTCGACATTCCGATTACACCTCTCCCTCCCCTCTTCCCTCCCCTCCCCTTCCCCCTCCTAACATTCCTTACCAACTCTCTCCACATGGTGGCCTGTGCCGTCTGGGCATTCCTCTGAATCATTGCCCACCATGTTCAAGGCCCTAATGGGCGGGGGCCGGTCGGCGTCCACCTCCGACGCCCGCAGCACAACCAGCTCCAGCTCCAAAACAAGCCGTCGCAAGACCGATTCCAAGTCTGCCTCCAGCCGCAAATCCTCACGGGGTGACGACCGTGATCGTGACCGTGGCTTGGGCGACTTGTCGGCCTATCCTTCTGGCAGCAGGCGCGGCCCGCCCAGCATCGCCGGCGAGTCCGTCGCATCGACATACGTAACCGCCGAGCCCGATGCCATTGATTACTCCGATCGCACATTCGTCGAGCGCACCCCCAAGCGCAGAGACAGTGACCGCGAAAGCAAAAGCTCCCGCCGCCGCGAGCGCGACCGCTCCGAAAGTCGTGAGCGCGAGAGGAGGAAATCTAGCCGTCGCAATGGAGACGATACCTATGATGAGGATCTGGATAGAGACCGTCAGGGTGACCGTCGCGACCGCAGTCGCACATACTCGGGAGACCACTATGTTCCGCCCGTCTCTACGGCTATGCCGTCCAGCGCCCCGGGCGCTCAATTTGCCGCCGACATTGCGGCACCGGGATTCTCGCAGTTCCCCATGCAATATGACAATGCGATTCAGCCGCCTGTCACGACCGTTCCGGGTCATTCCTACGATGTTTCGCCTACAGCATTCGACCCCCATGTGCAGCAGCAATTCCCTGGTCAATTCCCGTCTGGTACGGCCCAACCTTATTTCCCGCCTAATAATCCCGCGGGCGCCGCCGCAGACTACTACGGCGATCAAGGGCAATCTGTCGATGATCAACCAGGTGTGCGACCGCACCAGCCTGCCATCATTCCTAATAGCCAAGCACACTTGATGACCGCTTCGCCCTCCGCCAATCCCCCGCCCGAGCCGAGCAGCTTGGGTCAAGTTGGTGCGGCTGCCGCGTATTTCACAGATGAAATTCCGCATACCGAATCGCAGGACAAGCCGCCGACAGGTTCATCATCTAAGCCTCCCAAGCCCGGTAAGCCATCCAAGCCCAGCAAGCTACCTTCGTCAAGTGCCATCCCGGCAGCGGCCGCGGCAGCGGCAGTGACCTATGGTGTCGGTAACTACGAAGAGTCACAAGCTGCAGCATCTTATCAGCACCAATCTTATGCCTCAACAATGGCTCACCACACATACTCGGAGCCGGCTCTGACAAGTACTTCGAAACCTCCCCATTCACATGGCATTGGAACTGGCATTGGGATGGCAGCCGCTGGTGCAGCAGCGGGTTACATGGTGGGCCATCAGCACCACACATCCAGCCCTGCGCACTCGTCGCAGTACACCTTCCAGAACTACGAGCAATCTTCCCACGGCAGTGTTCAACCCTACGGTGCTGGCCCCAACAACGCCATGATCGCGGCAGGCGCTGCTGGTGCGGCCGGTGCCGCGGGATATGCTGCGCATGCCGCCCACAATCCCGGTTTCTACCCCCACGGTGGCCTTGCAGTTCAACACCGGCATCGTGGACCACTCACAAAGTTTGTGGATTTCTGGCGAGATCCCGAGGGCGTGGGTCGGTTCGAAGACTACACGGAAACCATCGGCGTGTGCAAGTACTGCTTTGAGCCCGGGTCGAGCTCTATGGATGCGCCTCGCAAGCATCATTATCACGCACGCCGCCATTCTGCCGATCGATATAGTAGTGGAAGCTCTTCGCGAATCACCAAGCTCAGCCGGTATCATTCCTCCGAGGACGAACGCCGTAGTCGCAAGCGCTCGTCCAAGAAGTCCTCTTCCTGGCTTCCAGGTATACTGGGTGGGTACGCAGCCAAGTCAATTTTTACCGGCAAGGACTTTGATGACTCGTACAGCGTCCGCTCAGGCCATGTCTCGGGCGATCGAATCTCCACTTATGACCGTGAAGATGATCGGCGAAGCTATACTTCTCGTGGTGTGGTTCGCCACTCTGGTCGCAGCTCTCCGCGAGAGCATCACTCCGACACCAAGCATACTCGACGGACGCGCTCTCGCTCGCGATCATCTTCCCGCTCTGGTCACCACTCGTTTGTGAAGGAGGCTGCTCTGGGTGCGGCAGTTGGTGGTGCAGCTCTAGCCGTTGCAAAATCAAGTCGGCGTTCCCGTAGCCGCTCTCCTTCTCGGGTTCATCGTCGCAAGGATTCCTCATCTAGCACATCCTTCGTGGACGTCTCACGACCTTCTGCGAAGTCTGTTGGTGGTCTCACGTCTTTCTTCACCTCCTCATCTGAGAACCGCAAGAAAGAGAAAGAGAAAAAGAAGCGGCGCTCCAAGAAGTCTGGAGGCTTTTTCTCCTTCAATAGCTCGTCTTCCTCTTCGCTGGATGCGGATCTGGCATTTGGGAGTGGCTTTGCTAAAAAGTCATCAAAGCTGCAGAAGAAGAAGAAGAAGGGCAAGAAGAATGAGGATGTGGATGCTGCTCTCATCGGGCTCGGTGCGACAGCAACGGCCCTTGCTGCATCGTCTCACTTCCGCAATGGACGCAGTGCCGGCCAGCTCATGACTGCCAGAGATACCCGCCACACTAATTACACTTCCTCAGCAACTAACGAGGATGAAGAATGGATCGATGCCGAGTCTGAGGACCAGTCCTCGTCAAGTGTCAGCTCTGCTTTGGCTTTCGGTGCCAGCAGTGCTGAGTCCAGTTCCGACTCGAACAGCAGCGGTGGTTGGAAATGGGGATGGGGTAACAAGAAGAAAAAGAAGGACAGGAAATCTTCCAAGATGAACGCTGCCCTGGCGGCTGGCGCTGGTGCCCTTGGTGGTGCCGCCATTGCTTCGGTTGCTCGTCGTCATGACGGTCGTCCCCCAAGCGAGGCTGGAAGTCTTCAGCAGGTCTACCCCGTGCCCACATCCGATCCATCCCGCTTTGACGTTGCCAAGATGTCTCCCTCTGTCGTGTCCGGTGGTCAGCCACCTCTTGTTCGCCCTGGTCCTATTCCCCTACAGCAGCCCCAACCATACACTCCCGTGTCTCAGGCCGTGTACACCACCCAAGGAAGCTTGCCTGGAGCAATTCCTGCCTACAGTCCTGGTGCCGTTCCTCCCATCTTCGCCAATGAGTACGATCAGTACAATATGCAGCAACAGGGCTCTCGAGATGCTGCCTACGTTCGTGAAGATGCCAGCTTTATTGAGCGTCGCAAGCCGCATCGTAGCGATTCTTCGCCCGTCTTCCCTACGCAGGAGAGTGTTGTATCGGCCCCCAAGCGCCGATCCACCACCCGTGATCAAGCTTCTGTGTCTTTTGATTTGACCGAAGAGCAAGCCGAGCGTGAGCGCCGCCTTGACCGACGTGACCGCAAATCACGGGATGATATCCGAGATGAGCCTGTGCAGCTGATTGATCACGAAGAGGAGCTGGCTCGTGAGGAGACCGAGCGTCGTGAACGCGAAGAGCGTCGCAAGTACCGCGAAGAAGAAAAGCGCCGCAGTGATAGCATCAAGGAGAAAGATTCCTCTTCCTGGGTGGAAGCAGCGGCCATCGGAGCCATTGGTGCCGCTGCTGTCAATTCCCTCGTTTCCTCTCGTAAATCGAACGAGGAAGACGCCTCCGAGACCAGCTCACGGCACCGTGATCGCCGCGCTGAACGTCGCGCTGAACGACGGGGTGACTCGTCAGTAATTTCCAAGTCTGAAGTCTCCGAGCCCATCGAGGAGAGGGCTTCTTCTGTATCAAGGGAGCGTCGCGACAAACCTTCCTCTCCAAAGTCTCCCCGTCCAGCTCCCGTGTACGAAGACTATGCTGAATTCTTCGCCCCCGAGGAGGTTCGTCACAGCCCAGATCAACGTTCACGCGACCAAGACCGCAGTCGCGACTCTGGCGAGCCTCAGATTGTTGAAGTGGTGCCTGCCAGCGAGCGGGAGAAGAACAATGACGAGCCCCGTGATGACTTGCCGCAGTTTGCGCAAGAACCTTATGAGGATCGCGATCATCTCCCGTGGCCGGTTCCACGGCTGAATATCATCGACCCCACCCCCCCACAGAGTGTCAATGGCTCTGTGCGTGGAAACTCGCCGCTCGTTAGTCCTATTGAGCCCGTTCGCGAAGAAGTGGAGCCCAAGGAACGTGAACATCAACGAGAATCTCAACCCGAGCGCGAACCTGAGCCCGAGCGCGAGCACGAACGACCCTCGACTGGTTCGCGGGTCTCCTGGGGACCCCATCAGACCCATGAATATGAAATTCCATCGTCATCCGAGCAGGACCCGCATTCTCCGATCGAAGAAATCACCCGAGATCTGTCCATGACAGAGCTGGAGAAGGAACAGCACAAGGATAGCCGTGAGAAGATTGACTTTGGAAATGACATTGAGTTTGCTGCTATAGCTGCTGCTGGTGCTCAAGCTGCTGGTTTTGATCCCTCGGTCGTCATCAATGATCCATCTTACCACACTCGCACCTCACCTCCCGGGTCGGAGGATGAGGGTACCTTCTCCCCTCGGTCACAGTGGGCTGTGCCCCCTCAAACAGAGCAGCCTCATGGATTTGACGAAGCTCAGACTGATAACTACATGCCGAGCAAGTCTCGGGATATTGAGCCACCGATCCAACACGTCATTGAAGAGAAGCCCTCTCACGCGAAGCCGGAGACGTTCTCAAAAGACAAGGACGATTCGTCCTTCCAGCGGCGAGACCGCGGGTCAATCGCCCAAGAAGTCATTGAGCAGTTGAACGGCAGGAGCCCACGATCTACTTCTCCTGACAACGATGTCTTTTCCATGCCAGGGGGTTTCGAGAGCGTTGAGGCCCCTCGTGATGATGTCCGCTCAGTCTTCTCTGCCCCGCCCGAGCGCGAGTCTGAGAAGAGCAAGTCCAAGAAGTCGCGTCGCAGTGGTGATGATTTCAAGTTCCCTCGTGAGGTGACCTCGCAAGAGCGGGACGCTGCATCCCTACCTGAGAAGGTCGAGGGGGATGCCGAAGAAAAGTCGACACACCGCAGTCACCGCTCCGAGCACGGCGAGAGTGATTCCTTCTTTGTGAATGATGATGCTAGATCTGCAGTCACTTCTGTCGAGGATGTTGAGAAATCGGAGCGACGGAAGCACCGCCATCGCTCGTCTCGTGACAAGGACTTTGATGATGCCGCCTCCATTGCATCCTCACCTGCTGCTGCTTCGTATGAAGATGGTGAGAAGTCTGAGCGACGCAAGCGCCGCTCCAAGCAGGAGAGCGATACATTCTCCGTTGATGATGACGCTAGATCCGCCATCACGTCCATTGATGATACCGACAAGTCTGAGCGCCGCAAGCACCGCCATCGCTCGTCTCGTGACAAGGACTTTGACGACACTGCCTCCATCGCATCCTCACCTGCCGCTGCTCAGTATGAGGATGAAGAAAAGTCTGAGCGACGCAGGCGCCGTTCTAAGCGTGACAGTGATACTTTCTCTGTGGACGATGACGCTCGATCTGCTATCACGTCTATTGATGATGCCGACAAGTCTGAAAGACGCAAGCATCGCCATCGTTCCTCGCGTGATAGAGACTTTGATGACAATGTCTCCGTCACCTCTTCCCCGGCCCGAATTGATGAAACCCGCGAGAAACGCCGGAGCAAGGACGGCAAGGATGAGAAGGAGAAAGACAAAAGTGGGAGCATCTTGCGCAGCATCTTTGGCTCGCGGGTGTCTGCCCCCGAGGGTCGTACCCGTTCTAATCAATCTTCACGCTCTTCTTCTCTAGAGAAGCGTCCTTCTCGTGATGCTGTGTCCGAAGCTGGTGTTGATGACGAGAGACGCCGCCGCAAGAAGCGCTCTTCGAGACATCGCAGCTCCAGTGGAGGTGATAAGCTGGATGAAGATGCCTCGGACAAAGAAGGAAGTGTCCGGGATGGCACGAATCTGGAGGATTATAGGTCGCAAAGGCAGCAGAAGGAGGAGCGTCGTCGACACAGATACGAGGAAATTGTTGAATCGGGCAAACGTCGGGAATCTGAGAAGGTATAGCATCTGAATTTTCCTTTCTTATTATCCATGTTGTGATCTGCTTCCCTGTCTGTATACACCGTTATGTGCCATATAGTTGTCTTTTTTTTTCGCACCTTCTTGTGGATGACAGTCTCGTCATGGGCGTTGCGCCCTGAATTGCCCCTGTTCCATGCCCAAGAAACCATCATACCCCTCTTGAACATTTGCACCAAACACACAAAAACAAAGAAATCAAAGCTAAGCATTTTTTCTGGTATTACTCCATGTGCAGGACCAAAAATATTCGGATTCTAAGGACGACGGCGACAAATACTCTTTTTTAGCAGAGCGCCCCGAAATGCCGCCCGCGGCTGAACGCGATGAACGTGGTGCTTCGGGGCTTGAATCTACAGTCGAGGGTGCGCTCGCTACTGCCGCCGGTATATATCTGAGTGATGAAGTCCTGTATCAACGCCCAAGGAGTCATTCTACGTCTCCCACCAGTGCAGACCGTGCCCTCGATCTGGCCCCTAAGTCCCGGAGCAGACCCTCATCGCCGGAGATGAACCGCGACCTTGACCAATCTCCTCATCGTCGTCGCCCATCTATGGCTCGCTCGACGACCGAGTCGCCCACCGCCGTGCCATTGCATTTCCGTCGACCACCGACGTCGCCCGGTCTGTCTCGTGCTGTGCCCGTTGCACCATCATCTCCGGCTGGCGGTGATACTCAAGATTCCCCGACCCAGACCCGTCATCGCCGTCCGAACTCCCTCGAGTTCAGAAATTCTCGCGAGATTCGACCCCTCTGGCTCGTTGAGCGCCTTGGTTCCTCAAAGGGTGATGTGGTTGAACCTGACGAAGCCTTGCCCTCGCTTCCATCTAGCAAGACTTCGTCTCGTGCGCCCTCGGTCGAGGACCTGCGTGCCCTTAATAACGAGGATGACGTGCGCAGCTGGGAGCCAATTGATCTCAGTCCGTCCATGGCGGATCGTCGCAGACCCACTGGTCTGACGGTCTCAACTTCTCATGCTAATGACCATGGAGATGGAGATCTGCTTGACTCTCAGCAGGCTACTCCCACTGCGGAGGACTTCGGTGCGTCTATAGGTTCGAAGAAACATAAGCCTACGTATGAGTTCCATTCTCCATCGGAGCTTCTGCAGGACCCGGCTATGTACCCCGAAATCCCCGGTTCGCCGACCATGGAGGCTCTTCCTTCTGCTGAAGGCTCCGTCATTGATGCGAAGGATGTCGATGTTGACACCGATGTCTTTGAGACCCCGACTCAGGAGAAGAAGGAACTTCTTGAAAGTTCCGAAATTGTTGAAGGTGCCGAATTCGCGGGCGTTGTTGATGCTGCTGTTCTTGCTGCTGTCAAGGAGAACAGCAAGCATGTTGAGTCCGAAAATGACGAGCGCACCTCCGATCCTGTTGATAGAGGTCTGGCTGTCGAGACTAGTCATGAGGAAACTGCTGCCCCAGCCTCCAAGATTGGTGGTTTTGCTGATATCGTCAATGCCGCTGTTATCGCCGAGGTCGCTCATGACAAGGACCCCGCTGACGAGGACATTGGTGAGCCTGGCACTGCTATTGAAGAGCATGCTCCGACGGATCTTACCATTGAACCCCCTGTCGAGCCCGACGCAGTCAAGGAGGTGGTTTCTGAGTCTGTGGAGGCCCCCACTCAGCCTGTTGAGACTCCAGCAGCGGAAGAGCCTGTTGCTGAGGAGGCTGTTGCGACATCTTCTTCGAAGAAGAAAAAGAAGAAGAAGGGGAAGAAGGGTCAGGCCAGTGTTGATGAGTCTTCTGAAGCTCTGACTGCCCCCGAAGAGCAGTCTTCTCCAGCTGAAGTTCCCGAGATTGAGTCTCGCTCCGTTGAGACTGAAGCTATTACTCCTTCTGCAGAGCAGGATGTTGTTGCTGAGCCCCAGCCTGAAGTTGAAATTGGAGCAGTTGAGGAATCTCGAGAAGTGGAGCCTGAGTCTCTCCCCGCTGCTGCTACAGAAGTTGTGGAGGCTGAGAAAGATGTTCAGCTTGAGTCGGAGTCCCAGCCTGCAGTTGAGCCCGAAGCACCTATCCCAACCGAGTCGCATGCTATTCTAGCTCCCGAGTCCCAGCCCGACGAGCAGCCTGAACCCACGCCCGAGACCCCCGGCGAAGCAACTGAGTCTGAAGCTGCCATGACGCCTGCCCAGAAGCGCAAGGCAAAGAAGGCTGCAAAGAAGAAGGCAAAGAATCTTTCCGTCTCAGAGTCGGTGGAGGGCACAAATGAGGAATCAGCATCTGCCCAACCCTCCGAGGTAACTCCAGCCCAACAGGAAGACAAGGCCTCAGAAGCCGAGGCTGCCGAAGTGGATATTTCAGCTCAATCTGAAGAGCAGGATGTTTTCAAGGATGCCAATGCTGTCAATGTTCCTATTCCCGCCGAGCACACAACCACTGATATTCAGGAATCTCATGATATCGTGGAGTCTGTCGAGCCAACTCATGAGGCTCTCCAGCCTGCTGAAGACGTGACGAAGCAACTTGATGAATCATCGTCTGATGCAGTTCATGACTCGGAGGCCCGCGAAATCCAACCTTCCGAACTCGTTCAGCCGGAGAGCAGAATGGAACCAGAGCAAGTCGTGGAAACTGCTCAGTCGGAAGAGATCGTAGAACCTGCAGCTGCCACTGAAGATGCTGCGGTGCCCGAAAAAGTCGCTGAGAGCGATGATGATCTCTTCCACGAAGCTGTCGCAGAGCAGACTGATGTCTCTGAGCAGGCGAAGGAGATTCAGCCAGAAACCCCCACCGAGCTTGCCACTGAGCCTGCCACCGAGCCTGTCACTGAGACTGCTGCCGATACTGCAGTAGTTGAACCTGAGCCCGAGCCTGAAGTCCCGCTGACCGCCGCTCAGAAAAAGAAGGCCAAGAAGGACAAGAAGAAGCGAAAGTCTGTTGCATTCGAGGATGCCACTACTCTTTCCGAGCCTGCCGTCGATGCTCAACCCGAAGAGACCGCCAAGGAAATGGAACCTGAGAATTCGGCGCCTATTGACGCTGTCGATGTCCAAGACACGGTCATAAGCGGCGAGACGCTGCCTTCTGAGACTGAACCCGCGACTGGAGAGAACCTTGCGCCTTCAGTTGAGGAGCCCAAAGACTTGTCTCAATCTGCTGTTGAAGATACCAAGGATTTGTCTGAATCATCTATCGAAGAGGCTGGCTCTGCCCCTCAACTTGAGCTCACTTCGTCTGGCGATCTGGAGCCAATACCCGCTGTCGAGACCTCCGAGGCTGCTGAAGCTGCTCCTGATCAACCCGAGCAGGCTTCAGAGCAGCCTGCTCCACAACCTGATGCGGAAGCCGAGCCTGAGCCTGAGGTTCCCATGACCGCTGCGCAGAAGAAGAAGGCCAAGAAAGACAAGAAGAAGAAGGCTAAGCAACAGAGTGTGTCTTCTACACCCGACGAGGAGAAGCCTGTTGAGCCCGAATCTGCTGAACCTCAGCCCTTTGATATTCCTGAAGTCGCTCCTGAAGTTTCCGAAAGGAATGAGCCCGTTGCAGCTGCTGAGCTTATTGAAGCCTCAGAACCTACTGCCGATGCTTCAGCGGAAGTTATCGATCTTGTTCAAGAGGCGCCATCTGCTCCTGAAGATCCATCAGTCGAGGTCTCCACTCCAGAGGAACCGCAGGACGAGCCAATCGAGATTGATCAGCCTAAGGAAGATATACCTGCTCCTGCTCCAGAAACGAATGTCGTTCCTGAGACCCCCGTCGGGACATCCGATGCTGACAAGCCTGAAGAAGAGCCTGCGGTTGCTGAAGACAAGCCAGAACCCGAAGCCACTCCTGCTGAGTCCGAAGTCACTATGACCGCAGCCGAGAAGAGAAAGGCTAAGAAGGCGAAGAAGAAGAAGCAGCAGCAGGAAAGCATCAGCTCTGTTTCTGAAGAGACACCGGCTGCTGAGGCTGTATCGCCGCCTGAGGCCGTGACTGCTGAGGCCAGCAAGGAAGTTCAAGATGAACCAGAAGCGGAGGTCAAAATTGTGGATGATGTAACAGCACCGACCACTGAAGAGATTATCGAGACTAGCAAGGAGGTTGATGCTACCCAGCTTCCTGCTGGGGAGGCCGAATCACTTCCCCAGGTGGACACTGCCGCTGAAAACGAGGCCGTTGAGCCTACCGGCGAGGAGGTTCTCGGCGAGATCGCCCCCGTTGAAGAAGTGGTCGCCCCAGTCGATGCTCCTCAGGAAGAGGTACCTCTTGAGCCGGAGCAGCCTCAAGAAGAGAAATCAACCCAGCCTCCCGCCACTGAAATCCTTCCCACCACTGAGCCCCTTCCCACTACCCAAACGACAGAGACTCAATCTACCGAGCCAGAAACCCCCACAGCTGAAGCGGAATTTCCCTTGACTGCTGCACAGAAGAAGAAGGCCAAGAAGGAGAAGAAGAAGCAGCAGCAAAAGAGGGAGTCTGTGCTTTTGGATGAACAGGAAACCACGGAGGCAGAGGCTGCTCCCACCGAACCAAAGGAGGTTGAGCCCACTGCGGATGTGACTCCGGAGGTCCCTGCTCCCGAAGAGACCAAGGCCCTCGACGAAGCTGTACCCACGGAAGCAGACGCAGAGATTCAAACTGAGGCTACGCCAGTTGTTGAGGACAGCCCAGCTCCTGCCGAAGTCGATCAATTCCAAGCTGCCGTCGAGCCATCTACCGATGCTCCAACTGTGCTTGATGTGAGTGTTCCTCAGTCTGCATTCCTACAAACTACAACTGTTGAAAACGCTGACGAGGATCAGGAACCCAAGAATGCTGTTGCCACTTCAGAGGAGCCGGCCGCAGACACGCCTTTAGCCGATCAAGCTACTCTTGACCAGTCTATCGAAGAGCCAATTACCTCGACCAACCCGGTTCAATCTACTGCGGAAGAGTCCACGGCAACTCCAGAGACCGCACCGAAAGACCAGACTGAAGAGGCTGAACCGACCACTCCATTGTCAAAGAAGGACAAGAAGAAGAAAAAGAAGAAGAACAAGTCCCTTGCCCTTGAGGAGGAGTCGCAACCTGAGCTAGTTCAGGAAGAATTGACTCAGCCCACTGAGCCTGTCGAACCCACCCAGTCTGTCGAGGTCATCGAGTCCGTCGTGCCCGTCGAGCCCACTCTTGAAGAGAACGTCGATTCCACGAAGACCGCTGAGGAGCACGAGTCTTCTGTTGTAACTGAAGAGCCTCAGAGCATTGAACAGCCATCCGCTGAAGAGACTGTGAAAGATGAGGTTATTCGCGAACAGCCCAGCACTGAAGCCGTCGAAGAACCTTCCCAGCCATCTGAGCCCGAGGTGCCAATGACCGCTGCACAGAAGAAGAAGGCCAAGAAAGACAAGAAAAAGCGCAAGTCTGTCGCCTTTGAGGATGGACCAATCGCTACTCCGACGGAGACTCCGCCTGAGCAAGAACAGGCCCCAGTCGAGTCTGTTGAGTCCAAGGACATTCCTTCCGAGGAAGCTACTCCTAGTCAGAAATTGAGTGAATCTTCCAAGGATGCTCCTGAAATTGCTGCTGAGGCTGTTGAGAATACTGTCACCGAACCTCAGACCACTACCTTGGATCAGCTGGAAGCATCCGTTACGGATGCTGAGCGGACAGATGTGACCGGGACTGCAACAGAAGATGGTTTCATGAATGAACCATCAAGTTACGAAGCTAAAGACTCAGAGGTCGAGATTCCAACTCCCACCCAACCTGAAGAGCAACCTGTGGTCACCCTTGAGCCTGAGACCCCATCTGACAACAAGAGCGACGCTATCGAGGAATCTTCAGCCCCAAACGCTGAGGCGACCGAGGCAGCAGCCGAGGCAGGCCTGTCAGCCAAGGAGCGTCGCAAGCTGAAGAAAAAGGAGAAGAAGAAGTCCAAATCTGTGGAGTCGACCGAGGAAACCCCATCTCCTGTAGAGGTGCCTGAAGACGCTGAAGCCCCGACTGATTCTCAGCCCGAAACCCCCAAAGAAGTCGAACCCGAGGTGCCCCAGGTTGAACCCCACCAATTAACGCCGACAACTGTCGATCCTCTGAAGGCCGAGGAGCTCGAGGTTATTGAAGCACCCGCCGACAGCCCGAAGAATGACACACTGGAGATTGCACAAGCTGCTGAACCCGAGACAATCGACAATCCAGAGCAGGTCATCGAGCAGGAAATCGCCGAGCCCAAAGATATGGACGACAAATTGGCCGTGGTCGAGCCCGCCGTTGAGACAGAGTCCCTTCCACAGTCACCTGAAGAAAAGCCCGAGCAGCCCACGGAACCAGAAGCTGAGGCCTCCCTGTCCGCCAAGGAGAGACGCAAGCTCAAGAAGAAGGATAAAAAGCGCCAGTCCAAGAACCTCGACGTCGATGAAAATGCAACCACCGAATCTGAGACACGGGAACTCTCTGTACCCGTACCGGCAAGCTCGCCTGCGGAGAATGACGGTAAAGAACTTCAGTCCCACGACACCGAAACGCCCGCCACGCCGGAAAAAGATTTAGCTTCGACTGATGAGTTCTTGTCTTCGCAGGTAGAGCAGCCACAGATAGAGAGTCGTTCTTCAGATTATCCTCCCCCACCCGTGCTTGAGCGTGACTTTGATTCTGGCGAAGCGCAGGAAGATGCGCAGAATAAGGAGGATGCGCCAGGTTTGGAACAGCAGAAGGTGCCGAGTATGGAAGGAGAAAAGAGTCTTGATGTGGTTGAGGAAGTTGCAGAGCAGAAGGATCAGTCTGCTGTTGATGTTGAGCCTGTACAGGATGAAGTCAATTCCCCTGAAGCTGATATGCCTGTAGTTTCAGAGCAGATGTCAGAACGGAAGGAAGAGGATTTGGCCGAGAAGGAGCCAATAACGGAGACTGCTGCAGAGGAGGTCGAGCAGCCGGCCTTGTCCAAGAAGCAGAAGAAGAAGGACAAAAAGAAGAAGCAAAAGCAGGAGGAGAAGATAGAGGAGGAGACCGCTGCCCCTGCACCTGAGCCATTGGCTGCAGAAGAGAACGACCAACTGGCAACCGTCATCAATTCCAGCAAAGAGACCCAAGGGCAGCCCGTTGTTGAACCTGAACCATCTACCGAGCAACAGTTGGCTCCAAACATTGAAGAGCCCATAATTGAACCAGCCCGCGATCTCGACAGAGAGATTCCTTTGGCTCAACCTTCGGAAGATGTGGAATCTGCCAAAGACGCCGAACCTACTGAGTTAGCGAATGTTGCTCTCGAGTCCGAGCAGCTGGAGGAATCCTCGCTATCGAGGAAGCTGAGCAAGAAAGAAAAGAAAAAGCAGCGTCAAGCTTCACTTGCACAACAAGCTGAAGCTGAAGCCGCAGCTCCCTCTGAGCCGGAAGAGCAAGCACCTCTGGAGACCGCTGAGCCCGAGACCACTACTTCTGTCTCCGACGCTCTGAGCACATCTGCATCTGGTCAGCAAGAAGAAGATATGCAGCCCGTCGACACCAGCGTTGCCGTTGTCCAGCTTTCCGAGACTGTCCACGATGGCCCAAAGGAGATTGAACAACCAGCTGTGGAAGCCGATCACCCCATTTCCACAGAAAACGAGCGACCAGAGCCCGTCGATCAGCCAGTGTCTGAGGATCCTAAGCCAGAGGAGGCCGATCTAGTCTCAACTCCTGCAGATACGACATCCATTGCTCCGCCGCCTCCGGAGAACGAGCCGGAAGCAGAAGCTGAGCTACCCGCACTTTCAAAGAAGATGAGCAAGAAAGAAAAGAAGAAGGCTGCTGCTGCCGCTGCCGCTGCCGCTGCCGCCCTTGTAGCTGCTGAAGAGGAGAAGTCTGACGAGCCGGAACCTGTGCCCAGGGAAGCCACACCTGCCCCGGAAGAAACCGTCGAGATCACCGATAATATCCAACAGGCTCCCGAACTTGAGCCTGCTTTGCAGCGAGAGGTCTTCGAACAAGACCAAAATAAGCCGGACCCGATGACCTCTGGAATTCTCACAGATGTCGCGGAGAAGCCTACTGCAGAGACCGAGACGCAGATTGAGCCCACTACGGAGGAGCCCAAGCCTGAAGAGGTTGTACAGGAGCCTGTTGTTGATGAGCCCATCACTCGCAAGATGTCTAAGAAGGAGAAGCGCAAGGCCAAGAAACAAGTCGAACAGGAAGCTCTGGATACCCCTTCAATGCAGACGGACACTGCGACAGGGACTGCGACCGAAGTTGTGCCCGAGGCCTTGGATGTCGAGGAGCCAATGACTCCTGGCGAGTCCAAGGAGTTGCCCTCTGAGGCTGAGCCTGTCACTCGGGAAGAGACCACAGTTGCGGAGATTTTGCCTCTTGAGAATCCTCCCATGACAGTTGACGATAGTCTGGAAGAAGAGACGAAGGAAACCGAGAAGACGGAGCCCTATGATCCCTTGGGTGCAGTCGATGCTCAATCTTCCACCGAGCCCAAGACGGAGACTGAACATCAAGTTCCCGTTGAATCTGTTTGTAAGCAATTCTTTCCTAGTGGATCATTTTGGAATTAAGTTAGATTCATACTAATATCTGCGATGCAGATCTTGAGAAAGCAGCTGATATCGGGACGGCTGATGATGTTCTCACGAGTCCCCCGGAAGAGCCCGAGGTGGTTGCGCCGCTTTCTAAGAAGCTGTCCAAGAAGGAAAAGCGAAAGGCCAAGAAGAAGGGCGTTATGGAAGAAGAGCCTTCTAACTTGGAGAACGACGATGTTTCTACTGCCGAAGCTACTGCTCCTCCAGGCAAACCCCAAGAAGCTACTTTCTCTGCACCTGTGCAGATGGAATCAGAACTCCTGGCAGAACCCCCGGTCGAGGCAGAAACAACGAGAGAAGTGGAGCTCGAGAGCGACACAGCAAAGGAGATTGAGCCTGCTATCGAAGCTCAGCCCGAACTTGAGCCAGAACCCGTAACGGAATCGACTCCAATCATTCCCATTTCTACTATCGAAGAGCCCGAGCCTGAGATGGAGACTGCGCTCTCGCGAAAGGCTTCCAAGAAGAAGGCCAAGAAAGCGAAGAAAGCTGGTCAAGCCTTGGAGCTAGAGTCACCCGTCGAACATGCGACCGAAGAACAAGAATCTATCTTGGCTCCTGAGGCGGAAGCGTTGACCAAGTATATCTCTGGTCCGACTACGCTGGAGAAAAAGCATGACGACGAAGACTGGCCTCCAATTGATTGGGAGGATGGCCATTCCCACAAACCTGAGCCATCTCAAGACAAGATTCCCGAGCCTGAGTCAGTCACGCCTGTTCCCGAATCCGAGGCCATTGGGGAATACGACGAGTCGGCCATTCCTTCTGCCTTGCAAGAGGCCAAGAAGAATCTGGAGCAGCCTGTTGAGGAGGAGGAAGAAACTTGGTCTGCGCCGCTCAGCAAAAAAGACAAGAAGAAGGCCAAGAAAAACAAGCGTAAGTCAGAGCAAGCAGCCCTGGCAGTTGACGAGCCCAACGAGGAGCCGTCTCACAAAAAAATTGAGCTGGTGCATGAATCCATGCCTGAGCCACCCGTGGAAGACCCCGTCTCTGTCCCCAAAGAGATCGAGACTGAGCCACCTGCTCGCACGACGACTCCCGGTGGCTCCAAGATTGCAAGCCTGTTCCCTGGCTTGGAACGTGGAGGATTTCGTCGATCGGCCATCGAGAAGAACTCACCGTCGCTAAAAGATAGTGCTGAGGAAGAGACCGCAGCGGACTTGGAAGCAAATCGCGATATCGCGATCCCCGTCTCGGAAGCACCCCTAGCGACCACTCAAATCCATGACAACCCTCAATTCACCTTCGAACCATCTACGGAGAGCCAAAGAGGAGAGCTTGACACTACGACCATCCGCCAACACGATCCGGAGGCGATTACCACTTCACAGCAGGAGTCACCCATCGATCCCGATCTCCCCATTAATCTTGAGTGCTCTATTACTGAGCAATTCCCCTCCCCAGATCATGCTGCCTCTAAGGAGCGATCGTCCATGCTTTTCGGCTCATCCCCTTCTACTCGGATTGAAGAAGCAACTTCGCCCCGTCGCTTGTTGCCGTCTCAGATGGATGCTCCCAACGATTCTTCATGTGGATTGCGCCGAACCCCAACCGTGATCCACGGGCGACACCAGCATACTCCCCGAACGTGGAACTTAGAGGAGCCTACTATCCCAGCCCCATCTTCGTCTCCACCTCGCTCTATCTTTGGACCCTACGATGAGCCCCATTCTCGGCCCCGGACTCCGCTAGACCCCATTGCGGAGCAGGAGCCAGGGGATGGGGACAATGCATCCACGGCTCGTGACGGAACTCCCCGTTTGGAGATCAAGCCAGAGCATGTTTTGCCCCGGCCTCATACTCCTGTGCGAAAATTTACAGACAATGCAATGGCTCGAGAGGCCTGGCCGACTCCGGAAAATGACAAAATGGACAAACCGCGAAGCCACGACGACCTCTCGAAAACCCGAAAATTCAGCGGCGAGTTGGGCTCGCCCGTGACGCAGACACCCGAACAGGGCATGCCTGTATTGAAGCCCAGCAGCAGCAAGGGTAAGTTGCGTCGCACGAATCGCAGTACGAGCAGCGATCTGCGGGGCGCTAGTAAAGCGCTAGACTCCTCCCAGCCTCCCCCAAATCTCGATCTCGATCAGCTTCCCTCTTCTTCCTCTTACGACCCCGTCACCGACAAGGGCAAGCGTCCCCTACGAAATATGTCGGATGTCTATGTAAGTTGATGTCGACTTTTTGATCGTTCCATTCACTCTATCCGTCTTTTTCCTTTGTTTGTTTACTAACGTTGCCTAGGAGGGATGGGGTGAGACGCCCAGCTCCCCGCGGTCGCCCAGCCGACCGCCAAGTGTTCGTCACCGTCGCAGTATGCAACATCTTCAAGACATGGAAGCTCGCCTCGATCAACTCATCTCCGAAAACCGCCTACTGATTGCCGCTCGCGATGAGGCCGAAGACAAAATGCGCAATGCCAGCGTCGCTCGGCGGAAGAGCGACCGGGCCCTCAACTCTAGCGGCGCCGACTTGCGAGACAAGGAAGCCGAAGTGGAACAATTGAAGAGCTCTGTTGAGTGGCTGCAGCGGGAAATGAGTCGTCTGGCCCAGGAGAATGAGGGATTGACGGCGTCAAATGCTGCTCTCGCTGCCGCGCACGCCGAGGAAGTCAACACTGTGCGCGAGTCCTCCACACGAGAGCTGGATGACTTGCGGTCGCAACACCTTGCATTGTCCACCCAGATGGATATTCGTGTGCGACAAGAAATAGAGTCGGCTCTTGCCCAAAAGGATGCTGAGTTGCGACGCCTCCGCGAAGAGCTGGAGGAAGCCCGTGACAAGGTGAAGGAGCTGCAACAACAGATCGCATCGTCGCTTCAAGACAACACACTTGTCTTCAGAGACGAGGATTACTTTGATGCTGCCTGCCAAAAGCTCTGCGGTCATGTTCAACAATGGGTGCTGCGCTTCTCAAAGCACTCTGACCACCGTCGCTGCCGCACGCTCAGTGAGCTCAACGACGAGAAGATCGCCGATCGCTTCGACAATGCCCTGCTCGATGGCTCCGATGCCGATTCTTATCTCTCTGACCGTGTTCGCCGACGTGACGTGTTCATGTCGGTGGTTATGTCCATGGTGTGGGAGTACATCTTCACCCGCTACCTCTTCGGCATGGACCGCGAGCAACGCCAGAAGCTCAAGTCTCTAGAGAAACAACTGGGCGAGGTCGGTCCTCGTCGCGCCGTTCACCGCTGGCGTGCAACTACCTTGACCCTGCTGTCCAAGCGCCCGGCTTTCGCCTCGCAGCGCCAAAGCGACACCGAAGCTGTCGCCCTTGAGATCTTCGGTACTCTGTCCCGCGTCCTTCCACCCCCGTCACAGGTGGAAGCTCAGCTCCTCGAGTCCCTGCGCAAGGTTCTTCGTGTCGCTGTCAACCTCTCCCTGGAGATGCGCACCCAGCTGGCCGAATTCATTATGCTGCCCCCTCTGCAGCCTGAGTACGACACCAACGGTGACCTGGCCCGCCAAGTGTACTTCAACGCCTCGTTGATGAATGAGCGTAGCGGCGAAACCACCTCCAACGACGAGCTCGAATCCCAACAAGCCGTCGTCCGCATCGTACTCTTCCCCCTTGTCGTCAAGAAGGGCAACGACGTTGGTGAAGGCGATGACGAAGTCGTCGTCTGCCCCGCTCAAGTCCTCGTTGCTCGACCAGGAAAAGACAAGCGTGTCTCCAAGATGGTGAGCGGCGACCGTATGTCCGTGGATGCCCGCTCGGTCTATAGTGCTGCACCGAGCATGGCACCTCCCTCAGTGATGGACATGAGCAATGTGATTTGAGGCGTCACGCTCTAATCCAGATTGCTCCGTCACTTTCAATGTTGATATTTGCTGGTCACCGCTCATCTTCGCAATATTCCCCCTTTCTACTTCGTTTTCTGCTTCTTCGATTCCCACTTGAATGGGTGAAAATGCCTTCTTCCTATTCTGGCGTCTTTCTTGCGAACTGGATTCCTCCTTTTTGTGGGAGCCTTAATGATTTTGGAGTTGATCGTTGATTTTTGTTTTATCATGTGTTTATTTTCCTTTCCTGTTTCTTACTTTTGTGCTTCTCAAGAAGATACGGCCGCTGCATGTGTATTTACTATCCTTGATGTCTGATGAGTGACGACCTGTACTTCTGGCACGGCAATGTAATAGAACGATTCTACATATTCAAACCATTTTTGTCTTTGAACTCTATCTTCTCTTTAGAAATGATCCTCGTAGTATCTAGATCTTCCGAAAAGATCTTCACAATGCTAGGATGGCTTAGTGTGCAAACCAAAGACTAGCGGCACCATACCGGCTTCTCCCGATTTCCCATAGTAGTAAATCCGGGGGCTCTCTTCAGAAAATCATGAGCCAGCTCGAGATCTTATTTGAGTTCAGGCCATTAACTTACTATGTTGAATATACCGACTTCGGCACTGACGATCTTCTTTGGCACCACGAATGTCGGGCCAGACCTATCCCGTGACCTCATCGGTCCGCTTTAGGAAATTGACTTGCGCCCCTCAGCATCATGGGGGGTTTCTCTTCGACTCTTCTTATCTTTCTCGGTCGATATAACAATTATTGAGCCGCAAATTATTGCTCTTATCTGCAATTGTTGCGCCTGTGCTCCTTGGCTCTTGCCTGGCGTCTTTGCCTGATGTTCCACATTGTTTCGCCACACGCGTCATCCGCAGTGACCCTGTTCTAGCTCCAACTCCAGCCCCAGTCCGAGCTCGAGCTTGACTTGTTCAAGACCCTTGTCCTGCAGCGCTGATTTGCTCTCAAATATGTTCTGCACAATCTCGCCTTGATTGATAGTGCTCATTGCGACCGCTTAACAAAGTGTGGTCTGCTTGCTTTCCACCGCATTCGAGGTTTAGAGCTTTGGCTCAATTGATCGAATGAGCACCGCCATCAACACAATCAGTGGCACTCGACGACCTTTACTCCGATCGGAACACAACTTTTAAACGCATCACGGTAATACGTCGCGAGTATAATATTTCCTTTAGAGTCGAGGCTTTCTAAACCCCCCCTTTTACGCGACACGCAAACCCGTCGCCGCCGCACCACGATCGCAACGCTTTCCCTCCGCCTCACCGTCTAGCCCGACTAGAGAACCCCAGCACAGCGAATACCCACTTCTCACCGCTAAGAAAGCTGGGAACGGTCCAATGGGCGGACACGAACAAGATCATGGTCCGGCGACGCCCTCAGGGACCCGCTCGAAGGACCCCGCGCCCGATAATGGCCCTGCTGGCAAACTTTCCAAGTCCTCCAAGCGAAGAAAAAACCGCAATCGCAAGCGTCGCAATCGACAGGAGTCGTTTCTAACACCTGCCCCGGAAGAAGCCCATGATAGATCTGGAACAGTTCCGGGGAGTGGTGGTGCTAGAGAGGCGATGGAGGACGATCGGCCAACGTCCAAGGATAACCAGTCGTACTTTACATTGCGCCGGAGGAGGAGCACTACTAGCATTGAGAGTGATGCGCTACTGGATCATCGGTAAGTTACAGGATACTGGCACACAGCTTTGGGGATAGTCAAAGGGGAAGTTATTGTAGGGTCTAACCTTTTGGCGCACATTTTCAGAGACCAACCCATCATGCGTCCTCGACGGGACAGTCGAGCTGCAACATCGTTCCGCCCAAGCTCCCTTCTCTCCGGAGCTTTTCGGTCCAACGACAGTCAATCGCGCAACACCCCAAGGACGGGCCGGACCCAGCAATACCAGGAGGGAGATAGCGACGACGCAGATGCTACCGACCGCACGCCGCTGATCCGTGGAGGCTCGGGCCACGCATCTGGCCTGTCGCGGTACGGGACAGACTCACGGCCTAGCCCCTTCACACGCCAACGCCGGGCATCCGTCCAGTCGACGTCATCCCGATGTTCACCGCGAGGTCACTACAGCCCTCCATACACTCCGGATGTAGAGCGTGACTACGATATCAACAACCCGCCTTCGATTCCCGGAACGCCCAAATTGGGCCCTGACATGAACTATGACGATGCGGTGGTGACGGGAGCCGAGTTTGACTTTGCGCTGGGACGATCGACTGACACGCGCAGGGAGTCTGTGAACCGGCCCAATGATGCGTTGATCGACATTGACGGTGGTGGCCGCCAATACTCTGAACCTTCTTCACTCCACTCACATGAGTTTTCTCCACAAGAACTGCGACGGCGCCGTACCATTGCGCTGCCGGTGGAAGAGGACGTCTGTTTTCCTACAGAGGATGTCTCCGAGATAGGCGATGAAGAGCCGAGGGCGCCGAGAGACGAACAGGGTGAACGTCGTCGACGCAGACGCCGACAGTGGCCGGACCTCTCTGTCCTGGAAGAATGGAGTCGTGAAGAAAAGGAAGTTCGCAGCGGGGACTTGCGCGTGAAGAAGATCAGCGAACCCATGTTTGTCGAAGGCCGACTGCGACCTCAGTATAAATCGTGGCGACGTGAGGAAGATGATGCCCCTTATCGGTTTACCTATTTCAACGAGGAGTTCCCGAGCACTATTCATGCCCAGACAATCTCGGAGTTGGTACAACCCGGCAGTAGTTTCCGTGAACTATTCATCCCCGATCCACCGGAGTTGGAGGATTCAGATTCTGATGATGAGCCAGAAGTTGATCCTTCTGTGAACGGGAATGCTGCTTCTGGCGTTGGTGGTGGAAACCGAGGATCGGGATCTCACTTCGAAAGCCATTCCACCAATACGCACAATGGAAATAACTACAATGGCACGGCACCCACCAATTTGGAACCGCGCAATGGTCACGATTACCCCCCTAGCACGGTTAACAACCATCGCAGCATTCCAAACCCGCGTTTGTCTATTATCAGCGAGACGCGCCCAGGATCAACCCGAGAGGCATCGCCATCACATTCAAATGTCCCCGAAAAGCCCAAGCGGTATGGCCCGCGGCCAACCTTTTGGTTGGATGTCCTATCTCCAACAGATGCGGAGATGCGTGTCATTGCCAAAGCATTTGGCATTCACGCCCTGACAGCGGAGGATATCATGATGCAAGAAGCTCGCGAGAAAGTAGAGCTTTTCCGCAGCTACTACTTTGTCAACTACCGTACCTTCGAACAGGATCGCAACAGCGAAGACTACCTTGAGCCTGTCAATATGTACGTGGTGGTCTTCAGGGAGGGTGTGCTATCCTTCCATTTCTCACAGACGCCCCATCCTGCCAACGTGCGTCGACGAATCCGCCAGCTTATGGACTACCTAATCCTCAGCTCGGACTGGATTTCCTACGCCTTGATTGATGACATCACTGATGTGTTCGGTCCCTTGATTCAAGCGATCGAAGATGAAGTAGACGAGATTGATGAGAAGATTATGCAGATGCACTCTTCCCACAAGGAAGATTCTTCCGATAACGTGCCCCCCTCTTTTGCGCCGGGTGAGATGCTGCGGCGCACTGGTGAATGCCGCAAGAAGGTCATGGGCTTGTATAGGCTACTCAGTAATAAGGCGGATGTCGTAAAGGGCTTTGCTAAGCGATGCAATGAACAGTGGGAGGTGGCCCCCAAGTCGGAGATAGGATTATACTTGGGGGACATTCAGGATCATATTATGACTATGACCGGAAACTTGACGCACTATGAGACGTAAGTACTCATCTCGTTGCCTTTACAGGATACCACCTTTAGCACTGGATTTTCGAGACTGACAAGTTCATATAGGATTTTGTCTCGTGCGCATTCCAATTACCTGGCACAAATCAACATTCTGATGAACGAGCGCCAGGAGCAGACTGCTGATGTTCTCGGTAAATTGACGGTTCTTGGTACAATCGTCCTGCCGATGAATATTATCTGCGGTATGTGGGGTATGAACGTGAAGGTGCCTGGGCAGGATATCGATAATTTGTGGTGGTTCTGGTCTAGTAAGTTTTTCCGTGCTTCACCTCAACTGGGAGTCATATGAATCTAACGAATCACAGTTACTGCCGGCTTACTCTTCTTTGGCCTTGCCTCGTTCTTAATTGCCAAACGGGTGTACAAGATTGTATAAATGGGCATCGGCTCGTGCCTCGTTTGTGTGAGGATCTATCTCACTTATTTTCAGCCGATGATCTATTTTGCCTCGTCTGTGGCTGATTTTCCTGCTTCTGTACCCCTCAATGTCTGATTTTCTTCGTATATGATGATTGCCAGTTTAGCACTTGGGCCTACATAAGCGTGTGAAGGCATCTGATTTTAGCCTTGGTATGGGTTGTGATTATACACAGGTGGTTCATGTTTTTACTTTGTGATTCCTGTTTTTGGTACTCACAGTGTACGCATTGTACATAAACTTAATGCTAGAATTGTACAGTAAGCTTCTCTTCTATCTACATAGGATGAATGATTACTCTTTACATCTATGCTCTAAGTGATCACATAGATCAAGGACCCGAGACAGGAGTACTGAGACCAATATTGAAAGCACTATAATTGGTTCAGAGACCCGGCAAATAATCGGCAAATACTCTAGTCGATGGCTTGTTTCAATACCGACTCCCTGTAGCGTGGCTTCCTGTAGCGTGGCTTATGTGTAAGATTGAGTTCAAGCCCAAGGCTGGTAGTGAGCTGGCGTCCCCAGTGGCTAGTATCTTGAATGATAACTCGGTAAACTCCGGCGTTTCCCCTCACCATCACCGGAGGCTAAAAAATTGGGGGTTGTCCAATTGAGGAGATATCTAGCCTTTGGTGGATCTGCAGTGGTCTTGTCTCTCACCTATAGTGGGGAAGCTTTCTTGTGTCAGGTCAGCGTCCCTCTCTTGCTCAGAACGATCTAGTATGCCCCCGGTAACGCAAGACTGGACCCAAGTAGAAGTTTGAAATTAACTCACTAATCGTGTGATGCCTGTTGAGTAGTCCGTCAAACAGTATATATCCTATCTAGCCCTCTGCCACTCGCTATATCGAACCTTTCACCCAGCCTCCTTCCCTATCTATCTATCATTATTCTAGACAATGGGCGGCCCCGCATTAAATCCAGAGTCGCCGTTGACGGTCGGTGCTATGGGAAGTAGGGGCACTGGCTTAGCTTGGCTCTCTAATTCCGGTATTGTCAAGCTGAACTTGATGCTGGTTTTGTTCCAGGTCTCGAGTTATGCGACGGGGTATGACGGGTCTATGATGAACGGGCTGCAGTCGTTGACTACATGGAAGAATTCTTTTAATAACCCTGGAGCTTCAGAGCTTGGTCTGTGAGTTATACCTCCTGACAGTGCTTTCGTATCTCCTACCGACAATTGTCGAAGGGAAATATTCAAACACAAATACTCACCATCATGCATCCAGCCTCAATGCGATCCAAAATGTCGGACAACTGATCACAATGCCCGTCTGCGCAATCAGCTGTGACAAGTTCGGCCGTCGCCCAGTCCTTTTTGTCGGCGCCTTCATTCTCCTGATTGGCGTGGCCCTTCAAGCTGCAGCACAGAATGTCGGCATGTTCATCGCTGCTCGAGGAATAATCGGCATGGGACTCGTCCTCAATATCACAGCCGCGCCCCTACTTCTGTTAGAGCTGGCTTTCCCCAGACAGCAAGGTCCGCAGGTAGCTATCTACAATAGTTTGTGGAATCTAGGTGCCTTAGTTGCCGCCTGGATTACCTATGGCACCTTTCGCATCGAGAACACTTGGGCGTGGCGGATCCCCTCGCTTCTTCAAGGCCTTTCCAGTGTGATTCAACTGGGTCTCTGCTTTTTGATTGAGGAATCACCGCGATGGTTACTCAGTAAAGAGCGTGACGAAGAAGCAAGAAAACTCATTTGCAAATACCATGCCAATGGCGACGATTCGGACCCACTGGTCACGATGGAGATGGAAGAGATTCGTACGGCTCTTCAACTCGAGATGGAAGCGAGGCGTAATACCTCTTACCTTACCTTCTTTGAGAATAAGGGCAACCTCAGACGCTTTTTTATCATCATTTCAGTGGGATTCTTCTCGCAATGGAGTGGTAATGGTCTGATATCATATTATTTAACGTTGATTCTTGACTCTATCGGTTATACGGCGGAAAGCGCCCAGACTCTGATTAATGCTCTACTTACTCTGTGGGGTATGATCTGGAGTCTTTTATTTGCTTTCGTTATGAACCACTTCGGGCGACGCACGCTCTTCCTCATTTCGACCGCTGGTTGTCTGGTTGTCTATATCGTCTGGACAGCCCTCGAGGCCACTTACGAAATGAGAACAGCACTAGATGGAACGGGAAGTGACAGCTATGCAAAGGGAGTGTTGGCTATGATCTTCCTTTACAGCTTCTTCTTCTCCATAGGCTGGACTCCTCTTCAAGTCACATATTGCATCGAGATCTTGCCATTCGACCTTCGAGCCCGTGGCCTCGTACTTTACAATCTCTGCGTGGCAGTTGCTGGTATCTTCAACCAATATGTCAACCCCACCGGGGTCACCAGCAGCAAGTGGAGATACTACATCACCTATGACGTTTGGCTGGCAGTTGAGCTCGTGGTGGTTTACTTCCTCTTTGTGGAAACCGGGAATCTCAGTCTTGAAGAGACTGCTGTTATCCTGGATGGCGAGGAATATGAAAACAGGCTCATTGGCGCCACCGCATCTGTGGCCGAGAAAAAGCTGGGTGCCAAAGGAAATACCCGTGTCACCGTTGAGACCAAAGAAACCTCGGAAAAGTAAACCCGTACTTTAGGTGGATATCCAGCCCGCAAGGGGAAATTGCGATATCGCAATGGCATGATGTATTTAGCTAGCGTCTTCGTCGGATGAGAGAATTGAGAAATGCGCGTATGTACCGATATCTACAGAATTATTATGTTATGACGGACTGCTGAACCCCATCTAATGTCCCAAGTGCGGGGAAGTGGGCACCCGATACACCGCAGTGGATCAAGAAGGCTGTGTTATTGACGGAAAAAGTATGGATATTTAAGATCTCCGGGTTGACCGGCCATGGCCGGCCATTTAGCCGATATTTTGCCGATAAAGTATACCTGGTAGATATCCATAAAGTGGTGGTGCGGAGTTACATGTATGATGTATACCCCAACACAGTCTGGGTGTTCATTTTGAATTCCATTCTGCGAGGCGAAAAACACTAGTGGAAAATCTTGGATCATCATCTCGCACAGATGAGATTGAACAATATTATCCGCTGTGCAGTTGCCAGCGGCATTCTGGCATCCTCCGCATCGGCTGCTCAGATCACCAAGAGCTTGTCTAAGAGTAAGACACCAAGTATTCATTGTATTGGATGGATTTGTGTTGATTGAAATCTGATTAGATGCGCAAGACCTCTTTGACTGGTCAATGCGTGTGAATGACCTACGTTGGGATGATTCGTACAACTATGTCTGGTATTCCGACAATGGTCCTTGGTCAACTCGCTTCACGGCGTGGTATGTTGCAGGACTACTGTTCCGTAACAAAGGGCAAGATGTGTCCAATGCGAAAGCTGCTATTGAAAACATGTCAGTGGCTTACAAACCCGAAACACCATTGATAGCAAGTGATTGACTCATGCCTCATTGTTCATGCCCTACAGCTTGACCTGCCAAATGACCGAGAGCTACGAGTCAGCCTGGTATGGCACATTCAAACTTTCTCCTGATGAGCCGTATCCGACTCCAGATTCAGAGCTGTACCCACCAAAGATTTACGTATGTTCTTGATAGATCAGTGCCCAGCAGGGCTATTATCTCGAACATCTATCTGATTGGAATCCACCACAGGACACGTATGATCCAAACTGGAGAGAGTTCATTGGAACACAGTTGGTACAGATCGTGGAAGAATTCTCTGGTCTACTTGGTGATAGCCTTGTAAAACGCATCGAGGACAGCCTGGAGATTGCGGCTGTGGGCTCTATGCGACGGAATGGATCATACCCCGAGGGTGACAATTTGACACCAGCATACTCTAACCCAGCCCTCATGCGTTCTTGGTACGTCTCTTGGATAGGTGAGCGTCGCAATAATGAGGTATGTAATAAACGCCACCAAATGAAAAATCTGGCTAGAATTCCAGACATAGATTAGAACTAACATGATACATCTCAGACCTTCATAAAGTACGCCAATGACCAGGCCGACACTATCTTGGAGCTTTTCCAATCCACTGGCTCGAATGTGCTTTCTGAGTACAATGCACCGACGTACTATGGAATGGATACCTGGGCACTTGCTGGAGCCATCAAATATGCTCCTGAAAATGCTACAATAGTTAAAACCTCAAAGGTTATGTTGACTGACATGTGGGCTGACATTGCCGCTCACTATAACCCTTATCTTTCCGTGATATCCGGACCGGTATGATCTCTTTCCCCATTACAGACAAGTAAAGGATTCCTGACAGATTTATGTTCAACAGTACGATCGTGCGTACACGCGCGACATGGTCACAAACTCCGCAGTTGTCGACTACTTCTGGTGGGGTCTGTACGGCTACGGCACTGGCCCGCAGCCAAACAAACTCGAGTCGGACCTGCTATACGACGTCACGCAAGGCTCAGCCCTGGCTCTTGTTATAGACGTGGTTGCAGCACATATTTCCAAAAATGACTCTGCTTGGCTTCAGTCTCAAGGAGACTGGAGCGGAGAGCGCCTGATCACCAAGAAAGTCCCTGATGCACTAGGCCCCGACGCAGAGGTTCGAGTTATAACCTCGTGGATCAGCTCAACTCTCATGATTGGCGCTGAGCAGGTCAATGAGACCGTCAACCGTGGCCAGCAATACGTTCCGGCGATTGTTCAGTGGGCTGGTGATAGGAACCACAAGCCGCACCCGTATATGACGTTCTTCAGCTTGTATCCGACTGCATCGACTATTGATGCTGTTGCAGGACCTAATAGTCTGGAGATCTCTTATCCTAATACCACACAGGACGGTACGAATATCTTCACCTTTGCACTTGCACAGGTTCCCCCTAGTTGGACCTTGACCAAGAAGAAGGTTGTGAGTGGTCTTGAAGATCTACCTTGTCTCGACGTCACGGTCAGTGCTGAGGGCTTGGTGAAGCAGCCAGTCATTTATGGTGCCACACTTGAGGATAATCTGTTTTACAATATCTCCTATGTTGTACCTTCTGGCTTTGAGGGAACACCAAAGGTCTCGTTCAAGTTCGAGTATACCTGTTAGGGGAGGATGGATTCGAGTGAGCATCGAGGGGGAGGTTTCATGTCTATACGTGAGCAATCAATCGGTGGTTGAAAGTAATCTAATGCCCTCTTCAGCTTGCTACTTCTCAGCCAACAAGTAACCGGAGATAGCTATGCTGAGAGGCAAATTCTTCATTAGCATGTCTCTTATCCGTCGCTGTTGACCGGGCCGAAAGCGGGCCATTTATTCGAAAGGCTAATTGTTATACTTTTGCTCTATCTTTCTGGGTCAAGGGTGGCATGTTCATATGAAAGAAATTTACCCTAGACTTGGCGCGTAAACCCAAGAAACCATCCATCCAGAAATCGATGGCATGTGGAAAATTACGAGTAGGCAAGTTAATCACAGTCAGTCAAGGCGGCCAATTGGTTCAAATTCTCTATAATCGGTATAGTATTCACCACAGCTGGAGTACGTATCGGGGAGCCTCCATTGATAATCTCCTTTTTTTCTTTAGTCAATATTCTACTTGTAACCAAGCCCAACAAAAGGAATTGACCACTTTTAACCTACCCTATGACTGAATAGGGCAAGTGAAACCCCTCAAAGATAACAGAGCAAAAGAATCCAGGGGAAAATTACCCGAAGATGTTTGCCGAGGTTCTCCGTGCGCTTGTCTCGATCTGGCACCACCGACGAAAGTGTAGCTTCAGAAATCGGTGGATTGGAGGTGGCACGTGGTGCCACAAGGTCTATTTGAGCCAAGCAATTGTCCTTTGATATCACCGAGGATCTGGCGAGATTGCCCCTTTCAAGAGCTATCGCCGGAGGGTACCGTACTAGGTAGACGTGGCTGATAGACCTTCTGCAATTCCCCCGCACTGCCCAGTTAGTCGGGCTGAATATTTATTAGACCTAGAAGACCTTATGCTAGACTGTCAAATCTACTATTTCGTCGTGTTTCTGAGAAATAGGATTTAGAAAAGCACACGGCAAGGCTATCGGCCGATGATTAGACCGAGTTTCCGGACAATTTCAACTTTAACCGATAGAAAAACGTAGAGTACTTAGTAGACTCGTATCTCTATGCAACACCGGCGCTCCCCACTACCCCCGCTAACTGATTCTACAACTTTGTAACATTGGGCCCGCATCGAATCTCCATTGGTGGGGGTTTGTGTTCAATTTAGGCGGGGGTAGCTGTGTCAATCGGGCAAGTTCCTTATTACAAGTAGGTCAATTCCTAATTTACTAATACTCTCTGGTCCTCCTGCACTTCGACAATTCTCATGCCCCTATTTGCAACTGTTCCGTTCAAATAGTGCATCGAGTCTTCCGCGAGTATTAACAAGTGGTGACTTTTACACACTTTACTACTTATTCCTTTCGAGCTCCTTCCGATCATGTCGTTTCCCACAGCTCGACCTGACTGGAACAATCTCAAAATCCTTCACAAGAACACGCTCCCCCCACGAGCACACTTTTACTCCTACGGCTTCGAGGAAAAGGCTCTTACATTTGACCGCAAGAATAGTGAATATGTGTCCCTCAATGGTACCTGGAAGTTCCGCCATGATACTTCACCTTACGAGGCACCGGAATGGTCATCTGTCAATCCTTTGACGTGGGACGACGTTAAAGTTCCGGGAATGTGGCAGCTACAAGGATATTCCCACCCAACGTACACCAATGTCAACTACCCATTCCATGTTACTCCGCCCGAAGTCCCGATTCTCAATGAGACAGGATCTTACTGGAGGCAGTTCGTGACACCACCTTCGTGGGATGGACAGCAGATTCGCATCCGATTCGAAGGCGTCGATAGTGCGTTTCATCTCTGGGTTAATGGGACGGAGGTTGGATACTCTCAAGGATCGCGAAACCCCAGTGAATTTGATATCACGGCTCTACTTGAATCGGCTGGCTCAGTAAACACCCTTGCAGTGCGTGTGTATGAGTTTTGTGATGGTTCGTATATCGAGCGACAAGATCAGTGGCTTCTGAGTGGTATCTTCCGCGACGTTGGCCTCTTAGCTTTCCCGAAAGACTCAATCGTGGATTTCGATGCGGTTGTTACACTCAGTGAGGACCTGTCTTCGAGTGAGCTCCTCACTAGTGTAAAGACACAGGGTGAAAGTAGCACCGTCGAAATCAAACTCTACCGGCCTGATGGCACACTCCTTGAAGAGTCCAGCTTTCCGTCGACGGAATCAAAAACCCTGCACGTGTCTGGTGATGACTTGAAGTTATGGTCAGCTGAAGATCCCATTCTTTACACTTTACTTCTCTCCTTTCAAGGCCGAACTATTCCACAGCGCATTGGCTTCCGACGTGTTGAGCGAAAGGGCGGCAATTTCCTGGTGAACGGCAGACCGATCATCCTGTACGGCATGAATCGACATGAACACCATCATCTGTACGGGCGCGCCGTGCCGTATGAGAGCATGCGTGCAGACCTCATTCTGATGAAAAAGCATAACATCAATGCTCTCCGATGCAGTCACCAACCCAATGATCCAAGGCTCTACGAAGTTTGTGATGAGCTGGGCCTCTATGTCATCGCTGAGGCCGATCTGGAGACGCACGGCTTTGACCCAGTCGAACGGTCCAACATTCCTAATCAGCATCTCATGAGCGAGTATGAGATCCAGGAGACGTCTTACAAGATGGCCACTAAATGGACCTCTGACAATCTCGAGTGGAAAGACGCTTATCTTGATCGGGCTGTTCAACTTGTTCAGCGGTTCAAGAATTATTCTTGCATCATTTTCTGGTCACTTGGTAACGAGGCGTTCTATGGTCAGAATCATGCAAGCATGTACAAGTGGATCAAGGAAGCTGATCCGACCCGTCTCGTGCACTATGAGGGTGACAGAGATGCCATCTCTGCTGATATGTACTCGACAATGTACTGGAGTGTGGACGCCCTCAAGCAACATGTTATCGACAAGCCTGACAAGCCAATGATTCAGTGCGAGTATGCTCATGCTAGTAAGTCTCGGCTTGAAACTTGCTTCTTTGTTCACGCCAACTGACTGCTTTTATAGTGGGCAATGGTCCGGGTGGGTTGAAAGAATACATCGAAGCCTATCGTACTGAGCCGCTTCTGCAAGGTGGTTTCATCTGGGAATGGTGCAACCATGGCCTTCTTAAGCGGCAGGGTAATCTTTCATACTATGCGTATGGTGGTGACTTTGGTGACCAGCCGAACGACGCAGACTTTATCCTTGATGGAATGGTCTTTTCCGATCACACCCCTACCCCTGGACTGACCGAGTATAAGAAAGCCATCGAGCCAGTCACAATTACTCTTAAAGACGGTCAGCTAGAAGTCGTGAATCACTACGACTTCAGCACCCTTGACCATCTGTCAGTTTCGTGGCACATTGTCAAGGAGTCGGGGAACACAGAGCCGGTACCATGGCAGCTACCTGAGATCAAGCCCGGCGAGTCAAAGCTGGTTGCCCTCCCAGAGGGTGTGAGTCTTGGATCTAAGCCTTATTGGTTCACTGTCAACTTCTCCCTCAAGGATGCCACAGCGTGGGCACCACAGGGACATGAGGTCGCATGGGCTCAAGTCCCATTGTTTGAAAAGCAAAAATTTACACTTTCGTCTCCAAATCCTTCGTCTCTTCCACTCATTGTCAGCGAAGGACCAGGCAGGCTCTACATCAACTCAGACAACTTTGCGTCTCACTTTACCTACGATCTGGTGCGAGGCAATTTGTCCTGGTCCACCGAGTCTGGCAAGGTGTTCAACAGCGGACCCCAGCTGGGAATCTACCGTGCATTGACTCAGAACGACATCGGTGCCGGCGGTCCCTGCGCCGAATGGAAGCGATTCCGCGTTGAAAGCTGTCGCATGCTCGTCCAATCCTCAACCTGGAACGTCAATGATGATGGAAGCGTCTCAATTACAACCAAAGTCCGAGTCGCACCCACCGTCCTAGAATGGGCCATGGTAGCCGATCTCAGTTACACGATCACCGAGTCTTCCGTCCACCTCCATGTCAAGGGTGATTTCACTGGCACATACCCGAAAGAAATCCCCAGGATTGGTCTCACCGTCCGCCTACCCCGTAGCTATGAAGCCGCTACATGGTTCGGCAGAGGCCCCGGCGAGTCATACCGTGACAAGAAGACTGCCGCTCGCTTTGGAACATATACATCCACCCTTGACACCGGTCTCCATACACCATACGAGTGGCCGCAGGAGAACGGTAACCGCACCGATACTCGGTGGGTTCGTGTCCACGCTTCGGCCGCAGAGCACGCTTATTCTGCCTCCGCGGGTGCAAATGCGCCCTTGCCAGCAATTGAGGCGAGAATGGATACGCCTTTCAATTTCTCGCTTAGCAAGTATGCGATCGAGGAGCTGGATCGTGCGAAGCACCCGCATGAGCTTTCGGAGTTGGATGGCGAGACGGAGTTTAATGTTGATTTTGCGCATCATGGAATTGGGACCGGTAGTTGTGGGCCGGGTCCGTTTGAAGGGAATAGATTGGAGGCTGGGCCGTTCGAGTTCAGTACTATGTTCCGGTTGATTGATGGGAAGGCTGAGTGAGGTGCTTGAATGATTGGGAGTTTGTTGCTGGCTGATGAAGTGGCTGAGACTGCTCGGGATAGATAGAATGAGAGCCTCGAGTTGAAGGATATTACATAGCATGCATCAAAGCAGATTGAGTTGATTATGTCTAACTGTTGATTTGCGATCCTTCTCTTTGTCCGGTCCAGGATGTACGTATTATTAACCTTGGCTGGGGTATTCGTTGTCGATAATTGATCGGTAGGTCGTCTAACATAATGGACCATCATCCGCTAGGTTTGAACCCAATAAAAATATTTCGGTCACTTCTCCTACGATTGGCCTAAGTTTCTAGTCTTTCTATGAATACTTTTTGACACTGGTCGTATAGAACTTGATAGAATGGTACCTATTGTACCCTTTTTCTTGATTCCCGGGGCAAGATCCGGCCAATCGTCGCCGAGTTCCCTCCTTGGAGTCTATCCTTCAAGCCAGAGGTAGATTGCAGAACTTTGCGTTTGGAGTTCACGCTAGGAGTCGATGCTTCAAATCTTCCCTTCTCTTCCATTCTCTCGACAGAAGCTGCACTATTGATCAAAACGGCGTCACCACCTAGGGGTCAACACATCACGAGATCATATGTCTATGCTCACGTGTCTATACTATATGTGATCTGCGATGCGTACTTCTCATAGCCTATAGGGGTCAATAACCCAATGCCGGAGACAAATATACTAACCCTTAGTGGAGTTCTCCCTTGAGGAACCGTAACAATTCATAACTTCTCCATACTTAATCTATTATTGTCAGAACTTACCAACGCCACAATAATTAGTATATTGACAAACTATCATGCTGTGGTCGGCAAGGCTCGCTTCCAAATTGGGGGAACTTCCGTTCAATTATTTAAGCCCATAAAAGCCGATGACCTCACCATGACCCAGTCATTTAAACGGGTATTGCCGTGACACTCCGTACCGAGCTATGGCCAGGGCCAGACCCCTGTTTGGTATTACCATCATGTGTCATCTTCCGTCTTGCCAAATTCCCCCAGCTTCTTCGGCTGTTCTTCTCAACGTCTTTCCGTCTTCCATCCGATCCAAGTCCTTCCCCCTCTTGCTCCTCCTCTCTCGCTTCCTCCGCATAGTCTCGGTGTTCCCTCCTGTCTTCTTCCCATTGCGTGACCGGGAACATCCCTTCTAGACCGTCAGCCGCGTGCTCCCCTGCAGTGCAAGGCCCGCCCCTTCCATCTTGACGTGGGCCACGATCATTGGCTTCTTTCTGTGCCCGGCCCTGGCTCTCCACCTGTCAGCCACTGTTCACCCGAGGTCTTGGACACCGACATCTCTGCAGGCGCTTTTTGAGAACCAGGCATACGCCACACCATCTCCTCACTTTCCATGGACGTTGGACACAAAACAAGTCTTTAGCCCAAACGTTGAGCCGGATCTGCGGTCCCTCTCGTCTCTGAGTTCCGCCAACCATAATTCTTGATCCTGCCTCGACCGGTTCTAGGCGCTCTTGTTTTGTCTAAGGCCCTCCCCCACCCCCCGAGAGAAACAAAGCATCAGCCCAGAGATGGCTGTCGTGCTTTTGTGATCGTCCGACCGTTTCTAAACAAACCATTCCCGTCCTCGTTACCTCTCTCCCATTTTTACGCACAACAGCACCTCTCTCCCCCCCCCGGATCGCCTATACAATCCCTGCAACCCCCGAACTTGCAGCATACCTCCTCAACTCTCCCATCCCCCCGTCGTTCCCGCCCCAGGGGTCTCCATTTCCCGACTAACAGCATGTGGATTTCGGCTATTCGCTTGACTGCACCACTCGTGTAACGACCCGTACTTCCCTGCGCAACATTTCGTTCGACATCCTGCGACCTTTTCATTCGCTCTTTGTTGCCAACAACTCATTCTTTTTACACCGATAGCCTACCCTGTACGGTGTTCGTGCCTTGCTTTTTTTCATTTCCCTCTTTGGGACGTGCCTGGAACTCATTTCGGACATCGTTCCTGCCCAACTTGTGAGGCTACCTCTCGGGTCTGCTGACTTGTGCGCATCGTGTCAGCATATTCTGGCTCGATCGAGACCATGGCTGCGGAGTCCGAGAGGCCGCCTTACCTTAATGGTGCTTCTGGGTCCAAAGGAACCAAGGAGTCAGAGGCGGCATCGGACACGGCGCAACGGTTGGCTGGAGTCAACAATGACATGATGGAGGTGCCTCGTCCGACCATTCAAACACATGGACAGGCCATGTCTCAAGTACCCAAACTGCTTCCTAATCTTCCCATCTATTCCGCCCCGACGTCCACTTGCAACTCCGCCGTCTCCTCTCGCGAATCCTCCCCTGTCCGAACCTCTTCGCGCATCGCCAATTCTCCTTCCACCAGCCGAGTGTCTTCGCAGACCCGAAAGGGTAATCAAGACCGTGCGAGCCCAACTCGAGCCCCCAGCAACGGCCATCCCTCCAGTCGAACCGTACCACCTTCTTCTGGCCAGCGCTCTTCGCCAGCACCCCAAACCAACCATCCGCCTGTCCTCTCCCCTCCTGCTGCTCCCGAACCACCAGCCAATGTTCCAAGTCCGGAAAAGCACAATATGCCAACATGGGCGGGGAATCGACGTATCGATCAAGAATCGACTCCACCGAATACTTCACAGAAACGAACCTCTCCTACGCCGTCGGAGGATCATGGCAAGGTCGACCGAAGCACCCCTCGGCCCACGACGAGAGTCGTCCCTGGACAAGGTCCCTCCCTGGAGACGGTTCAGGAAATGGCCAGCAATCCATCCACTCCGTCCAGTGACACTGCTCTCCAGCCAACAACCCCGGACGACGCCCGATTACACACAATCGATGAAGACCCAACTCCTCGAGCCTCCAGGCAGAATACAGAAAGTGGCAGTGACAGCGGCGGTGGCCCAAGTTCGAGGGAGGAAAGTCACTCTCACACCGCAGGCACGGTCAAAATGCCGGGGACTATCATGCCGAAGCGATCATCGACTTCACTCAGTGCTGGTGCGCGAGCGAAGCCTACGGACGGCTCGGTCCGCAACATGATTGTGGAGACGGAAACCGTGAGCTCAATTCCACAGGTATCGTTGGGTGTTGCCACTGGAGAGCGAGGCAGCACTAGTCGAGCCGAGCAGGGCACCCTACGGATGAAACCTTCCACGGAGACGATCCGACCCCGCAAAGAGAAGAAGAAACACCGGCGCGCCAATCCCCTCACTACTGGGCCCGGAACCAGTAAGGCGGACATTTTCGAGGCCAAGGTGGCCAGTGCCGTGGATGAAGCCGATGTTTCTGACTCTGACGAGACTTTTGTTTACGAGTCCAATCCTCCTGACCCATATCCCCCTCGCCAATCGCGATATCACTCTCGAACGCCTAGTGCGACATCCATGGCAAGTCAAGTCGACCAGCTGGCTGGTCGTGCTCGTGGCGCTATCCGTGACGGCTCGCATAGCGTTACTGTGAAACGCAGCATGAAATTTACAAACAATACATACAATAGCAGTTTGGATGGTGAAGCTGCGGATGCCGATGGAAGTCGAAACGCCGGCCGGGTCGAAGGGAGCGGCACTATAACACCCCGTCACCATCATGTTGGGCGCCATGGACGCAACGGGGCTTACCCGTCGCTCTTTGATAATGATGGGCCGTTCCCTCAACCCCAAACGCAATTGAAGTCGCCACGACACTTTATTGGCAGCGGATATCGCCATTCTCGAAACAGCAATACGCGATCCTCGCCCAACTATAAGACCATTGCAAACAAAAAGGCCGGCGATGTATACGACTTTGATGCCGAGGGTGCTGATGATGAGCGCACACCATTGGTAGGTGCAGCGCGGGTTACGCGTAGCCGCCATGGGCGACGACCCAACAGTGCTAGCCTACGGCAGATGGAGTATATGGCGCAACGGCAACGGGGTTGCTTCTCTCAATATGGCTCTTGTGCTATAATTCTCTTCCTCTTGCTCATTATTGCTGGGGGTGCAGCTTCCTTCATTACCGCAGCGACCAAGACACTTCTCGACGTGCAGGTTGTTGCCATTCAAAATGTTCTGGCCTCTGAGCAAGAGATTATGCTGGATCTTCAGGTCGAGGCGATGAACCCTAACATCTTCCCGGTGACGATCGAGGACGCTGATGTGAACATCTTCGCCAAGAGCCGATATGTCGGCACAGAAAACACTTGGCAAAAGCAATCCTCGGGTGCAGAGCTTTACCGGACCCCCCGAGTCCAACAGAGTCGACGCCGCTGGTACTTGTCTCAGCTAGTCCGGTGCCTTGGAAATGCAGATTGCGTCGAGGAAGCCAAGAACGGCAACTCGAAGGGGCATAATGACGGTGGTATCGACAAAGGCACTGATCCCATCAGTGATCCTGAGGGTGATCCACAAACCATGCTCTTGGGCCGCGTCTTCCGGTTTGACTCGCCTCTCTCTTTCGAGGCGTCTCCCTGGGGTCACTTGGTTTCTACCTCCAAGGGTCAGATTCGGCTTGCTCGACCTGGAAACAAGACTGAATCAGGCGGTACGGAGCGCTGGGAACGTGTTCTTCAGCATCCGTTCGACCTGATCGTGCGGGGCGTGGTTAAGTACCAGCTCCCACTTAGCGCGCGTTTCCATTCCTCCTCCATCAGTTCCACTGTCCGTGTTGTCCCCAACGACGACGACGAATCTACGCCTAGCAATGAAACAGCGCCTCACCTCTCCCTCACTAGGGAAACTACTCCCTCCTCCGGCCGCCTCATCGCGGAACCCGATGCCCAATTCTAGCGTCATACGGGAGTACCTCAAGGACAGTTTACGGCATAAAACAAAAATTCTGGAGTACCTCTTTTTATTTCCAACATTTTAGCGATAGATTGATGTCCATCACGACAGCACTCCCCATTTTTCATTATAATCCTTCTACATTCTATTTCTTTGTTCAGCGTAACGAGACGAAAACGATCCACCAAAGCCTTTATCTTAGGTCTTGTCTTGTCTCTTTGCCTTGCGACGCTGTATACCCATTCGCGATGTCGCTGCTATTGCTGATTTCGTCAAATGGCTCGCGGTTATGCAGGATCTGAGTGTTGTCTCTCAGAATCCCTGCGCAGCCATGCCCCTTTTCCAACACATACCTTTTTCCTCCGGTCTTCGACTGCTATCTGTACAAATTTCTCGTGTTAGCGCGGATCGGATTGAGTTACTATTTTTCACGATCTGAGCAGTGGGAATTTTTCCTTCCTATTCCCCTGCTTGTTCTGGCTGTCAGCCGTTTCCTTGCTTCTTTCCCTTCATGGAAATGTATCTATATTGTCTTATTTGATGCATCTTTTATATAGATGTAATGATAACGAACACTGGGAATGACTGAGCTTTCACTTGATTTTGTCTATATCTGAATGTCTTTGTAGTCATTGCACAGCGTAGTGAAGCTTATTACGTGCTGAGTTGGGGGTGGAGGATGTGGCTATCTGTTTAGACCTGACCAGGCTCCTGACAATTAAGATTATACCTAGCAGCCTTCACCAGCGCTTATAATCAATCATAGGGTCTTCGCCGTCACTTATAAAGATAATCGGTGACTCTATACTTTACAAGCGAATCTCTTTCTAGTTCTATATACCCCGCACAGGGACTAAGTGATTGAGGTAATTACCCAGGAGGTTAGCTAGAAGATTGATGCGGGCATCAACTAGGAGAATATCTGGGAAACCGTCCATGAAACTATCTAGGAGGTAACACCTCGACGGGTTATATTAAGTACTAGTTCGACAATATCACCGCTAAGGACTCGATTGCGCATCAATTAGAACCACAGGATCATAAGCGTAAACGGGCTTCGGGGCTTAGCCCCCCGTCTTCGTCGCAATCGTAGGATTGATGGGATTCAATCAATCATCTACAAACGAAGATTCCGCTCTCTGCACGCCCAACACATGTCGCATTTACTGCCAATGACGATGAATTGCTCTTGGCCACAGAAAATGGATCTCAGATCTCCGTCTTTGAAACATCAAGCCTCGCACAAGGCAATGCGCAACCGGCCTTGTCGGCCCTGTCGTCTTTTCCAATAGCTATGCAAATACCTGGTGGAAGACACGACATCGACTTCGCTGAAATCTCTCGAGTTCTAATTCTGCCTACCCATCAGGAGATTGTCAGCAGCGACTCAGGATATCTACCGTCTGCCAACTTTTTCTAGCCACATATTCTCGCCGACCCGTTGCAGAGATACATTGACTCGACATTCCGTCTCCTACGGCACGATACCTTGGGCTCGTCCCAGAAGGCCATACCATGCCAGGGTACTCTGATGAGGCCCCTCATTATCGCGCCCCGATCAATAATCCCACCGCTCCTGTCCTGGCCAGCCCACAAGGTTCATTAGATTGTCTATGTGGGGTCGCCTACGATAGCGAGGATGTGGAGTAGAAGCAGTCCGAATGGAATATACTCCGAATCCTAAAGTCAGACCTGAGTTGTGGCCCCTGTTTCCTGGGTCATGTTCAATGCACCGCCACAGGCCTGTTCACGGGCCACCAGGTGAGTTGAAACAGATTGTTGTAGGCGCCCACGACCTTCTTCCAACTCCTTCCCTCTCGCAATGGTCTGGCAACCAGAGCCGCTGCCTTTAACCAGCAACTCGCTTCCTGAATCCCCCTTACCGACCAAGGATAAAATTCGTGCTTGCACAAATATTCTATTTGACCGCATATACAAGGTAGTCGCAATAAATGACGGGATCGTGGTGAAATTCGGCCGCGGCGTCCAAGAATACGAGGGCCAGGTCCTGAAATTTCTCGAGCGTCATGTCCCCACAATTCCAGCGCCTCGACTGTACGCTATGTATAAGGACACCGAGACGTTTGAAACGTTCCTGGTCATGCAGCGCATCCCAGGCGAGCGGCTAGACGCAATTTGGCCATCATTGGCCGAGGACGAGAAAGACGATATTATCGATCAACTACAGCAAATATTCGATAATCTCCGACAGGTTCCGTGTCCCAAGCCTGATTTCTATGGCGGTCTGGATGGCCGCTGTCTTCACCACTACCTGTTTCATAACCGGAGGGGCGGCTTGCCGGGATCCTTAGGACCCTATATCGGGAAAGCAAACTTCGTCGCGGGCATGGTTGGGAATTACCGCGCGCATATTGAACAGAACCGGAGGCCGGGCTTTAAGGTCCGCTACTACAAAGAACATCTGCCGAGTCTCCTCAAGGGGCATCGGCCGACGCTGACGCACGGAGATGTCCAGCAGAAAAACATTATGGTCGCAGAGAATAGTAGTGGTCGTAATGCGCAGGGGAGACGGTCGTTTGATGTTGTGCTGATAGACTGGGCGGAAGCTGGGTGGTATCCTCAATACTGGGAGTTTTTTGTTGCATCCTCCCCTATTGCATTCATGTACTGGGATAATGACTGGTGTTTACGAATCCAGCAATTCCATGAGGTTTGGCCGGCGGAACAGGCCGTGATGCGGATGGTGGACAGGGATGCTGGTCTGTGATATTTCAAAAGCTTAGGATAATACACATAAACGTCTTGTGTTGACAAAACAAGCACACTAACTAACTAGCCAATCAACTTGATGACTACATTTGAATAACAAAATATCCGAAAGATCTTCTCCCGCCTTATATCCAGACATCCATAGACCTGAAGCAAACCAGAACCTAGTACACGTCTCTAGGAGTGTGTAGTGCGTAGAATGCTAGCATTAATCAACGCGGGGATGGCCAGCTGATGCGTCCATTCATTACACTTAATTATCGATCGCCGCTGCTCCCCAGGCCCATACGGTTCCCCATTTTCTTTGGTTTAGATGTACTCATGGTAACCAGATGACGGGCCCTTTCCCCAGAAGTTCAATCCAGCAGTGCGGCTATCGTCGGAGCATATGAAAGAACAGAGAGGTAGAATAGGCCGGTTGGCCTAAGCATTAGGGTGAGTGATCAGGCGGCTCAGTGAGCAGCTCAGGGCGGCAGGGCGACTGTCACCATTACTACCTTCAAATAGAATAGCTTACACCGCGGAATCGTCCGCTAGAGTAAATTGTTCAAAATATAAGGACAAAGTCTACTATGCTTTACCTTTGAGCACCCGTATCAGAATCGCTTTCCGGCAATCACCATCTTTATTGGGCTTAGTATTTCGGTCTAAGAACATTGCTCCTAGGATCCCAGAGGCCCCTTTTCCGCCACAGTGTAAGATATCTTAAATTTATTCGCCTATCATCATCTAGGTTCCCAGGAACTCGAACTATTATACTAATCCTAAGGCGGGACAGAAATAGATAATAATTATGATATAGAGTTAAGGTCTCCTACCCTTGAAGTTGTTATATGTCAGGCTCACTTCTCTGATCAGAAATTTGACTAGGTCAGAAATCATACTTAGGTAATATACTACGTTTTTAGAGATTTTCACTACCGTTGACCAATCCTTTCCAGAATTTTACTTATCATGGCCGAATCGAAAAGGGCAAAACTCACTATTGTAGATGCTGCGAAAGCAGCATATAGCAATATTATTGCTCTCTCAAAGGCGGCCAGAAATAGTCGAGCATAGACGTAAAGCCCTAAAATATCTTAATTTATCTTACATTATAAGAATTTTAAGGAGCTTTACGGCGACATTTAATAAGCCAGGGTCTTACAAATCTAGCCTTAAAGCTCAGCATTAACTTCTAGTAGCCATTCAGAGCAACCAAAAATCCCTTGCAATATACCTAGAGGCATTTGAGGAGAAAAATAAGCACCCGCTCAGTGACTCTGTGTATTACTCAGATTAGAACGGTTTTCATATTCTAGAGGATATTTAATACCGAATTTTAAGCGAACGGCAATAAGTCTTAAATATTACATAAATATAGTAATAGAGATTTCTGCGGTGTATATTTAACCTAGAAAGTCTATCTTTGTAGAGGTAGACCGATCAAGAATCAACGCTAGATCCAGGCTGACAATACTGCTACGTTTTCTACTTTAATTCAATCAAGTGGGACATGTTTGTTGAGAAGTGCTCCCGGGCATACTTGGCCATAGGAATCAACCTTCCACTGTTTGAATTATTCTATCTAATAAGTCGATTTTCTACTATCTCATGTCCACTCTCTCTTCATCCGTTCTCTTGCACGCATACGCTTCTTGCACGCACAACAGCTCTATGCTACCAGCATAAAATCCAACACTATCACTAGCTCTTATCACTATCGCTGATTATCAGCACTATTACTATCCCTATGATTATGGTCTAAATATATTAAGATTTTCCTTGACTCGCTATCATGACCGGGACACCACAAAACACATAGTAAATGCGATCAATGACGACTTATTATTTCAAGAACCATATAGGAAAATAAAATCACACACACGGCTGATTAGAAAATTGTCGTGCATCCCAACGTACCCGTCGCAAATGTCGATTGGGATCCTTGACCTCATTTCTCGCGTGCAACCACCGCCCATTGTCCATGAGGATAATCGATCCCCGCGGCAACATCTCCGGCGTGAGATTCATAATCTGCTCTTTCGCCGCAGGTCCCAGCAAAACGCTCTTCAGCTCCGCCAACGCCTTGGCCGCCTCCTCACACAACGGGGTGACAATATCCTCCCGAAACCGGAGTTGCGTCGCATTGCTATTAGGGTTAACCGTGAGCAGATTGCCCACGATCTCCGTGTCACCTTGCAACTTGATAAATTCTGGTGGAACGGTGATGCGATAGTTTGGTGTAAACAGCCACTCCCTCGCAAACGGGGACAGCAGCGTCAACAGTTTATCAACATTCAGCACGGACAATGTGCCTCCACCACACAGATCTGGTTGGAGAACCTGCAGTGCGAAGAATCTGGGCGGCTCAGCTTCGTAGCTGCAATCTGTATGCCAGGGAAACTCTTCCGTTGTCTCGGAGCGCGCTTGGTGGTTATTACTCTGGAAGGAATCCGGAGAGGGACGGATATCCCACATCCAGCCGCGGTTGGCGGAATGGGTGAGTGGGAGGCCGTGGGCGTGGGTTTTGTGGAGATTTAAGAGAAGGTCTTGAATGTAGCTACTCTCGTCGTCGGGAAAGGCGAGTTGCATGTGCAGAATACCTTCATTTTGGAGGGTGCGGTTGACGGTGCCGAGGTGGGAGGATTCATAGGCGAGAGATGGGCCGGGGACGGGGATGTAGGGGATTGAGTGGATTGAAGTGATGGATCGGGTGTCTGTCATCAATTGGCAGTGAGTATAGTGCGGTTAATTGAGTATGTGGGCAATTGAGACGTACTGTGTCTGAACAGCTTGGAGGCCGTACGAAGAGGGCGTGATAATCGCTGCATAATGGCTGGCTTGGGGCAAAGGAAAAAAGTCTGGCTCAGCCGAAAGCTAACTAGAGACTAAATCTACATCATGAACCCACCGAACGACTGGAGAACAGTCAGCTTTGCGGTGAGTATACAGTAGGATGGTATTTTAAAAATCGCAAAACATGTAAAGCGGCAAGATGATCGATCGGTCAGGGACGAACTCTGTCCAAGCGCCCCATTAAAACAAATAGGATCGCGTAAGGGAAACAATTCAGCACGCCACTCTCCGACGAAGGACCCACTCCAGCTGAAGGATGTTGGGGACTTAGTATCCCGCTGAGCGAGCCTGGGAAGACTTCTCCAACACACCTCATTGTTTATACACCATGAAGAAACCATCCTGTGCTCTACACACCATTCTCCTCCCCACGAAAGCCGGGGAGCAATATGTCTCCCCCCAAGATAGTGATGCGGCGACACGCCAGGCCCTCAGTAACAAGCTCCAATGCAACATGCTGAAATACAGTCCTCCAGAAACCTGGGGGGCTGGCGATATCTACCAAACCTGTTCTCCGCATCCCGTCCTCATTGCCCCAGCTCACAAAAAGCAGCTGCAAAGCCTCAGCGAGGCCTTATCGACGGCCATTGTCGATATTGTAAACCGATGGTGGAGTGATACAGAGGCGACATTTCCAGAGCGCATGCCAATTGAGCCTTTTGAGGAGGATTTGCTGCGGGTACGTCCGTCTCTGGCTGGGAAAGGCTATGCAATTGCTAATGATCTTACTCGCGTAGTGGATGGACTCCCAACCAGACAGTGTTATTCGTCCCTTTGAAACCTGCACGGGGTCATGGCGACCGGATATGCTGCTCGAGCCGGCAGTCGACGGGGGAATTGAGAATTATCGCATCTGCGAAATCAACGCTCGCTTCTGCATGAATGGGTTTCTGGTTACTGCGTACGGGCAGCAGGCACTGCTTGATATGGGCGTTGGGCGGAATGGACTCAAGGGTGTGACGGATCCAGAGACGGTAAGTCCCGATTATCTGCCATGAAGAGTAAAAAGGCTGACGGGAATAGGTGAAAAACGGACTGAATAGTCTGTACGATCCCAGTCTACCGCTGCACTTCTGTAAGGGTGAGGAACCTGGGTATGACATTCATCTCTACCGCCACTACGCCAAATCCCTCGGGATTCAGGTACAGCTCATCAATCCGGCTGATTTGCGTTTACTCAAGTCTCCTGCGTCGCCTGGCGGGTATAAATTGTACTGCCTGGCGCATGAGAATGCTGCTGGTACCATCGTCAACGAAAAAGGTGAAATCCTCGAGGAAGTTCACCAGATCGGATTGGAACTGCACCAGAGGGAGCTAGCGAGGATGACGCCCCAAATGCTGCAGCAACTCAGCCTGCGATGCTTCAACGACATGCGCACCATTCTTCTCGTCCACGATAAGCGATTACTCGGCATCATTATCCAAGAACTCGACAATTTAGTCACACGCAACGTCCTGACCCCGGAACAAGCCACCATCCTCCACAGAGGCATCGTTCCTACCATCATCCCGGGCTCGTCACAACTCTCCCATTTCATCGCAAAATGCCGCACGACCTCCCTCCAAGACGCCTATATCCTCAAACCCGTCCGCAGCGGCAAAGGAGCTGGCATCCTCTTTGGCGACGAACTTGGCCGGAGTGACTGGTTGTCGAAACTGAAGGCTATGCGTGACCCTCATCTACAGCCGGGGAAGACGACGTATGTGATACAGCGGCGCATCGAACACGGTCTCTACGACTTGCTCCTGAGCGAGAGCGACGGTGTGCAGCGCTACCCCCTCATCGGCACTTTTATGATGATGCATGGCAAGCTCCTGGGCCTCGGCCTATGGAGAAGCGGCCCAGGGCGGATTTGCGCGCTGAGTTTGGGTGGCGGCTGGATCTGTTCAGTGGAAAAGGCGAGCTGAATGGAACCAAATGATGCGTACTCAGAATACCATGTCCAAATCCGTTAATCGGCATAGCGGGTCATGGTCCCTCAAAACAATAGTCGGTAAGAAAGTGGGTTCAGCCAGAGAAAAAGTAATGAACCAATACGAGATGAATGAGTTCAGTGTACACAATGTAGCTGATCCAAAACAATATAAAGTCAAAAGCAAAGCAAATATGGTGTAACTAATTGCCTAATGCATGCATCAAATAGTGCTTCGCTGAGGAATGGAACCTCAAAGTCAGCCTTGACATGCAAAAGTCAAAAGAGAGAGAGAAAGAGACGGGCAACCCATTGGCCGACAAGATTCCGGATTTCAACCTTCGTCATGAGCATCGGCTGGTGCTTTCCTGTTTTGGGGAGACTACGAGTTAGCTTCGACAGCGGGGGAAGGGGCTGAAGGATCTCGGTGGATCTCCATCAGTTCGGCCCGCTCCAAAGTGGAGCTGCATCAGCTAGCGCACTAGGACATTAGTACGAGAAGTGAATATAACCAATTAGCATGAGATCTCAGATCACGGCATCTTCTGCCCTTGTATCCGCCAGAAAACCCGCTCACAAACCCACCAGTGCCTCTAGCGTGGTCTCATCTTCCGAACCCCTTTTGGGGAGTTGCCCTGCACTTGGGATAGGTTTCCAATACATTTCCTTGGGTAAGACAAGATATATTTTCTGCGGCCAAAGCAATGCTATGGGAATCAATGAATGGATTGAGCCATCTGTCAGGGGGGTCCCATTCGGGTTCTGCATGAGGAACGGACCTGAGAGGGATCCACAATCCTACAATGATCTTGTCGAACATTGCCAGATCAAGAGGGTTCGTGACGGACGTGGCAAACCCCCCCCCCCCCCGATCTGTGAAGGCTGATCTCGATATGTAAATTACTAGCGCCTTACCGCCGACGGGTCTGCCTACAGTGGTGTTCGATTAGTTTGAAACCCCCAAGGCCTAAAATCCGAGTGTCCGTGGCCATGACCGTGAGTGTCCATCTTCAAAGTTCAAAGCTCAAAATGGATGCCGATTGTTATTCTCTCTCCGATGTCCTGGCAATTGCCAGTGTCCATCCATTCTACTCTGACGTTGTCTATCCTCCTACTCGTGAGGAGCTGCCCTCCGTTCTCGCCAAGGCAAGAGACTCGGGCAAGGGCGAATTGTTATCTTTTCCTCTCACCCACAAAGAGCAATTGTACTGCATCTCGTCCATTCCACTCCATTATTCCCTACTGAACTGTCCAGATATTCACAAATCGCACGCCTCACCCTCGATAAAGACCCGCGCAATGGCTACCGACTTGGCACATACATCAGCACAACGGGTGGAGGTTCGGGAGGACCGCCTATGGTCTTTGCGACTGACTCCATTGAAACTCGTAAGCAGCGCGCTGCGTTTGGCTCATTAATGCGGTCCTGCGGGGTTTTTGGTCCCGGGGACTGGATATGCACAATGCACGTAGTAGGGCATCTCTATCGGTGTGTATTCCAACTGACTTGGGGTGCTTAATCCTTCATGGGCTAATATCAGCCCAGAGCCCTTGACCTCATGACGGAGGTGTTTGAAGCCTCCGGCGCCACTGTGCTCTGCGCGGGAAACGAAATGCCCCTCGAGCAGGTGGTGGTGACGATTACTCAATTCGGCGTCAACGCTATCGCCGGCGATGCAGGGCAGTTGGTCCAGTTGGCACAATACGTTGCCGGACTGCCCGATGCGCAAAAGCACACGCTGCAGACGCAGATCAATAAAGCGCTGTACACCTCGGAGCCCATGACACCCGCACAACGCAGCTTCCTGAAATCCGTCTTCTCTAATCTCGCCATCTCCTCCGTGATTGGCAGTGCAGAGGCCGGCCCGTGGGGTGTCTCAACGAGTGAGATGACCGAGAGCGCATCGCAGCACAATTACGAAGACTTTTTATATGACGATCGTCTTATGCATCTGGAGGTTCTCCCCTCCTCCATTCTGGACCCAGACCACACGGATAATACACCAACTGCGCCCGTTCCGGACGGTGAAAAGGGCCTTATGGTCCAGACCTCCCTACAGCGTCTGCGTCACCCTCTTGTGCGCTACATTTGCGGCGACGTTGCCTCCTTTCAACCCCTCCCCGCATCCCTCCAGTCCCAACTAACGCCCGAAGATGTATCGCACTTGCGTGTCGCGCGCGTCTACGGCCGTGACCGGAACATCAGTTTTGACTGGTATGGGGAATACTTTGAATTCCCAGTCGTGCAGCGCTTGTTCCAGACCGAGTCCTGGGGCATTCTGCAGTACCAGATCATCCGGCGGTATCCCGAGGCGGACACGCAGGAGCTTAACGTTGTGCTTGAGATTCGTCTACTGCGAGACTCGGGCGCTGGCAAGATCAGTGATGTGGAGTTGACGCGGGAAATCAAGACCTTTTTCTACGTATTCGAGTGCAACGAGGAGCTATTTGAGCTCAAGCTCTTGCCTGACTCTAGCGGATTTATGCGCAGTACGACGGGTAGGAAGGTGATGAATTTTGTCGACTTGACTAGGAAATGAATAGAGGAACGGGCTAGTCCGTAGAAAAGGCAGAATAGAAATGTTGACAGTGAGCCCAGCCCGTAGAATTCAGCCAAGACGATTTGCTCTGGTAATTTTAACAGGGGGTGTTTTTTTTGAAAAGATGACATGTACCAAACCCATCGGGCTGGACCCACTGGCAAACAAGAGCTGAAAAGTAATTCTAATTTCCAGAAACAACCACAGGACTACACGTGATCAATAAGAAGCGGCCTGGACCTTATAAGAAATTGCTACTGAGCTGTTCGAGTCTCCTCAATAGCTCACTCTTGCTAGAACGCTCAAAAAAATGCAGACCCAGCTGGGCTTTCCCAATGACTCCATTTTCAACCAGCTTCGCAAGCTAGCCAAGCAGTCGCCGGGCGTGTTATTCCACGATGAATATGGTGTTGATGCAAGATATAGCGACTTGATCCATGATGTTCTTCACATGCGGGAGATCCTACGAGAGCATCTTCCGAGTGCTTCATTCGACGAGCAGGGTTGTCTGCGCGAGGATGCCAGGTCGATGGCATTTCTGGCCTATAGTGGATACAGCTTTATTATCAGCTTTTTCGCCATTGTGGCATTGGGGGGTATCTGTATACCTCTATGTAAGTCTTTTGTCTATCGTACCAGTCTGATAATTATGGTTACTAAAACTACGATAGCAACGGGGCTGAATTCGGACGAGGCGCTGTACTTTCTGAAAAAGACCAAGGCAGCTTATATCTTGACCGAGGAGAGAACGGTAGAAATGGCCACGACTTTTACAGACCGTGCCCGAAACGAGGGCGAAAGGGTGACTTTGATCCCAATCACGAGAGCGGATCCCGCGATAGCGACCATCTCCAGCTCGACAGAACTCGAGATCAACCAGGAACTGACCTTTCCAGAAACGGCTGGCTGCCTGATTCTATTTACATCCGGCACAACCGGGCCACCCAAGGGCGTTGTTCTGCCCCGGAAGATGTTCCACTATGAAGAAGATATAACACCCGCAACGCTCTATCTCGCATCCTGTCCCCCGCACTGGATAGGCGGAACGGGACTGATCGACAGTGTGCTTATCGGTGAAAATCTGCATATGCTGAAGAATGAAGCCCCTCCTGCCCGGTTCTGGGAAGTGCTGAGGGAAGGAAGAGCCACCGAAATGGCCATATCCCCGACGATGCTGAGACGGCTGAAGGAGTACTACCAGGAGAATATCAGCCATTTGCCCGCTGAACAACGGAATGAATATATCGACGGGGCGAAGAAGCTGGAGCGGGTGATTGTGAGCGGCTCGATGCTGAGTTCGTCCACTTGGCGCTTCTTCGCTGATTTGACCGGTATGCCCATTATCAACGGTTACGGGATTACAGAGATGGGTGGGGGTGTTATTATCAACCCCCCTGGCGCGGTCTATGAGCAGGTGTGTGCATGGTATTATTCCCCATCTCTAATGCCTGCTAACATATATCAGGGCTATATCGGTAAAGTCATCCCAGGGAGAACGGTAAAGCTGTCCCACGGTGACCATGGGGAAATCCTCGTCAAAAGCCCAATCAGATTCTCCCAGTAAGAAGACTATCTTTCCATCTCCTAGTCATTTACTTACACAGACAGTTACGTTGGCGATGAAGCAGCCACTCGTGCCGCCTTTGACGAGGAGGGATTCTACAAAACGGGCGATCAAGCCCACCGCGTTGGTGATGATTACTTTTTCGAGGGAAGGATTTCATCCGACTGTACGCTCTTCCCTATATCCCCTATGTGCCCCATCAGAGTAACCAACCAGAATAGTTGTTCGCTTCCACGAATACACGATCTCCATTCCCGAGCTAGAGAGACAACTCCTGGATCTCTCATATATCACCGAAGCGCACGTCCTTCCAGTCAAAGACCACGGAGCCGGCGGGTTAGTAGCCGCTCTTGTGCGGCTTACAAAGCAAGAGGGTGACAGCGTTACCCTGAAGCAGATACGCGACGACCTTGCTGCGACGAACCTGCCGTCGTACAAGCTGCCTACCCTCTTGCGGGTTCTCCAGAACGAGGAACAGGTCCCGTTGACTCCATCCGAGAAGGTGTTGAAGAGGGAGTGCCTCCGGAAATTCTTCCACATCTCCGAGTACATACCGGACCAATATGCCGTGGAAGGTGTCGAGTACTGGGGCAATCAGCTTGATCTGGCTGCTTCGTCGCGCGTGTTTGACTGGGGAGGTTTATAAGCTGTCAGACTGGATAGTCACTCAATAGAGGATCAATAATCAAGACTTACGAGTCAAAGGCGTTTGAACAATTCGGCACCCAAATGAAGAACCATAGAATCTAGGTAGTTGGTTATGTTGGAATGTCCAGTACTTAAGCAATCGAGAAACAGCTGCACAACGGCATGGCCCGCTTGGAGGAGTCTTAAGCTCAGCAGTATAAAAGGCTCTGGAGGGAGAAATATTTACGAGAATGGTACTATCTCAAGCGCTACACGCGTCAGCCAGTGGTTGTATACAAGGAAAATCATTGAGCTATCTTAAGCGAAATACAGTCATAAATCATCATCATAAGGCGCGTGCATAACATCATGATCTGAAGACCAGTAAAGAGGAACGCATCCAAAATTTCAAAAGAAAAAACGCGAAGGGCATCATCATCAAAGCATCCATGATCCAATTCATGGACTTCAAAATCAGGAAAAGGGAGATAGACAAAGCAAAAGGAAAATCAAAGTACCACCCAGAGATTAAAAAGGCAAAACGCAAAGCAGGCCAGAGCCCGACATCCATCAATGGAAGAATGAAACGAAAGGTCTTCAATGTCGCCATTCTAAAGAGTCCAAGGTCTGTACCAATGAACTCATGGCCAAAAGTCAAATTCCAAGTCTATCAGAATCAGGACATGGTGGCAGGACTAGGCGAAAACTCTTTTGAGGTTCCTGATATAACTTCCTAGTGACTCAACGGATGGATCCTCTATTGGGGGGAGTGGACGACCCTTTGAATCGAAGCGATCTGGGAGTTCGATGGTAGATTCTGAACTATCGGATAATTCCGGTGGGTGAGATCTTTGAGAATGATGGGACTGGGAATGAGTATGGCGATGTGATGGTTGCTGGTGGCGAGATACAGAGGAACTAGAACTTGCGTCCGCGCCGGCACGAGCATTGGAATGGTGATGGTGATGATGGGCAGAAGGTACGGAAGACGAGCGTGCCCGGGAGTGAGAATGGGTGTGGGATCTGGCGCGGTGGCCTGGTGTATACTCGTCGATAGTCGAGTCGCTGTCGTCGGTCTCATACCCCGGATCTTGAGACCGCTCGGAATCCGTGTTCGTGTTTAAGTCAAAGGCGACGGATTTCAGTGGTGATGAGGATGATGGGTTTTCTGAGCGGGGTATGGACTGTGGGTGTTGTGAATGCGGGCCGATGCTTAGACCTGGGGTGGGAGCTGTTAGCCATGGGTCCCTGGGAACGGCACCGGACGGCGTTGCGGTGAACGCACCATCGTGGGCATGGGTTTGCTCAGTAGGAAGGGTGGTGGTGGAGCTCAACGGAGCACTCACATTCTCATCGGCCCGACGCGGCCGCGGGGCATAGGTCTCTGGGTAGGTCTCTGGGCCCGGGTTGCCGGCGCCGTAGTTGTAAGGCTGCGGTGGGGGTGCGGCACCTGGGGGATGCGGGTAATCGGCCGGGTTGTAGGGCTGAGGAGTGGCGTTCAAGTTCGGGGTTGAGCCCGGGGGTGGGGGGAAGTAGTTGCTGTTTGGATAGTAATTCTCTGTGGGTTGCTGGTGAGCAGCCTGCGGGGAGATTGGGTAGGGCTCTGGATCGTAGGACTCCTCGTAGGGATCGCGGTGCGCGTCGTTCTCATATCCTGCGTACATCATGTTAGCCCGTCTGCGGGTTGGGTCAAGGGGAAGGATCCATGACGGACTCACGAGTCCTCGAACGTGAACGCGACCGCTCCGACTTCTTGCGATCACGGTGCTGAGAGTATTTGTGTGCTGCATAGCCCAGACCAGTGGCACCGAGAGCTGCCGAGGCTAGATCACGAGAACGGCTACGGTGCTTCTTGCTTCTGCGTCGGCCATCACGGTCCGAATCGGAGCTGCCACTGTATCGACCGCCACGGCTGCGAGACCGGCTGTGACGACGGGCACCATCGGAGTAGTAGGCATCATGGCCCGCTGGTTGACCATAGTAATGCTCAGCCGGGATGCTTCCTGTAACGGGGTCGGCACCATACTCGATTAGACCGGCAGAGTCGCGCGTTGGATCCGGGTAGGCTTCGGACGGAGCACGGCTGCGGCTGCGAGATCGTGAGCGGCGTCCTTCGAGAGGCACCAGTTCCTTTTGGTCTTTCTCCGCCTTTTTCTTCTCGTACAAACCAGTAGCTGCTGCAGTAGCAAGGCCAGCGCCCACGATGGGGAGGGCCTTTCGCAAGCGACTGTGGGAGCGCTCTCCCTTGCGCGAGCGCGAACGGCTGCGAGCATGTTCAACGAGGCCTGCCACGGCGGCACCAGCCAGACCTGCACCGGCTATGTGCTGCCGGCGCTTGGTCTCCTCAGTGGTACCATCCTTTTCCGAGCGGGTACTGCTCAATGCGCGAGCGCGGGAGCGCGAGCGAGTCCGGGATCGGCTGCGGCGCTCATTCTTGGACTTGCTGCGTAGCGCAGCCGCACCGGCCGCCAAAGCAGCGACACCGACGCCAATTTCCAGCAGCGTCTTACCACGGGTGTGGGAGTGCGAGCGACTGCGGCTGCGACGGCTACGATGGGAGCGGTGATCATCGAAAGAGTGAGAGCGATGGCGACTGCGGCTCTTGCTGCGGTAGTAGTCGCGAACATGGCCGGCTGCGTTGACCGCAACGGCACCGAGGGCACCAGCACCGGCCGTCTTGACCGCGTGGCTCATGCCATGGCTGACTTCTTTACCCTCGCGCTTGCTGTGACTGCGGAGTAGCTCAGCAGCACCGACACCGACTAGAGCACCCTCGGCAAGGTGGCGCTTGTGGTGGTGGTGCTCCCCGTCGTAGTCGCGGGTCTCTTTGCGGATATAGACCATGCTATCATCGCTGCTGTAGTCTTCGCGGTCGCGATCGCGATGATGACGACGGCTAGTTTGGGAAATGGAGTCGCCGGGACTCAATTCACGGCGCGAGCGACGGTCGTCGTACTCGCGAACTCGGCGGTGGTGGTGATAGTAGTACGGGTCCTCATCGGCATCCGAGCGACGAACAACGTCATACTCGGACTCGCGGGGACTAGTGTAGGAGGTTCGGGCTAGATTCACGATCAGTACGTGCTGTTCGCGAATGACGAGCGTTCCTGACTAGCGTGGTGGTGGTGGGAGGAGGTGTGGGGTTCTGGTCACTCACGTTCATAGTACTCACGCTCGTACTCACGCTCGAAGCGGCGGGCGGGGGGATCGTATTCGACATCGCGCTCATACCGTGAGATAGTCAGGGGCTCTTCTCGCTCTGTCTTTCGACGGATGACCAGCTCGCGCTCTCCAAAGGGTTCGTCGCGACCCATCATAAATTCTCGTCGTTCTTCTCGTTCTTCAGCAGGAATGACGTAACGCTTGATAGTGACCGGTCGGTCCTCCTCGAAGCGATCACGCTCTCGGTAGCTGTACGACATGGTACCCAAGTGAGAGTGTGAGGACTGGACGAGGCAGATCAATAGAAGTGAGGGGAGATGGTGATGAAAAAAGATGCAGATGGAGGGGGGGAATGAACAAGATGGAAAGAAAGTGAGATTACAGGAGGGGCTCCAGGAGCAAGACCGGGAGGGGCAAAACGGGACAGATGCGATGCAGGAAATTTGGGAAGGGGGGGGCGCAGGGAAGTGGGGTAAACTGGTCAACTCGCAGTGTGCACGTCTCGGACAGCCAAAGAGTAGGCAGAGGCTGTGATCGACTAGCGTCTGCAACTTCTCGGCAACGGGAGAATCGTGTGTGGGATCCGATTGGTAAGGCTTCCAGAAGGGAATGGAAGGGAGCCGTTCGGAATCTCTCAGGATCTTGGCCCAAAGCCCGGTGGGGTGGTTCAAAGTGACCGAATGACCTGGATGATGATGATGATCTCAGAGCTCCAGTCGTAGGGCAATCGTCGGGCAGCCCAAGCCGAAGCGGAGCCTCTCCGAGTGAGGCCCGCGGGTCTCAGCCTGCAGGTCAACAGGCAGCACAAAATCAAGGGGAGTCTGGGCGAAAGGCGAGACTAGCGAGGAGGAAGTGCAATGCAATACTTGATTGTCGAGTAGAATGGGGCGGCAGAGAAATTCGAAGATGATATGTGAGTTGAAAGTTGATGGTTGACGGTTGATGAGGGAAGAAGAGGTGAAAGGGACAAAAATAAAAAGCACCTGCGACACTTGAAAGAAGCACCACGTGAGGCTCTCGTTCAATTCACCGACTGCCGCTGCGGCTGCAGCTTCGGGCCAAAGGCTGTCTGGATGGTGCATTCGACCCTCGATCGGTGGGTTTGGCACTTTGTTTGAAAAGGTTTGAACTGGTTTGCCCGGGTTGCACCGTGGCAAACCGACGGTGTGCAGTGGCTGAGTTCTGCATCTACAGTGTCCCCAGACCTACGCTAGTACCGCTTCAGACTTGTATATTGTGAACTGTGCATGGTACTTTCTGTTTACCTCTTGGACTACCCGTCGATAGCTTGATAGAGTTGGTCCACGGGTCGACTGTCGACTTCCCGAGCGGCTTTCCATGGAAATCGGGCTGACTGGGGTTGGGTGGGCCAACGCCCAATACGCGGCCCTTCGGTCAACCTTGCCTACTCTACACCTTCCCAAGGCGCATTCCGGTTGCCCGATGATCTTCACGGGCCACGTTTCTTTGTTCATGGTTATGAGAGCTTCCTCTATGCCCGTCCTTCAAAGGACACCTTCAAACGACGACGACGCAATAAATACCTGAAACGCTGCGCCTAAACCCTCGGGCGCCTTAACCCGTCCTTGAGTTGGGCCTTGGGGAACTTGCAACGAGGCTGGGATCATCTTGCCTGAGATGGTAGCAAAGTACATAAAAGACTACCTCGGTGAACAACTCGCGTTATAATTGCGCTGGTTGGGTCCTACTGATAGTAGGAATCTTTGATGGTAATTAAGCCAAACTGGTGCGAATCGACGAGTCCACGCGGGTGCCAATGTGGGGTCGACCCGATGACGTCAATGGCTTGCTCAACCCGGGTCGATTTCAATATGGCCAGTCGCTTCTGCTGGCAAACATTGTAAACTCAACCGATGAAAGAATCCTATCATAGTCAAAGAGAAATAGGGTTCTCGGTTGGCATTATCTCCATAACTTTGACGGGTCGATCAAACATGGCCAAGACGTTCAATGATGTCACCTCGGGGTCGACTATTGCCGCAATGGATTGATGCTAGGTGATACAAACGGCTACTCGAGGAATGAGGTGTCTGTTCTAATGCGACTCGATGGGTTTTAAACTACCGTTGGTTGTAGCTCGCTACACATCTGCCGTGTTACACATTACTGGCAGTGCAAGGCTGGGCTGTACAAGGCAAGGGGGGGCAATCAGGAGTTAATCCATGCCGATGCAGACTAGAGCCTCCTCTCTATCTACTGAAGATTCTCGGATGTCACAAGTCGATAATGGTGATGATGATGACGATGAACGTACTTCATCCACTCCGGTCGTTATCCCAAGGTACTCCATTGTTGAGGCTCTAAGTGGCGCCGGCCCCAACCCTGGCCCCTCGGATAATTACAAGATCCCAGAACCAGAGGTAATCGACTTGGAAAATGAGCCCGTTAGAGAGCACCGTAGGAACCCCAAGCGGTGGATGGCCTTGCAGCACACCTTCGAACACCCATGACGCCTCTGACAGGAAGGAAAAAAAATATCATTCTTTGATATCTGTCCAAATACTAGACAAGCTAAATATGGATATTTTCTACATAAGCTGTAGAATTTGAGGTGAGCGAGGACGATCCGTAAGAAGCAACCATCCCAGCCACATTTCTGCTCATGTTACAATCACTAGCTCTGAGGTCATCGCAGAGATTGATGCTTACAAGCAAACGTCTACGGTGATATATGACACTGCGAATGTTCTTTTGAGTTGAATCTATAGTCATAAGTGACAATTTCAATAGAAGATATGTAACACGTCGACCTGTTTAAATTCCATCAGATCGCCAATTCCAAGAGGAATCTCCTGAAAACGACATTTAAGCACGGTACCATGGGGCCCCTTGAACAGTTCAATCACATCTTGTGGAAAAAGCAAAAATCACTCTGGATAATCACAAGACGTCCCCCCTTCCCACAGGGGTCGTGGCTCCCACTTCATCCGAATCACCGACTGCGTTTCCGACCCCATTGCACCCATACGACCACGGCACAATAAAATAATCCCAACACTCCCGCCACAACGCTATACGCGATAACGGCTCCTTTGGGACCTCTCGCCAACTGGAACCCAAGTCCCGCATTGATAATTCCCAAAACGATCATCGTTCGTCCAAACCAGCGGTGCACATAAGCAAAGATGCCCTTGCTTCGAGTCTTGCGGTAGAAGCGATGCTGCAACAGGCCCATGATCGGTTGGAAAAGAGTAAGACTTGAGACGACGACGAGACCAATAATGGGGTGATGGTTGGTCAGTAAGTTGAGCTCTTTGGCCATAGACACCCCAAGCCCAAGCCCGACGAGAACAACAATCAGAGTGAGAAGTTGAAGCAACCCGTGAACGGTCGCCGTCCGGGACGAGGGGAAGATTTGGATCGTGAGAGCGAAACAGGGAAACATGATCACGAACGCGATGATCATCATCACTGCATGCGCCGTTCTTTTCTGATTGAAAACGGTGTTGGGATTCTGGGCAGTCGCCGTGATGACCGTCGTAGGTGTGGAGGATTTGGATGTATCAAAGAATGGGTTGTCCGAACTCCCACCCGTCGCTTTCACTAGATCAATATTCACCACACCCGAGTCATCATGTTGCGTGAGTTCCGCAGAGACATCGCTAGAATCCAGCGGCGATCCGTACTTCACGGCCCAGAGCCAGGAACTCGAGGCGCTGGTCAGGTCTTCGCTTCCCCCGGTCCAATTCATACAGCTGTCGCAACGGATATTGGCAGTTATCGCGCCATTGGAGAACCCACTTCCCTCCAGCAGCGAGACATGAGCATCGCTATTGTAAAGCGGTTGGATTTCACCCATCCCAAGACGAGGGGAAACCGTCACATTGTCACCATTGGGGTAGACGACGAAGATATTTGCGCCCACCATGCGAGTCCCCTGGCCGAGGGCGAACCATCGTACGTTTCGCGTAGAGTTTAGTTGAAAGTATATCGATCCCGCGCCAGACTGCGAGGTGCTTTGAGGGACATTGATGCTGTAGGTAAGATCATCGTGTCCACTGGGGTGAAAGCTCTGAAGTTGGGCAAGGCTGGACGCAGCCCAAGCCAGCCAGCAGAGGTATAATACAGCCATGCTGCGGAAGGAGCGCATGGAAATACGAGCAGGGCGCGGGGGTGCTCACGAATGTAAATACAGTCTAGCGAAGCGGAGAATGACCTTGGACGAAGATGGTGTCATCAGGAAAAGCGCTGATCATCCAAATAACCATCAATCATTGAGTTTTTTTTTTTTATTCTTTCGTTCTCGTGTAAGCGCGGGTCAGGCACCCTATCTGGCTGTCAAAGAAGGGGCGCGCCTTTCAAGGGGTTTTCCTAATAATAAGATGGACCACGTCGTTTTCGTATTCATTGTTATCAGTCAGTCTGACACTTGGCGCTGGGGGTGTTGGAGCTTTGTTGCTGCCAGTCTGCGACCGAGGTGAAAGCACAGCCCGGGGCTCGAGCCAGTCTTAAAGAAGCAATCTGCGAACTGCCGCATTGAGCAGGGTCGAAGAAATCATCTCTAACTTTGGTGGTTCCGGTGGGCGATCCTCTTTGACCCGTTCGACCTTGAAACTCTGAATAAACTTTGGTTGACAAAGCTCGCGCTGCGCCTCATGATTGGGAACAGCTTGTAACCGCTTGAAGTTAGTAGGCATTACGGGTAGATGGCCTGAATAATAGCAGCTGTGCGGTTAGTTATCCGTCAGCTGATTCTCTGATTACAAATGTATCTTCATCTGATCCGTTGGAATTAATCTGATTAGTTTTGGGGCGCAAGCTGTGAGTGGCCCGGTCTTCGAGGAATAAGGGTCCACTGGATCCTCCGGGGTTAAGCTTTGGGCCCATTAACCTAATTTGGCCATTTGGAATTTTAGAAAGCTTCAGGTTCGTTCGTGGGAAATGAAACTGCGGGATCGAATTTGTGGCTATGCTGTAAATAAATTACTCGACCTGCCATATCAGGTTTGGTCAAGCTCAATAGGGTTTGGCATGATAATCAATTGACTAACCATGGCTCGACTATACAGTACCTTGTCATTGCGTGGAAGCCACTCCGTGTTTGCTACGCATCAGTGGCTTCAGTCGCGTGGTCTACAGCTTTTAGAGTTGTCGTTATCGTAAAGAAGCATCCAGACCGAAGATGGAACTCATATCCCATGGATAGAGGTGAAAGTTCTAAGTATAAACGTGCGACCATAAATAGGATGCATAGGAAGCTATATTTCCGTTTTCCATAACCAAAAAGCGTACTTCGCCAAACTCGCAGCCATGATGAGCCCTCTTAGCAGTATCGTCCTGTTCTCTTCACTTACCTTGATCCATGCCCAGTATGGAAACCAAGTCCAAGCCGCTACCACAACTACCTCATCGTCCACCACTTCTACCAGCTCAGCTGCTAGTAGCATTCACACCGTTGATGTTGGCGAGGATGGCCTCACCTTCAATCCAGCTTCCCTGACCGTTTCCCCTGGTGACAAAGTCGAGTTCCACTTCTACCCACCGGAACATTCAGTTGTCGAAGCATCCTTCGACAACCCTTGCCAGCCAAGTAGCAGTGGAGGCTTCTTCAGTGGATTCTTCCAGACATCCAAAGAATCAGTAAGATATTCTAGTCTTGACAGGCCAGAAGTAGGGTTCTAACATCAGTAGAAAACTGTCTTTACCGTAACCGTCAATAACACCGACCCCATTTGGTACTACTGTGGTGTGGTAGGACACTGCCAGGCAGGCATGGTCGGAGTCATCAATCCTCCGTAAGTAAACACAACTACCTTGGTTCATCCCGAAGCTGTCGACTGAAGCTCATTTTGCTGCAGTTCTGGCGGACAGGACACTCTAGCTTCGTTCAAGGCAGCAGCAGCAAATGCCAAAGACTCGACCGTACCAGCAAACATCTTCGGTGGTGTCATCGGTCCTGCTAGCAGCTCAAGCACTAGCAGCTCAGCTTCTGGCACGACCGCGGCTACTTCTGCTGGCACAACTGCTGGCATGACTACGGCTACTTCTACTGAATCTGCAAGCCAGACAAGTGCTACCACAGCCACAACCAATGCGGCTAATACCATGCGCGTTGCCGGTGATGTCGCTGCCTTGGCATTGGTGGGCCTCTTCTCGTGGCTCATGATGTAGGTGTACCAATGTCGACAATCCTGTCTTTGATGATGTTTGAGATTGGAATGAAAACAGCATTGTGGTTTTGGACGCGAACTTGATCATGCTAGTACCCTTCATGAGCTCATCGAGCTTAAATTGATGATGTGTCACTTTGATTTCAGATCCGAAACACACTCCATTAATTTCTAATTGGGTCTGTTGCCTACTCTTTGAATTGAGACATAATTCCTGAAATTCTGTGCATAGTCAAAAGATTATGGATTGTCATAATAGCATCTTCCCTTTTTTTTGTGAGCCTACGGTTATTACCAGGTCGGGAAGGGACCAGCTCCTTGGGTGTACGGACGGTGCTACTCGTGATCGCAATAATGAGGAGTATTTTGTTCATATGCACTTTTCAATGATTATTCACATTCCGGCATAATAATTGAACGATCAATTAGGTCTGAAATAGCGATAGTACTTCTGGGCAATGCTCAACTTGGTAGGAACTTATTGGAGCAAGTTAACAGTAAACTGAATGGCACGAGCCCATTGGGGAGCAACTGAGATCAAGCGGACTTATCGATAGCAATTTGACAACAGTCTCTGTGTAAAACGATGATGTAGCCATAGCCATCGATCATGTGCAGCTCTTTCTATTAATGCAATTCCAGAGTCCAGAAGCTAGATTGAGCCGCACACTCCCGGAAATAGTTCTAGAACAGGAAGTTGTACGAACACCACAGGACCGTGGGACTGTGAGGCACATGCTCGTCATGATAGCAGGGAGATAGCAGGGAGATAGCCGGCTGACTCGGCTCAAGGGTGACGAGTTTGCTAAACCCATAGCGCCAGATATTCTTGCTCGCTGTGATTGCGACGAAAATTAAGCCAACGGCAGACTTGTATCTGCCAACCACATAGGTGCTTGCAATGGCGGTTCCTTAACGGCCGGAGCAACCGGCTAGCAAACGTACTATTATTAGAATTTTTTTACTCCCAAATTACTTGGGAGCATCAAGGCGTATCAAGATCTCTTCCCAAGAAAAGGAAGGCTACGGAGAGTCAATTTGCCGAGTTCCTTGATGATTGTTCACTCAAACGCCTCTGTATACTCTACTTGCTTATATAACACTATTTATGATAACTAGAAAATCTCCTTAACTCCATTTAATGTTGTGATGGTAAGCAGCTGGCTACGGCTCTTTTACCATTCGCCAACACTGCGTCATGCCTGGTATCACGTGTATCAACTCGCACAGCAACGAGCTTAACTTCTCCACAGAAGACTGCTTTTTGTTTCCTAGCGCTAGAGTTAGGGTCACGAGAATATGGCGGTCGAGACAATAAATGCCGGTCTCTGGAGTTGAAATTGTCACTACATAGAACTGGTAGTCATGTATGGTTGATATCGATTCATTTATACATAAAAGGCCATATAAGAAGGTGACTGTACAAACTACACAGGAAACAAAGGTCGAGAGAGGTAGGCCCCAAAGGTGCCTCAGAGAGGGTAGCTATCTCAAGGAATTTGATAATGGCATGTAAGCTAGATCTTGGCTTTCCTTTTGACTTTTACTATTTCACCGTAATGCAACATAAGGGCAACCAACATGGATCGAGAGCAGCTTGTTAATTTGTATGGGAAATTGGTATGAATCTATGTCGCTGACGCTAAATGACAGCGTTATTGCATTCACTGGCATGGCTTAATGTACCAGTCAGTCGAAGAGAAGTTTAATCACCACAATCATGACCACATCATATCGTGAGATTCAAAGCCAGCATGGCAAGATTCAACGTCTTTTTACGCCTTGGCCTTGAAAGACGGAGGCTCGGGCAAAGTCACAGGAGTATCACTGCGCTTGACATTCGTAATCAAATGCTCAAACGAAGCCGAGGAAGCAACACGAGGCGTAAACGGCTCAAAGTCCCACAAATACCCCAAAGTCCGCAGAATAGAAGAAGCAGAGTACGACACAGTCTGTCCATCCGAGTTGGTACCCTTCTGCTCGACAACGCCCTTGCTCACCCACGGCGAAATCAACAGCGTCGGGATACGCCCACCGAGGCGGTTGAACGAAAACGTGTACTTCTCGCCGTTAGGCGCAGTCTCGGTGTAAGTCAAGTTGTCTGGGCGTGTAGCAAGGGGTGGGGGCACGTGGTCGTGGAAACCGCCAGTCTCGTCAAAGGTCAGGATGAAGAGGGTTTGGTTCCACTGGGGTGAAGCGCGGAGCGCATCGTAGACGTTTTTGATAAATGTTTCACCATCGGAGATGAGGCCAGTTGGGTGCATTGAGTTGGTGCCGGTGCCGCAGCAGGATGGGTCGATGAAGCTGAATTCGGGGAGAGTGCCGGCTTTGGCGTCAGCGTAGAAGGTGGACAGTGGCACGGCTTTGTCGGTGTTGCCAGAGGTGAAGGTCCAGTCGAAAAAGAAGGCGTCAACCATGTCAGTGTTGGTGTAGTAGTTCTTCCAGGTGTGGTTGGTTTCGGACAGCTGCTGGAAGATGGAGCGCTGGGTCAGGCCATGGACATCGGAGTCAAAGGCGTCGTCGTTGGTACCATGACCGGCGGAGGTTCCAGAGAGCACGTATGCTCGGTTGGGGTTGGTGGGCTGGACGATTGTTAGCTTGTATATACCATACGATGCTGGCATTGTGCTATCTTACGCCAGGGTGGTCGGAGTGCCAGTGGTTAAATGTCAGATAGTTCTGCACCAGCGAGGTCAAAACGGGCACCTCATCCTCGGTGTAGTAGTTCAAGACCTGCTTGGCGAGCGAAGTCTTGTTCACACTAGCACTATAACGGCGCAGCTGCTCGTGCACGAAACCCTGTTGGGTAGGAGTCAGTTTGCCACTGGCAATGGCAGCATTATCGGGGACGAAAGTGCCATAAAATTCGATGTTGTTGCCAGTAACGGAATGATCCGGGTCATTCAGGATAGAATCAAAGTCCTTGGCAGCACTGTAGACTTTGCCCTGAGAAGCGTCGGTCAGGTTATATGGGTTGCTGTAAGGGCCGTTGTTGATAGGGTTCTCGAGGCCCTTGATAGTCTGACCACCGAGGAGGTTATCCAGGGAACGATTTTCCAGCTCTAGAATGACCACATTCTTGATATGGTTCTTCAGATTCTGGACTGAAGTGCTCGAATGGGCTTGGGAGTGATGCTTTGAAGGGGCAGCAGTCACGGCAGCTGCAAAGGCCATGAGGCCAAGGAGGGCGCTGGGATGCATCTTGAGTCTGGGATGTTGGATTGATTGAAGTCAAGAGCTGAGCAAAACCTTGAGGACTTGATATTTTCCAGGAAACCCCCTTGCTTCTTATAGCCATCGCAATCCTAGCACCTTTTTCGCAACGGCGGCCTCCGCACCGACAAGAAGAGCCAACTCGTCATCGCTTGGTCCCACGTGTATATTCAAAGCCCATCATCTCGTGGTAGTATCGCACGGCAAGACAGAACATCACAGAGATATCCCGCAGTCTCGCACTGCGGGGTCCATCAACCGGTGCGACCAGTGCAAGGCTAGAGCTCTCAAGAGCTGCCCAGTAAGGACGCAACCGATAGAAACGTAAACTATCCGATTGGTGACAATCTACGTGCCCCTTCGATCGAAACGCGTGATTCGCGAGGATTGACAGGCACACTGCTGCATAAACAATATGAGACGGCCCCTCCAGAATGCAGATGTCCATCCACCATGAAGATAGTGGGGGGTGCAAAGCCGCTAAGCCTTGGCGCTGGGCGCCGGCGTAGGCCATGACGAAGGATGCCCTGCCGGTGTCCGACGCAAATCATAGCACGCGCATCCTGCACGAGTAGGCGGAGAAGAGGGTCAGTGGTGGTCGATGCCTTGATGCTAAATTTTTCTGGTGGATCTTGGCAGTCCACATTGGCCTTGTCGGTGGGACATGCCAAGATTGAGTTTGACTCTGCTTGGAGGGGAAATAGATATCATTCCGGATCTCGCTGGAAAGTGTCGATCATGCAACATTGCCCCTCGGTTGGAGTGTCAGGGCGGGATCTCGCAATACTCTGATCTTCTTAGCATCTCTGGTTTGATGAAGGCGGAAGATGCCGTGCAGCCTTGGACCTTAATGGCACCGATCGGCACGCGTGCTGCTTCAATCCAACTTGATTGGGACTTGGCTTGCTGTTGTTCACTCAACATACGAAAGTGTCGAGCTCCATACGACGAATCTCGTAAATGTTTCAATATATTGCAAAACCCACGTGTCATCGGCACATATAATGAGCACGACCAAATCCAAGCAACCTAGCAGTATTAAAAATTTAAAGAGAGTTTGGTTTATTTAGTGAGATTACCAGCATTGATCAATTTAATCCTTTGCGGACTCTGTTCAACTAGTGTATACACTACAAAAAACACCTTGCGATGTTAGAGACAAAGATTACCAGAGACATGTAGCGGAATCTTCATCAAAAATATGATAAAATAAAATTGCAATAAACCCCCATTCCCCAGGTCATGATCTCGTAAAAAGCCCAATTGAGCAGAAATAAAAAGAAATTCCAACCCGAAACGAAAAAGCCAACCGCCCATCCACTCCAATCCAGAAAAGCCCGCCCAAGTCCCAAAAGCTTGTGGGTGTCCCCAGAACCAAAAGCAACCCCCCATGCCGCCGAGTCCAAATGAGTCACCAATCAAAAGTCGGACGAGGTAGAAGTGAATAGTAGAGCAAGGAAAACAAAATCTCCGAAAACAGCCCTACACAACATCCGACTCGAATTTGAACTGCCCCATTGACGCACCAAGTGTATCCCACGGCACAGATGTCGGCCCCATCCAATTCTGCGGATGCAAATGCAATCCAAAACTAGATTGCATACTTGGATCACTGGATGAAGACGCAATCGTGGGCACGGGCGAGTTCGCCTGTGAGTGGGTATGCGAGTGTCCGAGCATGAACGTGTCTGGCATGGTACCCGAGGAGAGGGTCGGTGCCATGGAGGTAAGCATGGATGGTTGTTGTTGGGTAATATTTTGGGCGTTTATTTGGGCCTGGAGTTGCAGTTGGGATTGCAGCGGGGTCTTGTGTTGTTGAGTTTGTTGGTATTGGGTTGAGGTTACGTCGCTGGTGAGTGGGTTAATACAGTTCTTATGGGGGTCATGGTGAGAGGATGGGGAAATGTAAGACGTACATAATCTGCCGGACAATGGGCATGGCTTTACTGCAGAAAATACTTCGCACGGATAACGAGGCAAACATATCCAGGGCTTTGCTGAGTATCTCCTTTGTCTCGTCGAATTCAGCCTGGTTCGCCGGGTTCATCAAGCCAACGGCCAGTACCACCGCCGCATGGAAGGCATGAAAGCTACCCAGCCCGCTGGTATACCACTTATAAGGCGCAAATTGTGGGTTCTCGAGGAGGGACTGGAAGATGGATAGCGAGGCCTTGGCGGATGCCATGCATTTCCCACGAGCCTCGCACGTCTCGGATGTGATCTCGCCTTGCAGGAACTGGCAGAGACTGGGTCGTAGTAGGAGCAGGAGCGATTGGTGGATATGAGCGTAGAGAATGTTCAGGTTTGCCTGATGGTGAACAGGGAGTGGGTCGCGCGCCGTGTCGAGATTATACCTCGCGTCACAGAGCTCACGGATAGCTAGGACTTCCGATTCGAGTTGAGAAGTTGAGAAGCGGGATTGCGGGTATGTGAAGATGGATTCGCAGATGCGATTGGAGACCTTGTAGAGACGGGATGTGAGAAGGAGGAAGGTCATTTGCGTAGGGCGAGTGACGATCGGGGAGGATGGATCTGAGGTAAGAGAAATTGATGGAGCAGTCAAAAGGTCAACATCGTCAACGTCTGCGGGTGGCTTCACGTCCTGTGAGAGTTGTGTTTGATCTAGACTACCAAAGGAGGTATTTTGAATAGTGTAGAGCATCATCAGACCGGCCCAGACACGGCGGCGCTCTTCGCGCTCGATGGGACCTAAACTGAACCGTTCGGGATCAATGTGGCAGCCCATTGAGATAGCAACGTGGTTGGTGAAACCGAGAAGGGTCCAGAATGGAAGACCACGGTGTAGTCGGGCATAGCTGATGAGGACGAGAGCTTGGAGCGAGTTGATGGAGTGCCGAGTCATGACACTGTCTGCGGCCAAGCAGCGGAGTGCTGCAGATCGATATCGCGCTGAAAGCACTTTGATATTACGGCTCACTGTCCTTTCCCGCCCGAGGTCAGCGAGAAGGGGGTCGTCGTCGTTCAAAGCACTAACTGCGATCGCCAGGATAGCGAAGAGCAGGGCCAGCCAGGCCGTTGATACACTGCCGGGGTCATGACAGAACTGTTGATATTCGGCTTCGAATGTCAAGTCATGGAGAATGTGGAAGACCTAAAACAAATGTCAGTGATCATCCAAGCCAACCGAATACTCTCTATCTCTAGATCAAACTGGTGGAGAAACATACGGGTGAGAACACTCGAAAATAAACTTCTTTAAGGGTATCACAATATCGTCCCGGCGGGAGCAGGGCCAGCAGCTCGGCCCTAGAGATACTCCCATTACGCGCAAGTGGAATCTGCAGATCATCATCGTCCGCGATGTCCGCATCCGAGCTCCGCAAACACTCCGCAGCGGGACTCTTCGCAACGACCGACTCCCACTGCGAGGCAAGGGGGACGTACCGCACATGACCCGAGGGCGACGTGTGAAGGGTACCAACATTGCCCAGCAACGGACTCCCCCACGCCTCCAGGGAAGCGCCTAGCTCGGATTCAGAGAAGCTCCCCGTGGCACTGGAGGCACCCAACGGCGATGTCGCACCGGCGGGGGTCCCCGCCTGTGAGTGGACCTGTTTTTGTAGCAGGCCCTCGAGATTGCGGATGCGTGCGAGTAATTCTTTTTGGACCGTTGGGTCCGCTGTGGAGGATTGATCTGAAGCGAGTCGAGGTTGGCCGAGGTAGATGCAGTCCTCGGCACCGAGACCACGGCGCACACAAGTCTGGCAGGGTCGGCCATCTCTTGAGCAGCGGATCTTTCGTGTGCGACATGCTTGACAGCTGATGGGGAGACGTTTCCCCGAGGACCGGGATGAAGCAGTCATGACGGGGCTTAGACGGCCTATGTTGTCTGCAAAGGCTGTATTTGCTTGGATGCAAATTTTTTGTGAACGACGCCTTTAGAGTTGAGATGCACAGACGAGAGAGTTCACGATCAACAACAACACTTGAGGTTCAATAAGCGACGGCAATGGGCCGGGTGGACCGGTGGCTGTTCGTAATGCTCCAGTTCTGACGTGCCCACTTTACCCATCCACTGGGTCTAGATTTAGAAAGTGGAATCTAGTGATCTGGATCTGGGTCGGGATCTGAAGATATAGAGAAAAATTCTGTTCCCAATCCACCATGGACCTGGCAGGTGGGGGGAAGAAGGAGGAAAAGAATAGAAGCTTTAAAGTTTCCGTCATGAAAGGCGAGACGACTGGGGAATGACAGCCATGCGTCATGTATTCGGTCAAGGATTCAAGGGACATGACCAAAATTGATCCGCACAGGCCTCACAATTCATAATTACAAAAAAATGGTCATAAAATGAATTTCCAGGGTCGCCTCCCGAAGACTTGGTCCCCGCCAGGAGGCAACGTGCGAACTTTTCGGATTAGCGCAGCAAAGCTGAACGACACGCACTCCCGTTTTGCGCCCCCTTCTTGGCAGTTTAGCAATTGAATAGGGTAACGAGAGACAGCCTCTCGGTATTCAATATGCCGTGGTAGGAAAAAAGAATTGCCGAATATATAAGAAATGATCTCAATGTGGTAAAAAAACACCCATGCAGGCACAGGAAATTCCAGAAAAACTGCAGACATTCCAGTAGTCCAGTATGGAGAAAAACTTTGGACAATAGCGCGGAGCGCCCGACGCCAAGTGGGGCGTGGAACATTTCTAGAAGCCCTAGAAGGTCCTTGTGGGACCCGTTGCATCCGAACCTGGAATCAAGGTTTTTCCGTTGAGTTATTTAGTTTTGCTAGGCCAAGTAAGCCTCCCAGCTGCCGACCGTCGCTTACCCTCTGCAGTGCGGATTGATTAAACTATGTGCCAGCCCGTGGCTGGGTCATTGACCTGTAAGGGGAGTCATAGGGCAACTTCCGAAGAATACCCACCAGGCACGCTAAGCAGAATAGGGTACTAACAATCCTGACAGGCAGAACGAGCAGATCAATAATAATGATGTTCCATCGCGATGGATGGAACCTAGACCTAGGATATGGCACTCTGGCAAGGGACCCGCTCTGACCGTCTTCTACCGTGGAGGCAGGAAGCACGGTGGCTGGCAGACCCTTTGATGTGCTCGATGTGATAGACACGGAACTCCGAATCTCATCCCGAAAGAGGGGATGGGCTGCGACATGAAATGCGAGGAGTCCAGTACGTGCGCCCTAGGAGGGCATGATAGGATGAGAATGCAGCATGAACGATTAATTCTCGGTGAGCTCGGCTGTGAAGTTCGGCTGTGAAGTTCGGGAGAACGGCAAGAGGGAGATCAAAAGGATTCCGAAACGGTGAGATCGGGCTTGCAGCGTTGCCAAGACGGACGGAATGGTGCGACTACAGTACGGAGTACTCTCTTTACGATGATGCAAACTGTCAGCGATTCCGTTGCAGGGTTTTTCTCGAGGGTGCGCGTTTTGCCACTGAATAAGAGGTCCAAGCAACAAGAGACGATATCTAGTTGGTTGATACGAATCGTGATGCATCGCGGCTAGGATGAATTAGGCTAAGTACATGCTAAGCCACTTGGAGAACGCCACAGCGTCAACGTTTTCTAATTTTTTTTGTCTTTTCCGACTAGCGTGAACTAATGACCTAGTGGAGGAATCACAAGGCTATTCTCAAGTTCCAGGGCCAGCATAGGCTCGGATGAATTTTTTTTTTCTCTTCGTGCAGGTTCCCAGTTCCCCAGAAACGTCACTGCCTGTCGTCGTACCGAGTCCCTGGGATTAGGCACTGCAGCTATGTCCAATAGGAGGACGACACGGCTGGACGGCAAACTACACGGTAGCTGGAGTTAGACAGTGGTGGCCAGAGAGGAAAAGAAAGTACGGGGATTCTATGTAGAGTATCAAATTTTAGGATCGCCGACCCTAGGGTAATTGATGGTCGAATCATATCAGAGCTTACTTACGTGGAACACTCCGTTAAGGGCATGGGGTCGCTGATATTAAAATGATTGTTCGCGGGCAATCCGATCGGGTCATCTCAATTCCTGAGTATACGTAGTAGAATCGAGTCAACAGATTTCCACATCGGGCGGCACCTGCCATGGTTGACATCGCGGTTCCACAATTCCACAAATACCAAACTGCAATACGAAGTATGGGCAGGAGGATAGAGACACAAGTTTCCAAAGCAAAATAATACAACGGAAATAACAACCTACAAATCAGTGGAAGCAACTGCCAAAATCGGAGATCATTCCGATGTCCCCGAGTATTCAGACTCGACAGATCGGAATCACTCTTCGCTGGCAGGTCTATCCGTTCAATTTACTGCAGTAGTGGCAGTCACGGTGTGGACTGGACCTCGCCGGAACCTAGTCGTCGATCCCGACCTGAAACAATCTACCATTGATCCCCCCAAAGCAAGGGCAAGTGGAAAATACGGGAATCCCAGCAGGGCGGTACGCGGACAATCTCCGCGCAAAGCGCAGCCCTAAATTTCCACATGGCGCGCGGCTCCTCGAGTATGGAGTCTTGGACGTAGTGATGTAACAATAACGAATTTTAAGGCGCGGAATGTGCGGAATGCAACTGCATCGGCTGGTGATCAGGGGTGAAAGCCGGTGCTCGGACCTTGTGTTCGCAAGAAGGACAGAGATTCACATCAACCTCTGGGAATTGATCAGCGTCCATGGGTCCTGGGGTTGAAATACATTCTCAGAAGCGAGGGGAAGGATCTGCCAGCGGGTAAGGGGGTGTTTATGCATGAGAGGTCAAGTCGCGGGGGAAATGTTATCCAGTCTCTAATTGAGTGGGTAATAATTAGGAGATAGGCTGTGCATATGTAGTACGGTAGTCATGTAACTTAATTGTCGCGTGTACCAGCGGGCCCGGATATCTCGAGGATCTCCGCTAGCCGACCACCTCTGCCAAGCCGCCAGATCAAAATTTGAGAGGATTTACAGACTTACAGTTCGAAGGAGCTTCATAGTCTGCGCTGCAGCATGCACGGTGACAAATAGTGTCCTCCCCGGTCGATCGGCCCCTGCACGGTGCACGGCATTATTCCCACAACACGGGGATCTTAGGAGTGGGAAAGGGGTTGGCTAGGATGAACCGACAATGAAACTTTAGCAGTATCGTAGACTATAGAAGTATAGATCTGTGGGGCTTAACCACAGACGTGCATTGAATGCACATAGTTACGAACAATTTAGACCGACTAGCATCACCAAATCAGGCATGACTCTCCCTCCTAGCTTCTGAGGCTTCTTCTTACCATTCCCTTGGGACACGACCAACGCATGCGCGACTCGATCGACCACGATCAGGGATGCTCGCGTGGCGATTGAGTTTTGAATTAATTTACTTCTTGCGCACTATTTATTGATTTCTAGCGAACTTATTATGTCTTTGCTTCTTCCTTCGGAAGGTGCACCCTGCATCGGATGACCGTGAAGTCATGTCCCACGGCTTGGATGGTCGGCAGTTATTACACGGATAAGGCTGCTGCTGCCACCCCTAGATTCCCCGCGTGTACCCTAAGGGGCCTTGGATCTCTGCCCTGACAGAACTAAATCTGGCTAAGCCATCATGAGTGCAAGAATCTTTGGAAAGATCTTTGGAGATATCTTTCCGGGCAGCCCACATAACGTCGCTTGACCTAAGTGGGGAGCTAACTAGTTATCATCCAAAGCATGACTACTCCGTACTAACATCCATCATAAAGTTTGGTCTAGATTCTTAACTTTTCACAAAATTCCGCGTGGTGGCTACAGTGGTGTTCCATTACTTTCCGACCACCTTAATGATGACATAACATTCAGCCGCTCAAAAGAGTTCTCTATTCTCTGCTTCATACATTGATATTTGATTTGGTGAGCTGGTAAACAGAGCTTAATCTATAGTTATAATTTACATAGTTCATATTCAGGAAACGATATTTAATTATTTTTTGACGCGATACAAACAAAGTTCTTGCTGGGAGGGGAAGACTAGGCGGTAGAGCAGAGGCGGTCGGATCTTAATGAAACACCAACATACTAGATCGTATACTATGTTCTTTTGTGCCAGCCAGAAAACCAGCAGCCCTCCCCTTGTCATTCGCCGGCATACTCCAATCTATACCTGACACTCAGGTAGAGCGTGTGAGATCGGCAATCGCCTAAATGTGAACCCAGGACTCTGGATTTCTCACAGAATCTCTCAAAATATGACGATGATCAACAACTCATTAGGTACCATGGGACTCGGAAATCTGATATCAAAGTGGCCCGCCCGCGTGGAGCCTGGCACGCTGGGGGGAGCCCAGCGTGACGGGTCCGATCCGTATGGTTGGGCCCTAGGTGGATCGGGGCGGGAACAGGGTACAACGACTTATTTAGGAAGGTGTCATCTTGACAGGCACTTCTACGAACTACCAGTAGTGTCGGTGTACAATAGACCGAGACGTACAATTTTAGCAAAAACCGCATCTATCTGCTTAAGAGGAAGCTCGCTCCGAATTCAAATGTGGATCTCAGATCTTCAGGTGTGCTTTGTAGATAAAGTATCTGATCTATCCTGAAACCAAGAACGCTGGGCCCTGGGGGCTGACACAGTCTTGCCACGATTGCGTATACATATACCCGCCAAGATGAGATGTTCTCGGCATGCTTGCTTCAAAGGGAAGGAACTTTTGCAGTTCAGGCTGAGGCAGACGCTGAAGCAGACGGGTCCGCCGATTCGACGTGGTCAGCTTTTCCGGTGACAGAGACTCGCTTAGGAGCCTCATCGGCCAGGACAACCCGGTCGCCGAACGAAGCAGCGACTTCTTCGAGAGTCTTTTGCTTGGTCTCGCTGCATGAATGCGTCAGATGGTGCTTGGAGTAAGGAAAATGTGGCGTTGGGAGTACGTACGGGAAGAAAAAGTATGCGATAACAAGGAAAAAGGCGGAGCACACTACGAAGACGTAGTAGTAGTTCTCGTGGATATTGGCGAATGCGCTGGGTCCAGCCTCGGTGACTATTATTTGGAACTTGTATGAGCGATCGTGATCATAGCAATGTGAAATCAGCCTGAATGGCGACGGGGCTCTTACTGGCAACATTGACGATAAAGTGTGAGGCTGCCGCCAGACCCATCACTTTGCTCCGCAGCGCGATGGGTAGGACCTCTGCACCATAGAGCCAGGTTGTGCTGTTGAGGAAACCATCTAGATGAAAACCCAGGACGTTAACAATCCATCTACCTACCTCGTTCCAAGAGACCCTTTCCCCAGACCAAGGCCAACTCCACTGCGGGCAATCATCACGCTGATCCACTTACAGTAACACACGACGAAAAGATAAATGCCCAGAATAGCAAAGCCCTTGCCAACCCGATTATCAGTATTCTGGAACTCGCGCTGCATGACAGCAGCGTAGATCTCGATAAGCACGATGCCCGCCAATCCAGTGATAATCATTCTATACATTCGTCAGTCTCGAGTACCGAGCAATGATTGATCTTCACCTGCTTCATGCTCCACATCGACGCGGGGGGGGTCAGGTCACGTACTTGCGGCGGCCCCACTGGTCCGTCATAAACCTTGTGGTGATAGCGTTTGAAAAGAAGGCGATGGTGCCGTAGACGGCGGCAAGGGCGAGAATCTGGTGTGAGCCAATGCCGAGGGATTTGTACAGGATTGCTGCGGGTCAGATTAGTTACAGATGCTTTGGGTGGGAGTGTTGGTTGTCGAAGATCTGCACGAGGCGAGGCTCACTTTGATAGTACTGTGGGGATGAAGGTTAGAATACGCATTTCGGAAGGAGGAGTCGGGACTGCATCAAGGCACAGCAGAACGTACCTGGATCACGTTGACACCAGTCAGACTAGTCATAGTCTGCACAGCAATGGACCTGTTATCAAAACCTAGTTAGCCATGCTACCCCACAACTCATCTCCCCAGAATCACACTGATACGTACACCAAAACCCGACGACGGAAGAGTCTAAAAATTTCTCGATAGCTCTTAATCTCCCTCTCCATCTCATACTCAATCTGCGCCTGCATAAGCACAAACTCCTCCTCAACCTCATGCGAGTTCACGCCCCGTCGAATTCGCGAGAACTCAGTTCGTGCCTCATCAACCTTCCCATTACGGATTAACTGACGTGGTGAGTTGGGCATAAAAGTTGCCAACCCGGCGAACATGATCACGCCCCAGGGAATCTGGATACCCAAAGGGAGACGCCATTGTACTGGGCCATAGGAGGCATAACTGCAGGCGAAACCGACCCAGTTAGACATCATGGTGCCGAAAGAGATGCCGCAGCCGGAGATACCGCCGATCAGGCCGCGGAAGCGTGGGTCTGAGATCTCGCTGAGGTAGATTGGTACCGTAGCGACCATGCCGCTGGAGGTTGGGCAGGTTAGCAAGGTGCGAGAATGCCGATAAGTCTGAGCATGAGATGCCGGATGAATAGGCTTACCCGACTGCGTAGCCGGCTAGGACGCGACCAGCGAGGAACATGCCGATGTTGATAGAGGCAGTCTGGATGATTGTGCCAATCGTCACGATTACACACATCAGCTGCATGAACCGGATGCGCCCAAGTCTATCACCGATGAAGGTCTGTGTCAGGGCTCCGCCGGCCTCACCGGCGATATACACAGCTACCACCTAGAGGATGATCAGTCAGGGGATGCCTCGATGGAAGAAATAACACTATTTGTCGTTGATTCGGCTGGGACATACAGCTCCGGTCAAGCCCTTGGAGGGCTTTTTCATATAATCAACCCAACTTTGGTGCGCGATAGCTAGAGCAGATATTAGATCTCTGACATCGTCGCCCAGTATAGGAATTGGTCTACTCACTCGTCGTCGCAATGCCAGTATCAAACCCCTGCGTTCAGGTCAGTCGGGCTCCATGAGATCGGTTCTACACAAACAAAGGAGCACATACAAACAAAAAAGTGCCGATGGCAGCGAAGAACGCAATGCCGAGCGAATACCACATCGCCATGGTGAATTATGCGTATCAGATCAGCAATTTACCAAGCGCAATTTTGACGGGATCGAGAGATGACTGATCCGGTGTGTTTGCCAAAGCAGGGCCAGGGTAACCAGGAAGTCCAGCTCTATTATCTAAAAGCCTACCAGCGGCTTTCATCCGAGCAGCCGAGGGAAAGGTCACACAGTGTCCAGCGTAGCAAGATGGCCGAGTTGGCTCGGAGATCGGCCGAGTTGGTAATGATTTCCTGGGGGAATGCGGGGGTGAACGGGTCGACATGCGCCGACGACACGAGGACAAACGTGGGGAATTAGGCGAATATCAATCACCAGCTAACGAGATGATTGGTTCTGACTGTGTACTTTTTCGCGATAGCGTGGAGTTCGTGAACGAAATGCATCCCAGGGAAGATGGAGTCTGAGACTGCACTGAAGGTTTTGGGTTTTGCTTGGCGTGGGGGGTTTGTTCGGAACCGATGACTTGCCACAGTTTATGGAGTCATGATTGGTGTATTTTGTGGTTATGCGGTGGGTGAAAGTCTGAAAGGGCGCGGATTGACCTATGGATGTTCCACTTTGACGAACGAGTCGAAATTACGGCTTGCGTCCTTGAATTTGGAGGATGTTGGATTCCTTTTGGAGTTGATGAGCGCTGTGGCTTGAGGGTCGGGGTTGGTGCGAGTCGTGCTTGGATAGGAGGAAGTTTTAGCACCAGGTTCGAGCACAGGGTTTATTCCCCTTCCTTTTGGTCGGAGGTTCTTTAACGCGGCAACTACTTGCCATCTTGGGGAATGGGGGGAATAATGCAGGGGCTGGTGGTACAGCAGAATCGCTCAGAGCGCCATACATTTCTCGAAAACACGACCATATTGATATGAAGGCGATTGTCAAATGCGGTAAATAACAGTAAATTATTTAGCAGCTTCAGGGTCTTGACTAAACCTGAGATTAGGGTAGTTGACAGGCCTGTCACTCGATGATCCACTTCTCCTCCACCCTAATGGCTGGGGGTATAGATGGTCTCCAGGTGGTCCTTCCTAATATGCGAGACCTAATCTCCACTCGGCCTGGTTCATATCTCCCTGTTCTAACATCTGTCTCCCACTAGCTCCGTCACAGGGTTCAAGTCCAAAGGTGTATTGCATCAGAGCCTAGACCAAGTCCGGACTCAGGACCACGCAACCCTTAGATTAGGTACCGTATCCTTAACTTAAGAGTCGGTGCCGTGATAGGAATGACTATTACGTGCGGTGGAAGAAAGACAGTACACTTCCATATCTACTATAGGCAAAGCCTATAGAAAGAGGACAGTGAGGTCATGTTCACCATCGGAGTAGGAAGTACGAGGGAAACCTGGTGTGAGGGACCGAGATAGAAATAGGGATTTCAGCTGCTGTTCATCCATCAGTCCATCATCTAGACAAGAGAAACGGACTCTATGTGAGGTTTTGAGAGATCTAGGGTCCAGGTTCGGGTCGCATAAGGATCTACGGATCGACATGGATGGATAAGTGCGGCCTAGAAGTCACCGGTGTCTGCAATACCCGACCAGTAGATCAGGCACCCCCACTAAGCGGCCAAATATATCATGTGGAAAAAGCAGGTAGAAAAGAAGAAGACTCGTATCAGGTAGTCATCGAGTTGTTTTTGAAGGTATGAATTCCTATATCATTTTTCCATTGCCACCATCATATGACCTCCACAGTAACAGCGAAGTGTCTGTGCAATGCAGGAAACCCAGAAGCCGAACAAGGAAATGGAACGCTTAGAAGACGAGAGCAGCACCCTTGGTCTTCTTGTCACCACTGCAGAGTAGAAAAAGACATGGTTAGTCAAAGTTTACAAAAAGAATACACCAAGAACTCGGAGTCTCGGTGCGGTGTCAAAGGCATGGAGAGAAACGTACCCAAGCTCGAAGTGCTTGCAGCGCTTGAGAGCGAGCTGCTTCTTGGCCTTGCAGGCAGTGCACTCGAGGCGGAGGACGACCTTCTTGGTGGTCTTGGCCTTCTTGTGGAAGACGGGCTTGGTCTGACCACCGTAACCGCTCTGCTTCCGGTCGTAACGGCGCTTACCCTGGGCGTACAGAGAGGCCTGGTTTGTGGATTCGCATATTAGTGTTTCATTCTTCTGATTTTGTAGCTTGGTCGACGGCAGTCGGGGTTTGGAGCGGCGCCTCGAGAAGCGAGCGGAAAGGATCGGTTTCTCACCTTGCCAGCCTTGTACTGGGTGACCTTGTGCTGGGTGTGCTTGTGGCACTCCCGGCCCTTGCAGTAAGTCCGGCGGGTTTTGGGAATGTTGACCTGTTCGCAGAAGATATTCGTGAGCTATTGTCCGTGCGAATGTGAAAAAATATGCCAGTGCAGGTTTTCTTGTGTCTGTTGGGTCTGATATTTCGAAATTGCTGCAGTCGCGGAGATTCATATGTTTGACGAGCGCGAGCTCGAGGAAACCATTTCTTGAATGTGATGGACTCGTGAGACGGGCTTGTGCTCGGCTCGTGGAAATTTCATGGTTTCGTCCCCTCCATCGTGCGGTGCTCGTGTTCAGTGTCGACTTTCCGGTCGCAGTCCCAACTCAGTCGAATATTGACTTTCACATCGCGTTGTCGAGTATTCTCAATCGCCGATCCAGTTGGAAGGTGAAATCCGCAGTGTTGGCGAGGATCGGTCGGTCATCATCGTTCGCGGCGTCGAGTTCGGCCACACAAGATCGTTTCTTCCCGTTCACACAACATCTCCGCGACCTCGCAACAAATTTCGATCGATCAAGACTTCAAGGCACAGCAACCTAAAGGACAGAACGTAAAAGCCTTACCATTTTGACTGGGTTGCCGGATAGCGAGGTGGTGGTCGTTGGATGTCGCTTGTCGGAGAAGAACCAGCGGACAAGTGTGGTTGTGGGATTTCGTTCGCTTAGTGCCCTATTCGGTCACGCGCTTAGCCTGATTAGGTTACTACCGCCAAGACTTGGATGAGTCATCACTTTGAAGAGGGCCGCATTTCCCAATTGGGAAGTTACACTTGCCATTTGCCATTCATTTTCTAACAATTCTTCATTCTGATGGTCTATATGCTATTGCAGCGTTCAGATGAATCGGGTTAAGGGAAGCCCTCTCCGATAAGGACACTCTCGCCTTTTCCATACCAGGATCGACCCTTCATCAACTCCAAGCCTTGCTCCTGTCCGACTGTCCATTCGCCCCGCGAGGGGTTGCCAAATCGCTTCCAATCATTTGATCTCAATTCCTGGTTGATGTCCTCGATTGTAGCCACCAGTTCATGTGCTTGTTTTCTACATGAACCTGGTTCTTCTGGCCGGTTTTCAGACCGTCCAACAGGGCGCACAAATCGTGCGATAGTAACATGCGCCGATGGCACAGTGTACCGTGCCTCAAGCGGGCATCCAGATTGAGTCACAAAATCGTAGAGATCGCTACGTAGATGCTGGTATGAGTAGCCCCCATCGACTTCAATATCTGCATCATCCACGGCAGGGACGAAGCTCAAGGCTAGAGCCGATGTATCATAGCTGAGAATTGGGCGCACCAATCGGGCACGGTTGGTGAGCGTATAGTTGACGATATCTTGCAAGTTTGCATTCTCCTTGAGAAATCTTTCAAACTCATTCACCTCAGCTAGAGTCCGTGCCGGCAGTATCTCCAGCGTAGTCATATGGAGATGGTCCGCAGGGGTGAGCCAAAGACCTAGAGCCCCGCGTTAGCTTCTTGACTCCGCACTGTCGAGCGAAAATGACTCACATGGGCCTGCTATGGGCGCAATAATCTGTTGTATCTCACAGACCAATTGTTGGATGTGTCGTGGCGGTCGAGACCAGAGGGACAGGTTATTTCTTGGGTCGACATACTGGGTGAGCCCCAGCTTAGCTTCGAGGACTCGATGCAAGATCTCATCGAACTGCCATGTTTGAAAGTTGGGGTCGAGAATCAGCTCCTTAAACTTTTCATTCCGGGCTGATCGGTGCTTTTCAAAGGCTTGTTGAAGCGTTCCCTATCAGCTTGGTCAGCCTTAAATTCGACCTGGGACAGCTGGAGATGAGCAGAAATTACCGTGTCGATGCCGCATTCGAGGATCAACTGCTTGAACACATTTGATTGTATTCGTGCGGATTGATAGTGGGTTTCGATAGTCATGATCTGTTTTCTGTGTCACTTCAACTCTATCTCTATTCGTGGATCTGAATATGTAGCTGAGTCGGCTACCGGTCGCGATCAATGAGTTGGGGTTCAAGGTAAGGCAGCGATAGAAAGCGGATATATATCCACTCGATGGAGTACGGTGGTACTCGGGGACAGGTATCCTCTCAAAGTACGTCGCGCGAACGATAAAAACCACGATTATCGCAGAAGACCTCGTAGAAGTTGGAGTCAATGGTTCTCTCCTCACATTTATTTAGCTAAGAGATTATTTTCAACCAATATCTAATTAACAGCCTAGGCACTATACCAAGCGCATGACGAAACCGGAAGATTTTGCAAAACAATCAACACCGCCCTGGATTGAGCGAGCCATCATGGACGGCATTTGTACGGAACAAGAAATGATTCTACTTGACTACACAAGATCATATAGTAGCCCTTACAATTTATGAAGTAGCTTCCTACAAAAATGAAAGAAAGTCACCAGTCCAGCCGGTAATAAAGCCGTCACCAGCCTCATTATCAATCAGGCAATAAGGCCGCTGGCCCCACCAAAACCCCGCCAACGCGGCTCTCTCTTTCTCTCCTTCCAGAACCCTCATCGACCTACACGACCTCCTTCCATAACCAACACCACAAAACGATCTCCTCGTCCTCCACCTAGACCCATTCTTCCTACTACCATAGCCAAAGCCATCGAATCGCCAAGATGCTGATCAAGTGAGTGGCGGTGCCAGCCTGGGCCTGCGATCCTGCAATTGCATCATTGTCGGCCCGAGACGAGGAACACCAGAGTAGCTTGGCACTAACATTTTCTCCTCGACCAGGGTCCGCACACTCACCGGCAAGGAGATCGAGTTGGATATTGAGCCCGACTATAAGGTGAGATTCAATATGCCCTGTATACCTACGAGAACTCGCGCGGAAATGCTTGGTCGTTTCGACCGGACAAGGCTACAGCTCCGCAGGAAGCTCAATATATTCAAGAGTAACATAGGCTGACATGTGTTGATGAATATAGGTCTCTCGGATAAAGGAGCGCGTCGAGGAGAAGGAGGGTATCCCCCCGGTCCAGCAGCGACTCATATTCGGCGGCAAGCAAATGTACGTCCCTATCTCCGTTTCCCATACATAAAGAGCTAGCTCTTCAGCCGCCCGTTTGAGATCGCCCGGTTAACCTGTCCTTTTCTTGTTATTGCTAGGGCGGACGACAAGACGGCGGCTGAATACAACCTCGAGGGTGGCGCCACGCTTCACCTTGTGCTCGCCCTGCGTGGTGGATGCGATGCGATGTAACGAGTTGTTCCCCCCCCTCCCTGTTAAGATACCATTTTACTTCGAGCAATGTGATTCAAAATTGAGGTGCTGCGTCCGCGCAGAGCCATTTGCAATCAAATCGTGCCTTTTTAATTTCTTCCGAGTACCGGCATATCGTGGGCGGCGGTATGTTCATGGCTTCTTAAAAGCTTTGGATGAGTAGAGTAGTGGGCCGTGCAAGTGCTGTATCTTGTTTCGGAACTCATATACTCCAGCGATTTGAGTTCATGGACGTCTTCCCGGAGTCCGAATTTAAAAGGTAACTGCCATCAAATGAGAAAAGGAAACTCCGAGTCATGCAATACACATTCAGTCCCACCGGTCAAAGACCTGATAATCCCCATATCCAATTCCCGAGTCTATGTCCAATTCCCGTACCATCCTGTTGAACGCCTAGAAAAAATGCATCATGTACACACGTTGGTGGCCAACAGACCAAGCAGAATAAGGATGAATGTCATGAACAAGAAAGACACGCTAAATTGAAGACAACGCTAAGAAGGCAATTATTAGGCGACCCGCCTCTTCTTGGGTCGAAGGAAAATATCGACTTCTGGTCGTTTCCGGACAATGGCTGGACGGGCGGCGGGCTCGGAAGTACTATCTGGTCTACCACCAGAAGGGCTATCGACAATCGATGGCTGGGATGGTGAGGGTGAGTGGGTCTGAGGAGGTGGAGAGGTAGCTCTGCGCTTGGGGATAGCTCTTTTGACTGGCGATGGAGCTTCCTGGGCCGTGGGTGGAGAGCCATGAGGATTAGGTGTGGTAGCCGTGGCAGCAGCAGCAGGAGACGAAGGCAATGTCTTTGGTGGCAATGGCTTGCCCGATGCAATGGCTTTCAGTCTCGCCTCCCGCTCCGCCAGTGAAGACGAAACCCGGAGATCAGAGCCTAGACGAGCAGAAGTAGACGAAGACGCAGACCCAGCTCTCCCAGGAACGGGCAAACGGCCCGGAACGATACTCTGATTTTCACGCCTCGATACAGCTTGCTCCACTGGCCGCCGATGCTCCTCAATCAATGACCTTGGCGCCTTCTTGATCTGTGTCGCCCTCGTACTGAGATGCTTCGTCGGTACCGCCAACGCCGCATTCCTCCTCTGCGGCGCAAAAATTGCCGCCTTCTTCTTTGCTTCCGGTGCCAGAAGACCACCCGACCGTGGTACATAGACTCCTCTTGGAGCCATGCGTGGGCGGGATGCACGTACTCCCCTTGGCAATTGGCTCACGACCTTTGGCTGGAGCTGGGCACGCTCGGATTTGATTCCGTCGATGGCCATTTTCATTTTTGCGGCATCGGCATCGAGTTCACGTTGGACTTCGGCTTGAAGGTCACAATAGATTTCGTACCAGCGGTTGGTGTGTGTGGGGATATCGTAGGTGTTCCATCGCGGGATGTCACGTTTGATTAATTCGAGCCAAATTTCTTGATCTTCTTCGGCGAGGTGGGGGGATAGGAGTTCCATTGAATGCTACGTATGAAAAGAACGTTAGTACATATGCTTTGTATGGGTGTATAGGCAATTATTTCGTTGTTAGCGCATGGAGTGTGACGTACCAGCTTTTCTGGATTGTCGACTTTCATTAGGATCGGACGAGCGAGGGCATACGGGAGGTTCCCGACATCGGTCAGCACTGCATAGACATGGGTCAGATTGGCGAACTATCTCAGGTGTGATAAAATCATCTTCTTCGGGGGTTGTTTCTTCCGATGCACTCACACTTCACATGCTTGATTGCCGTGGCTGTTGCCAGGTGTTTCAGCGATGGGGCAGGCATAGTTAGGACGGTATAGAAATCGACCACGTGCTCTGTGATATGCTCTGTGATAGGAAGAATGACATTGAATGAGAACCAAATGAGAGACCAAACGAGAGGGTGGTCGGGACGAATAAAGATCTATGGCGGGCGTTGGGTGAGAGACTCGGAGACTCGAGGATGGGTCCGGCGCTGCGGTCATCGGGTCCGATAGGCCTGAGGCAACTGTGGGCGGATCATTGAGCTTACATGTGGGCTCCTTTCCCCTGGAATGTAGAGGCAATCGAGGAACGTCGGTGGTTTGTAGACTCGATTGTATATTCATATGTGTATACGTTTTGAATTTGAGATAGAGAGAATCAGGTGGAAACAATTCACAGTAATTTTCAAGAAAACAAAAAAGCTCATTGGCTTTTTGGTACTTTGGGGTATACGCAGACGCATGTCTGTAGACAGACGAAGCGGTATTTGAAGGAAAGCTATTGATTGTTACCAAACCGAAGAGCAGACCCGAACTACATCGAAAATGACAAGATTCATTGTCGAAAATGTCCCTCTTGGAGAATATGCAATATATTTCAGTTCACTTGAGCTCAACCTAATCTGCCTATGATTGCTAGCATGCCACGTGACGTATAACACAAACAAAGCAAACAGATATCCGACAGCATCATGAGGGGCTGCGCTTTCCTAACATTCTGCGGAATTATTCAACGCAAGCATTTTCCAGATACCATAAGGTAAGTTCATGTGCCTTCTTTCCAAACCTGCCGACTTCCTTCTTGATGGAGCTTGCTCGCTTCACAAAATTGAGTTGGGCTGCAATATTCCAATGCGTCAGGATTCTGGTACTTGCTGAATTCATTGGCATACCCACTCGATTATCGAAGCCCGACGCGAGCATCTTTCTCCATTTGCCCCTCTCCATACCACAATGAATCTGAATATATTTCACCGGGGAGCTATTTATGGACCAAATCACCATTGGAATACTAGCTTTAGTCTAGCTTAATTTCTGCGTGATCCTCAATTTATGACGTCACATGCAACAGTTTGCACCAGAATGACTTCAAACACGCCTCTAACAATTTATCTAGGTCAATCACAATGCCCCCTCGCTCCCAGCTTGAGATCCACACCTCCTCCGTCCTTCGCTTGGTCAAGGAGGAGGCTTCGTATCACCGCGAGGCGGTGGAGCAGGCTGAGCGCATCAAGAAGCTCGAGAACGACAAGAGCGAAGATGAGAATCGCGAGTATCTGTTACAGCAGGAGGTTTGTCTACCAATACCGAATTGATATCTGGGGCTAGCGAGCCCTCAGATGTGCATTTTGAATTGAGACAATCTTGAGTATGTGCTGATATAGACTAGCACCGTGCTCTCGAGGAGACCAAGAAGGTCTTCCCTTCTTTGAAGAAGAAGCTTGCCGAGACTGTGGCGGAACTGCAGTCCCTTATTGTGAGTATTTTGAATCTATGTCCTCTACGTGATACGCGTATATTGACTGTGAGCTCTAGGCCGAGGAAGGTGCCAAGGGCGCTGAGAGCAACGTGGCGCATATAACTGCGGCGAAGGAGGCTATCGCACAGGCGAAGACTGCAGAGCGCGAGGTGTCTTGAACCAAACTACTCCTAATTCAAGTCTAAGCGACGAAAGAAAAATAATACCCAGTTTATCAAATGATCGAATGAATGTATTCTAAGAAGTTTCCCAATGGAACGCCGCCAGACCAAGACCATAATACTCCAGGGCCGGTAGTAATGTACATGCGTAGATCGTATTCACGAGATATCCATTCTCTCGTCCGGCAGTTCTTCGCCTTCCTCGAGCTCATCCGATTGTTCTCCTGCCTCCTCGGCTGTGACCTCGCCCTCATCTGCCATGTTGGTATCCTCTAGATCCGTAGCACCCTTGTCACCTTCTGCGCTGATTGCCTGTCGAAGTGGAGAAGCAGCTCCCGTTGCACCAGAGGCCTTTTCAATCTGTAACCGGCCACTTTCGTCCTGGCTATGTTGCGACGGGGTCATACTCTCACCCTCCGGAAGAGGGCTGTTGGCAGCACTGGGTTTGCCCTTTGAAGTAGCATCACCCTCATCACCATCCTCACCCTCCTGCATGCCTTCCCGTCGCTCGACTTCTTCCTTTTCATCGCGAATTAAGCGACGGAGCTGCATTCCTTCCTCCACGATCCGGCCAAACTGTTCTCTCCGATCCGCCCATGTCGTCGCGTAGTCCTTGCTCTCCTTCTCCAACTCGGTAATCTCCATTTGCAATTTCTGCAAACTCGCCTGCTGGTCCTCCCTCGGCTTGAGCAGGCGGTTGCTGGTAATCTTATCCGCGAGGTCATCGTAGCTCTTGCGCAGGGCAAGCAGCTTTTGTGCTTCCTCCAGCTGAGTGCGGAGCTCGGTCGTATTCTTGCGGACCGACTGCATCGTATCTAGAATGGCCAACTTCTCGGTCGCGTATCGTTGGCGCTCGGCCTCGTTGCTATTGAGGAGGAATTGTATTCGGGCAATACTGCCCTCAAAGGCAGCAAAGTCGAGCGTCACATCCTCGCGAAACGTGCGCCATTCCTCAAGTCGCTTTTGCCGTTTGGCTTCTGGGCTTGCGCTCGTATCGGCGTCGGATTCGTCGGGCGGAGGAGTGAGTGGAAGGGAGGCATTGGAGACGACGAGTGAGTCTGGGTTGAGTAGACGTTTGGAGATGCGCTTGAATGGCTTTTCTTCGACGTTGAGAAGACGCGACTTGTGGAGGGCGTCTGTGACAGCTGGAATGTCAGTCCTGAGAGCTGGTTGGCATGGAGGTGGCATGAGACTGGACCTTCTTCTGGCTGGCCTAAAAGCCCGTACGAGGCCATCTGGGGAACCAAGAGGTAGTTAAAATGATCGCAGTGACTATTGCAAGAGGCGCGATGGGACCGTTCGGTCGTGGAGGATGATACGGGGACGGTAATGTGTTGAGGGGGATGAATTGGTGAGGGGAGCATCAGAAAAGTGAAGCCGAGCGGTCTGGCAGGATCAGCCCCGAGAATGCAAAGCTGCTTTCCCCAGACATTCCTGTGCCCAGCAGACCCACGACCCACAATCCACCTGCTGTCTCTTTGACTTGAAGTCTGTCACCTCCCCCCATTTCCCCAGACATTCGAACATTTGAGACATTTAAAGCTTGCTCCGTAGCCTCGCCCTTTACTACTTCCCCCTCCCACCCCTTATTTACTTCGATGATGACCGGCTGAGAGACTACGCCGCGCTCCGCATTTGACCCGCGCGTCCTTCCCCTCGTGACCTCAGGACCATCGCGCTGCGCGGCTTGTACCCTGATGGAACTTGCTGCTCGAGTAGCTGTGACGGGCGTCTCAGTGGCTCGGTCGTCTCTATCTATCTTGCAGCGGCTCGCGGTCTTCCTGTCCCCAACATGACGGAGATGTACTCGGGACTGCACGCGGGCCAGCGCTTCTCGTCCTTGGAGGAGTTCAAAACGGTCATTCGAAGTATATCAGTCCGGCAGCATTGGGAGCTTCGTGTCATTCGAAGCAATAAGAAGAGTGTGGTGATTGGCTGCCGATCTTCGGCCAATTGCTATTTTCGCGTTGTTTGTCGGTCAAACAAAAACGCGACTTATATTACCAGTCTTCAAGACAGCCATAGTTGCCGACGAAGCGCTGATTCGCCGGCCGCGACACCGGCACGCTCTGAAGCCTCGCACGTCCGCTTCTTGCTGAGTGAGATCCCGAAACTCTTCGATATGAAGAGCAGGATCAAAGGGCAGGATGTGGTGGACGCCGTCAAACGCTACCACGGATATGACATTTCCATGAGACAAGCACAACGGGCATTGACTAAGCTACAACCGCGCCAATCTGATATGCAAGGAGACAATGCTTTGGATATGGATATGAGTACGGGTGATCAGCATTCGCCTGGGCCGTCTCTAGCCGAGTCGCAAGGCGAAGTTGGACCAGCATACCGAGATCTTTCGGAGACTCGCTGGCTGCCAGACCATCTCCCATCCTCATTGATGCACGAAGCTTCTGTCAATCCTACCGGGTCTCCAGACCCTGTAGTTGCACGATTACCACCTCCTGCCCCAACCGCTCATTCTGTCCGACCTCCCCAGATTCCACAACCACCATCCATTGGAACACCCACTCAATCTGTATTGAGCAATGATCCCCACCCTATAGTTCCACAGCAAGGGATAGGATACCAAACGAGTGCTCCTTTACCCGTCGCAGCACCAGAACACCCTAAACCGTCCGGGTATCCCCCACGCCATGACCATCCTGCGGTTCCCCAGATGATTCTGACCAACTTCAAAATTGAATTTACCTGTACAACCTGCGGGTCTCTGAATCAGAGTTTCTTCCCAAACCAGGGCAATGTCACGGGACCTGGCTATATGTCTCATCATCCGATGGCTGAGCAAGCTGCCGTGGCGAGGCATTCTGGCCCTGCACCCTCGAATGCGCCTGATGGTAGTAACAATGAGGTTCCAGAAGACGGCGGGTATGCCGTCAATGCTCTTAACGCCCGTGTCATGCACAATGCATGGGCAACTGGAGGTCTAGGGGTTCCTATTGGTCCGGCGAATACATAACCATTGAACAGGATGCTCCTACATCGCTTCATTTCTTATCTTACTTTCTCCATTAACATTTTCTACCTTTTTCATCTCTTATAGAGGCCTATGTGGCCTTGGGATCGATAACAGGACTACCGGTCTCTTGACGCCATGATCGTCAGACATTCGCTGGATTTTGACCGAAGGACTTTCGTTCTGGTGACATCCGACTTTTGCTTTGTTGATGCACCTGGAAACAGACCAGGTTTGAACCTTTAGAAACAGATGAAACTTGAGTTTCAGTGACTGCTATTCTTATATATGGTCATTCGGGGAAGGATGGATCGATGGATATTCGGATTCATTGATTACGATGACGACGAGACATGACAGCTGGAAACTGCTTACTTGCTTCTTTTTTCTATGTGATACCTACCATTCATGTGCTTTGCACTGGCTTGCCTTTGCTACTTCTTGGATTGACTGACTAAATCCACGTTACTGTCTCTTCCTCAGGCTTGTGGGAATTGTCACTTTGATAAATCATGGGCCTCTTCGTAGTGACCCACCATGAGGCGGTATTATGACCCATGATGGACCCAATAAGATTGTAAGATATGATCAGCTGGTGCGAAAAAGCCCTCGGCTCATAATTCCTCTCCACTTCCCCGGAATCCGCTTTGGACCTTCTCCACATCCTGCACCGACAGTGCTGATCTTCCCCGCAACAAAGCACACGCGTAAAATGACCTTGTCAAAGCTCCTCAGACCTGAATTTCTCATCATGCTCGAGAAAATGAAAGTGATTGAGACTATAGGTCCATTTTGAGAAGTCAATAAAAGCCACAGGAGCGCCTCGACATGGGGCCAGTCTCCCGATCAGTAGGCTGCTCCCCATTCCTAACGCAAGCTACTTGACCCTGCCAACGCCAAAGGAGCGATATTCGGCAGTGAAGCAGGGTATTAAATTCACGAGTCTCTCGGCAGAGTGACTCTCCACTGTTTAGTGTGCAGCACCTTCATCGATCCGGTGAAATGCCACCCGCCCCCCGTCCTCTGATGCACCAATGAGACTGCACCTTTCCCGAGCATAACTCCTCCCCACGGGGAAGCTGTAGAGTCTACCCTGTGTTTTTTGAACTAGGCCGATCGATACCTGTCATGACATGGACCAACTCCGCATGGCCCCACAGAAGACCTGGGGAGGACTGTGTCGATGTGTTCGCGGCATGAAGGGGACGTGTTTCCTGCTAAAAAGCCCCTCTGATCTGGACCATTGGGAGAAAACACGACGATCTGCTGTGTCTGCGGATCTGGGACTTGACTGATTCTCAAGACCCCTTTTTTGTTCTGTTCTTTTGGAAGAGCCTTTTCGTGAAACACGCACATCTTAGGACCATGGGTGATAATCAAGAGAAGAATGGCCTCCGGGTGCATTGGAAGTCGTTGGCGGCTTGCTCACTAATCTCCATGTCGCCGTTTCAATATGGAGTGGACTTCACTATGATCGGTGGTTTCCAGGCCATGGTAGGGTTTCTGAAGGTCGGTATCGTTTTGCCAATAGAGCTCCATTCTCCGACTTCGAGCTACGAATGGCAATTCTGACCTTGACTATTCCTTCTAGGTCTTTGGAGAGCAATCGCCAAATACTTCGATTGGATGGAATATTCCACATGAGCGCCAGCAGCTGATTTCTTCGCTCATGACGTTGGGTGCCTTTGCGGGATCTTGCTCGGCTGGTATGATCCATAGCCATAAAAGAGACGAGATAGGACTGATGAAATGAGTACAGGACCGATCGCAACGTACGTTGGCCGGAAGACATCCCTGTACCTTGCGGTCTTCTTGATCTATGTCGCAAATATCGTCATGATGACTACCGACTCTATCGGCGGTCTCTATGCTGGTCGTTTGATCATCGGAATTGGGAACGGCTTTTTGATGACATTCTCTCAACTGTACATCCAGGTACGTGAGGAGCTTTCAGTATCATCAATGACGCAAAAAGAGAAGAGACAAAATGGCTGATATGTTTTCTAGGAATGCTCCCCTGCCCGCTACCGTGGCCTCATGCTAGGCGCCTTCCAATTCTGGACTTCCTTCGGCTCCCTTCTCGGAACGATAATTGACAACTTTACCGCCAAGATAGACGGCAAGAACAGCTATATAATTCCTCTGGGACTGGTCTTCATCATTCCCGCTTTCTTGTGCGCTGGTATGTTCCTCGTCCCCGAGTCTCCCCGCTGGTTGCTTCAGCAGGACAAAGTCGAGGAAGCACGCAAAGCGCTCGTGTGGCTCAGGCCGGATCAAGAGACAGTAGACAAGGAGATGGATGATATCCAAACTGCAATTGAGCTGGAGCGGGATATGGCCAATGGTGTGTCTATTTGGGATATGTTTGCTAACCCCGTTGATCGACGCCGGACGATCCTGGCCGTTGCGGCCGTGTCAACCCAGGCTGCCTCTGGAGCTATGTACATGATTGGTGAGCGATCTGTTCAAGATGAACAAAAAATGTACACAAAGATACTAACAACAACATTCTAGCTTACGGTACTTACTTCTTCGAGATGGCTAATGTCGGCAACGCTTTCGAGAATAGCTGCATTCTCACTGCCCTCGGCGTAGTAGCCATCCTGATCAACATTGCAGTCATCACTCGCATTGGACGCCGCAGACTTTTCCTGACAGTTGGTTTGATCATCTGCGGTTTCAGCCAGCTTATTGTCGCAATCATATACACCATCCACCCAGGTACTCAGGCCACTGGTAAAGCAATCGTTGGTCTATCTGTCATTTTTATTTTCGCATACAACGGTATGATCTCGACCTATGCTTGGGTTTCGGGTGGAGAGCTTCCATCTCAGAGATTGAGATCGTATACATTCGGGTTTGCCGCGGCAGTAGGATTCTTAGGTGCTGTGAGTGAACGAATGCCTTCCTTGACGTTTGGAGGCTTGAGAGCACTAACTTTCTTTTCCCGGCCCAGTGGTTGGCCACTTTCACCGCGCCCTATTTCATCAACCCCGACTCCATGAACTGGGGGTAAGCTAGCAAATGACGATATCCGAATACTTAAAATTATGCTGACAACTTTCACAGTCCAAAATATGGGTACATTTGGTTCCCATCCTGCTTGGTCGCTGCTGCCTTTATATACTTCTACCTCCCTGAGGTTAAGGGCCGGACCTTGGAGGAGATTGATGAAATGGTACGTTTTGCCTGGCCAGAATGAATTACAGAGCATCACTAATAAGGGCTCTACAGTTTGAACAACGCCTTCCCGCTCGCAAATTCTCGTCCTACAAGTGTGTTGGGCCAGCCGCACTCGAACAGAGACTCAAGGCTGCAGGCAATCTGGCTGAGGTTGAGGTAGAAGAGAATGAGGACCGAGCTTCTGGTGATTCCGAGAAGGTTGCCACACAGACTATTGAGAACAAGGTTTGAAGTGGACTTGACTCATAACTGGTACCAAGATCGAATCAGATCTTGTAGGCCAGCCGATATAGCGAAGTGGATATAGCACATTTCAATTAAACTATCAACTTCGCTGGTGTTATGCTTTTCGTAATTTCTGTACTATCAGTAGGGATATGTTCGTCTCTATCATTTGTTAAACCAATTTTATCTACAATGATCTTAAAGCAAAATTTTTTTGTAAATTCATAGTGATAGATTCTTTCGCTTTTGCTTGAGGGGGTTTCCGGTTCTGTTCTAGCAGTCTATCGATCGACGCACCTATCCTAGCCCATGCCTTACAGCCAAGGTGGAACGACACTAGATCGCGACCAAAGCCGCCCTATAATTCTAGAGGCCATTATTTCCGTTTCATATTCCTTGCAAGAAGCCGAAGTTTTCGAGAAAAATTAATTGTAAAGAAAGGTCATAAACTATCATTCTATACCGATTTACCTAACTGAGATAGAATTTACTGCAGCCGCTTTACCACTTCGTCGAATGTTTCCTCAGCATTCTTCTTAGCATCAAACTTGAAGACCCAATCCTCACGGGGAAGCTGAATAGATGACGGATCTTTCGCAACTTCATCCCAGTCCGCTTTATGCCACATATCACGAGTGGTTTCACCTGTCTTCTGAACGGCCCTTACCCGATCATACCTAATTTCCTGATACGCACGTACCGCATTTGGGATACTCGCTTTCCCACCCCTCTTCAGACACACGGCTAGTACAACCCCGTCTTCCATTGCCTGCGTTGCGCCTTGGGCGGATGTAGGAAGGAAGGGATGAGCTGAATCACCAAGAAGTGCGATACGCCCGTGATCACTGACCCATCGAGGCAGTGGATCTCTGTAGACGAGTTTCCAATCCACCACCTCAGGGGTTTTCTCCACAATGGCCTTGCAGATCGGGTCCCACCCTTCAATGACCTTGTATACGTCTTCGAGCTTGCCGGGGAAGGACCAAGACTCTTCGATATCGGCTTCATCCTAGTGTTTGGAAATATGAATCAGACACTGAGGTAACCATGGGAAGAAGAGACCACATACTTTGTGAGTCAAAACCCAACAACAATCTTGTCCGTTCTTAATGGTTGAGAAGAGGAAGTGCACATCAGGACCAATCCAGCCATTAAAAGTATCGCCGTTTTCGCAGAAATGCTTGGTTCGCGGATCACGGATCATATCGGTATTTGGAAACCTGAACCCAATGATCAGTCAGGAAACCCAGGACTCAGTGTCGAATTCCTGAAGTGAATTACTCACCATGCGCGGAATACAGCATAGCCACTCGATTTTGGCTTGTCAAAGTAACCCAAAACAAGCTCGCGGGCCTTTGAACGTACTCCATCAGCTCCGATAACAACATCTGCAGTAATCTAGAAACCAATCAGTCATTTTTGCACCGATCTGAGAAAAAGGCAAGATAAAACCAACTCTATCACCATTGTCGAGAACTATTCCAGCCTGGTTTTCATTCTCAAAATATTCCGTGACTCTGTGTCCAAGGTGAATTGGAATACCCAGCTCATCTTTGGCATAATTGAAGACCACCGTGTGAAGCTCGCCTCGGTGGCCATTGAAAACCGGCGCATCCGGGTCGGCGGGTGGAGCGAGCTGGGTGTGTACAAGCTCGCCAGTCCATTTGTGGATTTTGAAACCATGATTCTCTAGATTGATGCTGAGAGGCCTTAAGCGATCTGCGATAGCTCCGTTTGACCAGCGTCGATAGATACGACCTGCATTGGGACCGAAGGAGATAATATCGCCAAGAGCCTTGAGCTCTGTGTTTACATGCTCTGGTTAGACAGGCCTCATTGCTGGGATCTCGTGCGTTACCTGGAAATGACTCGTATACTTCCACAGTGTGCCCTTGGCGGTGGCATTCAATTGCAGCTGTCAGTCCACCGAATCCTGGTCTTTGTCAGACATACTACACTGGGACGAGTGTGGATGGAATTGTCGTACCAGCCCCAACAATCACGATCTTAATTCCCGTCGGCTTGGCCGTTGAGCCGTTCGAAGGCTGAGGAATGGTCATCTTCCACTGTTTGTAGAGTTTATCCTTGCGATATCAAAATTTCTCCTTGTGAGGTGAGACAGGATGTAAAAGCTCTCTACAGAGCGATGCCCTTAAATCTAAACACTACGTCGGGGTCATCATTTCCGATGGGCCCTGGAATAACCCCAAGCTGAAACGGCTACGCTTATATCGACAACTGCCGAGCACTATACCAAATGCGTCTTCAAATGAGGGCTCGGCCATGCTTGCCGGTTTCCCCTCACCAATTACCAGTCATGCTTTGCCATACAAGGGGAAAAGTGGAGAGCAATCCTGCGGGGCCCCAGGATCCTCCGAGTCAAGTTGATGAAATTGAGTAACTAGTGTGTGACGCCCCGCATCCCCGCACTTGGAATTGTCGATTACTATCACAGGCCATCGCTTGGATGTCTCTAGCTTTGTGAGGTCGCAGGCTAAAGTGTAATGGAGAGTGCTGGTGGGAAGATTGCTTTGTGGGGCTGGGATAGACTGGGACTTTCATTGCGGGGCTGTAACTGAAGTATTTCGAATTTTGACGGAAGACAATAAATATAGTCCCAGCACTAGGGCGATGACACGAGAACAGGCATAAGAAGTATCCTGCAGATAACAGTGATCGAGGGTAAAGATGGCTACGACGCATTCAGAGTACAATGAACAGACTACCGCAACAGAAGTTGCGAGCGCATTCGCCGATCGAATCCGCGGGAGAAATGGTCAGTCATATGCTGTTCTTTCGGCGTGAAGAAACGTAGATATTAACAAACTTTCTCAGTGGTGATCACTGGTGTCGGTCCCAATAGTCTGGGCGAAGCTCTTGCATTGGCAATTGGAAGTCAACAACCAGCGAAACTATTTCTGGCATCGCGCACAAAGTCCAAAGTCCAGCAAGTGGCCGACAAGGTAAAGCAACTATCACCTGGGACCTCAGTCGAAGCAGTGGTTTTAAATCTTGCATCTCAAAAATCTGTTCATGCTGCGGCATCAAAGATTCAGAGCGAAGTCGATCGAGTGGACATACTGATTAACAATGCCGGCATGATGGTACTAGATAAGGAGACAACCGAGGAAGGAATTGAGATCCAATTTGGTACCAATCATATTGGACATTTCCTCTTCACTAACCTGCTCATGGGTCAGTTGAAGAATGCTGCTAAGTCCTCGGAAGAGGGGTCGACTCGAATCGTGAACGTGACCAGCGCTGGTCATCGTCTGTCACCTCTTCGCTTCCATGACTACAATTTCGAGGGCAAGGAGGTGCCTGTAGATGAGAGACCCCCCGATGGCTTGCCTCCTATGTTCAGTCCTAGTGCTGGGGGCTATAATGGATGGCTGGCGTACGGACAGTCCAAAACAGCAAATATTTTGTTCACCGTTTACTTGACCCAACACCTAGCCTCTGCTGGCATTGTGTCGTATAGCGTTCACCCTGGATGTAAGTCTCCACTCCAAGTGACTTTGACTATGACTCGTTCGAAACTGATGGCATCCAGCAATTTGGACCGGTCTGAGTCGAGGCCTTGACGATAGTGGAAATCAGATCATGTCCAAGACGAGCAACTTTTGGAAAACAGGGGACCAAGGCGCTGCAACCATGCTCGTGGCTGCATTTGACCCGGCTCTGAAAGGTGAGCCTTAGACATCTCGGTCTCTATCATCAGTTGTTAACCTATTATAGCTGTTTCCGATCCCTCGGCGGTCTACCTTAGCGACTGTCAACTCGCAAAGACTGCACCTCACGCGGTTAATGTCGAAGCTGCTGAGAAACTACACCATTTGAGTGAGGAGCTTGTGGGAATGAAGTTTCCACTGTGATGTCACTTGTCAATGCGATCGGGAGGTCCGACGTCTAGACTGTGCTCCGTGAAAATATCGAATCCCAGCCGTTTCTGGCTATCAATGCGACTCCGCAATGAAGCACGTTGTCCAAGCGAAGATCGCACCGCTCGTTATGTAGAGACCTGACTATTGATTTAAGACCCTTTGAAACGCGTCTAGACAATGCAGTAAATCCTTGATCTAAGGCACATTTGCATCTGCGACGGTGCGTCGGCTGTCCGATCGGACATCCGAACATGGGACCCACTTATATGGCCAATGATAGCGCAAGATTATGCGGAATTAGGCCGTCACGGCCTAGGAAAGCCTCCCACTGGGAAAGGATTAGGACAAGATGAAGGACTTTTCATTTGGCGTCGGAGTCATATCCGACACCAACCCTGTACAGCGGCGAAACTCTCCCATCCACAATCAGGTTTAGTTGCCGATAAGCCGGATTGCACTAGAGCACTGTGACATGGAGAAAAAATATTCCCATCCTTAATCTTTGATTCTTTTGGTATTTGATATGGTCTCGCTCCCACTGTTACCGTCGAGATCAGTATCCTCCCTTGGAAGTGGATAGATATCCTTACTTAAGCTTCTGCCAAGCCCTGCCCTCAACCGTTACAGACCCGACTCATACTATTTGATCAACCCGCATATTTCATATTCTTATTAAACAGTCTAATCGGCTTCAATCTGAGCTAGCCCAGAGCTAGGGCCAGGTCAGCGATGAATCGGCAACGTGCGGCCGAGAAGGCCTTGCACGATCAAACGAATATTCTCCCGTTCGGGCAGCTCATGGTCGTTTTTACGGGCCTCGCAACATCCCTAGTGATTACATTCGTTGATCAAAATGGAATTAGTGTAACTTTGCCTACAATTGCCCGGGACCTGAGTGCCCAAGACACAATTTCATGGGCTGGAACTTCATCTTTGATTGCCAATACCATGTTCACCGTGCTCTACGGCCGACTTTCAGATATTTTTGGTCGAAAGGTTGTCTATCTATCTGCATTGATTCTACTGTGCATCGCAGATCTACTTTGTGGACTGTCACAAAGCCCAGCCATGTTCTATGTGTTTCGAGGTCTGGCTGGTGTCGCTGGTGGTGGTGTTACATCTTTAACCATGATCATCGTTTCTGATGTGGTCACTTTGGAACAACGTGGAAAGTATCAAGGCATCCTGGGTGCTTCGCTAGGCCTTGGAAACGTCGTTGGACCTTTTATTGCTGCTGCATTCATTATGCGCTCAACGTGGCGTGGATTCTTTTGGATGATCTCCCCCCTCGCTGCACTATCTGCCGTCGTGGGATACTTCCTGATCCCAAATAACGCGCGAAGTGACAGTTTCCGCAAGAATATAGGTCGCATCGACTGGTACGGTGTGCTGGCATCGTCTATTGGAATTATCTTCATCCTGATTCCAATCTCTGGAGGTGGTTCATATTTCCCTTGGGATTCACCGATGGTGATTAGTATGCTTGTCATTGGAGGTCTCTCCTTCATCGCATTCCCTTTCATTGAATGGAAGGTGGCCTCATTGCCAATGCTGCCAAGTATGTTTTCTCCCTCTGTATTTCCGAATCCAGGCTTGTACTAACCTGGATATAGTCCAATTTTTCAAGAACAGAGTGATCGTTGCACTCTTCGTGCAGAGCTTCTGCCTCGGAGCAGTCTACCAGGCTTACCTCTACTACTTGCCCCTGTACTATCAAAACGGGCGTGGCTGGTCGCCGATTGTCTCTGCTGCTTTGACAGCACCAATGGTGGCCTGTCAGTCGGTTGCCTCGGTCTGCTCTGGACAGTATATTTCTCGTCTCAAGCGATATGGTGAGATTATTTGGGCAGGTTTTGGCATCTGGACTATGTGAGTGACGTTGGAAAATGTAATCGTGTTTCATAAATGAGGACTGACCAATTCTATCAAGTGGCGCTGGGTTAATGCTACTCTTCAACCAAAACACACACCCGGCAGTCATTGCAGTCTGCGTCGGCATCACTGGCATTGGAATCGGTTTTACTTTCCAGCCGACCCTTGTCGCTCTACAAGCACACTGTACCAAATCCCAGCGTGCTGTGTCTATCTCAAACCGTAACTTCTTCCGCTGCATGGGCGGTGCATGTGGTCTGGCAATCTCCGCTGCCATCTTGCAAGCTACCTTGAGATCAAACCTCCCATCAGAATTTTCCTATCTGACGCAATCATCCTACTCGCTTCCATCGCGATCAACATTGACCGACTCCCAGTGGACATCGATTCTTCTTGCGTACACCAAGGCCTCTCACGCGGTCTTTATCTTACAAGTCCCGATTATTGGCGTTGCTTTTCTCGCCAATGTCTTCATTCGAGACAGGGGTCTGGAGCGACCGAAGGAGCCCGAGGAGATAGAGGAAGAAAGGCGAAAGGCAGAACAAAATGGGGGAGATGTCGAAGCAGCTCAGCCCAAGGATTGTGAGAAAATTGAGACTGAAAAGAAAAAGACGATTGAGCAACGCCTGTCTATGTCGACACTCATAGAGCCCTCCATGCCTCCATCTCGTGCCGAGTCGGAGCCTGCGAACAATGAAGAGAAGAAGTGATCTGGTGAAAGCTGAAGTCCAGGAGTGTTGAACTATTTGCTGTCTTTGCTCTCTGTCTATCATTTTGCATCATATGTGCATTGCTCCATTACTTGGCGTTAGATATTAAATTCGTTGCTAGAGGGAGATGAATTATACCCAAGAAGTAATTTAATAACATGATGATAACAACTATGAGTCTGAACATAGTAGATCTTGTTACAATAGAATCAATATCCGCCACAAACCCGCGTGTAGTTTGGCTGTGACGGAAGAGAAGGTAGCATCCTGTATGTACCCCAATGTCTTGGCGCGGCTGGCAATCCCCTTCAACTCTCCCTTCAGCCTCGCCCTTAGGATCCATCCACCATGTGTTACTCAACAACTCGCAGTTCATGAAGAACTGAAGAATTTTCTATTAGTACTTATTGGCTGCATGGTCTCTGGTAATGAGCCAAGATGCATGCACCCGGCTACAGCCCGGATTCCTCCAGGCAGACTAGTCCCGCCTCCAAAGACCATAATCCCCGGAAACGTGGGAGAACCGCCTGCACTCGTTGCAAGACTCGAAAACAAAGAGTGAGCATCCCGAAAACTCCCAAAGACCCAAGACAAGCTCGCTAAATGACTCTACTCCAGTGCGACAACGAGTATCCGACTTGTTCCAACTGCCTGAAGGCTGGGGTCACGTGCGACAAATCAAGCGTGCGCGAGGATGGTGACCGTCAAAATGAGTCAGTCTGATCACAGCAGAGAACCCGCTGATCTTGCTTCTAGAGAGCTGAATGCTGATAGATATTGTAGCTACACGCGTGCCTTGGAAGAAAGAGTCGCGTTCCTGGAGACGAAGCTCGGACAGTCTGGACCATCCACGAGTTACAATGCAGGGACCAACGTTGCACACTCAACGTGGTCGCCTCAAGGGAGTCAAACAACCCCACAGACAGCGAGCTCCGGTTTAGACAATAACCCGGTCGGAGAGATCGTAGGGCTGTTGGCTCTCAGCTCATCCGAAGCTCCTGCCTATGTTGGCTCGAGCTCAGGCGTAGCATTGGCTGCAAATCTCGGCGAAATGGTTCAGAGCAGCGTGTGGAACCAGTTCTTATCAAAAACGCAAACACAGCCGAATATAGGTGGAAGCACTAGCTTCCAGAATACTCCAGCTTCCCTGCTAGGCTCCTCTCAGCAGGGCCTGGCTGGAGGTGGCTGCAGGAATCGCACCAACGTCGATCCCCCAACTGATGAGATGGGTTCGAAGATGCTCGAGACTTATTTCAGGCGACTCCATTCACGATATCCGTTTTTGGACCGGGGTCAGATATGGAAGATGCACGAGGATCGGTGGAGGTTGGCAAAGACAAAGCGCGAGGATCTTTCACGATCTGATCGTTTCGCCATCTTCAAGTTGAATATCGTTTATGCGATCGGTGCCACAATGCTCCAACTAAGCGAGAAGTATGCATATACTGCTCCAGAGGTAAGAATATTCCCCCAGAAAGACAAGTCCAACCACTAATCGATATCTAGCGATTCTACACGACCGCCTTGCAGTACGTTCCTACAATGTGCGAGGCCCGGTCCATCGAAAACATAGAGGCAATGGTCCTTCTCGTTGTATATCATCTGCGTACTGCAACAAGTCATGGAATGTGGTACATGATCGGACTGGCGATGCGCACAGCTATTGATCTTGGCCTTCACCGCAAGGCAAATGAGATCAATATGGACCCATTTACTGCTCAGATGCGGCGACGTTTATTCTGGGTAGTCTACTACTTAGAACGAGTCGTGTCGATGTCTCTTGGTCGTCCATTCAGCATCTCTGACCGAAACATTGATCTCGACCTACCATTAGACGTGGACGATGATGTACACGACCCTGCGCTCCTTACAGCCCCCGAAGACCCGACAAAGACGACAAATTTGACATTTGCGATCTATCTCTTCAAATTACGCCGCATCGACTCGCGTATCCAACACAAAATCTACCGTGCTGACCGACCTCTATCCGCTTTGCGGCTGAAAATGGATCCGCTTTACCTTGAATTGGAACAGTGGAAAGAATCAGCACTTCAGCGATTCAGCGGCTCGGACCTAGACTATCCAATGCTCCATTATAACAGGGCAGTGAGACTCTTGATTCAACCATTCCTCCCTCTTCTCCCAATCACCGACCCCTACTATCATATATGTCTCCAAGCCGCCGGCGAGATTTGCCAATCGCATAAACGTCTCCACCAAACTCTCGAGTATGGACATTCCTTCCTGGCGGTGCAGACCGTCTTCATGGCGGGGATCACCTTGCTATTCGCTCTCTGGACACATACAGATCAAGTTTGGTCGGTTCGCATAAGCAACGACATCCGCGCGTGTTCGACCGTGCTCTTTGTCATGGGCGAGAGAGCAGCATGGGTTAAAAAGTACCGGGACGCATTCGAGCTATTGGTGAATGCGGCAATGGAGAAACTACAAGGAAATGAGACCGCTCGGAATGCAGGAATGGCCGAGCTCATGACGGCTCAGCATGGCATAGCATCTTTGAATACTGCTGTGCCTGGCATGTCAAACAGTGAGAAGTTCCCCTCTGCGAATTTGACGGGGCTAGCGCCTGAGACTGCCGCTACAACAGCCGCAGTACCTCAAACGTACCCAGCAGATGACAGCGACCATGCAGTTCGAATGGCTCTGCATCTGGCACCTTGGATTGACCAGGATCAGAATGATCCCTTGTGGATGCCAGATTTTGAGACCCTGGAAACCGTCTCGGGAACATTCTGGAGCGGAGCTGATACTACTCTTTTTGATGCCTTGTGATTGTGTAAATAAATCCTGCATCACAATCACATCGTACCTCGACCGTAAATTGTCTCTCACGGAATATCGGGGACTTCCGAGAACCAGCTTGCAAGATCTGGAACGTCAAATCGTCCGAGGAATCCAAATTCCTCCTGACCCAAGCCCATCTCATCCCAGCTCATGAAAGGATTGACGTTAGGGGCATTAATGGACTCAGGGTCCTGGGAACTCGCGTCTTCAGACATCAGATCTGCGTGTTGAGCGGAAAGGGCATGCTGCCGAACACTTCCTTGCTGTGGTTGTGACTGGGTGGGTGCAGATGTATGGACATCTTCACTTCTGGCTGGTACTGGTTGAATGTCAATTGCAAGAAGCGACTCAGGAGATTGAAGGACGCGGACAGAGAGTTAAGGTGAAATACCTTTGTAGTTCTGCACGATATACTGATGTGTGACCTGTAAGAATTGCAATGAATTGCGTGCAGACAAGCTAAATGATGCCATGTTGGTCAAAATCTCTTCGCATCTTTGCCACGCGGTATCGACAGCATGCAGATCGACCTGATCAAGTATCGAGCGACAGGTGTACGACATAATCAACACGAACCCAGCGGTTGATGTATCTAAACAAGAATGTCAGTTTAGCTTCCCATTGGAGGTATTATAGAACCTACAGAAGCCGTTATACCACCACGCATCTGTGAGCGAGGTCCTATAAGTCTCGTAGACGAGCGAAACTAGTTCCATGGCGGCTTTTGCGCAAGCTGCTGCGCAGTTGACGGACATAGAGGAATAAATGACGTTTTTCTCTTGTCGTGGGGTGGCCTTATTTGCTTCGGACCCGGTTTGTCTTGCGAGGCCAGTCCGTTCGTCTGAGCAGAGCTGTGTGAACATAGGCCGGTATAGAAGCAGGCGAAGATGAATAAATCTATAGCCGTCAGTAATTGCTCTAGTGAGGACCCTTGGTCATTAGTACCTTGCACGAAGCACGTTCCGCTGGCGCTCGAAGAGCGATCCTTGCTGAGTGGTCGATCCACGGGAGGTTGCTCTGTTTGTCCAATTTAAGACTGGCGGGACATTTGCTTCACATGAAGATAGCTTATCATCAAGCTCCATGATAACATCCAGACTGCTGTGCTTCGAGTCTCGAAGTGATGCGGGGCGATGAATATTCGAGTGGCTCTGCCAAGCATTGTAAATGTCCGATAGAATAGACTCGAGAATTTTATACAGCTCAATCGTGGAGACGTAGAATGTCATATATCCAAGTTGGTGATCACACGATTGGCCGCTGAGATCGCATGGGTCATCTGATTGAGATTGAGGGGCCATTACAGGAAGAGGTGCCGGCGAGACGTGGGACGTCATACTGGGTCGACCAAAGGTCATGCTCACAATCCTAGACTAGAGGGTTAGCCGGGCCATGCAGAGTGTGTTATATATGAGCACTGACATATCCATGATAACGCAGCCATGCCACGTTCGAAGACGAATCTCCCTTTCAAGAGGTCTAATCGAAGATTGTGTTGTTGTTTCGTGCAAGCCCAGACCTAGTGCGACCCGGCACGCAACACCGATCGCATTCCAGCAGCGATTTGGATATGGCGTACTTTGAAGCAGCAGCGAGATTATCAAAAGTGTTTGCACAACACCTATAGTACCGATATCTAAAAGGTCAAGGCCAACGAATCGTTTGGACCGGAGGAAAAATGAGTATGCGGCAGCCTCCCTCTCTGCGGCAGGGATGTCAGAGAAATGACAACCGAGACTGAATATCGCGTTGAGTGCGCAGTGAAACACAATCGACTGGTTTCCGGAGTCAAAAGTTCCTCCGAGGCCGACATTAAGTTCAGGCAACTCTGGCTTGGGCCATTTACTTGACCCCCAAAGGTTCTCATAGGCCTGTTCAAAGCTGGGACGATGGAAAAAGGGGTACAGACAGTACACTCGGTCCCAATAGCATTCCAAGAGATGGTCTGCCAAGGGTCGAGGGGGTAGGGAAAAGTCATCGAACTGAAGACCAGTGGTCGGAAAGTTGATATCACGCCACAGTCCTGCATCTCGGTATGAGGTACCCGGGGTCTCACCCTCCATGCGCTTCAGGGCCTGCAAATATGAGCGGATGGGAATAGAGTCACCGGCCAGACGCATGAAGGAAGCTACAGATGAGTTTCCATAATATTGATCTCGAGGAGAATCGGTGCATTCACCATCGTCGCCTGCGGAAATTGCCCCCATGGCCGTGACGTTTCCATGTGAGTTGAGCGACGGTGATGGATACACATTGCCGGAACTCGAACTCTCACGTGGAGTTCCAAATACATGCTCAGATTGTCTTCTATTGGCATGACTGGGGTGCATGGAGGATCTACCTGCCTGTGGATGCGGAGCTGGTGGTGATAAAATTGCCGCTAAAGAAGGCTGTCGAAAGGCAGCCAAGGGTGCAGTCGAGCCCAGTCCAAGAAGCCCTTCCGCCGCAACAGAAGTCCTGGTCTCCGTATCTAGTGCATTGGATGATAACTGTGGCTCTTGAGAAGTACTTGGCCCTCTGCTTTGTCCCTCTTCAACCTCATTGGATGACGCTCGGGGAATAGAGACCCCATTGCGGGCGCATGTTTCCTCCAGCTCACGTATTCGATCATGCAGAACCTTGAGGTATGCATCATTGCTCGCAGAACGTGCATTGTCGATTTTGTAAACACATTGCTCGATCGTATAGGATCGTCGAGAACAAGGTCCACAGATCGGCTTCTCCCCGTCGCACCGTACCTATATTTACGACGTTCAGTAAGAATTCAAAGGAGATTCGGAGGTTCCAACGCACCTTCTTATCGCGACAAGGTTCACAAGCTAGCGCAATCTTGCGGCGCCGGGGGGTGCCGCGTTTGGTAATATTACTTTTCGAAGACATTGTGCTCCAGACATTGCCGATCAGAACATCGGGGATGGATTCGTTGCAGGCACTGTTGTGGACGAACCACGGGGGCCAATAATAATTAGTGGGGGGGAATGAGCTAAGTTTTGACAACGGGGAATCACATTCATGAATCGGTCGAGCACTGATTCTCGGACTAATGGATTGACGACTGGGAAGGGTCAAGGGCAAGCGTGGGGTCGGAATAGACCCGGTGCACCTCACGTGACACTATACTGGAGCTCGGGTCAATTGTGACTAACTAATCTTGATTAACTAATTATCCCTAAATTGTAGGTGAAGTTTGTTGTTGTTTAAATACCACTTACTATTCAGCGGGTCGATGATCACACTAGTCTTGTGGATGAACCTATATGGTATCTGTTGGTGATAGGACGACCCCTGAAGGGTAGTCGTACCTTTGTTGGGGCGATATCTCGGAACGCACCCGGTCTTCTCTTGAACTATGTGGGGTCCTCTTCCCGCTCTTGGTGAGTTGGGGAGAGCTCTAGAAGCTGAACCTGTCCTGCACATGGCAAATCACAAAAAGAAAATTTGACAGATTGAAGAGGGTGTGTGAGAATTGGAACGAGGGGAAATGCAATATGCTATTCCAGGATCAAAGTTTCCCATTTGTTCCCTATTGTGCTCGGCCCATGCTCACTAAAGGTGCAATTTATGGCCGACAAGTTTATACTAGAGTTTACAGAGAATTCAACAGGCTCATATAGATAATGAATCAAGACTGTTCAAGCTCTGAGAAATCAGACCACTAAGATAAGGGTATAGGGGCTCTAGGCATCATCTTCCAACACTACAAAATAATACTGGAAATTGTTGCTGCAGATCTCGGGAAGCACCCGAGTAGCCAGCGACGATCCGGGTCCCAGCCGGCGTTGACGTATCGTGGCAGCCTGCCATCTCGCAAGCCTCGCAAAACGCCATTCATGTGAACGGGGTTCAAAAGTATCAGAAGAAGTAGCCCTTGCGCATGATTTCCGGGGTATCCGATATCTGTACTTATCCTGAATGTCGACCCCAGAAGTCCAGATTCCATCCAGAGCACACGACACAACACACACTCGACAAAGCAAATATTGCGCCCAGCATAGCAGACGCCTCATAAAGCGCCCCCTTGGATATATCACATCTCTATCAACCTTATTTCAAGTGTCAATTTACACATACAAGATCCGATTCATCGATCAAGACATATTCAATGGAAACCGAACATCAGCCTCACAACCATGTGCACGACCTCTCCGGGTGTTGTCCGGTAAAGGGACCCCAAGAGTACACGACACACCAACGCCTACCCCTAGATCGCGGTCTTCAATGGGGATCCGACCCGAACTTCTGCTTCCACGGCTTTTCCTGTCCGATTGGAAGCTGGACCGAAGAACGACTCGTCAGAAACGCGATGCGCAACATGGCCTACATGGCCAGCAGCGTCAAAGCAGAGTTCAACCTTGACTTTAATATTACGGACTACATCAACGATCACAGATCAGAAGCGACGGACGTGGTCAGATTGAATGGGTTCGATGTATCGAACGACCAGCGCAGCCCCACACCGCCATCCACGGCTTCACCGTCGAGCGTCTCGAGTCCCGAAAAACAAGAGGCAGATTCACAGCCGCCGAGTAAGAAACGGAAGTGTGTGCAGAAGCCCGGGCAGAGATTGTGTCATTGTCGTTCGGAGAAGAAGAGGAGGGAGGCTGTTAGCCAGGGATATCGGGATCTGTCGCTAGTAGTGCCAGGGCTCGAAAGTCAGAATTTTACAAGGAAATATGTTCTGAATTTGACGGCGCGCTACCTGGAGCAACTTTTGGATGGCAATGAGGCCTTGAAGCGGCAGTTGGGAGAATTGAAAAATCAAGAAGAGAAGGATGAAGGGCAACCATTCATAAGTTCTGAGTTAGAGGCATGAGTTGTGTGGCAGGGTTGTCAAAATTTACGATTTATACGACACGGAGTTGTACGGAAGGACTGTGTGATATGGGATTTGGAAAGGCCGCGTGGGAAAAGCACAAGGGGCCAAGGTGTTACTGGAATGAACTTCTGAAACTTAGCACAACATAGAAAATTAGAGAGATAGTCTCAGAAGATAATTTGGATTGACAAGACTTCAAAACATGCGAGAAAGGTGCATACCATATAAGAAAGCCTGCTAGCGTAGCTGAGCGCTATACCAATAACGGATGGAGTGTGGCAGACCTTTTCTTAGTCATTCCTACAGCACCCTAGGCATCCTTCTCTCGGGCATAGTACTTTTCGGACGCAAACGGCAAACGGATGAATGAAATATGAGTGACCACAGTGAATCATTTCAGTATATACGGCCAGGAAGGTAGATGGTCCGTTGAACAAATGATATTGAATGGTAGATAGAGCAATGAGATATCTTCGGTGCTATTGCGGTGCCAAGAGCCTTTCACACAATGGACAAAAGAGATAGAGATCCCATTTAGTACGATACTTCTAGAAGTGAGCGATGATGTTAATATACCTGCCATTTAATAGGACTGAGTTGTTCCACAGTCGATTTACCAGTCAGTAGAACGGAAAAAATGATAACAAAGATATTGGTGTTGTTTCTGAAGGAAACAGAAAAATAGAATCCCGAGGGGGTTGAAAACCTCTGAGATGCCATGAAAGATACATGCGGCTCAGGAGTTGCCGATCTGAGAGGCAAGATAACAGAAAGCACGTAAAGACATTATACACAAAAAATTCGGAGCTGACACGGCAGGGGTACGCGTTGAGGCGCACTATTGTCAATACCCATACAGATTCACAAGGACTGAAGACAGTTTTCAGTATCTCCTAGCCCAGAAAAGAAAGACTCGCAGGCCGATAATGGACAAAAAGAGGGCAAAACCGACTCGAGCAATGTGCATCATAAGCGAGTGCGGTAGTCAGTCCAAGCCTGACACGGCGACACTCTCACTCAGCATCAGCGGCTGCCTCATCTACCTCTTGCTTTTGGCAGTAATCGCTTGCATGCTTCATGAACGACAAGAGGCGCTGACGGCGGTAATAAATATTCGTCAGGTCGACTCGGGCACCAGCTTCTGCATCATTCTGACCAGTGATCAAGATCAACATGAAGAAAGTCTCGATGATGCTGGGAGGAACGTTCGAGATCAGCTGTCCAGTCAGACTCCATCGCATGGCACTAGATGCAACCAGGCAGCCGATAGTGAGGATGAAGCCGGCGACGACCATGAGAAGGTGGGAGCTAATCGCATCCATCTTTCGAGAGGCCCGACGACTGAGGGATGGCGCCTTGGGATCCTGCACGACGGGAATCGGAACGGACAGACCGGCGAACAATGTCAAGTCGAGTGCCTCAACACGACGTACTTGGCATTTAGTATTCTGGTGTACTTTGTTCTGAACGTTCCGGAGAACGAAGCTGTCAAAAAGACCAACCAGTCCAGCGTATGTGCCGATGAGCAGCCACCATGTATTGTTGAAATGGAAGACCGGGCCGACGGCTGCCCAGGTGATGACGACCACCACAAGGAACACGATCCCTACAAGAGTCCCGATGATATCGGCATAGTAGTAAATTACAGTTTGAAGGTAGTTCTCTTTCGGTGGGATATCGACCTCGAGAGGATTTGGCGTGTCATCTTCGGTGAGAAGACGAAGTACACCCTCGAGAGTCGAGTCAAGCCGAAAGATCGCATCCAAGCAAATGTTGGTATAATCGGCATAACATTCCCGTAGACAAGCAAGGAATGCAAAAACCAAGACCATCAGAGCAGATGTCGCGTCGTTGATGTATAGCTGCCATCGGTCCGACCAATTAAACTTTGGACCGAAGCCAAGCCAGATCAAGATGCAGACCCAGTACATGCCCACAGTGACTATGTGCCCGAATTTCTTCGCAGAAAAGATGATACATCGGGCAAACATGCTCTGAGTGCGCAAACCATGATCCAGAGGTTGCAATGTCTCGTCTCGGCACTTCTCAGCGACCTCCCGGATTCCTTCAGATCCAAGTTTGTTCTTGACTTTGAGAAGCATGCGATGGTGGCTGCTGCAACGCGATTGAATTTTGACCATGGCTTCGCGCTGCTCCGTGTATTCACGGAGAAGCTGTCGCATCAGAAGGGAATCGAAGACATAACAGAGAATAGCCTGGACATCGGAAATGGCTGCGATCCAGACATCCGAGTCACCGAAACGAATCCCCATCAAGGCCCAGGTCAAGAGACCACTAACTATGACCAGGAACACCGGAGCCGAGCCAGCAAATCGTACAAAAATATCAAGCCAGCGATCCAGGAGGCGGGAACTTGCGTTGACCTTGTATCCAGAAAACTCTTCAGCGGCCACAACGGTATTGATGTTGTTTTTGGCACAATGTTCACTTGCCACTTGCTGCGATTCCGCCACTCCTTTCACCTCACACAAGAAAATCGGCTTGAAGCTCTTCATTGTGACTCGCTCAGTAATTGCCAGTATGATGTTGGATTCGACGTGACGCAATTATACAGCGAGGGTTTGGCTTCAAGTCCTCTTTGGCACCCGTGTGGAATTAAGGTGGTCGGGTCTCGTCTGCAGATACTCGAGAGGATTCCAGGGCAGCCAGAATGCCGGGGCAAGAGAAAAGAATAGAAAAGGAAGTGTTCATCGAGCAGAGATCAGCCATTCGGAGTCAATAGGAGACGCAATGTGTCGTGATAGTGTGGGAAGGGTGAAGAAGTTGCTAGTTTAAGCAGAAGAGAAGAGGAAAAGAAATTTTATAATTCTGAAGGAGGAAGGGAAGAATATAGGAAACCGGGAAAATTACGCTAATAAGACGGTGCGATACTAAATGCCTCAGTCGGACACGATTGGGAAGGCAGTGTTGCTACCCTAGATGGGCGCCATCTGCGAAGGGTGCTATGCGCCATTTTCTGGCCTCCAATATGCTATCTACCTATTCTACCTCTCAGCTCCACTCCATTTTTACAGCTAGTCACAAATTGGCTCCCTAGGCGAGTGTCAGAACTATGGCGAGGCCAGGCAACCGCGATTTGATTAGAGTTTGATGGGAGCCAGCCCTACCAGACCCTGATTCTGACAAGCTTTAAAGCTCATTAAACACGGGTCTCGGCTTTGACCGCTGCTTCCAACATCCTGTTAGCCATGGATCGCTATGAACACGGGTACTCTTGCTGCTAAAGTAATCGAGGGCCAAATAGATTATTAGATCAGGGATCCATTTAAATAACTTAAATAGACTCAGCTGGATTTCATAACTATTGACAAAATTTATCATAATTGCTGGGACTAATAGAAAATTCAGCTATGGGGCTGAGTTTAGGCTGATGCGAGTGGCTATGTCTTTATTCGGAAGATAGTTTGGTCCCGTCAACCTTATCTATGGACATTGTCAGTCCAGAGCTGCAAGTCCAGCTGCCAGCATGATTCTGGAACTTAATTGGACAGGAAAACTTTGAGTTTCATTAAGATTATCAAATATCCGATCCGGATGATTACATCCTGAGGTTTTGCTAGACTTTCATCAACACGGCGTACATCGATTTCATCTTTCCTCGAACCGGCCACTTTTATCAACACGGCGTACATCGATTTCATCTTTCCTCGAACCGGCCATTCATATGGTACATAGTTTAATCTCTGCGAATAAAGAGGCTTTTACTTTCATTTCCATCTTCATCAATGAATTTCAATATCTCAGACTGTCACGCAGTGAATTCAAAAGCCGACCCTATGTAGAAGGAACGTACGACTCCCCCACGGTGCCGGGGTCGATCTCCTCTGTCCACGTTTGCACAGCCTTTGCACAGCCTTCGAATAGATGTAACGGTCCACATTATACGACCGTTCCTACTTAAAATTAGTCCAATGCATCTCCTCTTCATCACTCAGGAGTTACATACCTTCATCGAATGCCGGCATCGCTGGTGTTCCAATAGAACCCTCTGGGCTCACACGCATTTAGGAGAAGCTCCTCGACGTCGACTTCTGAGCCTGGCGTGAATGATGGGGATGAGACAAGATCCGGTATGCGTTGATCAGCAGAGCCTTGGGGGTTGTCCCCTGGCTGCTGGTGGGGTGTGGTTTCAAGATACTCCTCCACGGGGGCTGAGTCGGTGGAGACAGTGTTGACTGAGGTTGTATCGTCATCTTGCTCGGGAAAATACAGGCTCTCGTTATCCTCAAGATTCTCTTCGTCGCCACTGTCTTCGTTGTCTGCCTCGTATCCGTAGTCTGGGGTGCTGGCCTGGGAGACGGAAGTGTGGCTTGTTGATGAGGACTCTGTGGTTGTCCATACTTGGTCCGGAATCGAGGCCTGGCTTTCATTTGATGGAGAGGTATGTTCGTCACCGAGTAGATTGGTTGGTCGTGGTAAGGAAGACATGGTCGGCGATTAAGAGGGTGGAGTGTTGTGCCAATTGGAGGAATGAACTTCTGAAATCTGAATATCAACGGCGGAGAATGTATTTCGGTATATTCGTCCCTGATGTGAAGTGAGAGAACGATTCGGGTGCGCCTCTTCTCACTGAAGCCCTGGTGATTCAGCTGCTATCGGAATACCTGCAGACACTCCATGAAGCCAACACACGATGTGCAAGTTTTCAAAGATCCTTCATCCGCACGACAAAACATGACACCAAACTCTTTCAAAATGGAACGCGACATCCTATTGTGAGGAGAAACACTATCAAGAACTTCCGTTGGGCATGTACAATCTGAAAACGGATGGATCATTGCGGCAGGTCTCTCTACGAGGGTCTGCCTTGGATCTGTGAGACTAGATATTGTCAAAGTAGTTGGGTCCCCTCTTCCTTTCTTTCAAGACGCTCTTGTCGCGTTTTCTGGATTTTTTATTTTCAGAATTTCCAGGCATAAAAGGGTCTAAGGTACACATAGCTAAGTCCTAATAGGGTAAAGAGATCTAGTCTATCTATGATTTGATCACACAGTATGACTGGCGACCAACCGACCAAGTCGACCAAGTCGACCAATAAGCTCATGTGAAAGTTACAACACACAGATTCCACAGAGTCTACAGATCGCTCTATTCTGTCCAGAACATCTAAATCATTCCAATTCGTAACCGCCGTTCAAGCAAAATCTCCTTAAAACGCTGAAAACGCTGAAAATGATGTGAAATTGTTCAACCGTAGACCAGGAAGAAAACATAAGATTTATCCTTTTTCCTTAAGAAATAGATACCGTACCGTCTCCAGAGATGGTCCCGTTTAATGGAGTATTTTCGTGGGCGATTGCCAGTAACTACAAGCTTTGGATGAAACTTGCCAGGTTCAATGGTAGGTTCAGCTCACCGAGCAAGATGATTTCCGAGTGTCGGTATTGGGACAGTAAATTCGTTAAGATACCCGAAAGTTAAGGCTAAAAAGGATCCCAGTTGATTTTTGAGGGAAGGCCAAGAAGAACACGAAGGATCACTCTTCGAATGGCCGGGGATGGGAGGGACCGTCTGGGACAGAGCTTCGTGATATTGACCAGGAGAATAGAAGAGGTCATTTCGAAAAGTCTGCCCTGGGGCAGCGGCGAGTGTGGTGTTGACAAGCTTTCAAGAGATTGTGTGAGGAAGTTTACACAGTTCAGGACGAGAAGATTTGCCAAAGAGATTCGCTTGGAAATTCTGGTAGAAAGACTCGAATATACATTACGTAGACAAACATCGGTATATGCACCCCCTGATCAGAAAGCCATCTATTCTCGACCAATTCATGAACCCCCTGCATCCCCATCTCAAAGCGCAGGCGCATACGTCGCCAAGCCCTTTGCCAATCGCTGAATTTGGCCAGCATAGAACGTCTAAACCATCAAAGTCAGCATTGCTATCTCTCCATCTGTCTCAATGTCAAAAAGAAACTCACACTCTCAGCCCCGGCCCCAATCAAATTCCTCGGCAACCAATTCACATACCACGGCACGGGCGCCTTCTCCAGGAAAAGCACCGCCTTCTCATCCGGAACCTGCTCATCCAACAGAAGTAACGGGAACTTGGGATCAACGGCCGCCGGCCTCGCAATGCCCACCAAATCACACGCTCCGTCGTTAATAGCGGCCTCCGCCCCGGCCCGCGTCCTGAATCCACCCGTCAACATCAATACCAGCTCGGGATGTCTCTCGCGCACGGTATGAGCAAACTCGAGGAAGAAGGCCTCGCGGGCTGCGGTGCGGGCGGACTTGGCGTTACCCTGACCGTTGAAGGAGGACTTGGGGTAGCCCATCATTTGCGGGTCTTCGTAGGTGCCGCCGCTGATTTCGAGGAAGTCGAGGCCAGCGGAGACGAGGAGGGCGATTTGGGTCATCGTTTCTTCGAAGGTGCTGGAGCTGTGGTCGGCGGAGTTGAGTTTGATGCCGATTGCGAAGGTCGAGGGCACGGCTTTGCGGGTTTCGGTTAGGATGTCGAGGACGAAGCGGGCACGCTTTTCGGGGGTGCCGCCGTATTCGTCGGTGCGGTGGTTTGTCTGGAGAAAGGGGGAATGGGGAGGTTAGTTTGAAAGTTTCGTTGCTTTGGTGGATGGCTAGAATGGTGGCCTCCAATGGTTTAGAGAGAGTGATGATCTGGTTATTACCTTGCTGTTCAAGAATTGATCTATACCGTTATTTAGCATCCATTCCAACTTCGCAGGATCTCCACCAGGTTTTACTCACCAAGAAGATACCCATGCGCACCGTGCAGCTCAACTCCCGAAAAGCCCGCATCAGCCATCAGCCGCGCGGTATCCACGAACTGTCGGATAACCTTCTCGATATCCCCCCTCGTCATCTCCCGGGGGTTACTCCACGTCACGCACGCAATAACCCGCTCCATCAAGCCATTGCCGATATTAATCGGGACCGCACTGGGCGCAATAGTCGGCGCGAACATGCCCCGCTTACCGGCGACACGGAACGATTGTCGCCCCGGATGGCAGATCTGGACGATTGCGGGGGTGCCGTGCTTTTGGCAGGCGGAGGCGTATTTCTTCCAGGTGGAGAGGAGAGCAGTGTCGTTGCCGGTGTATTCATTGTGTAGGGCCGGGTCGAACGGGGAGCCCATGTGATTGACGTCGACTTGGACGTTTCCTGGGGTTGGAGTTAGCCCTGCGTGCTTGCGCAAGATCGGGCGGATGGATATGATTGAGAGGAAGTGGTGGAAGTACCGGTTAGAATGCTGCCCCAGCCACCTTGCGACCATTGCTCGTAGGCATCAAGGAGTGTATCGTTGGGTTGATTATTTTTGGCTATCATTTCGGCCATAGCAGCCTGTCATGGTGAGTACTTGGTCAATACGAACGATGGGGATCTGTGGAGCTCACCTTGGATAGCCTGTTCGGCAAGACCAGGCCACATGGCAGCTTAACGGGGTCTGCCAATGGGGACGGCATGTCGACGACTGTATGTACTTCTCGTTGGGATGATTACTGCAGAAGGATCCACGCAATTGACTGTGATTGGAAGTTGAATACCGCAAGGCTTCACAGTCTGACAAGTTTAAATCTTTAGAAACAGGGATTAGTCGAACACCAACATCAAGGGCATAGAATGGAAAAAAAAAATGGGATAGGAAACGTACTCTAGAGATATATATCCCTTCTATCCAAGCGACAACGATGATCACAAAACAGAAATGGCACTGGAATCGGTACAACCTGCATACCCCAAGAAGAAAAAAAGAAATTGAAAAAGAAACCTCGGTCCTTAGTCATCGCCACGCGGAGAGATCCATCTCCCCGATCGAGTGGGACGAGGGACATAAAGTTTCGTGAAGATTACTTATGCAGGACCAAGTGGAGTCGTTGAATCCCATTTGGCGACGATGATTGGGTCTTTTACAAATGCACTTATCCCCCTTGAGGAATAGCGTTGGAAAAAAGAAGCCGAGCCCGGGGATTTCAGTTCAGCCGGCTACACGTGAATTTGGAGGATGAGTGATCTTCCCCGTTATGATGTGCTATTGTCCGCTGTCACATTGCGGGTTCGGATGAATTCCGAGTTTCAAGTCGTGTAGGCATAGCATGATGCATGTACAAAAGGATCAGATAGAGGAAATGCTGATGTGACAACGCCCTACAATGTCGAGTACATTGCTCGAAAGCCGCTCGAGTTGGTCTGGACTGGGAATCTGTCCGGACCGAGGGACGGCAGCATTGTCTGAGCCTCCGGGGCTACCTCGATCTCTACGAGTCATTAAATCTCTCTACAATTTCTTCAAGCCCCGCATTTTGATCATATATTCAATTTTTGATTCATTCAGTTCAGATGAAAAATATACTTTCCAAATCCCAAATGCGGGGGGGGGGGTCACCCAAAAAATGTGACCAAACGGTAAAAAGGTGGGTATTCCAAAGAAAACCAAAGTGCAAAATGCCAAAGAAATATCCGAATCCAACCCGAAAAAAGAAGCAAGACCAAAAGTGCCAGATAAAAACGCGCTCGAAATGACGAAAAGGGTGAAAAAAAAGAACAAGAAACAAAGCGATGCCAAATCAGACGGGGATCCTAAGCGGGGCCGTGATTAGAAAAGGGTAGAATTTTGGAGAAAGGACAAGACCCGAAAGACAGCAAAGGCAGATTGAGAAAACCGAATCCCATGTGCTGTCAATCGGAAGTGAGGGTGTGACATGACGGGGCATATTGTTGAAAAGAAACGGTAATCTTACAGCTTCGAGCCATTGGGCTTCTCCTCGGTAGGGGAGCCGTTCAGGATGGGCGACAGGTTGCCCAGGCTGGACAGCAGGTGGCCGACCTCGCGCTCGAGAGAGCGCACCTCGGTGTGAGGGTCGTACATGCGGGTCTTGATGTAGTTGTCCAGGTCGGAGTCGCTCATCTTGCGGAGAGCAGTCTCACGGTCGACACCGTCGGCCTGGGCAGCACGCATCACCTTGCGGGTGACGACAATGCTGACCTCACGGATGCGAGTGATGTCGGGATAGAGAAGACCACGCTCGATCTCCTCGGCAGTCAGAGCGGCGGAGAGAGCCTCACCCGAAGCATAGATCATGCTGTCGGTGACACGGACGGCCTTGGACAGGATGCTGCCCAGACCGATACCGGGGAAGACGTACATGTTGTTACCCTGGCCGGGGTAATACGTGCGGGTCTCGCCGGCAGAGTTGGTGAAGGACATGGCGGGGAAAGGAGAGCCGGAGGCGAAAAGGCAACGACCATCGGTGTGCTTGACGGCGCTCTCGTAGTCACACTCGGACTTGGAGGAAGGGTTGGACAGGGGGAAGATGATGGGGGCAGTGTTCCAGTCGGCCATCTTGCGGAGGATCTCGGGGGTGAAAACACCGCCCAGAGTGGACAGACCCATCAGGATAGTGGGCTGGACATGGTCAATGACCTCCTCCAGAGTCTTGAACTGCTGGCCCTTGTTGTCCTGGCGAGCAAAGTACACCTTGTGGTCGGCGAGCTTGTCACCACGGTCAGCAGTGACCAGACCCTTGGTGTCGACCAGGTAGAAGCAGTTGCGAGCATCCTCCTCGGACATGCCCTCACGCATGAAGAACTCGACGATCTGCTTGGCGACACCGACACCGGCCGAACCGGCTCCGAGGAACACGGCGCGGTGGTCCTTGCAGGGTAGGCCGGAGCGCTTGACGGCGTTCATCACGCCGCCGAGAATCACCGCGCCAGTACCCTGGATGTCGTCATTGAAGCAGGTGTACGAGTCCCGGTAACGCTCGAGTGCGGGGAATGGATTCTTGAAGTCCTCGAATTGGATGACAATACTAAGCGAATAAGCTCCGTTAGTCGACGCGCCCTATCGGAATATCGGAAGAGTAAAAGTAGATCATGCGGGGACAGCTGGGGAGAGGAGGGAGCGGAGTGTGAGGGGAATTCGTGAGGGGAAGGAAGAAACCGGCGAGTGGGACCCCATGATTGGGCCACCCGGGATCTCGCGAGCGGGAACAAGGGTTGGAGAACCCGGAAGGGCTAAAAAAAAACAAGCATAATCATAGGCAAAGCTCAAAAGTACCACTTACCCAGGCCAGCGCTCGGTGAGAGCGGACATCAGCTCGTCCAAGAACTCCCGCTCCTCTTCGGCGGAGATCTTATCGCGACGGCTACCCATGTACAACGGGTCTTCCCGGAGGGTCTTGTTGCTGGTGCCCAGGTCCAGAGTCAGAGGCAGGGTGGCCTCGGGACGAATACCCGCACAGGCCGTGTAAAGGGCGAGCTTGCCAATGGGGATACCCATGCCGTTGATGCCCAGATCTCCCAGTCCGAGGATGCGGGAGCCATCGGTGATGCATGTGATCTCCACATTAGGCTGAGGCCAATTGGCGATCACGGCGGCCAGATTTCCCCGATCTTCCCAGCTAAGGTACATGCCTGAAACAGAAATAGTAAATTAGCTCCGGTTCTATTTCGTCACTTGACGAAAACAAAGCCCATCGCTTATTGGGCCTAAAATCTATCCCATGAGGTATGTAGCTCGGTGAGGCATAGCCACCGGCCGAAGCCACAATACGGGGAAAAGTAAAAAGAAAAATTCGTGACTCACCCTCGGGCTGCTGGTAGATCTCAGACCACCGTTGGCAGGCCTCGCCCACGACCGGGGTATAGATCAAGGGAGTAAGCTCCTACAGTGACGACTATCGTTAATCATCGAACTTGTCTTCTCGTCGGGCAATCACATGTGATTGGTTGGATTATTACATACCCTCAAGTGGTCGGTGACCAGACGGTAGAAGAGGTGGACATTGTTCTTGCGCAGAGTGCTGAGATATTGGAACTTGTCGATATCGGTGCTCTTCAGACCCAGCTGAGCCAGGCATCGTGCCTTTTGGGTCTCGTAGCTCTCGGAACGGGGAGGAGTCAAGCCGTATGTGCGCAGGTACTTGCGGATATATGAAGGGTTGGCAGTGTCATAGTTGGCATCTCTGTAGGAAAAGGCAAGATGGTTAGCCAAATGTTTAATGCTTTTGCTCGTTCTTTGAGTTGGTTATTTTTTTTTCCTCTTCGCAGAAAAAGATTTGCTGACTGCGGTTCTTTGCTCTTTCTCTCGTCGACAATGTCCCCGCATGCGGAGAAGCTCACTTGGCTCCATCGTCAAGATCGAGTAGGGAGTATAGAAAGGCAGCCAGCAATCTGTAACGTCGTCGAGGGTCCGTATCTCTGGAAAGCAACCACTTACGAAGGAGTAGTAGAGTGGTTGAGGAAAGGCGTCGCGTGGACGGGACGACTTTGTTGAGGAGAAAATCGAGCCATTGTGTCAATTGTGTCTGGTGAAGAGCGAGATGGTTTACTCGTCACGGTGACAGCGGAAGAAGAATGATAGAAAGCAGAAGTAGTATGAACCGTGAAAGGATGAGGGGGGCGAGTTTTATGTATGGAGACACGAGCTAACAGACGACTCGGGCCCATCCCCTGGGTGGTTCTCGCGCACATCATCCCAGCCATTTCCGACTAGTTGTAACAGGGCAGAGAATTATCCGGGCAAGGCCGTTTAGGAAGGGACGGGCGAGGCGAGTAAAAGCGACGGCATGTTGTCGCCAGTCGGGAAGAGCCGGGCAAATAATGCATGAAGGGGGTGGAGGGATGGGGATGAGCCATGAGGGTCCGCGAAGGGGAAAGGATGGAGACCGGATGGGGTGGGGAGGAGCCGAGTGTGGAGTCGAGTCTTCGGTGGTGACAGCGAACCAGTATGCGCGAATTGGTCGGTGAAATCTGGGTCCCTCCTAAAGCTTCTTTTCTTTTTTGGGAGACCGATCCAGCAAGGGGAGCTGGAATCGCCGGGGTGGAGCCTGTCGTGGATGGGGTTGGACGGGGGGCGCCGAATAATAATGATGATTCGAAATGTGAAGGGGGAGAGAATTGGAGATATTTTTTCTTTTTGGAGTAAGTTGTACCAGTCCTGCGGAGATAATTCTCGGAGCTGCTCTGTACAGTATAGAATAGCTCTATCCCTAGCAGAGAATCGAGGAAGAATGATGCGGATGAGGGAAATAGATGGCAGACGATCGATCAGCTGGGAGCCGCGATACACCGTACAGTCCATCCTGCCAGTCACGGGGCCAGCACTCGAACGGACTGGCCCATTCTCTCGTCTGCTCACCTCCTCACCTCCTCCTCCTCCTCCTCCTCCTCATCATGCCCAACACGATTTCTACACGGTACACCTCGAACTGCCACTTCCGTTGACGCTCGCGTGGCGCCTGACAATTTTCCATCAATTCAGCAGATTTTCTGAGAATATGGTGTATTCCCATTGGCTCAATTGGCCGGGGAGGACCCGCGATGGAGCCTGCCCAGCAACGCGAACCCACATCAGGGAGCTCCCAGAGCCGCAGTCGGTGCCGAAGGGCAGGGTGGAGTTCGGCGCTGCCAAACGAACTAGACCCGTCTCGAGTATAGAGACCATTTTTTTTAATCCAACTCCTCTTCAGCAACCAATCTACAATGTCCATAGCGGTACGAAAGACGGATGATCTAACTTACTACAGGCTAAACTCCCCCTGCCCAGCGCCCCTCTTCTTCCAGAACACAGGGAGAAAGATCCCAATGGCCAGTCAGGACGGAGCTGACCTGGCGGGAAAGCGGCGTGCGGAGCCCGCCGACTGCTGGAAACATTCATGACCAGGTCGACTTCCGTTCCCCGTGCGGATAGGAAAACCATCGTCGGACGGAGACGAAGAGGATCGCGGAGCACAGTCGTCCTACGAGCGCAGACTGAGAGTGTGACCCGCCTTCGCCCACCAGTCGTAACGGCCGAGTCTTATAGCCTAAGGCCTTGGACGTTGAATTACGACTCTTGTCAAGAGCAATTGGGGGTCTCGCAATAGCGTTGGCAGTTGCCGTCCACTCTACCGTGCCGACCTCTGAATGGCATCTTCCGAAGACTATGACCCAGGTGGGGAGAGAGAGAGTATGATGGAAGATGTCCTTGTCATAACTACGGAATCTCTCTACTACAATCATGGTCTATCTATGCAATCATGGTCTATTAAATGTAAGCCATACGCCGTAACTACTACAAACTTATACTACTCCAGTACGATGGCGGATGCACTTATAGGGCTACCGGCCCCGAACCGGGCGGAAATCCAGCAAAACCCCAACCACGCATATCCAGCACGACCCTGCGTGATTTATTGGTAGGCATGCTTGAAAATCCCCCAAAAAAAATCGAGAAACTCTTGCTTGGTGATCAGGCGCCGATGGACTTGTCTGGAACCAAACCAGAAAACCACACCGGGATCCCCCACTGGGGGCGATCGGAAGCCCACGCAAGAATCGGAAGCCAGGGGTGTGTTCGGCGGTTTCTGATTGGACCCGAACGCCTTGCTGCCTCGGTGCTTTGGCAGAATCAGAAGTCGCGACTGTCATGGAATTCGTCGGACTTTTTTCTGGCTGGTCGCCTGCATTTTTGCATGGGGCCTTGCAGTTGTCCCAACGGTTTCAGAAGGCTTAACCTGAGAATTACGCGTGGACTTTGTGTCATACGAAAATGATTTTGCTTTTCCCTTTTCCCAACGGGTAAGTACTTTGAGGAGAGAATGCATGACTAAGGTTTGCTATTCTTGACTCACGGGAGAAACCATGTCACGACGTAATGATTCGATAGCTCAGCTTCAGATGGATAATTCTCATAGCAGTAAATGATGGTCAATCTATTGAATTTCGAACTTGATCTCTCCGGGCTGTTGCATTCTGGCTCCCGATTGCAATGACTCGTTCCACGGCGTTGATTCGAGTACGAAGGAGTCAAAAATGTACCACGTATGCAGATTAAATAACGCACGACTCTGATCCTTCATACTCCCACATCTGCGTAATTGATTCCTCGAAAGTCAATAGTAAATAGTCTGAATCACCACCATCATTACGTACCATCATCATACCCCAAGATTCAATGCCCAGGATCAACTCCACAAAGAGGCACCACCCACAATGTCCAACGGTCGGCGAATGGTCAAAAGCCTAGAGTCTAGAGTCTAGAGTCCCGACCGAAGAATAACTACGGAGAACGGGAGCGACTCGAACTGCTGAAATGAATTAGCCGGAACCACGATGTGCTCCATAATTGAGGTACATTGAGCTTTCCCCAGATTGCCGATCGTCCTGAGCTTCTCTCCTCTCCCCATAGATCCAAATTGTCGAGAACAATACTCACCTGGTTTATTCTAAACGATAATCCAATTGATTCTCCTTCACCTCCTTCTTCCTCTCACAGTCCATCTCGTAGGAAACACGAAAGCAAACAGCATCCCACCCGTAACACTAGCAGCCCCATGGCAGAGAGTGTCGTCATCGCCCCGAGCCCAAAACAGGCTAAGGCCCCTCCATTCCTGCTCGCTGCACCTCCTCCGCCTCGAGAGCTCCAAGCTCAACGTAGCTAAATACCGACACCCTCTGACCCCCATCCATTGATTCTAAATAATCACTCTCCCAAACTTAACGGGCCTGCTGGCCTCACACATTTCCACCATGCCCTCCGAAACAGAACCCCTCCTCCCGCGGTATGACGACGAAACCGCCCGTCAGCGCCGTCTCCACCAAAAGCTACACACCTACCAGATGCTCCGCGCTATGGCAGAAGGCTACATGCCCTCCACTGAGCAAACCATCGCCAATCTGCGGACCCTACTAGCGTCAGACGTGTTGAATCTGCGTAATCAGGATATCGGATCCGTTGGTCGGTTACTGGTGCGCGATGCTAGGCTGTTGATTACGGTGTTGATTGAATTCTTGCGGGAGAAGAACGAGGGGGATCTGTTGCAGGAGTTTTTGTGGAGGTTGGCGAGATCGAGGGTGGAGGTTGATGCTGGGCGGGTCGTGGGGAGTGCTAAACGCGTCAAGGCGCGTGCGGATACTAAAGCAGGTGGGTCGTTCTTGTGATTCTGTTTTTTTTTTTTTTTTGGATTATGCGGGTTTGGGACTAGTTGATCGAGAGTCGTCGGTCTCGACACCTTCGTGTGTGGCAGCTACCAACTAACTGGGGGCCACCTCCCAGGGTGGAACTCTGCTCTTAGCGTGTCTCTGTGGATTGACTGATTACTGAGCCGGGATTTCTGGATTCTAGCATATGATAGCTTTCGCACGGTGGGCAGTTTACTCCTGACGAATGCCGATTTCCGTCTCTTTGTCGACGACGTTGCCACGGTTGGTCGCCAGATCTTTGCTGATACCGCTGCTTCCCTGTCCGAGACCTCGAAAGAGGTCGCTCGGCAGGTGCAGCCATCGGACGAAGAGACACAAGCTTTGCAGGGAGCTGGCGCGGACGAGGGACATGAAGTATCCCGCGAAGAATTGAAGGAAGAAGTCGCGAATGTGGTTGAGATCGCTGGCAAGGGAGTTGCGCGCACAGAGCAAGCGGCAGTGGAGAGCGCTAAGGAGCATTTGTCAGGTCAAGAACGGGATACACTGTTATACCGACTGAAGCAAGCCGTCTCGAAGCTTCGTCAGCGAACCGACTACACGAATTCCGTTTCGACTATCACGCAGTTCATACAGCGCTACGCAGCTTTATACGCCACTGCCGCCGAAGATACAGCTGCAGCGGCGCAGGAAGATGTCGAGGCAAATGAGGATTTCAAAAAGGCAGTTGATCACTTCTGGAAGTTACTGCGGCTGTTTGGAGACTCCAAGGAGTGGGATAGACTCAAGGAAAAGTTTCATGACGTCCTTCGCCACGCTGATAAGGATCCCGAGTTTGAGCGCTTGATGGGGGATGTCACCGGCTCGCTACAGGACATGCTTACCGATCCGGCATTTTTCGATTCCGCATCTGAGAAGCTCGATGAGTTGCAGCAGCAGTCGGAGAAGGTAGGCTCTGAGACGGGGATTCGTAAGGATATGGATGAGTTTTTGGCTCAAGCGAAGCGAACCCTGCGAAGTGTTCCCGCCGACAACGAGGTGTCCAAACTGGTCAATGCGACGAAGAAGCTACATCACGATGCATACAATGCCTACAAAGACAACAAGGCTGATATCCCCGTTGACCTTGCGAATATCTTTCTTCCTATGTTCTTGCGCATGATCCAGTACATTCCCATCCCCCGACTGGAAGTGTCGGCGCCGGAGATGGACCTGCTGCTCGAGAATCTGGTCCTTGAACCCGGCCGGACAGTCAACAGCTCATCTTTCCTACCATACCGCATCAACCTGCTTACACGCAATGATATAGACATTGTGAAAAAGCATGCCAAGCGCACAGACACTACCATCAAGACCGCCTTCACACTGAACATTCATGGCCTCAATCTGAGTGCCCAAGACTTCGGGTACTGGCTGCGAACACACACTGGACTTTTCTTCCACCTCAAAGACGAAGGAATCGCCAGCTTCTACCTCGACCGCCGAGGCATCGATATTTCACTCGACGTCGAAGTAGGTCGCGGCCGCCTCGAGCAAATCTTCTCTCTGCGCGGTGTCCGCGTCCGCATCCACAAGCTCGACTACAAAGTCTCCCAAAGCAAATGGAGGTTCCTCCTATGGCTGACCAAGCCGTTTCTGAAACACCTGGTACGACGTGTCCTAGAGAAGAAGATCGCCGAAGAGATTGTTGCAGCTGCCTTTGCCCTGAATCGAGAGCTGGTCTTTGCTCGGGAGCGGCTTCGTGCGGCTCGTATCGCCAATCCGCAGGATTTGGCGACATTTGTGCGCGCGGTCCTTGCACGGCTCCGGCCGGCTGATATGGACGTGGAAACTCGGGTGGCTCTGGAACCACCGAAGAGTGGCGTTTTCAAGGGCGTTTATGCGCCTGGTAGCATTGTCAAGACTTGGCATGAGCAGGCTACTGCTGCTCAGGAGGCGATTGATGATGGGGATGAGACGCACGGTGTGGGACACACCTGGCGTAACGATATCTTTGATGTTGCAAGGGCTTAGACTATCGTGAGATAGCCTAGCTGGTTGCGTTTGGATCAGGCAGTGTTACGATTAACGAAAGCTTCTTATTTTAATATGTTCTTGCCATTTTATGTTTATGTGAGGACCTTGGCGGCAAAATACGGACCACATGGGTTTGCAATGACTGAATTTGATGTATCTTTCAACTCCATTCTCTACTCAAAATGTTTACATTTCCAATCTGATAACGTAGCCTCCTCGGAGTCTGCATCCCCGATAGCCCAAATGCTATACTTACCACGTGACACTCATCGGGGCAACATTATTCCCCCGTCGCGATAAGGCCTACCTGGCCCGTTCGACGCGCCAGCACAACTAAAAGACCACCCCGACATCCCCTCCAATTACTCTTCCAAGAGATCCGCTGGGACACCCACGAGGCCCAGCCAACCCTCATGACTACCTCATAAACATCTAAACAACAATCAACTCAACCTCAGCGCACCGCCAAGCTTCCGCGCACACGATCCGAGCTCCATTAATCCAACCGCCGGAGCGGGACCGCCGAGTATCGAGTATTGGAGTCGCACAATTTGCGCCTACACAATTATTGTGACGACAAACAAATACGCAAAAACGTTTCCATCGTGCATGAGCTGCCCCTGCAGCTTGGTGCTTGAACACAGCCCTTCACAATGTATATGCAGCGTTTGTTGATTGCGCTGGCAGTAGTACTTTTCTCGGTACTTGTGTTGGCTGCCGAGGATTACTACAAGGCTCTTGGCTTGGATAAGTCCGCTTCGGAGAAGGACATCAAGCGCGCGTATCGTACGCTTAGCAAGAAGTACCACCCAGACAAGAATCCGTGAGTACTGTTCCCGAGTGCCATTGGGGGGTGTATTGTGGTTCGCATTACTTGCGTGCCGAGTGGGACTGTATAACACACCCAGTGAGATTTTGAAATTACTAACACGCGCATGAAAATAGTGGCGATGAGACCGCGCGCGAGAAATTCGGCGAAATCGCTGACGCCTACGATGTCCTCTCCACGTCCTCCCTGCGCAAGATCTACGATCAATACGGCCACGATGGCGTTGAGCAGCACCGCAAGGGTGGTGCTGCCGGTGGTCGCTCAAATGACCCGTTCGATCTCTTCTCGCGGTTCTTCGGTGGCGGTGGGCACGCCGGACATGCGCCTGGCCACCGACGCGGACCGGATATGGAGGTAAAGGCATCGCTCCCACTGCGCGACTTCTACACGGGCCGGGAGATCAATTTCCTGGTGGAGAAGCAGCAGATCTGCGACGATTGCGAGGGAACCGGGTCGAAGGATCGCCAGGTTGTGCACTGTGAGCAATGCGGTGGTCGTGGCATGGTTATCAAGAAGCACATGCTGGCGCCGGGAATGTTCCAGCAAGTACAGATGCCCTGTGACCAATGCGGTGGACAGGGGAAGAAAATCAAGAACCCTTGCCCCGTGTGTCACGGCCAGCGGGTCGTGAAGAAGGCCGTTGAGACGAGTGCCGAAATTGAGAGGGGCATGGATAAAGGGACAAGGCTTGTTTTCGAGAACGAGGCTGATGAGAGTCCCGATTGGGTTGCGGGTGATTTGATCGTTATCCTTGATGAAAAGGAGCCGGAGCTTGGGACGACGGAGGAGGAGCGGACTGATGGGACGTTTTTCCGTCGCAAGGGCAAGGATCTTTTCTGGAAGGAGACGCTTTCTTTGCGGGAGGCTTGGATGGGCGAGTGGTCGCGCAATGTCACGCATTTGGATGGCCATGTTGTTCGACTTGGACGCAAGCGTGGTGAAGTCATCCAGCCCTTAGCCGTGGAAACGGTCAAGGGCGAGGGAATGCCGCATTACTCCGAGGCACATCTACATGACCAGCACGAGGAGGACGACTCGCCTGGCAACCTGTATGTTGAGTACACGGTCGTGCTGCCGGATGAGATGGAGAGTGGCATGGAGAAGGAGTTCTTCGCGCTGTGGGAGAAGTGGCGCAAGAAGATTGGGGTTGATTTGGCGACAGATAGTGGAAGGCCAATTCCTCCGCCGGCGGAGGAGTATGAGAAGGATGAGTTGTGAGCTGGTGGGTCATGAAAGACATACCCGTGTTCTGTATTTTGCATTGTTCCTTGGTTCATTTGCTCCTTTAGACTTGCTCGGTGTTTCCCTTGAGCTGTAGCTGAGCATCCTGACACATCCTATACATCTCATAGATCAATTTCGTCAACTATGGCTGATTAGTCTACTACTATACTTGAGAATTGTCGTATTTTTTCCCTAGTCACGCCTAGTCAGGCAAAGCCCGAGTAACTATCGAGGTGTTATTACACCTGTCTCGGTCTACATGGTGGCTGAGAAGGCGGCAAAGAATACCATCAGCGATGCTGAGTCCGATTAAGAGCGAATTGAGGGACCAGGCAGGGCCGTACATATACGTTATTCTTCTTGTCAAAAACTAATTCTGTCAGGTAGGCTTCAAGCCATATCAATTCTAGTTCAATGACTTAATCACCACTTTGCCAAGCCCTTTGCCTCTCTTTCCCCCACGCCCTACGGATGACAGGCTCCACCCGGCTTGCAAGATCAACTATTCATGACTTATATCTAGGGAACACTTTTTCCACTGGTCAAATATCAACTCGTAAAAAGGCTAAAAATGCGCCGTGCAACGCGACCTTCAACTTATGAGCTGGCCGAGCTCGACGCCACCGTTCCTGAAAATACAGATGTCGGCGTCAGTCTGGCATTTCCAGAAGGCGGGCGCGAAGCCTGGACTTGTCTGCTAGGCTCTGCTCTGCTGATGTTCCCCTCATTTGGCTTTCAAACAGCTGGTTAGTATATTTTCCCTTAAAAAAAAGAGAAAATGCATCTAACAGCCCGACAGTGGGATCGGTCCAGGATTATATCAGTACTCATCAGCTAGCTGCATACAACGTTCGAGATGTCGGCTGGATCACGGCCGTACTGGTCTTTTTGACTCTCTTCCTTGGAGTTCAAGTAGGCCCTCTATTCGACCGTTACGGACCTCGCATGCTCTTAATCTGCGGTTCTCTTGCTAGTGTGACCTCCTATCTGCTTCTGGCAGAATGTACCGAGTACTGGCATTTCATGCTATGCCTGAGTGTATTGGGGGGCATCTCTTCGGCAGTGATCACAACGGTCAGTATCGCCGTTCTTAGCCACTGGTTCTATCGGCGTCGTGCTCTCGCTTCTGGGCTCTGTATGAGCGGGTCTTCCGCCGGCGGTGCCATCATTCCTCTGCTGTTGAGAACCTTGTTCCAGCGATACGGCTGGACATGGGGTATCCGCATCATCGCGTTTATCGCATTAGGCTGTTATTCGGCAGGAATCTTCCTAGTCAAGGGGCGACTGCCGGCTGGGAACGTGAGCAAAGCCATGATTGATTTCCGAGCATTCCGAGAACCCCGACTTTGCTTTCTCGCCGTGGCTGTTTTCGCTTTCGAATTCATTATCTTTGGCTGTGCTGCACTTTTACCCACCTACGTCCGCTACACGGGCCTGGACCTCAATGTCCAGTTCTATTCGCTCACTGTGCTGAATAGCATGAGTTTGATGGGCAGAGTGTTGCCTGGTTTTGCGGCGGATCAAGTGGGACGTTTCAATATCCTGCTCTTCCTGGCCTTGATTACCCTTCTTGTCATGTCGGCCGTATGGATTCCATTTGGGTCCCGCGATGAAGCTACGCTGTACGCGGTAGTTGCGATCTTTGGGTTTGGATCGGGGGGTTGGGTATCTCTTGCGCCCGTGTGTGCTGGCCAGTTGTGTCGCACAGAGGAGTATGGTCGTTTCTACGGCACGATCTATAGTGTCGCCGCTTTCGGCGTCCTGCTGACGGTCCCCATTGGTGGTGAGCTGTTGCAGTCGACCACACCGCAGACTCTCGTTGGATTCTATTCAGCTGTTTTACTTGTAGGGTTGATCAGCGTTGCGCTATCGCGATGGGCACTGTTGGGCTGGAGATGGCAATGGAAGGTGAAGGTTTAAATTGGGGAGCCTTAGCTTTACTTTCAAGTGTAAAGCCCAGATCTAGTAAAATTGGGTGGCACGCCAGACTGGTAAAATTGAAGAATATGCATAAAGTACCGGGTATATCAAGACAAACCTTAGAATGCTTTTTCAAGGCAATCAATCCACTGCCTTCAGTGGACCTTTCCTTTACAACTGCAAGCTGTCGAAATCATCCCTCTTGCCATGGTAATTCTGGCCAGCCAGTTTGAACTTGCTGTTGGGAACCCATTGGACAAAGTCCACCATGTTCCGTGTGACCAAAGTGGCGGGATCCTGAACAACCTGCGTGCCAACGCGGACATGACCTTGCGCAACTGCTTCAATGGCCTATTCATCAAGTCAGTCAATATATTCATAAGACTATTTATCCCGTCTCACACGTCCATTTGAATGAGGATTGTCAAACGGCAACAATCGGCCACACGGAGCATTGCCAGATAATGAGGAGAGATATAACGTACCTTATCCACATATTGAATCATCTTCTGTTCTCTCACCATCACGATTGGCAGGCGCCTCCGGCAGATAGCCGACACTGTGAGATGCTCCACCTGGGACAACGCTCCGCCCTGCTCTCGTGACTTCTGAATGATACCCATGTTGTGTAGCTTCTCTAGCATAGCTGACTCCAGCTTCCTCCGTGTAGGGTCCTCGGGCTCCATCTGTGAGAGCTTGTATGCCAGTTTGCGCATCGATCCGCAAAGCGCATTGTACGTATTATATTCGACATCCGTAATTCCGTATCGGCGCTGGATTTCACCAGTACGGTGGCCTTGGTCTGACTTGTAGGTGTAGAGGTCGGTTTTCTTGAGAAGTCTGTAATGAAATGGTCAGGCCTGGGTTCATGATAGAGGGCAGGTTGCTGGCGGAAGAGCTTGATAGGGCGAGAACAGTGTCCGATCTGTTAACAGTCGTGTGACTTACTTCTTCTCGTGATGTTTGAGTTGTCGGACCATCTTCGCAACTCTTTAACCAGTAGCCTTTTGACTGCGAGTTGGAAGTGATTGATGATATTTGAGTTCGAGATCGAGAGCTGGCGGTTGCGAGGAAAAAGACGGCGATAAGAAAATTCCGTTATCGGGCGGTGAGTTGGGATTCTGCCAGGGTCCGCACTCATGTCACGTGGTTTACAAGTTGGCTGACTTTTGGTGCGGAAGATAACTACGAGTAAATACGGAAGGGCAATTATCAAAAGAATTCCGTATTCAAAATTGTCTCTTCCAATTGGGAATAAAATCGAGGCATTTCATTTGAGCTTTCCTGCGCGTCGCGATATGAAGATATGCTCGCCAAAATGGCAGCCAATCAATGCCCGACTTCGTTCCCATAACGCTCCCACAGTTATCAGCTTCCAGTGGACCCAAAGAAAACCCCCATGGCTATAGAGCATACACCAGATGCGAAACTGCCCAAATAGTCTGTACGACATATCGACGCTTACAAGGGTTGAAGTTAGGCGCTTACGGTAGGCCTATCAGGAATGAAATAATTAATGGAAACATATATCTCGGAAAAAATTCGTAAACCGAACGCAACGTTAGAGAAAATGAGAGCCAAAATCAACAAGTTCCGATCTCCTCCATTCGCTTATGAGGCAGAAGGAAAAAAATAATAAACAACCATGTATTCAATAATGTTGTCGTATCTCATTAGGGGCGTTAAAGTTAAAATGGGGGCATTATCGTAGAAAACGAAAACACAACATGAAAGCACCGGCATACCCAATGCAAATCATAATTCGTAAACGCTAAATTGGGGAATCTCCCAGCAGACGAGTCGTTCGAGCAATCTTCTCACTGAGAGAGCGGATATTCTGGGCACCCATAATATCCAAAAGAGAGACATCGGCTTTCAGTTCCTTAACAATCCACGAGCGGAACTCCATCGAGACGAGTGAATCGATGGCCCCGAATCCGAACCTCTGAACATCGAGTTCCGACACGGGTATAGCAAGAAGGGAGGAGAGTCTCTCGACAATACCGTCAGAAACCACCGAGACTGCATCTTCGGTTGAAGACACCGAGCTCAATAGAATGGCAGTGCTGATTGTCCTTTGGTCGGTTGACTCTGCAGCTTTTGTATTGACGGTGTTGCGTTGGTGGGTAAAGAGAGAATAGTTGAGGTATGTTGGCGGCGAAATTCCATTCTGTTGACATAATTCCGCCGTCGGGAGACCCAGTATCAACTGTGACTGAGGTGTAGATTGCGAGTGATTGAGCTTCTGATATCTTGGGTCAATGAGGAATTCAATAGCACCGTGGACTTCATCTTCCCGGAGTAATTCGAACAATGTGGCTGTTTGAGAACGCATTGACTCTCTGTTCTCAGCCACCCATCCGACGCTCGACACGCTGCCCAGGTCGAGGCTGTATGTGTTCATTCCCCGCGCAGTACGGTACGCAGCGAGGGAGTCTTGGAAAGTATTTCCTGCTGCATAATTGGCTTGACCACGGTTACCAAAGATGCCTGCCACCGAGGAAAGCATGACCAAAAAGTCCATGTCGGTCGGGAGGAGCTCATGTAGGTTCCAGGACCCTTGAACCTTGGGCGTGACGGCAGTCTGCCAATCACTCATAGACATACTTGCAAAAGCGCCATCCTGTGGAATGTGTCAGTAAAGATATCATTGGATTAACAAAGTGTCGACTCACCCGCAAAGTCATGGAGCATTGAATACAGCCTTTGATGGGAGGAAGAGAGGCTGCACACTCCTCGATGACAGACTTGACGTGATCGGCATTGGCGACATCGCATATGAAAATGCGGGCCTTACATCCCGCTTCTTTCACATCTTCTAGCATTTCTGCCACCGATGGAGATACAAGACCTGAACGAGAAAGGAAGACAAGAGACTTTGCACCGCGGGCGACCATCCATCGAGCCAGGCTTCTGCCCAAGCCACCTAGTCCGCCGGCAAGAACGTAAGAGGCGTCACCGTCAAACCGATATGGAGATAGAGCAATAGGCATGACACGAACTACATCGGAAGGGTTGTATTTGAATACGACCTTCCCGATTCTTCCCTTGCTGCTGTCGGGGGGCTGATTGCGGCTGCCAATTTTGGTGAAATCCATGACTGTTAAAGGCTGAATCTGACCAATTTTGCCGACCTTGTACAGCTCCAGGGCCTTGGTCAGAAGGTGCCTAATCACATTCGGTCTATACTGGACCAAGGAAGGGACATCAACGTTGGTAATGGTCACATTAGGCCGCGCCGAGGAAAGATCGAGCATGACTCTGTTGAATTTCCCGTCATTTCTGTCGACATGAAGGAAGTTTCCAAAAGGAGCAACACAAGCCAAGGATTCCTGCAGACCCTCACCGGCCATGGCATTGAAAATAACATCAGCCCCATATCCATTGGTGCATCTCATGATGCCGAGAGTAAAGCCGTCGGCCTGCTGGGAGAATATATGGTCTTCGGGTATTCCATATTCAGCAATGAGGAACTCACGATCTTCCACAGTGGATACAGTGCTAAATATCGTTGCGCCGATTGTTTTAGCATACTGGATGGCAGCCTGGCCGAGAGCTCCTGCTCCATCGTGAATCAGGATCGTGTTAGAGTTGGACAGCCTTGCCACGTCACCTAGTCCATAGAGGGCAGTGACAAAGACAGAGGGAAGGCCAGCAGCATCGCTAAGTGAGACTTCCGGGGGAATTCTGGTAGCCAATTTGTGATCGAGTCGAGCAACAGTCCGGAAGCAGCTCTTGTCTTTGCTGCCAGTGAGGAAGACGACATGATCACCCGGGACAAAGTCGTTCACCGCCGATCCGACGCTTTTCACCACTCCGGAGGCTTCATCCGAAGGATTGAGGCAGTTGATGTCCGAATTGAGACCCACTGCACAAATCTCAACCTCAATTTCCATCTCCAGGACAGGGCCTTTGCAGGATACGTCTGTTGACCAATAGACGTCATGTGTGGCAGTCTTCGCGAAGTCTAACTCTATGGGACAATCGATATCTCCAAGACGCTTCATTTCAGGGGTAGCGCTCGACGCCTGCATAGCGAGGAACTCGTCTGGTGCCTGCCACTCGCACAGTCTTCCGACTTCAAGATTTCCGTTTCGAATGCGGTACTCAGCATGCCGATCAGCAGCCCGAGTTGCCAGAAATTGTTGATCGACAATCCTTTCAATCCATGTTGCCAAGCTTTCCCCGCTAATGACCGAGGATTCGTCAAGGTCCAATGTCACAATGTTCGAGCCGTCCGCGTCGCGCTCCCATCGCACAGTCCGCAGTAGTCCCGTACTCATACTTGTTAATGGCTGAGAGGAAGTATCCGCTGTCAACCACAGGATATTTGGACATTCCATGAGCATGGACCGTAACAAAATAAACCCGTCTTGCTTGATCTCTGAAAGGAAAGAAGTTTCAAGATCGATAAGGGAGATACAAAGGCAGTCAGGCCCGGTGACGAGGCTGAGCTCCGACGGCCCTACCACAGTGACTTGACGCGAGTCTTTCCTTTTCTGCAAAGTATCTTGAAGAGTTGCGACAGCGTCCATTGTTGCCGGGGTCATTGATGACAGGATATAGATATCCCGCGAGGTCACATTGGGCGGGGCAACGGCAGTCGAGACAAGAATACTTTGCCACGTCAAGTCTTCGTCAGGAGAGCTGGGGTACTCGATATCAACGCCCGAAAACCCGGATTCGACGAGAAGCTTGTTCCATTCGCAGGATGGAATGTATGGACACCATTGTCGCATAGGCTCGTTGCCAAGCCACCACCCAGGAAGCTGACCAAAAACAAGGGGGTACCACAAGAAATCTTGCCGAATTCCTTCTTGCATGATCAATTGACCACTGGGTCGAAGGAGAGATCTGAGATTGCCTAGTGCATTATGCAAATCCGCCGTGGCATGAATGACGTTGCCCGCGAAGATCAAGTCGTAGGTACCAGGCTGCAGACCTTGCTCGACGGGGTTTCTTCCAATGTCCATGGTCTTGAAATTCATGATGGTGTTCCATGTCTGAAATCTTTTCTTGGCTTTATCAAAGAAGCCGGATGAGATATCGGTGAACGTATAGCTTGCAATGCTGCCTTTGGCAGGGTCTGAGTCAGGTGCAAGTACGCCGAGAATTTCTGCCGTGAAACTGCCAGTGCCGCCTCCTACTTCCAGGATATTCAACCCCGAATATTTGTGACGGAGGAGTGTGAGGTGGTTTTTGAGGTACTTGGGCAGGTTGTACAATTGAAGACCCTCCTTGTACACATCTTCCATAACATTGTCTTGGCCGAACATGAGATGAAGAGGGTCGATCTCGTTTCGCATTACACCGGCAATATTGCGGCCCATTCTGATTGTAATGGCCCCTTCAGCGCTGTGTCGTTCCACCTCTGCAAAGAGTGATTGTTTGAGTGACTCGTCGCCAGTCATCTCGACGAACTTGGAGCAGGGGAGGTGAATGATGGTATCGGTCACCAAGTTCTCTCGCACGTGCCTCATCCAATCATAGAATCTGCGTAAATGCAAATCAAGAGTTGCGACCTCGAGGTCTTTGAGCTCGTCTAAAGCATCCATGACATGAAGCATGCTTGCAAGTTGAAGCCGCTGAACGCACAATCGCTCCTGGCTACTATTGGCATGTTCAACTGGGACTAGGTCACAGCCAGACTTGGAAGTGAGGAAATCAACATCCGGCCTCCAGTCAATCAAAGTGCACAGCTGGCGCTTTGCAGCACTCTCAGAACGATTTTCAAGAGGAGTAAGCTCGATATCATTCATCGCAAGGCGGTGCACTTTGGTGTCAGCATCGAATACCATTATGCGACCTTGGAACTTGCCAGCCCCTGAAAGAGCCACAGATGCATGTCCTGTGAATTTGTGATGCGGCGAAGAGCTTACGTCGGCTGAAACCCACATGTCGCGAATGTATGTTGGAAGTCTGATCGTATCAAGAGAACTTTTGCCATTGAAGTCGATGACTGCCGCGATCATCATATGTATCATACTATCCATTGTGGTGGGATGGATCAAGTGAGAATGCATGTATTGCTTTGGCATTGTCTTGGCAATGTCGGGAGTTGACACCCTGCCTGTCATCATTCCAAGCTTCGAACCACTGGTACGCACATCGCCAAGATTCTGGAAGAGAGGTCCGAAGTTGAGGCCATCCCTTTGAAGATTCTTGTAGATCATTGGGAAATTCACAGATCGGGTGCAGTCATTTTCCACACGTTGGAGTTCCTCCAACCGGATTTGGGTTTCTGCATTTGCCTCACGGCCTTTGTCAATGGGATCTGCGATCTTTGCAAATTCCACGGCAATGTCACCAGAGCAGTGTTCAGTCCATGTGTCGCTTGACTCGTTGTATGAGCTGATGTGAAAGCGACGCCAAGGCTTGGTTTCGGATGATAGCTCTGCGGACGTCATCGACAGGCTAACTTCGATGCCTAGTTTCGTATCTGGGATGATCAAGGCTCTCTGAATGAAAACATGGCGGAGTTGAAAGCCGACTAGTGTTGCTTCACCAGCCAGTTGCCGAGACGCCTCAATTGCCATGACAAGAAAACCGACACCGGGATAGACGTAGTTACCCGTGACCTGTATCATGTTAGCAAATAAAATGAAATAAACGAGCCAAAGTCTTACCATGTGGTCCCTCAGCCATGGGTTCTCATCTAACCGAACGAAATGCCTCCATCTAGGCAGATTGGGGTCCCAGTCCGGGACCGGAGCGCCGAACAGATCATGACGAGGGAATTTCCTGTTCCGCAGGTTTCTACTCAATCTACTCTCATAGAGAATCTTCTCCGTGTGCTTGAAGCTGTAGGGAGGAAGGTCAACTAGGAGTTGAGATTGTCTTCTTTTCTGAGGGCGAGAAGCGAGATTGATCTTGTGCAAGTCCAGAGGATAGCCATTGACGGCCAGAGATCCAACAGTGTTGAGTAGAAGGTTCAAAGTTTGATCATTTCGCTTGAGTAGACTTAGGTATTTCATGTTTGGCTGGTCTTTCTTCAATCCGAGTGTCTCTTTGATGGCGCTTTGAAGTGTCGAATGAGGTCCAACCTCAATGATGTGAAGTATGCCGTCACCAGAGCCATCTGTAGTTGCTTGTGCGTGCATTTTGCCTAGGGATGTGGTGAACTTGACAGGCGAAACCATGTTGCTCACCCAGTATTGGCCAGGAAGATGCTCTTGCCGAACCTCGTCACCGGTCACAGTAGAGAACATATGCACCGAGTGGGGTGCAGCCAATCGGCGGCCAGAGTTAAATGAACCCATAAGATACAGATAATCTGCGGCAATCGCCTCCATATGGGCAGAGTGATAGGCATTTTGAACATTAAGTTTCCGGGCAAATACCCCATCAGCATCCAATAATCCTTTCAGTGCATCAACCATCTTCTCGTCACCAGACACTGTGTTGTTCTTGGGACTGTTGTGGCAGGCAATTACAAGCTCCCCTTTTAAATCCTTGCGAACGAGATCGAGATATGATTCAAGGCGAGATCCACTTAGGCCAACGGCCATCATTGCTCCATTGGCCGAGGATTGTTTCGATGAGACATACCCACGGAAGTACGAGACCTTCCAAGCGGCCTCCCGCGATAGCTTGCCCGCACAGTAGGCGGCTGCAATCTCTCCTGATGAATGGCCGGTCACGTATTTTGGGAATATTCCCCAGCTTGCGAGGAGATCGACCAATGCCACCTGCAATGCGGTGCAGACTGGATGGGCGATTTCGGGAAGGTTGATTCGCGTGGACTTTTCGTCGGCAAAGAGCTCGTCTGCAATATTCGTCAGTTACACAGTATGTCGTGAAATAGACGCCAATCTTACCCATCAAGATCCAGGGACTTCCGAGTCGGCGGACATACTCCGAGGCCTCTTCCAAGGACTCCTGGAACACCGAATAGGCGATTAAAGCCCGACCCATTGCTTGGTATTGGGCACCCTGCCCAGTAAAGACGAAACTGACTTTCGGTATAGCGACAGTCCTTGTGGCGCTCACGAATCCGGACTCCGCCAGTGTCCACGCAAGTTGTTTGGCTGTCGACGCCGTTACAAAACCCTTCCACGGGAAGCGAGATCGACGGTGTGAAAGTGTGAGTGATAGATCATCAAGAAGTTGGTCGGATGGTTGTGGACGTGCCAATTTGCGGGTCAGATATTTGGCATATGATGAGGCATTGCGTTTCACACCGTCTTCGTCAAATGCAGACAGCAAAAAGATATGAGGAATCTCAATCAGACTATTGAAGTCAGGAGGCCCAAAACCCGGCGAGCTACAGAATGCTTCACTAGTAGGAGTGTCTACAAACACGAAGCCACTGCCTGAATGGTCGCTGTCATCTGCAGAATCGGAGTGACTGTAAGACTCATCGGTCTCAGATCCGTGACTTGACGCTCGCCTTGAGAGTATCTTCCCAGAACGTGGAACGGTAGGTGTTGTATGATGAGCGGCTGAGATCCTGCGTTCTTGGAGAAAGTGGTAGGCATCATCCAGGATGCAATGAGCATTGGTCCCTCCAATGCCGAATGAATTCACAGACACCCTGCGTAGTCCCTTTGCCGGCCATGGTGTATTCCGAGTGGGGAATTGAATATTCCAATCAGCTGCTGGAATCTTGGGATTGACCTCCTGAAGACCATGATTGGCAGGAATAATCCCGGATTCGAGGACGAGGACAGACTTGATGATGCTTGCTATCCCTGAACCTCCTTCCAAATGTCCAATGGAAGATTTGACTGCTCCCACGTACAGAGGGCCATCTCGACGGCATTTGAATGCTCGCGACAAAGCTTCTGCCTCGATAGGGTCCCCAGTGCTGGTACCAGTGCCATGAGCCTCAACGAACCTGGTCTGTTCCATGTCCAGCCCGGCTCTCCAGTAGACTTCTCGAATCAGTCTTTCTTGGGCAGCAGCACTAGGGACGGTGATTCCAGGGGTACGGCCGTCTTGGTTCACCCCGGTCTCTCGGATGACTGCGCGGATAGTATCGCCATCTCGCACGGCAGCGTGCAAGGGCTTCAGGATTACCGTGCCAACACCCTCCCCACGGGCGTAGCCTTCGGCACGAGCATCAAAACTGAAAGAACGCCCTTGAGCGCCAAGTAGACCGTGGTGGCCCATGCCGATTGTTTCCACGGGGTTCTCCAGGATGCTAACTCCGCTGACAACGGCCTTTGAGAACCATCAGCAGTTGAACCTTGATAAATTCGATGACAAGATTGCTTACCATATTTGTTTCTCGCGCACGGAGGCTTTGCACGGCCAAATGCAACGCCACCAGACTACTGGAGCAGGCGGTGTCGATTGTCATACTCGATCCCTTGAAGTCGAAGAACCAGCTGACCCGGTTCGACAGGGTGGCATTCGTTACCCCAGTTGGCTTGTACTTGACCGCAGTTTCTGGATCTGAATTGAGGATGCCAAGGTATTCATGGTTAAAGCCGCTCACAAAGACAGATGTATTGGAACCCAGGGTGTCCTCCATAGGGATGCCCGCATTTTCCAAGGAATGATAGACACTCTCTAGGACCAACCGCTGTTGTGGATCTAATGTCAACAGTTCATTTTTGGAAATATTGAAGAAAGGACCGTCGAAGAACGCTGAATCCTCAGAGAGGAAATGCCCTCCCTGGACATGGAACTAGAACATAGAAACTTCAATCAGCCACTGGCTTTAGGCATATAACTTCTGATGCACTGCTCAGCAGCCAGAAAAAAGACTTACCGTGCCTCCGTGTTCTGGATCTGGGTGATAGAATGCATCTGAATTGAATCTTTCCTTGGGGATGGACGACCAAGTTGACCGCGCTTCCAGTAGCATCTGCCAGAAATCCTCAGTAGTGGCTGCATCCTTGGCGAACCGAGTGGCCAAGCCAACGATAGCAATAGGCTCCAGGGTATCACTCGGCGCGACCCGATCGCCACTGGTCCGGCTGACCAGTGACAAGGGCCGCATCTTGTCTTGTGTTTTCTGGATCGGTGGATATCAAAGAAGGTTTCAACAACGGAATGGTTCCTCGGAACACTACCGGATGGTGAGAGAAAAGCGAGGTGGAGCTGTCATATTTCTAGTTTTGAGAGTCCAGGGTTCAGGTGCAAGGTCCAAGTTGTCCAGAGTGTTCGCCAACAGAGTTTAGAAATGATGGAGCAATGGGAACGGGATTTGCATTTGAAAGGCGCTAGGGCCAAGCCGCTGGTGGAAGTGCAAGCCCGAGGCAGGCTTGCCAGTCGATGCGCAGAAAGAAGGCGTTTTGGGAATCGGGCAATGAGGATCCTCTTCGTTACTGGCTTGAAGCAGCCTGTACATTGGTTGATGATCTTCAAGGCAGCCAACGAACGGCGTCCGTTGGTAGCAAAGTAGCAATTGTAAAGCAAGAGAGTTGAAGTTCGGCATGCCTCACGTGTCTCGGTCTAAAGGTAATTGCCTTTTTTTTATTTTTTTTTCTCGTCTTTTCCCTTCTTCTTCCCCATCAATTGTGGAGCCCGCGAACCGCGAGAAGACTCCGCCATCAGACCCAGTTCCCCCCTCCCCTCCTCCTCCTCCCTCAAACACTTGGCAATCTCACTTATCTCGCTCAGACTCGCATGCTCTACGGAACACACAGCATAAGGTACGTGGGCCCATTCCACCGGATGCAAATACTGTTATTCTTTTTTTTCCGACGGACTGGGCCCGTGGGGGCATTGACGAACGCTGGGTGGCCATCGAGTGCTGCAAGTCCCAACGCTCGCAGATCAAGTTCAGGTTTCCCGCTTCTAACGGCTGCAGGCTGTCATTCTCCACTCGTGTTAATTGGCCACGAGGGCCCCCCAGTTCCCTCGCCTTGGTCGCGTCCCTTTTCCCGTGCTCTTCGGTGCGTTCCCAGCCGTTCGCAGGTCTGCAGCGCTCTGTAATCGATTTCTCAATGACGATCACTGCAGAGGATCGACTTCGTTCGTCGGGTCAGAAGCTGACATTTGATGATGTCTTGCTCGAGAGCTCCATTGTGGAGAGAGAAGGGCCCATTTGGAAAGTCCAAAATTCTCCGAGCCGGGCCCTTTCACCCAACCACGTTGCGCCGTTTACTCCAATCAGGATTTGACCCTGTCACCTGGCTAGGGGCGAAAGCTCGGCTCCTAGCAGACAGCCCATAACAACAAGAATCAGGGGAGGAAGGGGGTCTCGCCATTTCATGGAATGGCGAATTTGTTCCATGGCCAAATCCAGGCCTACTCTTCCACCCGGTGGATCGTCGCGCATTGTTCTCAGTCAATCTCGGGGTTCTGCTTATCTGGGCAGGAGTTAGCCACCCGACAGCATGGTAACCGGCATGATTCAAGCGCGCCCCACTTGTCAGTGGCTCTCTCCAAGGACAACGGATGAGCCGGGGCTACCCACAATTTCGCGTTTTCCATAAATCCTGTCACGGCACACGAGGGCTGATCCGGATGACTATCTACAAACACGATGCTTTGATAGAGTGCTACTAGCGTGCCTCGACGCAATACTTTTGCTACAAAAAGATTGTCTAGGCCCGAACAGGCGTTGCCTCGCGAGGTCTGTCATACTTTGACATCACGCTAAGGTACACATTTGAATGCAGCTAGTCCCGCCACAGAACGTGGGAATCCCACATTGGCCCATCGCATTACAGCCAGCTCGGTACCTTTTGTTTTGACATCGAACGCTGGTCCCGGGTAACGGAAATTGTGCGTCCGTCGTTACTTCACCAGGTGAGCCTTGGGAACAGGACATGCACGCTGTGCATTCGTCGGGTCAGACCCCGCGATCAATGATATGCTCGGGCTCCTAGATTTCCTCCAGAAATATCTCGGGCCGCTCGGTTGCCTTCATCTGTGTATCCGATCTCAAATTTCAGACTTTCGGTGTTGATTTGGAATACTCTGCAGACCGTATCAATAGCCACGGCGAACAGCCCGCGGGGGGAGGGTGGACATCATGACAGATTGCGCGCTACGATTGGTGTAAACTTTGTTCACTGAGCGCTGATAGACTTCCCTCGGTCCGTCTGGATTGTCAACGTCGAGCGGGGTGAGGGGTACTTGCCAAAGTCTGGAAATCGTTCTCCGTCCAGTATCCAATATTTCGAGTGAGCTGGCATTTGATCTAGTTCTCAAGAAAGTAATTCAATTCGCCACATGGGGGCTTGGTTGACATCGGGGTTCCTCCGTACATTTGTCACCAGGAACCTTAACGGCATTCAAACATAATTTGGTGGAACCTCCAGCGACGAGCTATGAGAACGGAGCACGTAGAGCATTGGCAATATTCCTGCTGAATTCAATCCCCCAATTTTCTACCACGTACTCCGTTACCCTAGCTGTTTTTGCTCCATGATATCAGAAACATCACACCGCCCGTCTTTTTTTTCACCCAATATGGAGCCATGGGAATAACTCGCAATAATCCCTGTCCATAGTAGATCCTCAAGCGGGTCGAAGCCAACAAAGCACCTCCGTCGGAGCCGACGCCCAGGGGCGCTTCAAAAGTCCCAGACTCAGCGGTGATTGCCGAGTTCGATACAATTTCAATTCTTCGTCTGATAGGCACTGCTACCGTTAGCGCTTTCAACTGATTACTAGTAAAGCCCCATTCAAGCGAAATGCATACGAGCGAGCCCCGGTCAATGTAGTTCTCTCTTTTTGAGAAGGTCATATTGCCAGTCAGTGGCTAAGTAACCACGTCGGACCCTCTGCCTCGTATATCCATGTGAGAAGGCCACTCGACTAGCAAGCGAGTGCTGCCGGAAGCTTGGATAGGAAATATTCAGTTCGGTATCAATCACAATCTTGTCATAGTACTCATCCGACGATCATGGTCGGTGGTCTGTTACCTGACTGGGATTCGTTTTCCTTACTTTTTTTTTGGCGCAAATGCCGCTTTGCAAGTGTTTCTGTGAGGTTGCCTCCACTATCGGATTGTGATACCTTTGTTCATTGAAATGCTCGTCTATCACACATCTTGTTGGTTGCCTTTTCTCGGCAAAGAATTGAACTTGCTCGTCTTAGGAGAGGCTTTGGTCATCTCTATCCCTCTTTCCATGTTCCTGCACGAGATCATATAACAGAGAAGATCGGCTGACAGGATATTCATCGCAGAGTCCACGAGAATTCCTATTGGAAGCTACGCTACTCATTTACTTTTAAATTTGATACGTTCTGTGCATCAAACACATGAGTCTCTGCCGGCGCTCGCACACTCCTAATATCCAGCTAAACATAGTCTTTGGCCATGTGGGAGGATGGGAATGCCATGTTCCGTTGTTAGTATGTTTTATGGCCAAGGGGTGCTGACTGACCTCTAAATTCACATTCCGTTGGGCACTTTATATCATCCTCTACTAATACATGGTCATTATCTAGTGATAAGATCCGCCTCTTTTTATCAGATCAAAGCTGTGTGACAGGTCACACATGGGCAAACTCATGGGTGCCTAGTTTGTCAGGCATGATACTCATATTTTCGTCTCCCTTCGCTGGCTCGCCATTTCCTCCCCGGGTATTTGCTTTCACTGCACGCGATTCACAGCGTCTGAAAGTCTGACAGTACGGAACATTTTATGATAGACCGTGTGATTTTATCATCGATGTCTACTGACTTGAATAGATGTACTATCAAAATGACTAGCAATAGCCTTCTGGGGCTTTGCATCCGACAGATTACCTTCTCGAATGATGGCTGGTATCCATTATTCTGAAGGCCCCTTCGCTGCTGGGATAGTGACTGTTATTTCACAAGTGTCTCTGAGCAGGGAAGAAGTGCTAATCGCAGCAACCAAAGCTTTTGCTTGTCGACTGCATTTTGCATCCGCTGATCTCTCGCTGTTGTCTCGTCTGACGAACGCGGGCTGGCGCTCGGGTCGCTTTCCGAGTAAACTACAAATCTGTACCGCCTCTTCCAACGAAGGCAAAGCAGCTTATACTGATCGACGGAATCCGTCGGCTCTTTAGTCTTTATCAATATGGGGTATTCGATGGTACTCAGTACAATCGCAAGCAATGTACACCGCCAGTTCCTCAACGCATCATCCAATTTTGTTTTCTCGCGCACGCCGAGGGCAATCAAGATTCGTGGAGCTGAACGAACCCTCCACGAGCCAATCGGTGTCGAACACAGTATCAAAGCCACAGAGCGCTGGTACACGTGAGCTTCTGCAGAGATGCATCTGTTGCAGCTAAATGACTGCATACCCGTAAGACAGCATCACTCGTACCACCAAGGATGAGGCATTTGCAGGGCCTAAGGCTCAGCTGCATCAGATTGATCAACTATTGGACGCCAAAGCTACTCTTGAATCACCAAACAGTAGTTGATCTGGGGGCTTTGGCCAATGAGCTTCGCGGATCGTACATGCTTATATGTCGTGCTACCTCATGCGCAGCTTTAGCTTGGTGACCTCGTCTGCTCCCGCAGAACAGCTATGATCGGCGGCTAGCTAGCATTAGCTGTAGATCACCCCTCCTTTCGTAGCTAGGAATTGATACACGGGGTCTATGTATAAATACCAGGAGTCTACGATAATTCCTTGATTCACGATAGTGATTTCAATAATAAATCGCCGCAATGGGATCAATTAGCCAAAACTCTACGGTCCTGCGTCTGCTCGACTCTATCTATGCGCGGGATCCAGCCACACTATACTGTCTTCACCCCGCCTCCTCTGAAGTCGCCGATGGATGGGTCGATATCAGCATTGCTGACGTGGTGGGCGCGACAAACCGTCTCGCGCTTTGGATCCACGAAAATGTGGCCTCGGCGGATGAGCCACAAGCTTTGGCGTATATGGGTGCGAATGACATTCGATATTGTGCGTTTGTCTTTGCGTGCATGAGATTGCGCCATACGGTATTATCTCACCAGCCCCTTCAATTGTGGTATTGGGTCTATCGCTAAGAGGTTTACAGGCTGTGCTTCTCTCATCCAGAAACTCAGAACCAGCGTCGAGCCATGTCCTCAATGCCGTGAATTGTTCCAAGTTTATTTACACGCCTGAACGAAGTCGACAGGTTGACGAGATCAAGGCGGCCAATTCATCGCTGCAGTCATGGCTTGCACCAGATCTTTGGGACGTATTCGGCCGTCAAGCGACTGCTCCTGTGCCTACCATCAAAGAGCATGTGGAGGACCCGGAAGACCGAGTTGCGGTCTACATTCATAGTTCTGGAACAACAGGTTAGTACATGAGGTACCATCCTTTGAACGAAGGCTAATGAGAATCTCGTTCCTTTCGATAGGCATGCCCAAGCCTGTCCCAATGACAAATGGCTATTTCATTGCCCTGCAAAAGATTTGCGAATTACCAACCCCCGAGAACCGGATCGGAAGTATCGTTGCCGTTGCAGGAAAGGGCAAGCGAGTACTTTCCGTCAGTCCGTTCTTCCATCTTATGGGGATGTTCAACATGATGATCCCAATTTTGGCAGATACGCCATTCGTGTTGACTCACGAGAAGCCTCTGACGGTTGATATCTTGGCGCAAGTTGTGAAACATGGCCAGCCCAAGACTGCTAACTTGGCACCATCCATGCTTGAAGAGCTCTCCACATCCGAGCTTGGCATGGAATGCCTGAAGACGTTTGATATGCTTACCTTTGGTGGTGCACCTATGGCTCGGGAAGCCGGTGACCGCATTGCAGAGGTTGTCCATCTCCAATCCGTGCTTGGATCTAGCGAGTGTGCTATTTTCGGCGCTTTGAAATATCAAGAGAAGGATGAGTGGCCGTATCTTGAGTTCAACCCATTTGCTGGGTATGAAATGCGTGATGCGGGAGATGGACACTACGAGCTTGTAGTCCCGCGGGGTGAAAAAGGGAGCAGTCTGCATGCCGTATTTCACACGTATCCAGACAAGGCAGAGTATCAAACTGGAGACCTCTTCACTCCTCACCCAGAAAAAGAAGGCCTCTGGCTCTATGCCGGCCGGCGTGACGACGTGATCGTTCTGAGCAACGGTGAAAAGTTCAACCCAATCAATATGGAGGAGGTAATTTCTGGCCATCCCCTCGTTGCCCGAGCAGTCGTTGTCGGTCAAGGCCGGTTCCAATCCGGTGTTTTGATTGAGCCCGTTTGGGAGGCATGGACTGGCGAACCCAGTGCTTTGGTTGAGGAGATCTGGCCGTTTATAAAAAAGGCAAATGAAGCGGCCCCCGGTCATGCCCAGATAATGAAGGATCGTGTCGGAATTGCCTCGCAATTTACGCCGTTCCAATTGACGGCCAAAGGCACCATCAAGCGACGAATGATTGTCAATGACTATGCGGATGAGATTGATGCCTTGTACGCTGAAGCCGACCAGCTTAATGTCGCCCAGATCTCCAAGGCTGCTAGTCGATCGGACATTTCGGACTATGTCGCATCAGCTCTGTGTAATATCCTAGAGGTGAAAGACTTCGATCAAAACGTAGACATCTTTGCATCTGGTCTGGATTCCCTCCAGACCCTACGCTTGGGCCAGATCCTGCAAGCTTCCCTGCAAACTGCTCGTCCTGACCTGGGGCCCGCATTCACCAGCCCGCAGCTATATTCGCTGCCAACAATTGCTCAACTCACCGAGTATATCTATAACATTCTGCAAGGGCAGGATACAGCCCCTGCTACTGCGGTAGTCGAGACCGACAGCGACCGAGAAGCAAGGATCGCCGACCTAGTCGGCAAATATTCCGAGGGCTTCGGTCAGAATCATGCTGTCATTCTCACTGGTTCAACGGGCTCGTTGGGCTCCTATTTGCTATCCGAGCTGATCCGCGACTTCAGCGTCACCAAAATTTATTGCCTCAATCGGTCGGAAGATGCTGCTCCAAGACAGCTCCAGAGTCTCCGCGAAAAGGGACTAACTACGCTTGACCGATTCCCCCAACGAGTCGAGTTCCTTCAGGCTCAGTTTGGTGCTGAGAAGCTGGGACTTGATGAAGCCAAGTATGATGAGATGTTGCAGGAGGTGGACACTATCATTCACAATGCCTGGAAGGTGAACTTCAACCACCGAGTGGAAGCCTTTGAGAATCCGCACATCGAGGGTGTGCGCCGTCTGGTGGAGTTTAGCGTTGCGAGCGATAAGACAGCCCATATTCACTTCATTTCATCAATTTCCACCATTGAAGGATACAACAAGGGTCCTTCTATCCCGGAGGTGATCTTCGACGACCCCAGTTCCGTGCTCCGGCAAGGGTACGGCGAGTCGAAGCACGTCTCCGAGAGGATCTGTGCTATGGCATCAGCCAAATGTGGTGTTCCGACCAGCATTCATCGCGTGGGCCAGATTGGAGGCCCAACCACTGAGCTGGGAATGTGGAATAAGCAGGAATGGGTGCCGTCGCTAGTTGCAACTGCGAAGACCATCAAGCAGATTCCGGACTCACTGGGTTCGGTTTCGGTGCAATGGGTTCCAGTGGTACGTCTTGACCTAGTCATCTCATTCAGACACAACTAACAGGGAGTTTCGTAGGACGTCTGCGCCAAAGTTATCACCGATGTTGTTCGCACCCGACGCTCCACGCAGGAGGATGAGCCATGTGCGGCGTTCCATATCGTCAATCCCAAAGTCGCTGATTGGCAATCGCTTATCCCGGCTGTGACGAAGCATTTCGATGTCGAGCCTGTTGATATTCAGACTTGGATCGCAACGCTGGAGAGCTTCACCAACCCGACAGAAGATGATTTGCGTGACAAGCCTGCTCTCAAAATTTTGGACTTTTTCAAGGCGATCGCATACTCGAATGAGGCGGGGCCATCAACGGAGACGACAAAAACACAGGCTGCCAGCAAGACGTTGCGACGACTGCAAGCGATTGATGCTTCCTTGATGGAGAGGTGGATCAATCAGTGGAACTTCTGAGTCGGGCTGCAGACCGATCGACTCGGAGGTCTCCACGTTAGGCAAATCACAATGCCAATCCACATTGATAATGAATTCATGATCGCACCCGAGAGAAATATATAAAACAAGGTAACTGTAATACTGTAATTCACATGAAAGATATACAAGATCCTCGCGAGAATTAAAGAATCAAATATACAGTAGGCGACAACCAAGATTTGGGGCGGGTATTGACGCTTGGTAAATCACCGACGTTCAATCCGTTTAAGCCAACTGCATGACGAGTCCTTCCTTGAGTGCTTTGATCGCCTGCTTGGTCAACGGATCTTTGCCGTCAAAATGGGCACTTTTGCGTTCGGGTCCAGACATGGTGGTGATATCGAATTTGTCTCCCCCCAATGGTTGTTCTTTCTTGAGCTTCTTAAGCTCCAGTGCGAAACCCCACGGGTCGTTCTTCTTAGCCGTAGGCTCGGGCAGCGAGCCCTTACCGGTCGCAGGAACTGGTTCCTCTGAACCACTATCCTTCGGCACATCGTGAAGGACAATCTTGTGCTTTGCGGCGTACGCATTCAGATATTTGGGCAGATCCTCGAAGCTCTCCAGGTCTACAGCATATGCCTTCAGGCGAATAGCTAGGCCCATGATCATTCCAATATTCTTGATCTCGGAGTCCGGTTTCAGGAGGTCAAGGCGCTCGAGGGTTGCCATCATCGTAAGGAACATGGTTCCAACGGCATGAAGCAAGATTTCCAAGCCTTCACCGTCGTCGACCCTGGAAATCGATGACACATTAGATGAGAAACGGTGGGGCGACCGGGCGCCACGAGTAACGAGGTAAGAAAGGCAACATACATGAATAATTCGGCGGGATCGTAACGAAAGAAGAACAGCGTCATGACCTCGCAGATATACCACTGCTGTTTCCAGTCATCCTTGGCTTCCTCGAAATCGAGAAGCAAGTTGCCCAGCACTTCCATCAACCCGTAACCGTAAAAGTCGTTGTAGATGTACATTTCGAACGTGTCCGGGTTGCGTAGATCGCAGAGGATGGAAGTCGTGGTGAACTTCTGAATGCCTCCACGGGAGAAGGAGTATGGGTGGTCAGGGTGTTCTTCGACTAGCTTTTGGCAAAGACAGGTCTTTCCGAAGTCGCATGGAGAAAGACCATCTGTTTTCTTGGGCTCACCATCGCCCTCACCTTCATCTTCGTCGTCCTCATCTTCATCCACGTCGTCGTCACCCGATCCGACAATTGGTCGGCACTGACAGACAAACTTCCAAAGAGAGTCGGGATTGCGCGCGATTATGGTGCGAAATTCCGTGTCAGCGTTTGCAGAGCCAGAAATCCCCTTTGACCAGCGCTTGCTGCGAGGAACTTGGGCAGCCTCGGAGGCATTGTCAGTGCTGGCTTTGGTCTTTTTGGATGCGACATCGGCCGTCGCATCGGTGGATTTTCTCTTTGGGGGCATGGCGATAGACAATTTGGTTAGGTCCTGATAGAGTCTGGGAGTCGGGCTGGAGGACTGTCAGCGATCAAATAGGGGGTGGTGATTGATCAATCACCTGACGGAAACGTGTCGGGCTCAACGCGACGCGTCTCACTCACTCGTATCGGAGTGACGTCAGTAAATAACACGCACCAGAAGTACTCTATCAAGTGGAAATATCGCGTTAAGATAGATCACCATTGCGGCTTCAGGTCTTTTTGAATTGACAAATACAAAAAAAAGGCCTGCTAGCTTTTTCTGTATTTATTTTTGTTCTTGCTGGGCCTGGCGATGGTCCAATAGTAGCGCAGGACTTGATCAAACCCAGCTTGTAGCCCACAATATACATCTTCGTGGGGTGAAGCCATATCAGCTCGGGGTTTAAGGAGACTATAGCCGACATCAGCTACCAGATTTTTTAAGCCCCATAGGAAGGGCATAGGTAGGTGCATTCTCGACCAGAATTACTTTCACTGTGCTGGAGCCTCAATTAGTTCTGTCGAGATTTCTAAAGCAAGACCTAACCGATGAGTTTGCCCAGAAAATCAAGTCATTGCTCTCCTTTCCATCTTCTGATTCATCCAACCTCCACCACGCCTAGTCATAGTCAGGCCCTAACATACGAGCTATCAGAAGGAAGCATTTTGATTGGTCGGTGCGTCCTCAAGTTTGTTTTCGATACATCTCACAATGCCATTCATTCTGTACGCCATCTTGTATGCACTCAAAATCTTCATTTTGAGCGACTTGAAAGAGTCGAGTTGTATTTTGCAAATGGCCTATCGCTAATCAAAGCCCATCATCAAGCAGGCTCGATCGAGTTCCTGCCAAGCCCTCCTGGTAAGCGGAGGGCCAAGACTTTATCGCTTGGCAAAAAGCCTCCCAAGACTTCCAAGACTCTGAAGCTTTCCAGACAACGTACAAGAGCCCTGCACGTGCACATTCTGCTTAGACACCATTTGTTAAGTCCAGTGGCCCTGTTCAAGCGGGTGGACATCCCCCAAGTACGATGCCCAGCATGGTGACACCATCGGAAGTGACCGAAACCCTGCACGTTGCAGCGAGAAGAGCCTCTAGCGAGCATCCGATCGCAACACGCCGGAGATTTGATCGTTTGCTTTCTGGAAGCTTGCTCGGCAATCCAATTGACTGGGAACCTGATCTCAGGAATCAGGATCGTGCAGTTCTGGGCTGGCGACTTTAAAAGGTCATCTCTCACCTCCGCTCTTCTTGCGGTTCTTCTTTCTCCCCCCCCCAACCCCTCGTCACCTCCTTCCTTACAAACCTCTTCGATCAGACCAAGAGGAAAAAAAAATGCAGGTTCTGTCGTCCCTCTTCGTGCTGGCAGCTGTGACTTCCTTCACAGCTGCTCAGACTCACCAGCGTCTGGGTGGCTGCCCTGACCTGGGCTGCGTGTTCCCTCCGGACCAGTATGTTTACAATGTCACCTCAATTATACAGAAGACTCCGTGGAAACAGACTGACAATGTCTTTTCTACCACCACCTTAGGGCCGACTTCCTTGCTGGCCAGTTCTTCGATATTCGTCTCGAGGTCCACTCCCCCGTCAACGGCTCCGAGGCCCGCGTTGGTGAACCTGACCCTAACTTTACCTTCACAATCGCCAAGAAGGGTCATGAGGCTGTATCGGCTACGAAGTTCTTCAAACAGGATGAGCCTAAGCTGGAGCGCTGGGACTTCAGCTGGTACGAGGGTAAGAAGTTGCCCATCCGTTGTGTTTGGTCCACTATCTAATCAAAACAGATCGCTTCGCTGAGGACGCTCTCACACCCTCTGTTGTCAACGTCACTTCCAAGATCTTCCGTCGTGTGGCTCTCTACGAGCCCGGTGAGTACGAGGCTACTCTGACTTACTACGGAACCCGGAAGACCGTGGCCAACTGGCTCGTTCGGGAGATGCCAACCAAGCGTCGTGCTAAGAACGTCATCCTTTTCATCGGCGATGGTACATCACCTTCACTTGTCCTATTTGTTTGATATTTCGCTAATTATTGCTCAGGAATGACCACAAACATGATCACTGCTGCGCGCCTCATTGGCCACAAGAGTATTAACGGCAAGTACATGTCCAAGATGGCCCTGGACAAGTTCCCCGTCTTGGGCCACCAGATGACTCACTCGATGGACTCTTTCATCACCGACTCGGCCAACTCTGCAACTGCCCTGTACAGTGGCCACAAGACCACCGTCAATGCTCTCAATGTGTACGTTGACTCCTCCAAGAATCCATTCGATGATCCCAAATTTGAGACCATTGCGGAGATCTTCCGCCGTCAACACCCTAAAGCCGGTGTCGGTATCCTCTCGACTGCTTTCTTGGCCGATGCCACTCCCGCTGCCTTGACTGCTCACACCAGCAAGCGTGGTGAGTACGACCATGTCATCAGCACCTTCTACGAGGGCCTGACCAACTATACCTGGACGGAATGGACCGGCCCTGACGTTCTTCTCGGCGCTGGTGCTGAGAACTTCCTGAAGTCCGAGGAGGCCAAGCGCGAGTACTATGACTTGTTTGCGAAGAAGAACTACAACATTGCTTGGAACAAGACTGCGCTGCAAAAGGCAGCAGATGGGGACAAGCTGCTGGGTGTCTTCTCCAAGTCCAATCTCCCAGTTTGGCTGGACCGCAATGTCTACACCGCCAACCTCTTGAACCAGACCAACTATCCAGATGGTTCTGGCCGCGACGCTGATGATCTCCCCGGCCTCAAGGAGATGACTCTCAAGGCCATCGATGTGCTGCACAAACGCAGCGGCAAGGAGGGTTGGTTCATGATGGCCGAGGCTGCCAGCATCGACAAGCAGATGCACACTCTGGACTATGACCGTGCCCTGGGTGACCTGCTCGAGCTTGATGACACCGTTAGTGCCACCATCAATAAGCTGAAGTGCATGGGCGAGCTGGAGGATACCCTAATCATCGTCACAGCTGACCACGGCCACGGTTTCGACGTCACTGGCTCCGTCGACACCAAGTACATGGAAGCCCAGCACGACGACCGCAGCAAGCGCAAAGCTATCGGCAACTACGAGAACTCCGGTCTGTCCCAGTATACCGTTGGTGGACCCAATGCCCTGCGCTACTCGGAGGGTGTTCACTTCCCCAGTCACTGGGATCCCCGCTATACCCTGCACGCTGGCCTGGCTGCATTCCCCGACCACCGTGAGAACTACGAGGTTCACAAGGACGGCCCACGCACCCCCGCTGTATCTGCTAAGGGCGATAAGATGGGGAGCGTTGCCAACTACAAGGATGCCGTCACTGGGTATCTTATCAATGGAACCCTGCCTGTGGATGCCACTCAAGGTGTCCACTCGCTGACCGACGTGCCTGTGTTTGCACGCGGTCCCTGTCAGGAGCTCTTCGGTGGAGTTATCAACTCTATCGATGTCTTCTTCGGCATGGCTGAATGCCTGGGCTTGTCGGAGAGCAAGTGAGACAATGACCAAGAGAGAAAACATGCTTGGCTCTGGATACCAGACGCTGCATGAAAGTGAGCTAGCATTTTATTTGGATCTTTAGATCAACCAAAGCAATAAATTCGAGAAGGTTTAATATTCAATTCCGCTTTAGAGGTCTTTGAAATTCAGTGGGCCCAGTTCCGATATTATCATAATGTTAAACGCCAAGTCTACAGTGTTATTCTCGGGGAAATAAAATCGTGTTGATATAGGTAGGAACCTCGGAAACCGAGCAGAATAGGGCATGGAATGTACGCAAACATACGCCTATTTGCAAATATAGTGTAGCTTCTTTCCAATAGGTTAGTTTATTTACTTGGAATGCTGAGACCTTGTTGCAAGCAATGTCGTGGTTGTCTAGACAAAGGAAGCTGCCCGAGATGAGAGAGGAACAAACGAGGGCACGAGTGTCGGCATCATGTCAGATCACCCTCATGATTAGGCAAGCGGAGGATATTCAAAGTAGCTCTTAGTCAGAGAATCCAGCTCCTGGTGAATTGATGTAGTACGCTACTCCACAAAAAGAATTGATCCTTCACCAAGGTCTCGCAAGTGCTTGACTTTAACTCTTTGAGGTGATACGGGCACTTCTTGGTGTGATCATACCGTTACCCGTGAAGAAATCCGATAGAATGAAAATCCCCATGTGATAGCCGTTGATTCAGCTGGGGAAAATATTCGTTGTCTTTCGAGCCACGCAGAATAGGATATGGTCAGGCAAAGCTTTTCATGGATTGGAACCTCGGGTGACGGGCGATGCTAGAGAATTGTCGAGTCCGCTCCCGATAGTGCCGATACATGTTTAAATTAGCTTATCGGAGCAGTTTCACTTGTGTTACACTCAATATGCTCGTTTTGTGTTACATATCTTTGGAAATGTTTGTTTGAACTGGTCGCTCATACGCATAGGGCTCACTAGTCAGTAGTCTTACCGCAAATCCATCACTGCTCGTTGTCTGCTTTAATTGTGTCTCTGTCTTGCATTCGCGAGGGTTGGCCATATGAGCCCTTTTAGATACGGACAATCTGTTTATTTGGGTTCTGGCTATGATGCTGGGTATACCGCAATCGTCCCTTCCCATGTGTATCCAATTTGGCTCAATGTGTGAAGTTGAAGATCTTTAGAAATATATTCTTTTGCCATAGTAATTACTCAACTGCTGTCTTTATTCTCCAGGGCTGTAGATATAGAATTCAGTCTTCGAGACTTTGGCCTATATCGGTCCTAATTGGCAGCTCAGCCAGGCTTTAGACGGGTAAATCGTTGTCTTTACCTGTAGGAGCGATTTCAAGGCTCAGTGGTGATGTGCCTTGACGGATTTATACACATCTCAATTAGAGGAGAAATCAACACTGACCAGTAAAGTGAAAGATTTACGTTCTTTTGAGCCGTGGAGAAAGGCTAGTATAGTTTGATATTCCGGTACGCTCAAACCAGTTGAAATCCTAGGGACAATGATACAAGCGCCTCTACATTAATTATCATCTTACAAGAGAAGAATATTTGGGGCCATGATTTGCATTTACGCAATGAGTGACTTGGACCCGTCGGTCCCTAAATTTGCGATCTTTGTTGAACGCACATCACCGAGACTTATCCCTCTTGGAGGCCAGAATTGCATCATTTGTAGCCTCACCGAATACTAAGCTAGGCCACATTCCAGCCGTGGCACAGAGTGATGGAATAGCCGATTTGTGATACCTAGGGAGTAAAGATACATCCTGACAGGTCCAAGGATATTAGCGAAATGGTATATGGGGGGCTAGCGCCTATAACCGTGATATTTAGCATTTACAACGTTCAAACAACGTGTAAGGGGCAATTACTCAGCGCTAAGGCGTAGGCCACGGTGCAAGAGATCGACTGATCCGGAGCAAGAACATTTGGCACTCCATTGACCTTGAAAGCATCGACAATGCTCTTGAGTTGATCCCCGTTCAACACCACACGTTCTGAGATATGCTCAACTGGAACAGCGAAGGCTGCAACACCAAGGGAAATTAGAGTCCCAAAAACGGCTTGGAACTTCATGTTGAGGCTTTTTTGTACGTTGCTAAAACTGTGTGTGTAGCTTGGGATATGCAAATACCAGTCTTGATTTCTTAGTGAGCAAGATAAAAGGGCAAGACAATCCGCTCTCTTATATGTACTCGAGGGTTGCATCTGCTGCGGACCATTCGGCGTGGGGAAGGAGGAGTTTGTGTCACACAGTTTCTAAAGTCAAATTTATGGTTCCAGATGGGTAGCGGTGTTAGAGACACAGCATCCACGATCCATACCACAATAGCTAAGCCCCAGCTTGGAAGTTCCTCAAAGCAAGTTCCTGGAGCTCCAATACGTTGAATATGTGTTGTATCTCTGTGTTTGAACCGCCTCGGGGGGTTCCAGTAACGTTGTTCAACCATACCCTAACTTATGGTAAGAATTGACGAATAACACCATCATTCACCCTTGTGATGTTTGAACTTCTGTTGTCCTTTGAAATCTTTCTACGGGTTTCAACCATTCCGAATCTTAAATATAACTCTCTGACTCTATTACTTTCAGCATTAGTTCTCTACACGCTGCAGTGCATATTCACTAACATCCGATCCCCTCAGCACCTCATACATTCGACCTTGAGTTACAAGTCAATCAACCGAGCAAAAGATTCTTACTGCGTAATGGAGGATAGAACCACCTCTGAACTATTCATATATCATCAGCCATATTTCTCCTCCAAATAACCCAGCTAAGGGCATACAAAATGCAGTGAAGTGGGCCCTAGCACACATTGATGATTTCCTAATTGCAACGGATCGAAATTCAGAATATATCATGGTAATCAGACCCAGTGGACCTACAGCAAAATACACCAACGCTAAAATTTGTAATGGTGCATTGAATTGTCACCATTTCACTTGAACGAGCTTGTGGGGGGAGTGTATACAGAATACCCCCAAGTGTGGTGTTATCACTCAAAGCTGATGCGAAGCTTTGGGGCTCACCAGACAGTTTAGAATCCGGTGAGGCTCTTATGGAGTGGAATAGGGTCATCCCCACGACAAAATACTTGAGTGTTTGCAAGGTAGGCATGTTAGAGGCTGTCGTTTTTCATAGGAATTGGTGGAGAAGAGAGTTGGGGTGAGCGGAGTCTGTGCATCTTAAATCAATTATGTACGAAGAAAGTTACTGCTTCACTGTCCAAATCTTAATGGCATGTAACACATTTCCCGCTATTAGTCATCTTGTCATAATGCGGGGACGACCAGTCTGTCAAACCTCGGATTTTGGCAATCCAGTTCCCCTTTCCGTCGGTAAAATCATCCTGAGATGTTTGACAATCATGTATTCAACGTATAAGGGAGACTAAATGTCACTCAACAAATTTGTGTATCTTACAGCAAGATTCGATATGAGTTATACCACCATACTTTTGCGACTTTCCACCAGATGATGAATGCGACATGCGAGTCCTGATAGATTATGCTCGCCAAATGGGTTGCCAAACCACTTCCTAAATTAGAGTTCAATTTTTACGAGACAAGCATGAGAAACATGAGACATCAAATAATGTATTCTAATACTCTACTCTCTAGCTGCATTTCGCCAAAACACTCGACCCCCCTTGGCCAACTTGCTCCGGGGACGACGTAGATTCCTGAGGCAAACAGCAGTGACCTTGGTTAAGGGATGGTCAGGTCCAAGTGCTTTCTCGCGCCCAGCTAGCGCTCGCCTATACATCTGCTCCGCCTGATCCAGCTTTCCTTGCTTACTGTATAGAATCCCGAGATTATTGACAGTGTCGAGGGTTGACGTGTGGTCGGGTCCTAGCGCTTTCTCCTTCCCGACTAGCGCGCGCATATACATCTCCTCCGCCTGATGTGGCTTGCCTTGGTGATAAAGATATAGGTTCCCGAGATTGTTGGCAGTGAGGAGGGTTGACGTGTGGTCGGGTCCTAGCGCTTTCTCCTTCCCGACTAGCGCACGCATATACATCTGCTCCGCCAGATCTGTCTTATTTTGGTCATAATATAGGTTCCCGATATTGGTCACAGTGTCGAGGGTTGACGTGTGGTCGGGTCCTAGCGCTTGCTCCCTCCCAGCTAACGCCCGGATATACATCGGCTCCGCCTGATCCAGCCTGGCTTGGACATAATATAGAATCCCGAGATTGTTGACCGTGTCTAGGACTGACGTATGATCGAGTCCTAGCGCTTTCTCCTTCCCAACTAGCGCGCGCATATACATCTCCTCTGCCTGATTTAGCTTACCTTGGCGATGATATAGGCTCCCGAGATTGTGGACCGTGTCGAGAGTTAACATATGGTCGGGTCCTAGCGCTTTCTCTTTCCCGGAGAGCGCTCGCATATACGTCTGCTCCGCCAGATCTAACTTATCCTGGTCACAATATAGGTTCCCAAGATTGTTCACAGTATCGAGGGTTGACGGATGGTCGGGTCCTAGCGTTTTCTCCTTCCCAGCTAGCGCCCGTATGTACATCTGGTTTGCCTGTGTCGCTTTCACCGGGAATGATTTTTTCAAAGATCGCTCTCAGATTAGACGCCTTTGCATCACAACCGTCCAGAATATGCTCTAAAGCCTCGCAGACTTCTTCAGATATTACATCTTGCCTTGATCCGAGGTGCTTTGAGCATATTTCAAGGGTATGGAGAAGTATCGGAAGCCGGAGCCGAACAACCTCGAACGTTGCAGATAACTTAATGTCATGCTGAGCGCTATCGTAGATCTTTATCGAGGCATCAAGGAGGGAGATGATCGCAGAGATCCCGCCGAGCACCTCTAGGCCTGACATACTGAAGAGCTGAGTACTGTAAGGAGAACGTGGAGTGAAAATGATATCTCCTGGTAGTGCCCACCGGTGCTGTCGAGAGAGGGAAAAGGGGGAATGCGCCCCTCTGCGTTGGAGACACCCCGCGCTAACGGATCCTACGCGTCAGCAATCTCCTTCTCAGTTGTCATCCCAGTTCGTGCTCGGTGGCCCTGCAAACACTAATCATTTGGCGGATGCTGGGGTATTTTGTGTATGGGTCTTCTTACGACCGACCGAAGGTTCATGTCTTAGAGACCATGAAAGCACGGATGTAAGTTCATATTCCACTCGACTAAAGAGCACTAACTTTGATTTCAAGCAATAATTGGTAGTGGTCCAACTGAACCCACTCCTGGCATTATTCCTTGCAAAGTCTCCCATTGGCTGAAGGAACTCTACTTACGCCAGCCTCTTCAGCGCGACATGTTATGCCCTGTCTCGTGGCTAACACCTTATGGGGTTGGAAACGCAGTCTCTACCAGCGCCCAATGAACACTTCACAAACAAAGTCAGATTGAATAGGGAACTTCTCGACACACCTTACATCTACCTAGCTGAATGCATGTCCATCCTTACGGTCGAGTCGATCGCTTACTTCAAAGCCGGTACAGCCAAGGCAAAAACACCTTCCGGGTCGACCTTTGCTTTCAGATCCTTCAACAATTCTGCCTTGGAACCATACGTCTTTTCAAGCGCCTCGGTTGGTGACTTGGCCTGGATCGCAGAATTAAACAGGGAAATATAAGTCGTCGGAAGCAGATTCTCCGGTTCAACCCGCTCAATTTCTTTAGTAGTTTGAAGTGCCCACTGCCTTGAACCTTCTGGGTCGCCACTTGTTATGAATCCCAGAAGCTCCAGCATGTAATGCGGCTCGCGAGTTGCAAAGACAGACGCGTGATCTTGAGGCCCAGCAGAGGGACCACGAAGTTGATGGATCGACATCATGCAACCTGGATCAGAGGGCATAATGGCAATATTTCGTCCAAGTGTCTCAGCTACCAGCGGCGACATGTGCCGGACATTGTGTGAGAAGCCAGAGCCGGCGAGTTTTGGCGGGATTATGGCGCCGTTAGCGACAAACCATTCTGGGATAGTGGTAGGTGCAACCATATTCACCAGAAGAGGGCCAAGGCTGGCGATCTTTTCGCTCCATCGCTTGCCTTCCTCGATGTCAGCGCCACTCCACAAGAACAGGGCGGCGAAGGCGCGACCCATGGGGCCGTTGAAACAGATTTGTTGGATGGTGAGCTGTGGAGGGAGACCCTCGGTGTTGAGGAGCTCTTCATAGGCTGCGTTAAAGTCGATACAGGTCTTGATGATATCAGTGGGATTAAACAAGATCGGCCCGGCCAGGAGCTAAAGGGTAAAACAGTATGGTTAATGTTGAATATATGGACAAACCGATTACCGGGACAGATGCTTACGCAGCTAAGGGGATAGACCTTGATCGTAAGATCAATAATCACACCGAAAAGACCGCCAGCACCACGGATGCCCTCAAGAAGAGCTTCGTCAGCTTTGACGATATCTCCATTTGAATCAACAATGGTAGCGCCGAGAATTTGATCCACGCCCAGACCCCAGTGTGCCGAGAAGGGTCCATATCCACCATACGTGGCCCACCCGACATATCCAACGGATGGAATTGCCCCCGTTGGGGTTGCTAGTCCATGTTCCCAGAGCTTGTTGGCGAGCTCATCCTGTAAGATACCACCTTGAACCGTGGCGATTTTACGGTCGGACGAGATTGTGACCGCAGTCAAAGCGCGCATGTCAATCAAAAGGGCATCTTGAACGACGCAGCGGCCCTCAAGATTGTGACCACCCGCCCGAATAGTGAAGGGAAGCGAGTTGAGCTTCGCATATTTGACCAGAGCAGCGACATCTGACGGCGATTCAGGCTGGACCACAGCCAATGGATTGTCTAGACGTGCCTCGTTCCAGGGCTTACGGGCTGCAGGGTACTCGGGGGACGAAGGTGGGATGTATTTGATCGCGGGGTAGCCCTGGAGGAAGGCCTCGAACGCGGTAAGCTGTGTGGTGCTGCCCATGTTGTAGGTGCTAGTAAGTCAGTAGAAAATTAATGATAGCCCAATTCTTAGAATATGGACGGAGCTGACATTTAAAGCCCATTGTGTCGAATCCTCTTTTTGGTTGCTCAGCCATGCTGACGGTTGGTTCAGCCTTGCTGACGCGTGAGGCTAATTTCCGTTCGACAAGGCCGAATGGGCGACCATGGGAAATCGGTATAAGCAGACATTTGCGGAAATTAGGCGCGCAGTCTGAGTTATCTTACTAAGATTGTTTCCGTATTCAGCAATCTTGATTCCTGACCCGGCCGTAAAGGGACGCGTTCGCGGCAACGGAGGTGAGCAATTCAGGCATCGAGGCACCGAATTTACTTTTTCTTGTCCGTTTCGCTTTTTTTTTTTTTGCAACTTAAAGGATTTGAAATTGGTTATGAACCTAAAGCAGGTTGTCACTGACTTCACCTACCATCGGTGCTAACAATTCAAGCTAGATGTGAGTATAGGAGGAGTGCTCAGGAATAGTTTGGTCATTAAGTGTGTCGTTTGGCTAACCATCAACTCAATATGGACGTATATACATTGAAAACGGTCAGGAATCCAGCGAAGGCCCTTCTCCATTGGTGCTTTCATATCCAATAACTATATCTTCTCAACAATTTCAGTAAACGGCTTTTCCATCTTCCTCGCCAGTGGGCTCTCGCGTTCATTCGCAAAAGGATCCACACGAGTAGAGCTGAACTTGCGTGCTGAAACACGTTGTTCAAATAGCAGATCAAGTTCAGCGTAAGTACGTCCCTTGGGCTCCGGAAGGCGGAAGAATGCCCACAAAAGACACATAAGGCACAATCCTGCATAGAAGAAGCCTGCCTTTGCGCCCCAATCCCACGCGGATGGGTTGAGCATGCGTGGTGTGATGATGTTGGTGATGAGGCCGCAGATATTATACAGGTTGCGTGCAAGGACAATAGTCTTAGTGCGTAGGCGTGTTGAGCTCATCTCCGAGACCAAAGAGTAGCAGATAGGTCCAACGGTAGCATCATAGGTGAAAGCATAAATGAGGAGTAAGGACCCAACGGCCCACTGAGCCGGGACACTTTTTCTTGAAATGATACCCAGGAAACCGATGATGAGTAGTAGGATCAGCATGAAACCTAAGCCTCCTACATAGAGGGTTCGGCGACCAAATTTAGTCATCAGAGGCCACGAACTGATTGTGCCAATGGCACCCAGAATATAAAGCACCATCGACATGGTGAATGCATTGCTAGTGGCCAACCCGGCTTGCTCGTAGAAATATGCAGAGTAGCCCATGAGGCCACTTCCGCATAGCGATTGAGCTGCCCAAGTCAAGCATACAATTTCCGTACGGCGCCGTTCCACGCCACGGAAACAGTCGCGGTAGGACGTCCCCTGTGTCATGCGCTTTTCAAGCTCATTTGTACTGCGAATCATGGCGATGGTCTCGTCTGCGTTGAAGTTGGGGTCTCGGCCAGGAACTGTCAGACGTTGTAGAGCATGGCGCGCATCTTCGGGACGATCTTTGCGAATGAGCCACCATGGGGATTCGGGCGCAAGAGCAACTCCGATCGCAATGGGGACAGGCCACATCCATTGTAAAGCAAATGGAATCTTGTAGCCCCACTGATCGGCGCGACCTTGCATGGCTTTGAGGACACCCTAGTTTGTTAGGCTCGAGGCCACTGGAGGGAACGTTACTTGATACTTACTGAGGCAATCAGCTGTCCCATCACCCAACAAAGATTCACGTATGTCGTCAGGTACGGTCGCAGTACCACGGGGCATACTTCGGACGCATAGGTTGTTGTAACTGTCTGGAAGAGACCCCAGGGAATGCCGATGAGAATCTCACCAACTAAGAGAACGGGCAGAGTCTTCGCGAAGAAGATAACGAATATAAAAGCCACACAGGCCACCAGGGCCCCAATAAGACTCTTGCGATAGCCGAACTTCTCGACGATGATGCCGGTCGCGAACAAGCCGAGTACCTCACCCACAAGGGCGCCGTTGTTGAGACCGGACTGCCACGCAGCAGTTACTTGATAACTTCCATCGGGCTGTTCGTCTCCAAATGCACGCTGGAACGGCCCATATGCAAACAAACTGGAGACCAGGGCATTGTCGTACCCTTCCATCACCAGCGCCGTTGAAAACAGGATAGACCAGCCGACAGCATGCGGATAAGTTCGCAGACTCTGCCAAAAGGTCATCTGATGCTCGGCCTCGGTGGCACGCTTTGCCTCGGGCGTGGTGTCAACATCCGCAACCCGAGTGGTGCCATCGTCCTTGGACGAAGTGGCCGACATAATCAATCGAGGACTCAAGAATGTAGAGAAGATTGGGAAAACGTTATCGGAAGCTGCTCGCAATCCGGAGCCTTAGGATCCCACAATCGAACGGGGGCCCACGCGCCTTTTAAGGTGACATCCCATGTATTAGTCTCAAAAGAACATTTTCCCCGGATTTGCAAAAGACATCATGAGGGTGGGAGAAAATCTGGGGAAAGGCATATTCTGGCGATGTCGGCCCGAGATAGACCCAATCAGGGGCTGAAGTGTGCGAATGACCTCCGGTAAAAGCCCGTGGATGGAAAGTTCTACGTTCGAAAAGCACGCTAAATGAACCCTCGCTTACGACTCCAGAGGAAAAGGTCAAACCTCTTGGCTAGCCTTTAGCACCTTTCGCAGCCAATCAAACGGGCAAATCCCGAATCGGGCGTCCGCTTAATCTTATTTGCATCTCGGGCCGAGTTCTGGCCAATCACCACAAGGGCAGGCGTACGCCCGGCTTGCATTGTCAACAGCGGGGTAGCACATCTCGGTCCGACAATGGACCAATAGATCGAAGGCTGGCGGAGAGGAGATCATGATAAAAGAGGGAGCGCAATGGTCTTTTTCTTTGAGATGGACGAGAAAATTAGCACTCATCCTCGCTATTTTGATTGAGTCTTTGATTCTTCTATTAATTCAAGCCATCCGCTCTTTTCTGGGCTGATTTTGGGCTGACGGTGGTCAACTTTTCGACCTAATCAAATAACCTTTTTCATCCCTGAAGATGTCTCGGGAGGCCCCTTGGTGGAAGAACGCCACCATCTACCAGATATATCCTGCCAGCTACAAAGATTCCAACGGCGATGGAATTGGCGATATTCCGGGAATTCATAGCAAGCTCGACTACATTCAAGCACTTGGTGTCGATGCGATCTGGCTGTGTCCCATGTATGACAGCCCCCAATATGACATGGGATACGATGTTCGCGACTATGAGAAAGTCTATGAGCCGTATGGCACAGTTGCCGATGTCGAGGCCTTGATTGCTGCATGCCATGAGCGTGGAATGAAGATTTTGTTAGACTTGGTGATCAACCATACCTCCCATTTGCACGCCTGGTTCCAAGAGTCACGGTCATCGAAGACAAGCGCCAAGCGCGATTGGTACATCTGGCGACCTGCCAAGTACGATGCCGATGGAAACCGCCGCCCTCCCAACAACTGGCGCAGCGTGTTCGGAGGCAGTGCCTGGGAGTGGGACGAGGAGACACAGGAGTACTACCTGCATCTCTTCGCCGTCCAGCAGCCAGACTTGAACTGGGAGAATCCAACCATGCGCGCGACCGTTTATGAATCAGCCATGGAGTTCTGGCTACGTAAGGGAATCGATGGTTTCCGTGTCGATACGGTCAACATGTACAGCAAGGAACAATCCTTCCAGGATGCCCCTATCATCGACTCTCGCCTTGAGTGGCAACCGGCTTCGTCGTTGTACTGCAATGGTCCTCGTATCCACGAGTTCATGCGGGAGATGGGCGAGATTCTACTCAAGTACAACGCCATGACCGTTGGTGAGCTGCCACACACACCAGAGGTCGCAGACGTGCTTTCATACGTCTCGGAGAAGGAAAAGCAGCTCAGCATGGTCTTCCAGTTCGATATTGTTGACATCGGCACGGGCGCCGTGCGGTTTGACACTGTGCCGCGGGCTTGGACATTGTCCGACCTTAGGGAGCGTGTCGCTCGCACTCAGGCTCTCATGGACGGTACAACCGATGGCTGGAGCACAACCTTCCTCGAGAACCATGATCAGGCTCGATCTATTTCTCGGTGGGGTAGTGAGGCAACCCCGGAACTCTGGGCGCGAAGTGCCAAGATGCTAGCGATGCTTGTTGCCAGTCTCTCTGGTACTCTGTACGTCTACCAGGGACAGGAGATTGGTATGGTCAACGCCCCCGTTGAGTGGGATATCAGCGAGTACAAGGACCTGGATAGCCTGAACTATTACAAGTTCGTGCAGGAGCTGTCAAACAACGACCCCGTCGCTGTTGGAGCAGCGAAGAATGCCCTGGCGCATTTAGCACGCGACCATTCTCGCATGCCCATGCAATGGGATGGTACACCGAATGCGGGTTTCACTACCGCTACAGCTAAGCCCTGGATGCGTGTACACGACAACTACCCTGAGCTGAATGCAAAGCGACAAGCCCTCGACTCGTCCTCTGTCCTTTCATTCTGGCGCGAGCTACTGCAAGTCCGCCGAGCACATCCAGAAGTCTTTGCTCAAGGCGTCTTTGTTGATACAGATCCACTCAATGAGTCGGTATTTGTCTATGAGAAGACGGCTGCCAGTCAGAAGCTGGTCGTAGCCCTCAACTTTACGGGTGAGAAACAGGCCATTGACTTGGCGGCCCAGCTCGGCTCGAAACCTTATAAGACTCTGCTTAGAAACTGTCAAGGAGAGTCACTGGTTGAGTTGGAGGCGTATGAAGGACGAGTCTACCTGGTGGATAACTAGACACCAGTTGAGAAGGCAAATAGAATGCTGTACGGGGCTCTGAAATGATAATCAACTCGAACGAGTGAATTCCCGACGTTCTTGTTCCACTGGTGTAGCGATTTCAAGCACTTCAATTGATAGTTAATTCACGACAATGCGATCCAATGATCAGAGTCCCCTCTGCAACTGGGAGATGACGATTAAGTCAAACTGAAATCTTCCAGGATTGGGGCGGGTGAATTGAGAAAGCTTAGAGAATTAGGAGGTTTACAGCGTCCACTCCCTGTAATAAATTATATTAAGATTATGTCCAAATACATGATCATGCTAGAGCAGAAGCTCAATCTCCCTGATTTCTGGATACTTTTCACGAATCATCTCAAACTTCTGCGTCAGGACCGCCGGTCGGAGATTCTGGAAACCTGCAAAAGAGTATACAAAGTTCTTGAGAAAGATAATGTCGTGAATTCGCTGGATTGTTTCATCGCCCGAGGCATGTGGCAGGTGCAGTACCACATCGGTAATCACATTCGCAATTTCGAAGAGCTTTTCGAGAATTCCCGACCCGTGAATTCCCACCATATCGCGTGGAATGGTCACCAGAAACTGGCGTAGCTGGTTTGAGAGGCGCAGCGGGAAGGAAAGTGAAAGCAGTAGACATGAATCAGGCGAGGAGGAGAGTAGCGTGTTTGACAGAGCAATCTGCCAAGTAACCGTACGTAGCCAGTGTCGCGTAATGATCAAATCTGCCTGCAACATCCCTGGTAGCTGGGAAACTTCATGGTGCCAGCAATTATCCTCCAGCTGTTGCTGTTTATTCTCGATCCATTCAGAACTCACACCCGATCGTTCTCCAAGCCAGTATTCGAGGAACTCTCGGTCGACCAGGCAGAAATTTTCAATGGTGTGGTTGAAACCTGCCTCGGTATCTTCTGGCAGTGATGCATCGTGGTCTGGCAGACCGCGTAATGGGCTCAGACACGGTGGCCTATTATAAGTTAGAGCAGTAAAGCGCTCGTGGATAAAGCATTCCCAATAGGCACGCTGAAGGCGCGCTCGCTCCGGCATGTCAAACTCGGTTAATGCCTCGTCCGAGTGCGCATGTAGCACGTAGAGTAGGGAGATGGCTTCTCGAAGATAGAAAAAGCCCAGATCAAGGCGACGCAGACCAACGTAGCACATCTCTGTGAATAGACTACTCATCACTGATACGATGGTCGGTTGGGAGTCAAACCCCAATGGACGACGGTGCTCCAGTGAGCGAGTCAGCAATGTCGCGATGCGCTCGCGCGTGGCGGGTGCCTCCTGTACGGGCTCGCCTCGGGTCAGGTTGAGCGTCACCGCGGCGAAAATATACACAAATGAGGCATTATCACGGCTGTCATCCATCTTTGAGATCATATGCTGAATCTCGCTTGCTGGAATAACCGGGCTCATCGGGTACACATATCGTTCGTATTCGTGCAGGAACTCATGAAAGAAGCTCGGATTAGGATGTGAGACGATCGAGGCCGGTATAGATATGGAGACCACGCGCGAGGCGAGTGTGCCTTCTGGTTGGCCTCCTTGACTCGGTTGGAAGCCGATGGTTTTGCACTCGGCGATGACCGAACCTCTAGCAAGAGACTTCTTTCGAGATCGTGACGGGAGTGTGGAAGCATAGGTGCAACGCAGGCCGACATGCGTACACTGCTGACAGCGGGACTGGCCATTACAACGGACTTTCCGACGCTTGCATGCATCACAGGCCCTTGATGTGCGTCGCTGCTCCATGCTGCCACTTATCCATCGTCCAAGTCGGGAGTTGTGGGGAGATGATCAACAAGAGCAGCGGCCAAAAACGCGGGGAAAGGGACGCCCTCCACACTTGGCCGAGTGGGCCCCTGATTGCCGTCTTGTCCTACCGAGCGCGCACACGAGGTCTACCATTTCTGATTGTACAACAAGCCTATCATTTTTGGCTAATACTAGATTAATCCACAGTCGTCTCTTGCTTAGCTGACCGGATCACTCGTGCAGGAACTCCTACAGCAATACTGAACGCTGGAATGTCCGACTTCACCACAGAGCCGGCGCCAATTGAGCAACCGGAGCCAATTGTCACCCCAGCCAGAATAATCGCACCAGCACCAACCCAGCAGTCATCCCCAATGACTACACTCCTTGTAAACTCAAATCCTCGGTTCGCTCTCCGCTCTTCGATCATGGTGTGGTGCTCTGAAGTTATGATACTGACGTTTGGCCCGATTTCCACATTATTTCCAATCGAGACCAACCCACAATCGAGAATGGTGAGGCTGAAGAAATGGATTTTCAGTTATTGATCTTCATTTGGGGCACCTCGCTTACTGGAAATTGGCATAAAAGCTCTCGCCGACGCTGATATTACATCCATAGTCAACAAAGAGAGGAGGCTCAATATAGATGCTTCGTCCAGTGCGACCGAAGAGTTTCTTCAAGACTTCCTCTCTCTGCTGACTCGTCTTCTCCGAAGCGACATCTCCATAAAGAGAAGCGTTAAACTCCCCGATCAGCTGCCTTGCTCGTGATCGACCCTCTATGAGCTCTGGGGCCAGAGGGGTATATCTACCAGGAAGACATCATAAGTCCATGATCGATTCCAGAAAGCGCGATAAACGTACAGCATGCCCCCAATCATTCGCTCGTATTCGTTTCCCCAGCAGACACCTTGAAGGCCTCGAGCCTTTCTAATACTCTCATCGTCCGTTTCTGTTCTGGGTATCATATTGCCTTCCCGAGTGACCTTCTGTCTTGAGTTCCTGGGTAGCGGGTGGACTACTGCAAAGCTCCATGAGGAGTCAGTGCTCATTTTATACCTTGATCCTGCTACTTGTGCTTTCGAACGGTATCCTAGCCTCGTGATCACCAATGTCAGCTGTCCAAACAGATGAGTGCTAAGATCATCCATCTTCCGCTGATTGACTAATATGGCGCGGAGTGTCGCTGAAATACGAACTTGCCAATGCCAAAGTCTCGGTTTCGCGGGCCTGCGGCCCGAATACTGCCATCAGTCGCCAAAATGGACGCCGTTCGACCCGTCAGGATGACTACCTTTCAGCACCACTTAATGACTCGATACAAATCATAATCATTTACAACTCTAGTTTGCAAATTAGCGCCTTATGTGACATAGCGAGCCTTAGCGCCCGTGGCAAGCAGCGGAGTGGAAGCGGGGATATTAAGGGTCTAGATGTGGTCCTTAGATCGGACCAGATTCCAGCCTGCCAAGGGAATGGGCTGGATGAGCGGTCGGAATGAAACAGACCCCTCTCTGTTTTCATGGATTGATCAAAAAAGAAAGTTTAATAGTATCCACTGCCTAAAGCCTCGATGCAGGTATTTCAATAATCTCGATGTTTGACACTCAAGTAGCCTGTAGTGCGGATGGTGAGAGAGTAGCGCATTGGGGTCCAACCGAGAGCTTGCTCCGTCGTCTAAGTCAGTGTCTAAACTCAGCCATTTCGATTTCACACATTGATACATTCACACGTAACCATCTTGGTTCAAGCCACTATGTAAAGTTGCTTTGTCCTTTGATTAGATCAGGATCGAGGGGCACAGGCGTGGCGGACGGATCGATCTCTGTCTGGGCCGGAGATTTCTTGGCGCGTGTTTCATGTTCGATCGCCGGACAATTTATGCATTACTTGCCGCACAACGCCTGCCACATCTATCAGAAGTATGTCTTGATTGGCCGAAACCCTCAAAATGAGCGGTGTTGTACTGCATGGTTTGCTAATGTCACCGGCTACAATTTCCCATCATCACAGTCTTACCACGATTTATCGGGCATTTCTAAGCCCTACCGGGACTGCCTGGCAAGTCACAAAACGGATCTGATATGTCCACCTCCTCTTCCAGTCCGTAAGCTGTGGACTATAAGTATGGCATAATCCGGCTGATGTGATTTTGCCAATCGTCCTCACAACCACCATTACTTTGTCGCTCCTTTTTTCTAACACTTGGCCGGCCCAAGCTGTTCATTCCATTCTCTTCTTTGAAATACGTCTTCACTCCTTGGACGCTTTTTTCCACCATCTTTACAATGTCTTTCTCTACCAACTCGAGCTGGGGACACTTCTTTTTCAAGGGCAGAGCCCTGGCCCTTTTGGTTGTTGGCATTACTATGCTGGTACTCTGCTTGAACTCTTGGACAAAGGTTCCTGTTAGCTCGATTCAAAATACCATCTTGAGACGGAGCACCGGAACCAGTGATACGGCTATCTGGCAGCCAAAGACCGGAGTCAAATGGCAGATCCAACTAGAAAATGCCGTAGAGGACATCGCCATCGCTGATATTTTCGACATTGACCTGTTCGACAACACCGCCGCCAAGATCTCTGAAATTCACAAGCAGGGTGCCAAAGTTATTTGCTATTTCTCCGCTGGCACTTATGAAGACTGGAGAACCGATGCCAACGAATTCACCGACTCTGATTTCGGCAGTGCGCTCGAAGACTGGCCTGGCGAGCGGTGGCTCAACCTGCACTCAAGCAACGTCCGCAAAATCATGCAATCCCGTCTTGATCAGGCAAAACAAAAGGGCTGTGACGGTGTCGACCCGGACAACATCGATGCATACGGCAATGACAATGGTCTTGATCTGACCGAAGCCGACTCTATCGACTATTTGGATTTCCTGGCATCCGAGGCTCACTCGCGGGGTTTGTCCATTGGGCTCAAGAATGGAGGCGATATCATCCCCTCGGTCATTGAGAAGATGCAATGGTCGGTCAATGAGCAATGTGCGCAGTATGACGAGTGCGATGTCTATGCAGCTTTCACGGATGTGGGCAAGCCAGTCTTTCACATCGAGTATGCTGATGAGATTGAGGTCAATAACAAGCTCAAAGTTCGTGCTGTGACGAGCTCGCAGAAGTCTGCCGCTTGTGACGCAGAGAGTGCTGAGAATTTCTCGACCGTCATCAAGAACATGGAGCTGGATGCATGGGTTGAATATTGTTAGTGGGTTCGAGTCAAATAGGGTGGCAGATGATGAATGGGTCCCCTTGTGGCTACATGGGATGTGTAGTGCTTATGTGCTTATGTGCTTATGAAGAATGACTGGGTTGACGCATCTTGGGAATAGCAATTTTTTCAATGCTCTTGCAATTTTTGACGAGCTGCATCCATGATTGAGACTGAAGAAGTACTGTAGGGTCCATTTATTTTCCACTTTTTCCATGACAGGGAGGTCAAGTTCTGAAAGAAAAGCCGTATCTAAGGCATATGATAATATATTGCAGGTCGTATACCTGATATTAATGCCATAGAAATCACCGATGTCCGGGTGTGTAGCATACATATCACGTGGTCCTCGGACACTGGACATGAGGTCCCCTTATCTGCAATAGACATTAAGTAGCAGCAGGGTATGACGATAATGATTTTGGATTTCGATTGCGTGCCCCGCCCAATTATTTGCTAGAATGATTACATTGATTAATTTATAGTCGATTATCATCAAGATGGACTTTATCTTGTCGCCATACGACGCTCTTCGGGCCTATGAAGAAGAGATAGAATGCAGAAAACTGTAAGAAGATAGATAACAGCTCACTTGGCATTTTTGTTCTCATAGAGAGATGCTCATCCAGACAGTCAAAGCATCACTCGCGGTTGGTGAGCGCTATATATGTATAGCACCGACCACATGGTTATTATAGGGTCAAGGAATGCAACATTGACGAGCCGGTAAGTAGCTATCAAGCCAATTGTGACTTCACTAGGTCGGAATCATTAAGCAGGAGAGAAATGACCATAGCCGAATACACAAACGATTTGCATGTCAAGTGTCTATACACCACGGTGCTGGTGAGTGACTGAAAATGGACTGATCATTTCTAATGCACAAAGTCAGGCACAGAAGATCTTCCCTGGCCAATATTTGTTTTGACTGCTACAATTAGATGCATGAGCGCTACTGTGAGAGACCGTCCAGCCAGGTACCATGGAGTGGAAATATGGTTTTGACCCTTCAAATGGTGTTCTTGGACCCTCTATGAGGCGAGATGACCCCAATGTGTTCGATTATTCTATTAAATTCGACGAATAAAGAGAAGAAACAGAGAAGTCCCCAGACGGCCCAGTGAAGTAGAACAGAGCGGGACGCCTAAGGAGAGGACAAGCAAAGATGCATCAGGATCAAAGAAACGGCACCGGGAGGAGCGAGGCGTAGAGAGTGGCATTGAGCCTGCACCTGACGGTTTTCAAGAAAAGACTTCTAGTGAGGTCAGAAAGGAAAGGAAGAGAATGAGATGCAACTAAGGAGAAGAAATTGATATGCAAGCTGGCTTGATCGATCACAGTCATCTCCTAGTTGGAGATCCTGTTTCTACTTGACCGATCACCTTATTTTTGGGATTCACTGTGAGCTACTGGTCTTGTGAAATTCTGAATCATGCTATGTTAAATGGGTTTCAACCTGAGTTTTATTCTGTTGATGGGGAAAATCACAGCCCTTTTGGCAGTAATATGCTCATAGTTATTTGAAAGTGTGTAGTTATATATTTTCTCACCCTACGAATGCAATGTGCAGAACCGGTCCTTGGCCACGAAGATCGTTGCTTCTAGAAGGAGTGTAGTCTACACTACCTTAAAACATGTGCTAAGTTATACACAGATACCTAAGTGTTGACCAAACAAACGCATGCAACTACGACCGAGTTTCACCCGGGAGCTAGATGGAGATTGTCCGTAATTAAGGTGTTGTGATAGGCAATCGCCAAGTGCGAAACACGGCCACCCTAGGATACCCAAGAATTGGAAACAGCCACGGAGAGTGGGGGTGGCCAACCTTACCCCTGTACAAGGAGAAATCTGTCCCATTCTTTTTGGTATGCGAAAATTTCACACGGGTCAAAGCCCTCCTCCCTTCAGCCACATCCATACAGAGGGGCAACTCGCCGCCACTCTATACGAGTGATGGTCCTGAGACGGCTGGAAAATGAAACATGCCGAAAAGTGGTGGCGCCGGTCTTTCATTGACGGCAGGAGCGGGCGGCCCTACGGCCACGGCTTCGGGATGGAATAAGAACGGTACCGGCCGGAGGGCTGAAATGACGTTATATAAGCAATGAGGTCATCGGCATCCACCCAAGTCGGCGAGGGTTTCCTCGTGTCGTAAAGATTTAACGACTCTCCTTGGGAAAGGCCGATTGTAACCTTCTCTGACAGATTAGAAATCTCTGATCTGCAGAGATAGGGCCTTTTTAATGAATTACGATGTAAATCCAAGAACTTAGTGAGCTCGCTCTTAGATTTAGATTACTCTGCAGTAAAGGCAAGCCTATGTTCACTCTTCCATTTTGATACGTGTGCTCTTTCGACACAATCTCAAATTGTCATTACTATTGCTGGGCATAACAAAGCTTAATGTAAGGTCCTTAGAAAGGAAATCTACTAATTATGCGGGCATACGTAGGGATGCAATTCCCCTCCTTTGGCCCAAGGGCCTTATCATCATTAGCCCCTCCCTCATTCGAGCACGAGTTGCCCTTGCAACCATCGATAATGAGCATCACCTCTGGTTGCATGACGGTGGTGGATCAAGATCCACAAATTTGTGGGCTTCGGGCAACATCAAGGGGAAACCCGGGATGCGGTGAAGTTGGGAGAAGACGGTATCTATTGGTTGGATTCTTGATGAATTGGAGATTTTTCAAGTGTTTGAAGTGTTTGAAAGATGAGCTTTGAAGAGTCTTTTTTGGCTTGAACTTCGGCGTGCACTTAAGACGGAGTACATACCCCTAGTAGCATAGAACCAAATAGAAGGCGGGCGGGATGAAAGTGGCGGAAGGGAAAAACATGCTTCCGCGCAACCTCCTCAACGGGCTGGAGGGGCAGAGTCATTACGTCACTCCTGCGAAAGCGGGAGCCGGTAAAAGCGCATATTCCCCTTTGATACCCCTTTGGATCTAGTGGAGGTCGATCGGGTTACCGATGGCCGTCACAACCTCACCCACCCAGCCAATGACGCCTGCCTACACACCCCTCGGACAACACTGAGGCTCCTAGTCCGCCCGGTCTTCCCCCTTTGATGAGCCCGATCTTCAGGTGAAACTGCAGACGTTGCAAACTCTGATGCGGCCGGCAGACCGAGAGGAAGGTCGCCCGAGAAGTTGCCTGAGCACGGTGATATACCGTCAAAATGGAGGTAGTCTCATCGAAGGAGAAATACACCTACGTACATCCCCGATGGGGCTAGCAGACGAATGATGGGTGACAGCAGCTTCAGAAAGGCAATTGAGGCCCGATTCAATTGGCTCAAACGTTGTGAGGAGCGTGTGGGTATCTGGAACACTTCTTCCGAAAACGGCCGTTCTTACACCTTCGTGCCCACTTCAGCCACGTTCCACTGAATTTTTTGGAATCTCTTTTTGCCTCTCCTCTGATACTGGATAGGGCCTAGCTGGAGCAATCGATGGAAACTGATCCGCTTTGCGCGATTTGCCCAATGCTCACCACGTCATTGTGCACCCTACTGGTCTGCAGTCGAAATGGGTGGAGGATGCCAAGTATAAGGGCTAAGCACCCAATGGTAGTAATTTGGTCCAATACTCCACCACGGATCCATTGTACGGGACTGCCACTGGGGGGGAACCGATCATCAGCCCGGTTCTCTGAGATATAATGACTTAATGATTCCCAGAAAACTGTCCATTTCCCCCAGTCTCACATTTCAGGTGGGATATTCTTCTTCTGTGGCTCGCTAGACGACTGTCACCAACGCTCTGTTTTTCTATATCCTATCTTTTCCTCTTCCCTCAATATACCCTCACACATTCACTCTTCCAATTCGTCCATCTTCAACATGTCTCAAGCCGCCAATGCTCCCAATGGAGCTAATGCTGCTTCTCATGACGTCGCTCCCAACGAGGTGCCAAACGAGTTGCCCATCCCTGCGGAGACTGGCCACGGCCACGCCATCGAGATTCCTGCCACCAGGAGCTCTATCAGTGATGTTCACATGCAGCGTTTGAGCCTGGCCCCTTCCATGAAGGACCGCCGGGGCTCGCGCAACTCCTTTGGTGTCTCGCTTCCTATTCCTCGCGAGCCGCGGAAGTCTTCGCGTCTGTCTGTTGTAGGAAAGCCCATCAGTCATGTGCGCAACATCCTTGCTTCCGAGTTGCAAGATCAGGAGAAGGAGAAGGTTCAGAAGGTCAAGAACATGTGCTTCTGCTTCGACATTGACGGTGTGCTGGCACACGGTAACAATGCTATTCCCGAGGCTCAAGCGGCTCTCAAGATGCTCAATGGCGACAATGAGCTCGGTATGTCACTTCTGCTCTAATGTTTGATTACGCAGTGCTAACCTCTAGCCTTCAGGTATTCAATTCCCATACATTCTCCTCACCAACGGTGGTGGTAAGACCGAAGAGGCTCGCTGCGCCCAGCTTTCGGAGGTGCTCGGCGTTCCCATCTCCACCGACCAGTTCATCCAATCCCACACTCCCATGCAGGCTCTCGCAGAGTACTACGAAAACGTTCTTGTTTGTGGTGGTGAGGGATTCAAGGTGCGTGAGGTCGCCGAGGCCTACGGTTTCAAGAACGTGGTCCACCCCAAGGACATTCTGGCTTGGGACCCCACAATCTCGCCCTGCCGCAAGTTCACCGAGGAGGAGCAGAAGCTGGCCAAGCCCCGCGACTTCTCCAAGTTCAAGTTCGATGCCATTATGTGCTTCGCCGAGTCGCACGACCAGTCGACCGAGTTCCAGATCATCCTTGATCTTCTCCTCAGTGCCAACGGCAGGCTCCTCACCCGTGCCAAGGATCCCGCTGCTCGGGATGCCGTGGCCGGCCACATTCCCATCTATTTCTCCCAGGGTGATCTGCTCTGCCCCACCGAGCACAAGGGTCCCCCACGTCTGCACCTGGGTGCTTTCCGTGTTGCTCTGGAGGCTCAGTATAAGGCTCTTACTGGCCGCGATCTCGACCGTATCGTGTACGGTAAGCCCGAGCGTGCTACCTACATCGTCGCCGACGAGATTATCAAGTCCTGGATGGAGGAGATTCACGGCGAGAAGCGTCTGCCTGAGAATGTCTATATGATTGGTGACAACCCCCAGTCTGATATCATCGGTGGAAACCTGTACGGCTGGAACACTTGCCTTGTTCGCACTGGTGTCTTCCAGGGCAAGGGCAATGACGAGAACAACCCCGCCAACTTCGGTGTCTTCGATCAGGTCTACGATGCCGTCAAGGCCGCCATCCGCAAGGAGCTCGGTGATGACTTCAAGTTCAAGTGGGATCCTAAGAAGCACTCCCCTCACGGCTCTGCTGTTGAGTAAGGGTGTCTCGCCAAGAAACCTTCTCTTCTCTTTCCTTCTCACTTCAAATCACTTCTTTGGTGACTCATTGACGGCCATCAATCACGTTGCGCGTCGCTACGGAGTTCTTGACCTTCTTTTCTTGCCCTTTTTTGTTTGAAATTCCCACTTATTTTCTAGAATCGTCGCATCTTGTTTCGGAATTTGGATTACGGAAACCAAGCCTATCGGATATAGGTTCAGGGCTCTGATAGATACTTGTCACTTATCTATCAATGAAAATAACGAGCACACTTTACGAACAACGAATAACTTCTTTTTTGAAGCGAAACTTTATAAATCTTCAAATTCTTTTCCGGAAGCCATGTGCATATTGCATATTCATGACGTCATAGACTAAATGGATCATCTTATCATACTGTTCCACCGTACCACTGTACTCGCCCTCAACGTAAAGCTTATCAGTTCTTGTATGTTTACGAAGTCGTCATAGTTCTGTTGAAGGATAAAACAAAGCACAAAGCTTGATATAGTCTACCATCTCGTTGATAATGGATTCCGAGCAGCTGATATATGAGACATCACAAACGGTGCCGTGCTGGTGGAATTACACTCTTTACATTAAACCCGATTGGAAGCTTTTCTCAATGGCGTGCATTGTAGATTTCAGCCGCTTCTTCTCCATCACGTAGCCAGGCGACATTATAAGCCTCCGCGCGACCCGCTGCCTCCATATCAAGATATCCCGGAGCATAAAGCTCGATATCCTCTGCGAATTGATTCCGATCACCGTCCATATCAACCATCTCAGACAGGTCAAGTGCAGTCTCAAGGATATCAAGGATCGGATCATCCATTTCCATTCTGGCGAGATGCAGTTAGCTAGATGATGGGAACGGCCGGGGAAATTAGAAGCCTTCGGATCACCGCATCACTCACGGTTCATTGGCCCAGTCATAACCTCCAGTATTTTCAAACTTCAACCTGCTAACATTCCAACCGAGTCCATACATAAAACGCATGACACCAATCAGGTTAAATGGTCGACGAAGCATCTCTATCTCGATTTGTCCATTGGGCAAGAAATCTACCAGTGACAAAAGACCAGTCTCCAGGCCCTCCTGATCAACAACGAATTGGGCCCAGCGACCTCTTAGAAACCGTACCATTCCAAACCTTGTCATGGTCAGAGCTTGAAAGTCTGCTGTTTCAAGGTATTTCCATGACATGAAATCGGTTTTGTGGAGACCATCGGGGCGCGCGATGGCAGGGTTTTGCTCGGCAACGACTACATCGTCGTTCGGATACATTATATGACCGTACTCACCATCCAGGTTGTAGAGCATAATTTGGATTTTGAGCCACCGTGTGTGGTTTCTCGGGTGATCCTTCGTGACAGGCGCCAAGCAGTAGACTTGACCCGCGCGCTGCTTTGTGTCCGTGATTCGGTCCAGAGCGTGTTGAGGATAGTCGATCGGTGACTCTGGAAAAGGCGCCCGAGAATGATAAGACTGGATATTGGGTTAGTGTTTTGAGCAAGGAACGAAAAGGCATCATGAATTAGGACCGACATCGCGGAAGCTCTGCTCGGCAGATGCCCATCTCTCGATCAGGAGTCGTCGTTGTCGCAGCTCATACTCCATATCGTCTGCCGGAATGCCAGTGTCGTCACGCGTCCTCCATTCTTCCTGTTTTTACACTTGGTCATTGGCCTGAGGTGAATACTGAATGGCTCTGACCTTCACAAATAGCAACCATCCCCTACTGTCTTCGATCTCAGCATCCTCAGATCGCTCGCCATCCGGCTGGATTCGAATTGATGGTGGAATTCCACCAGGCCAGTGCCGAACAGGTGGAGGCTGGGACATCATGTTTGCGCACTTCGATGTTTCCGGAGGAGAAACGAGGCTGGTCTCGGTGCTCGTTCCTGTGGGGGTAAGGGAAGCGGAGCCTCAAACTAACTAATTTGGGACAAGCCTGTTCATTAGCACCCTCAACGAGTCAACAATGCTTGTGGGTCAGGAAGTGGCAGCATGTTAGATGGTGACCAAAATTGCTTCCTCATTTGGAGATAAACCGGGTGAGATTTTGGTAGCTTCTGCATACATGAAATTTGATCCAATGTCATTTAGCCTTGGTTGCGCTTTTGTCTCTGGCATATTTCCCGCTTTACTTTGCGAGTTCAAGACCAAATGAACACCCAATTCGGAGGAATGAAAACTCTCAAGATGACCCAGAGCCATAATGGTACATCAATGACCTTCTGATTGAGAACCTGACCTGTGCCATACTAGGTGCGTTTCTCCGCTCCAAGACCCGACCTTGCAACGCAAGGTCATTAGCCCATAAATGAATTCTTTGTAACTAGTAACTGAGAGGATGGAACCAATCGGTGAGGACTTGAAATGGGATAGATAGAAGGTAGCACCGGAGGGCCAGGGTGTTGTGTAATCCGAAGGTAAACAATACCTTTTTCTTGTTGAGCTAAACTTAGTCTTCCCGGGTCGCCGTATTCATGACAACCATGCAACGATTGAACATTCAGTCAGTCCGAGAGATCCAAATGAGCGGGGGTGCCAAATACTCGAACAATCGCTCAGATCAACTGAATAAATTCTCAAATTCGCTTTTCCAAAGCAAATCTTCCTCCCTCTTCTCTGTATTTATACCCCTTAGTATCCTTTGTAATCTCTCTTACTTTCCGTACAATACCTCTCAATCGCTGAGAAGCCTCTGTCGCGTTTCCACCCCCGGTCAAATAATCCTGTAGTTTTTATATCGAAACTTCAACACCATATTGACGGGCATGGTCAATCTAGGCATTCTATTGGGTTATGTAACTGAGGGCGAGGCTCGCTAATAAGCTAGAACGGCGACCTTGGTGATCCGAGGATTGTGTACGAATGATTCCTTCTGGAGGCCTTTCAGCGGCCGTCAATGACATCTTGAGTTTTCTCCTCAGTATGTCGGCCTACTCGAGCTCCAGATCATTGAATGATGTGGTTGATACAATGGGTCTCTAAGAGTCTCTTCACGTTGGTCATCCATTGTCAAGAGATGTTGCAATGGACTCACAACGAAAACCAGAGCCAGGCCTGTTTCCCCTTGCTCTATCCTCTAGTTCTTTCACATCAGCATTGTCAACTCACCTCCGTAGATGAATATTACAAAAAAAAAATTCATATAGCCTTGATATTTAAAAGACGGTGAGGTACGAATCTTTTCTATATTCATCGTCCTTGGAAGGTGCTTATTGTTCTAAGTTCTCCATAATCGAAGTGGAGAAGATGAAGAGTGGACTCTGAGTGGCCGAGGAATGTGAATAAAGAAGGGAGGGAACAGCCCGAACCAAGGCATATAATGGTGGAAGGGCTTCCGAATGGTCACATCCGATTTTTCATCTCAAGGCGAAAGATGAAAACCTGCCTCGGCAATTTTTGTCTGAAAATTCAGGGATCTGGTTAAAATTAGGGGGCTGCTGCAGGATTCGTAACATCAGCCTTGTTTTGCAGTAAAAGGCTGGTCGCATTGGTATGTACATTACGATATATAACTTGAATGACCTTACATTACACAGGACAAGATTACCGTATTATGGGACAACCGTATTATGGGACAACCGTATTATGGGACAACTAAGTCACGGTCTTCATGGTATGTACGGTATGACGGTCGAGTTCGTCATATATAATTAGGCACCCACAATTTAGCCTTATGGTGCAGCTTGTAAGCTCAAGTCGGAACATACTTTTTTTAGGAGTTACAAACTTCGGGCATTATGGCATCGCGCCGGCATGTTCGGCGACTGATGATTGTCGCATTGGCATTAGCGGGCCTCTTAACTTGGCATCTGCAGTCGGAGACGGAAAATGCCTCAATTGTAGTGAATAAATATCCACTACTTTCAAGATACATTTCTGACCATAGGGGAGATGGCGGAGGTACGATTGACCGATTCAAGTATTGCTACACAAGCCGTCTTTTTGCTAACATCAGCAGCTTGGCATATCCCCCCTAGTTGGGCAAATGGATCTGGTGCTACTGTGGACAACATTATCGACGCAGCCACTTTAGCTCTCAATGCATCCCGACTTCTGCCAGAGCGGCAGATTCCCTATTCTGATATACCTCTGATTGTTCATCAGACATGGAAGGATACCAAGCCCGAGCGATGGCCAGAGACGTTCCGCCAGAGCACTGAGAAATGGCTATCAGGCGTTGAAAGAGGTAACATGGCTTACTTTTTATGGGACGATCATGGCATTGCTCAATTCATCCGTCACTTTGAACCAGAGATGGAGAGTCAGTTCTACGCACTACCCAATAATGTAGAGCGATCGGACGTATTTCGCATTCTGGTTTCCAAGTGGATTGGTGGCATAGTAAGTTACTTGCTCCCTCGTTCCAGGACCAGATTCGAGTCCGGTGCAGTCATGACATTAACCGAATATAGTACGGGGATATGGACACCGAACCTACTCGGCCACCGTACGAATGGATTACACCGTCAGATCTACAGCCCTGGAAAGATTCCCAGACTGGAGATGTGTACAACTCCTCCGAGTCTGTCAGAGCTATCGTTGGTTTAGAGGCGGATTGCCTACCCGACAGCGATCTCTACTGGCGTATGGGCTATTTCTACCCAATCCAATTAACGCAGTGGTCTTTTGCATGGGCGCCTGGCCAACCCATTCTACAGTCATTTATCGACCGTCTATTGTCAGCCGCACAGGCAGCTTCAGAAAAGCATGGAGGGGATCTTAAGTCAGCCTCGGCCCAAAAGGCTCTATACGATATTGATCCATTGAATCTGACAGGACCTGTGGCTTTCACGGATTCTGTCCGAGGGTGGTTGGAAGCCGACTGGGATCTACGATGGAATGCCCTGTCAGGACTAAAGGATGGAGGGCAAAGCAAATATGTGGGGGATGTTCTTGTCCTACCGATTACTGGGTTTAGGTACGTTCAGCACTACCAGTATTGTTCGCGTTCTAACGGAGTACAGCCCTGGAAGAGGCCAGTACGGAAACATGGGCTCAAAGCCTGTTACAGATCCTTCTGCTCGATTATTGCACCATGCAACAGGGTCTTGGAGAAAGACTAGCATTCTGGTTGAGTACGGCAAATTTTGCCGCACCTTTTTTGGGCGTTGTAGAGACTGGTCCAAAGTGCCTCAAAACTGGCTTATCTGACCTGGATACTTGTATTAAGGTTGCGGCCAACATGAGGCTTTCTTCAGTACTACTACTTAATGTCGGAGTAATGGGAAAGATGATAAATATTGTTGCAATTTTTGCGACAAGCAGAAATACGAAAGATGTAGTATCGGATTTAGGAAGAACTTGTACTTTTCAACAAGAAAACCAATTTAATTAGATAAAAACAGATCGGATTCAAGTTTCAGGTCGATCTGGTTGCACTCTGAATAAAAATTACAGTATTATGCCTTGCGCCTCGAGGATAGCAATTAATTCCTCAACATCGGTGATTCTGGCTGCCACAAACTTCGGTTTAGAAACCAGTCATCTGGGATTTTAGATCCTAGTTTCAAAGAACACAAGTTTGATGTTCTGTTTCAATAGAAAAATTGGCGAAATATCTATTTTCATCTTGAAGAATGCACCGTGCATACTTCCAACAAACAGAAGGTCTTGGCATCCCACGTGATCTCTTTTCCTTACTATGGGCTTAGGCAGCACTGAAGCACGACAACGTCCAAAAATGCCCGCCAGCGTCGAACCTGACGAGTATGAGCTCGAATCTGCGTCATTACTCGGCTGGAGGAGAAGTGGTCGCTCAGACTTTGAACGGCGACATCACACCTTCGCCCTGCGCTGGACAAGGCGAAAGCTTTCTGCCCTGCTAACTCGGGTTCTCCTTCTCTTTGCACGCACTGTGGGTGTGTTTTTCGGACTAGGATACAAACGCCGGGTTTCTTTCTATCTTCAAGTCATATCCAGCGGAATCCTAGTGCTCATATGTCTCACTGCAGTATTTTGGCCGTCATATGCCCATCCACCGCCACACTATCAGACACTCAGAGACCGAGTTCAAAAAAGCGAATCTCATGGACGTGGTAATATTGAAAATGAGAATGTGTTTATCGCGGCTGTTCTTTATGATCCAGAGGGAATGATTGCAAACGGAAAATGGGGTCATGCTCTTCTCCAGCTCATTGAACTTCTCGGGGAGCAGAATGTGTTTCTGAGCATCTACGAAAACAATAGTGGACCAGAAGGCAATGATGCCCTTCAGACTCTCGCAGATCAAGTGACATGCAACAAGTCAGTTGTGTCAGAGCCAGGTCTGAGTTTAGGCGGACTCCCGAGGGTGGCTATCCCAGGAGGAGAAAAGCGAATCAGGCGCATTGACTATTTGGCCGAAGTTCGAAATCGTGCTTTGCAACCACTACGGAATAGTGATAAGACATACAACAAAATCTTATACCTAAATGACGTTATTTTTGACCCTGTCGAAGCCGTCCAGCTCTTGTTCTGCACCAATGCTGACGCGAATGGCGTTGCTCAGTACCGAGCCGCATGTGCAGTGGACTTCAGCAACGCTTTCAAATTTTACGATACCTATGCGACACGCGACATGGAAGGCTATGGTATTGGTCTACCTTTCTATCCTTGGTTTACTACAGCGGGCGGCGCGCAGAGTCGACGAGATGTCCTGGAGGGCAGAGATTCCGTGCGTGTTCGCAGCTGTTGGGGTGGCATGGTTGCATTCGATGCCAGATATTTCCAGGGGCAAGATCCTATTCAATTCCGTGCGGACCATGAAGTATTTTGGGATGCATCTGAATGTTGCATCATCCATGCAGACATACAGAGCGCAGCGCCGGTCTCGGAGGAATCCCGCAATTTGGGATCATACATGAATCCCTTCATCAGGGTTGCTTATGATGCAAGAAGTCACTCGTGGCTTTGGCTCACTCGACGTTTTGAGAAGTTATATTCACTCCCTCATAACATTTTGAATCATCTGGTCGGTTTTCCTCGATACAATCCTCGCCGCACCGAGGTTTTGGGCCAAAAGCTTATGAGCCCTGTTTGGGTACCGGGTGATGGTCAAGGAGATCAAGGCGAGGTTCGGACCATAGAGCGCGAAGCTGGGAATGACGGCTTTTGCGGACGATGGGGACTCGAAGTCCTTGTTGAAGCTAGATTGCCAGATCAAGATGGATTTGAGCCCATTCAGGTCCCAGCTGGGTTGTTTTGAGCCACATCTGACCCCGTTATGTTCGATATCAACAAGTACCTAAGATTCCCCACGTTTAATGTGAGACGCCATGGAACAATTCAGCCTTCAACAGTATTTCTGTGAAAATCATCTTCTGTAGCGACAGGTTGACCAGAAATGCACGTGCAAATGGACTTTCGTATGACATATTACCCCATCACCGAACCACTTTAAAACTGCTCCTTTGAGCCCGAACAATGATACACACTATATGAGGCAAAACCGAAGGGGATTTCTTTTTGAGAATATCTACTTAGAGCACGCCTTGTAACATGGCTGTGTGGCCTTAGCCTAGTGTCAGGTACAGCCCGTGAGTGATGTGGATTTTCTTGCGGGATACTTACAGTTAACGAAACTTACTGATGAGGGCAATTCAATAGTGGTGAATATACCCGACGGCACAGATACTTTTCTCATAGGGTGTTTCTAAACCCGTGATCTGTCACGCCAATCCTGTAAATGTATTTTAGCCGTAAAGCTCCCTGTAATCGATGTTTCACTGGCCATTGCTCCGACTTTACCAAATTAACGGCCCCTTACAAAAAGTTACCATTTTTTTGGACCCTTGGTTTGGTATGTACCAACCATAACCGGTTGACAGCGAATCACAATATGGTTGCCTACGGGACGCCCGGAATTCAGACCCACCATGATATTGCCCTTGAAGCTTAAAACTACTATTCAACCAATCGATGACCACAAATACCGCAATCTAGACAGCTAAGCAACGCTGATCGGCTCTAGAAAATCGGCTTGCCCACAATAAGGAAGAGCTCTTTTGTGTCATGGATTGGCCCGGATTGTTGGACCCTGGAATTGCGTTTGCTTAACCCTTCTAGCCCCCTTTTCTTCGTAAGGCTGACAGAAAAAAAATTCCTTTCGGATGGACGAGATGGGTCGATGGGGCGACTTTTCTCCCTCGATTCAAAAAACTTGATTCCGAGCAATTGAAGCCGAAATTACTGTGGGATGCAATACCCTGACACACGAACAAGGTGCCAGAATTACAGAAAGTATATGACTTGTACCACTCCATTTCGTTACACAATACCACGTTCCAAAGGATCGCCTAGTACATACACCAGGTCATCTGGCGCTATCGGAACCCTTCGCCTTCGCCTTCCTGCTAAATGGAGTGGCCCTCCAGTTCTTCCTTCTGACCAAGCGTCTCCTGGATGAGATGATTCTTCTTCGCGTCGTGAAGCGACTTGGGCGACGGCTTCTGACACAAAGCTGGCCTGCAATTCTTTGCGCCTTAGCTGGCACGCTCCTAACATGTGTCCTGCTTCTGTACCTCACACTTGCCTATTATCTGGCTGATGACCCACGCCTGGTACCGGATGGGTTTCGACATGCTCGTCGGCCAATGCTTATCACAGCACACCCAGATGACGAAACTCTATTCTTTAGCCCCAGCATCCTCTACCATCGACACAATGATCCTGTCACGCGCTCCTTGTTGGTGATCTCTTCAGGTATGTAGACCAGCAACACTCAATAAGTAATAATGAATCACCCCATGCTTAAAAAATTCAAAGGAAATTATAATGGGATTGGTGAAAAGCGCCAAACAGAAATCCATAAAAGCTGTGCTGCATTGGGTATCTCCACAGATCACTGTGTGGTCTTGGACCATCCTGGACTTCAGGATAATCCAAAGAAGTGGTGGGATGAGAAGCTAATCGAAGAAATTATTGCACCATACGTCCAAAAATGGAAGGCGGACCTAGTCAGTTTTTATAACATCATTAGCTCGTCGAAGCTATTTTCTAACCTGGATTTGTAGATAATGACGTTCGACCAAGGGGGAATCTCAGGCCATATTAACCACAGAGCTGTCAGTGCTGGCGTCAGGTACGTTTGAGATTCGACCAGTACTGTCCTTTTCCTCGCACTGGCACTATATCGATAAGCTTGATTGACAATTGACGTTCGAAAATATAGGAACTATGTTGCAACCAACGAGCATGCACCTCCCGCTTTTACTCTGCAAAGTACTTGGCTAATACGGAAGTATTCATCATTGATCGACCTGATTCCGTCCGCTATCCCATTCATGTGGAAGCTACTCAAGGCTCCTATATTACCCGCTACGATACCATCGAACACGAAAATTGGTGATCGATCTCTCGTCCCAGGTACAGGGAAGGAGAGGGTACTCATAGTGAGTTCGTGGCAGACATATCTCGAGTCTCGAGCTGCCTTCGGTCAACATGCGAGCCAGTATTCATGGGATAGATCGCTATACTTAGTGATCAGCCGCTACATGTGGTTCAATACATTGGAAAGAATCTGAACATTTTTAATACAGTCTGAAGGTCGAAATTACTTGAATGATTATTGTCAATGAAATAAATGTACATAACAGAAGGTATCAAAACACTGATGATAAGTGGAACAGCATCAGATGGGTTCCAAGATAAATACAATACCCGATGAAAATTTGTTCTATGTGTACTTAAACAAAGACTTGGAAGAAGAATTCTGCAGGTGAGACTCGACGTCTCGTTTTGACAAACGAGTTCGCGGTAGTCGTGCACACCATAGCATTAGAGCCAAGACTGCGATGATTATTACCACAGAAACCAAAATAAGGCTGGGCTGGGCATCTTTCAGCAGAAGTATGAGGCGGGCATCTTTGGTGTGCCATGAGGAGGAGCCTAAGTGGCGGAAGAGGGGAGTATCGACAAATCCGTTCAACATATGCATAGTCGGGTTGTCGGAGGTCCCAGAAAGGATTCGAATGCTCGATCGGTTGGTTTGTAGGGTGAACACGGTTCTATACCAACAAGAAAATGTCAGTTGTGATAAGACAGATGATAATATGAATGTGTAGACCATTCGAGACACCTACGAAGCATAGTGGCAGCCAGTGCTGAACATCACTGTCACATATGGCAGAAGCGGCCATGCATGATTGAACAAAGGTAAGTTTTCGACAAGTGATCTGACGAAGGTATTATTGGGCGAAGCAAGCATCATGCCAACCGAAAACCCCGCCGGATGGGCAGCCGGAGCGACAAATCCAAATTGGCGAAGAGGTTCTAGAGAACGTTTGCAGGCCAAGTCGAAGTCAAGAACCGCACCTTGTAAGATTTTTATTGTCAGTTCGGGGGTCAGGCCAGGATGTATGCACCAAATCTCATAGAAAACGCACCTCCATACTTCTCCAGTGCCATATAACGTAGAGCATCAATACGTTGAACCATAAACGGATAGCTTTTCCACATATCATAGAGATGAGGATAGTTCTTCTCAACAAACTGCGGCGCATTGGTGTCATTCCAGAGAAAAACCTCCCACGAGTCGTGATGCTTGAGACAATCAGCTCTAGCTGTCACCCATTCTGACGGTGGAGCATTTGGCCCAAGGTTAATGTGATGCAGCTTCGCTGGAATCAATGGACGCAAGCCTGCATCTTCAGTCGAATAGTTGGCCGAGAATGACGAAAATGTCAGATCAAAATTGTCATGTTGCTGAGAAATAGTCGCTTGGGCCGAAGACTCGGTCCATACAAATGGTAATCGGAAAAGATAGTAAAATCTCTGCACTGAAGGGGCTGATAGATAGGCGAGAATGAGTAGCAATACTAGCACAGGGAACACTCGAAGACGACCTCGCGCCATTCCTCTAGCCAAAGCCAAGGCGATATCAAACCCGCGAGGTTTGGCGTGCAGTGCTTCGCATGATTAGTGATTTAATGCTTATGAGCACTGCTGCCTAAATCAACCCACCAGACCCCGATTTTGCAGCCGAGTACACTAGTAGTGAATTGAGAGAACCAGCCAGGATGACTGTCTGAAATTTGCGAGTGTCCCATACATCGGTTGCCTCAGGAGCTCGTATTGGCATGTTACAATGCCAACCGGTCTTCTGCTGTGTGGACCTCCAAAGCAGGGGTCCCCAAGCCTCTAGCTAATCTTGTCCGAGATCCCTTGTTTAAGCTTAGCTATCAGCGCTAGCGAACTCTGTTTTTTGAAATTGTAATTCGTAAAATCAGTCAAACCCAGAATTCAAGGTAACTTCGCTGCCTTGTGCCGCAACTGGGTGGAGTAGATTTTACAAGGCATGACGGTGACAGGATTACGGGGACGGATACGTACTGTATTAGACTTAATGGAGATGTGATGTATATTATCTCTCAGATTTTCGCTGTCCAGCATTGTTAGCTCTGGGGGGTTGACCTTCGTGTGTATGTATTTCGCTGGTATTCCACTTACCGCATACCCGATATATTTTACAAAAATAACGACGCAATAATACCAAGGCACTGTTCCGACACCCGTCCACTGTAGTAAAATACCACATCCCAACTTACCGAAAATAGCCCTCGCGATAAATTCCCATTTTGGCGTAGAGCCTGGACATTGTACTGTACTGCAGGAGATATCCAGTGGTCCACTTTAGGCTACTTTTTCAAGAAATCTTGTGATTTTGTCTGAAGAAACTTCTTGTCCCATAAATTTTACATCTTGCCGTTTGACCAATTCATCCTGTCTCTACACTGTCTTAAGGCAAGCATAAATCCCGAAGCGAGTGATGTTGCGATGGCTCCGATTACAGCCCGGCCAAGATGGCAAACTATGGACATACATAGTTCTCCTCCTGGTAGGCCATGCAATCTATATCATTGTTTCTAGTCTGATATATCTATCTTAGTTGGTTGTACAGAACATGACATCTATAATAGTACGTAGGGTGACGAGAAGACCTTATTGATTAACACTAAGACGATTCTTAGTTGCAACATACGCTACAATCGCAGCCGATTACAAGTCATGACAGGTTCCAGCCTTTGTCTGGCATTATCCTGATTGAAATATCCAAATTTGCCATTTCTGCAATTTGTGTCATGCATTCCGATGCAGGCCCATCTCTGTGGGAGGGTTTCAGTGGCACCTTGCTTAATGCTTCTAACGACACCACCGTGTCGGCAGTACTCTTTACTGTCGCTACTGTTTTACAGAGCATGGGAGCTTACTATCTTGACCTTGTTCCCTATCTTGTCTTGTCTCAACTCAAGACTCTCGTAACACCCGTATTTGCGAGAATTATATTGAACCAAAGATATCCCCTCAAAAACTGGATATTCATTGCCTTGATGTCACTTGGCATTGTTTTGGCTCAGCTTGGATCTGGCTCTGACAAGACAAGTGCAAAGAGTCTCAAGGTTCAGTCGATGATGCGCGGAGCAATTGTGATGTTACTGGCAGGAGTGTGCGTTGCCATAGGCAGTCTGTGTATTGAGAGAACTATGAAGAGATCTGGTCTTCTTTTCCTCTGCAACGCTCAACTGGCGGCTTACAGTTCCTCTTTCGCTCTGGTTTACTTTTGCTGGCTTACGAAGTTTAGCTTCGGGGATTTTTTTCGAGGGTTCAATATTTTTGTTTGGATATACTTAGCCCTACAAGTTTCAGGAGGTTTCCTGGTTGCTCGGTGTGTTCAGATGACCAGCACGGTAACCAAGAATTACGCTCAGGGTCTCGGGTTTGCCTTGGCCGTCGTGGTGCCTCGATTAGTGACCCACCAGCAAATCAGTCTTGAGGTGAGAACAAACAAGATCCTCGCGTATAACGAATGTGTGTCGCTAATTTCATTATTAGCTACTGGTCGGAGTTGGTCTCGTCTTAGCCTCTGTACTGGGGTCTAGCTCTTTCAACCAAAGAAAACCGGCTATGAATGAGATGGAACAGAAAGGTAATGACTTGAAAAAATGCGAAGTGTGAATTTGAATTTTTCTTCCGATACAATATGATCAGGGTCATAGTTCCAGGGCCATGGCACAAAAATGAGGTCGTCAGTAAATAATACCTGATCGGTCAGTGACGGCAATCTATTCCTATACCGCCCATGTAAAGCTCCTCTATAATATTCCCATAGCAAATAACTTTGTCTTGAAAGGTTTCATAGTAAGTTTCCTTTTTTTCTAAATTGGAATGCAGTGGAATTAAACTTCTATGATTTCAAGTCGATTTTACGGAGATAAAGATAATGACGATCATTTTCGAGCAAAGAAGACCGTTTTGTCACATCCAATTCATACAACATCTTCAACAATGCCAAGTTTTTTTTCGGAGCCACGCAAAGAGTTCCGCTACCTACCACTGACGTCGATAATTAATATGAAGTTTCCACCGGTGGCCTGAAATATTAATGAAGCCAGACCAAGTTCTGTGTTTTGCAGTGTGTCGGAGGGTTCTAAACTCATCGCTGCGTTTTCAGCATAGGCGTGACGGTTGAAGACGAGCTGGAGTGGAAGGGTCGAGTAGCTAATTGGTCAACCGGTGTTTCATGGAAGGTTTTTTAGCCTAGAACAAAAAGGCTTTCAACCCAGTAAATGAAACCTCCTTTGCTTTGCTCCCCCAGATTTAAATGCTTCAACTCTGAACCCTGTTCCATCGCCTGGCTGTAACAATAAGATAAGTTCTTGATACAGATAGGCATGATCGCAACTCTTCATAGTACTTGACAAGGCAACCTGGCTGAAGGCAATCGTTGGTAAATATGAACTTTCAGCCTCGTACAGAATCCAGCCTGGCGTAGTACTCCATTTTTTAGCCACGCTGTTCAATAGTATGCAGTAATGCAATATTATAGTTAAAAGGAAACCTTTTACCAAGTCTACGCCAAGGTATGTTGAGCATGTAGGGGACACAAAATATACATTTTAGATCGCACACCGGGCTTGACTGGGTAAGTAGCTGGTAACAGCCTTGAAAGACATAGCAGACCGACTCTCCATGAGATACGTGAGATATGCTCCCAGATCATGTTGATCTCGACCTTCAGTTTCTTCAAAATCATTTGGTGGTCTTTGAAAGCATAAAAGTGTACCTGTTCACCAAATCCACCCCGCTTGGCTGGGTGGGCGCAACGGAACGCGTGGGAAAATTCGTCGGCACTCCGATGCCGATCCGCAAAGGTAAATTATCGGGATGGGAGCGACGCGACTCTCCGACCGCATTGTACGACGTGGTTTGACATGAGAACCTGGCTAATCTCTTAAATTTCCCAAGATGGGTTAAGTTATCAATTGACCCGCCAGCGAACACGTGGTGAAACGACCATACGATAGCGAAATGCCATCGCTCTCCCCTCTTCTCTTCTGGATGGCTCTATATTCATCCCCGACCGCAACTAGCGGGAGGCCGCTAATTACCCGATCGGGCCCGCTGACGTACGACTATTGCGCAGCGCCTACACATATCCATGGCCCACGCCTTGCGCATCCTACCATCAATCTTGACAACGATGTGGGAGGAGGAAGAAAAAATTTTTCCCCATCTTTCTGGTAGGTGCGCTATGAATAGATTGTCGCAACTCGCCCTGGTCGTGGGCATCGCCTTTACACGGCCCATTGACGAGCGATCAATTTGCTCGAGCACTCAGTCTAGTTCCGATCGACCGGACGAATATCATAAAATCTCACCATCGGCCTGAGCTCATCAAGTTCTTCCGTGGCTAGGTTCCAAGTCTTGATTTGAACCCAAACCCAAACCTACCTGGCTAGAGCCCTCTCGGACCGATTTTACCGGCGTATTTTTGTTTGCAGATAAAATGCGGACATCAACGCCGACGGCTATCGACCCTCATCGATTCAATGACTATTTTAACTCGCAGCATAGGAGGGAGAGTAGTTATAATTCGAATGGCTCTTTCGATGTAAGTCGGATCTCCACGTTCTACCGACATGACATTCAGTCCCGCGCAGCAGTCTATATACTGATCAATTTGCAGCCTCGCCGCTCCCTCGTCCCTGGAATTCGCCGTTATCCAACGCGGAAAATTAAGCTCGTGCAGGGTTATGTTTTGAGCGCCGACTACCCAGTACCAAGCGCCATTCAGAATGCTGTACAGAAGCAATACCGAGAATCGCCAGAACTGTCCGAGGAGTTCTCCCAGCTCAGATGTGAGTGACGACCATTAAGCTTCGAGTCTTGTCCGGGGCTGATTGGATAGATACTGCTGCTACTTGCGACCCGGATGAGTTTGTTATGCGAAATGGCTACAATCTCCGCCCGGCCATGTCCAACCGGCACACCGAATTGATGATCGCAATTACCTGCCGAAGCGAGAACAAGGTCCTGACAGCACGGACCTTACACGGAGTAATGCAGAACATCCGCGATATAAACAATCTCAGAAGGTCGGAATTCTGGAATCAAGGAGGTCCGGCGTGGCAGAAAATTGTCGTCTGCTTGGTTTTCGATGGGATCGACTTTTGCGACAAGAATACTCTTGACGTACTGGCAACAATCGGTATCTACCAGGATGGCGTGATGAAAAGATCGGTAGACGGTAGAGAGACTGTGGCACATATTGTAAGTCACCAGGTTCTGGATCGCCCGTCAAATTACTCACCAAGACCAGTTTGAATATACTACACAACTATCTGTCACCCCAAACCAGGAATTAGTTCGACCCCATGGAAACGAATCCACCAATATTCCCCCAGTCCAGATGATCCTGTGTCTGAAGCAGGAGAGCAGCAACAAGATCAACTCGCACCGCTGGATCTTCAATGCCTTTTCGCGTATGCTAAACCCAGAAGTGGTGGTTCTTCTTGATGCGGGTACCAAGCCCTGCAAGGAATCTCTTCTCGGATTATGGCAGGCATTCTACAACGATAAGAATCTCGGAGGCGCTTGCGGCGAAGTCCACCCTGTCCAGAGCAAGAAGAGTATCCTGAATCCCTTCGTCGCCGCTCAGACGTTTGATTTGAAACAATCCAATCTTCTCGAGAAGCCACTGGAGAGTGTCTTTGGACACGTTTCGCTGGGCGCATTTTCCGCGTATCGCTATCGAGCCATCATGGGCCGACCATTGGAGCAATATTTCAACGGCGACCTGACACTTTCAAAAAAGCTAGGAAAGAAGGGATTTGATGGCATGCCGATTTTCAAAAAGAATATGTTCCTTGCAGATGATCGCATTTTGTCTTTTGAGTTGGTAGCTAAAGCCGGCTTCAAATGGCATTTGACGTTTGTCAAGGGATCAAAAGGAGAGGTCGAAGTTCAGAGCGACTTTGCAGAGTTTATCACCAAGCGAAAACAGTGGCTGAACGGATCTCTCGCAGCGAATCTCTATGCGTTTATCCATTTCGGTCGACTTTATCAAAGTGGCCACAATCTGCTGTTCTTGGCATTCCTCCACCTGCAGATGATCTACAACTTTGCCAAATTTGTGATGAGTTGGTTTTCACTCGGTAAGAACAGTCAACGAGTTCTTCACCTGCGAGCTAGAACTAACTGTTACCAGCATCGTACTTTATAATAACGTCAGTTGTGATGGGCCTCGTGGGCACACCAAATGACGCAAATGACCAACGAGCGTGGCCATTTGGAAACGAAGCCTCGCCAATTGTGAATAACTTCCTGAAATACGGCTATGTCTTACTCTTATGCTTGCAATTCATCCTTTCTCTTGGAAATCGTCCCAAAGGGTAGGTACATATCAGATTTCCGCTTAACTTTCATACGAAGCTGACACCTGCGATGCATAGCTCTCGGCTAGCCTATATCATCTCATTCACATACTTCCCAATTATTCAGGTCTATACCACTATTCTAGCATTTTACCTGGTCAGCCAGGCAACGAGGAAGCTAGTGGTCACCTCGGTGCTATATGAAGACGCGATGCAATCGGCAGTCTGGAACAACCTTGCCTCGAGTATGGTTCTGATAACCTTGGTGGCAACCTACGGAGCGCATCTCGTCGCGAGCGTTCTTTATATCGATCCACTACACGTCATTACGTCCGCTTGGGCCTACTTCGCCGGAACAACGTGTTCCTCCAACATGATCATGGTCTACGCCTTTTGCAACTGGCACGATGTCTCAATTGGCACCAAGGTGGTCGAAAAGACCCCGTCTCTTCCGGAAGTTCAAACGAAGAAGGACGAAAAGTCAAAATTCATCGAGGAATTGGATAGGCCCCAGATCGATATCGATACCCTCTTCCAAGAGACTGTTAAACGAGCTTTGGCCTCATTCGATCCCCCAACGGAATCAAATGGGAAGGATGTTGACGATTTGTATAAAGCCTTCCGGACCTACCTTATCCTGCTCTGGGTATTTAGCAACCTAGCCATGACTCTTTGCATTATGAGTACGGGAATCAACCGCTTCTGTCTCTCGGTCAGTCTTATATATTCCAATTACTGCCCGCCGTTGCTCACATCTTCTCTAGACTCTACCCAATATACGTATTTGGAATTACCTGTTGGCCGTGGTCTGGGCAACAGTCGGGATTTCAATGTTTCGCTTCGCCGGGTCGCTATGGTTTTTGGCCAAGGCGTCCGTTATGTGCTGCGTGTCACGGAAATAACCTTTTTATGAGCTTAAAACTTTTCATTAATTGGAATCTCTCTGTCCACTCTGGAATATGTCAAAGTTTGTTTGTGTGGACCGCAATAAGGTGCAGAAATGGTTGCAAAATTCGAAGTCACCGTCCGTCTAGATAGTCTAGCAATTCAGCGATACATGATGCCTTTTTAAAATCCGAAAGTGATCTGTGCAGATTTTGCTAAGTCTCCTCGAGAACATAAGGAAATTAGATTTGGAATAAGCTCCAATTTGACATCAGACTTTCCACTTCCTATCGATTGGCCCTTGAAGAGGAACCAAAGGCATGCACAGATCATCAGAAGCTTTCGATGGTTTGACTATTATGGCTACTAGCTAGAATTATATTAGAAGCAGCCGTGATTACCGGTCTTTTAGGAGGAAATCAGGTCGGATTGAGGAAGTTGATATAGCTGCCAAGGGTAGATTCTTGCGGTTCACTAAGCTTGCGACCGTGAGTTTAAATTAATGGCGGTCAGAGAGGAAGAAGGCGCTGGTACGGTTGGTTACGAGATCGTGTCCACGCTTTATTGTTGGGGTTACGGAGTAGATGAATCTGCTTACGAGGGTTCGCCTATGCCCAGCATCTGAAGAGCTATCACTGTGCTTTGGAGTGAAGGAGACTTTGCCTGAGGTGTCCAGACATGATTCCGTTGAAAAAACACTACGAATTGCTCGGTTGGGTATGTTTTCAGGATCTTGATAGGAATACATTCAAGTCTGGAAAATAACAGTAAGGACGAGGTAGCTAATTTCATATCCCAGTCTCTACCACCACCATCCCGTAGAAACTGAGCGATCAGGAGCAGCTGGCAACACTGGGAACGTTTTCGCAGCCACTGTATTTCGTTCCGCCGGTAACATCAACGTCTGACCAAGTCCAGTCAGAGCAAGCAGATGTTCCACAAACAATGACAACGTCATATCCGCTGGAATCAACGGCGTCCACGCCGGAGATGTTCTCCACGGTCAAATCGGTGATGGGGATACCGCTAGTGGGGGATCCCTTGAGATCGCCACCATCATAGTTTTGCTCAATGAGAATGCCGTAGCTATGTGCTATGATCAGAGATTTGAAGTGACGGGAGAGTGTTTTCAATATACTTACTCCGAGATGGAGCTCAGCGTGATTCCGGAATAAGTCACTCCCGTAATCGTGCCAGTGTCGCCTTCAGTGGCCTTGATACGGATACCTTGATGGAGAAGGTTAATATATTGAACCATGAATTGAAAAATTATGGCTTGTCTTACCATTGACAGAGTTCTTGACCTCGCTGTTCTTGAACGTGACCGTATCCACGGTGTTATCGGTACGTCCACCAACGCTACCAATAGATAGACCGTGGCCACCGGAGCACACACCGCCACTGAAGGTGATGTCCTATTCAATAGTCAGCTCAGGGCTCAAGAGGAGAAGTCGTCATCGTGAACTTACGGTTCCAGAGTTAACGGCCACACAATCATCTTGGTTATACACATTGGCACCGGTAATAACCACGTTGGTGCTACTTCCGATATCAAACCCTAATTTTGGCGTTAGTATACCCCGCAAGACACAGTATGAGAAATTCAAGTGAATTTAGTATACCATCAGTGTTGTGACCACCGGCATCATCACCAGCCTCGTTGTTGATGGTCATATCCGTAATAGTGAGGCCATCGCAGCCGTTAATGCTAACAGCCTGGACTGGAGTGTTCTCAATGTAAAGGTCGGTGATAGTCGAATCAGTAAGATCATGGGCGTAGAAGAACTTGGGCTTAGTCTTGCCACCGTTGCTGCCTTCGCCATCCCACCAACGAGCTCCATTGGGGTTAAGATAGGCACCACTGGCGCCCTTGACGGTAATTCCAGTACCAGAGATTTGGAGGAGTGGACCACTCCATTCCTCATAACCCCAGGTTGTCTCACCCTCGAAGATGACCTAGAAGAGCAGAGTTAATATTGTCTAATTAATATTCCCGAATTGAAAAAAGACGGTTACTCACGGTGGTATCATCGGGCAGGTCACTGAGATCCAGAGTAGTTCCAGATGGCACAGCCACACTCGACAGGATAATAGTAGAGCAAGAAGACTGCGACTTGCTGGCCGAGGCAGCACCAGAAGAGCCGGAGAAGGTACAAGAAGTTGCTCTCTTCGCCAAGCTTGGAGCCTCGGTGATGGCGGGCTCGGCGACGGGCGAAGCAATGACACCAACCGCCAAGGCGGCTACCAAGAGTGAACCAAAGACCTTAGACATTGCCAGTGAAGGATTGAATTTTCTTGGTGGTTACTTTGTGGATGATTTCTTCCTTGGCACTGCTCCACGAATGCAACCCACTTTATAGAAATTCCAGTGCCCGATGCTTGTTCCCCCCTCCTGGACTTGTTCAGGAGGTGGACAAGAAAGCACACGTAAGGTCCGAAGACGCGTTTGGCTCCATAACGCTTCATATTGTTTATCCTCCAATGGCTGAAAGCTTGGTAGGAGATCGAATCCTCCTATTGGCGGGTTTCAGAATCAGAACCATCACAGATAGAATTATACACTCACGTTGATGAATTACTCGACCCCGAATTTCTTCAGGACAGCGTCGTGAGTGGAGATGACGAATGGGAGGAATCTTCAGGGCGGGACTGAAACGCGCCGAGGTTTCCGTTATACCCTGGAGTAATGAGCGCCACCATGCTGCAAATAAAGCCGGGGGAAACAATATGAAGTGTTCTTTGCAAGGTCAATTGCCGTTCCGTTCTGGTGAAAGCCTTGGAAATTGCGGGGAAACGTTACCGTAAAGGAGGAAACCCGCGGCCGGTGATCATCCTCTCGGATGTCCGTCGGCTTTTCTTTTTACCACCACTCGTTTCTCATGCCGAGGGATGTGATATCCGCTTTCATCATGGCAAGGACTACTGTAGATCCGTGTGGCATCGTATCCGATGGCGATTCTGAGGGGAGCCTCTCGGTCATACTCGCCGTTATGGTTTCCAAAAATCCGAATCGGTTGATATGATTGCTCAAAGCATAACTAGTGGGTTTGCTATATAAGAATGAGAGTTCACACAACTAAGCAATACCAAGCTCTAAGCCGAGCACTGGGCGTTGAAACATACAGTACTCCAGAAATATCACACGACCGCCCCAGCCTTCTTTCCACCATCCTCAACGGAGGACTCGTTTTCCACCGAAGTAACATAATAACTCTCATCATTCAAGTGCTTAAACCTGAACCAGAAGATAATCGTCTGCAACGCAAGCGCAACAGCCGGCGCGCCCCAAAGCCACAACAACCATGGGTCCTTGGTCGCAGGAATCAGAATCTCGCCAATCGCACTCGACAACGCATTCATGAACAGGAAGATTGCCATAACCAGCCCTCTCATGCCCTCGGGAGATCGCGCATAGGCGACTTCATAAGCTGTCACGTTCGCGAAGATCTCGCTCAGTGCGCTGAGGATGGTATGCGGGAGTTGCCACCAGATACTGATGGGGGCGACTTCATCGCAAGTGGAGGCATAATAGCCACAGGGTGACAGCTCGTAGACGCGCCATTGGACGATTGTTCCCACAAGGCCGCCGATTGTTGCTAGGAAGAAGCCAAACGTGATACGGGTGATGGGTCCGAATTTGATGTTGCGTCGTTGAAGGGCGGGATATACCGCGTAAGTCAGCAGGGGAACCACGGTGATGATGGTCAGCGGGTTGAAGTTGCCGAGGAGATCATTGGGTGCGCCGTTGGTCACCATGGAAGCTCCTTGATTTGTTGAGATGGAACCAATACCGCCGTCATTCATGTTCCAGATGGGGTAGAACCAGAATATGTCGCAGGCACCTAAGAAAATGGGTCAACATCTCATCCTACAATGCCCGATGAAAGCATTGAGCCAAGGAAAACTCACTAACTGCCCTGGCCACATCTCTGACATTGTTGTCCGTCCAATCCACAACAATTCCCTTTTCACGCAGATTAGCAGGCTTTGCAGCCCCCCAAAAGTCCTTACGCCAAATCCGGAATTTATTCTGACGAAGCGCAACCTTCGAAATCTTGAAAGCTCGGGAAAGTTCAGAGTTCCCAGCCGGGGGTGCCTTGTATGTCTTATTGTACATCGCGAACAGAAGAACAGGAAGCAAGAAATAAATAATTCCGGCTATCAGGAATGACAACCAGAAACCGACATACTTCTCAGAATAAGTGGTAGCCAGCATGAAGAAAGCACCAGCATTGATAAAGCCATAAAAGATGAGCATGGTGCGAGTAGTAGTCGACTCGGGATCAACAATGACCCGCTCTCCAGACTTGAGAGTCTTGATATAAGCCTTCTTCTGGCGGTTCTGGTCTAGGACCGTGGGTGCGATGTTTGGCTTGAAAATTCCCGCACCAAGTGCTAGCAAGAGCATGCCAATGACGAAGGGTGGAGCTGCGTTTGATGCACCCCTTTGGAGAACTGACGGGATAGCACCGAAGATCTGAATGACGTGCGCAACGCCGCAAATCGCTACGCCCACGACGATTGCCTTGTACCGGCCAACATGGACATCGGCCCACCACCCGCCGAAGATTGGAAGGACGTAGGAAAGGAAGACGAAGAGAAGAGTCAGACCAGATGCTGCTTGGAGGCCCATTCCCAAGGCGCCGGCGGTTTCTTGCGTGCCACGAGGGGGCGCACCAGCTCCATTACCACCTACAAACACCAAGTTAGTAATCTTTTCAACTTGATTGACTTGAAGTTCGTATCCAAGCACAGACGATAAACAGATTTACATACCATTGGGCAGTGGAAACTCAATAAAGTTGGAAAACACCGTCTTGGAACCATAATAAGATGCACGCTCGGCAAATTCCACTAAGCAGAGAGCAAATGCAACTATTGGCAAGTTTCCCGCAACCTTGCGAAGAGTCTTGCTCTCTTCTTCGGTCGGAAACTCATACTCATCATCGGAGGAATCTGTTGAGACCTCCCGGTCGACAGCTTCCAACTTTTTCTCATCGGATGCGACGAGAGCTGGATCCTCGACTGTGTCGATCGACCGCGAGGGTTGGTGAGGCCCTTGGACTTCTGTAATAGGGGTTTTCTCTTCTGTTGGGATTGCTAGATCGCATATCAGCATGGGACATCGGACCTAGACAGGAAGAGGAAGGACCAAGGGGTTCCGAGTCAACTTACCCATGGCGATAGCCGCGTAGCGCTGCAGGGTTGAAAGAAGATCCGGGGCACAAGAGTCGAACGGAAAGAAAAAAAAACCCGATAGCAGCGAGACCTTCGACTTTAATAAGTCTCAGACCCCGGAAAGTACCACGAGGTGACAGTCGCACGGCTGCAGGGGGTTCCTTCCTATCCCAGGTCGCGCAAACCGCGTATGGCGTCAACTTTCGAGTTAAAGAACCATCGATCTCCGAACACCAACATCTCAAGACATCTCCGACACGGCATCGCTAAGTGGGTCAATCGCAAAAAGATTAATATGGGAGTGGACTATCACTGCATTTCGCGTTATCGCTGCAAGAGATGGCGAATCAACGACAATGTAACATGCGAACATCCCGACCATGCTGCACCTGGTTGACACGCAATGAAGCCACGCGATTGTGATACATTCCCGCTCGGGAGTTCAGGGTGTTTCTGCTCGGCACTGAGAACAGATAAAGGGAGGGTAAGACTCGACATTGACAAAGAGCATGGCGCTCGCCGTGGCGCCAAGATCCGGTCGAGGCTTAGCCCGCTGGCCCACAAGCTGCCATTTTCGTGGAAGATTCGCCATCGGGCGGGTGAATCGATTAATGCTGAACCTCCGAGGGCAAAGAAGGTATCCATAAGGATTTTCCTGGAAAGGTTCTTGACAATGTTCAAACGGGATATCCGACGGGAAATTCACCCATGGTTCGCTTGTCTTAACCGGATGTAGACCAAGTTCCAATAAGGCGAAGACCTGGCTTTGATCTTGGATCACTCTAATAACTTGGCGTGCAACTTGAGATCAGTAAGGATTGCATTTTTGAGGTAGCCACGAATCGGGACCTTAGAGCCGAGGAACGAGTCTGGACAAGTGGAGAGGAATGACCTCCAGCTCTGTAAGGGATGGTTTGAAAGCGCATACCTACTATAATGACTTTCTGATACGAACGAGGTACCTATGAGCCGAGCCACAGGCCAAGATCTGCCGGACAACAGAGATAAGTATAATTACCAGGACCACCAGTTGACCAGGAAGATATGCTTTACAGACTAGTCAAAACTCGTAGCAGTCCATAGACAGCTCCTCGGGACGTATGTGCATTTATCTCGATTCATGTTTGGGTATCTCAGTCTCGATAGAAAGATACGCTATGCAAGCAACAATGCAGAACAAGCACAACGGGAAGAGACGAAGATGAGAATAAACGAAAAGAAGAGGAAGAAATAATATTGAACATAGACAGGCTTACGGATCCTCAGGAGGACATATTAGCAGCCCGTCCATGGTCAGGAAACATTGACAGTGAAGGATATAAATAGGGTCCGAGTCCCTAAATAGGAACAGGATAAGAATGCGGATGTCAGTTCATGTTTGGATTCGACATGCAAGACGAAAAACAAAGCAGACGAGAAGATGCAGGTCACGCGCAATGCAAGTGCAAATGCAATATACTGTATGGGGTGATCGTCAGTGCGTAGGAGGTCATATGAATACGTAGGTGTAAGCTCGGGTCTGGGGCGTTGGACACTGTATGGGTGTATAAGGATATGGCAGGGGGAAGAAGAATATGAGAGTAGAACGGAGTAGGGGGTATCTCAGCAAAAGGCAGCACCAGCACCGCATACGCAAGAAATGAATAACGAAACAATCAGCAGCCGCTCTCTGCCAAAAGTTCAGGGCGACGTGTTTGACCGCCGACAGGCACGACGCCTATCCCAAAACTCAAATGGCTTCGACCTGCGGTCGCCTTCTCCCTCATCCGGCAGTTCCATACGGAAACGACGCACACTCCCCTCACGAGCGTTCTTACCCTCCTCGAAGAAGGGCGTTCGCGAGTCTCGGCTTTGACACCAGCGCGGTGCCACGCGGCGCCAGAGACCTCGCATACCACGGCTAGCACGGTCGATCTTTTCGTACTCGGCCCGCCGGGTTGAAGGCGATGTCCACTCCATCACTGTCGCCGGGACGTGTATGGAGGAAGCAGATGGACTGTAGTTGTGACCCTGGTGATGTGGCTGGCTGTCGTTGGTGGGCATGGTGTTGGAGCGGTCTCTATGTTGAAGGAAATGTGGGGTTGTTGTAGTCGAGCTCACGGAGCCGCGGTGTTCAAAGTCGAAGCGTCGTGTGGAATATGAAGAGCTAATGGGCGATGAAGGGGCTGAGTGTTCGTTCTCGGAGGAGGTGCGGGCGTCCCGCTTGGATCTATAGGATGTAGAGGGAGCGCGATATAAAGAAGGGCGGGGCTCGTCGGTGGAGTATTTGGATAAGGACGGTTGTTGCTGATGCTCGTGATCTTGAAATAGACGACATGACTCGCGGTGTAGTGCTAGTAGGGACTCTCGTTTATCGAGCGGGTTTGGCCGAGACGAGGGGACTGGCACGATGCTCGCGTTGGCGGGCCGTCGAGGTGAATGGAAGGAACTATGTCGACTCTGCGGGCGAGACCGCGCGGTACTCCGCGAGTTGGAGCGCGAGTGATGGATCGAGTTTGCCGCTGATGAAGGTCTGGAAGAAGCTGCTCGCGGACCCGCCGAGCGAGCAGGTGAAACTGGGCTTCTCGAGCCAGACGGCTCGATCCTCTTCCTCCTATGGGTCTCCATCGTGGGGGAAGGAGGTTCGGACGAGATGGCCGAGTCGGTCGGGGAGACACATTTCTCGGTTGACTGGGAGTCGATGGAGACGATGGAAGGAGACCGAGAGATATTAGGAAAGTCCGTGAGTTCGGTGACGGTCGTCTGAGAGGGACATTTGAGAGTGAGGATGTCCAAACGGGGCAGGGCTGACCCTGGCAGTGCACCAGCACCGGCCATGTGAAGATCACCACGACATGTGACGGACGCCATCAGCACTCAAAAAGAATTCCACACGAGAACCTTCTTTTTGTCCCAAGACTCGACGCGATAGGCTGCTAAATGGCCACGAGACGGGGAGACGATCCCATCTTTTTGTTTGTTGACCAGTTCGCTAGAGCATGCCGAGGTAAATAGCTTCTCGGCAGGGCGATGGAGTTCGTCAAAAGTACATGCCAGAAGGAAAGAAAGATATACCAGCACCAGGATATACTTGCAACCAAATCAAAAAAAAAGAAAAAAAACGCAATCAATCAAATCAATGCAGGCGATGGACCGCTCTTTTGAGTTATTTTCGACCTACACCGCTCCTCACGGAATGGTTTTTCTAGCGGAGAAGGTGGGGGCACTTTACCTTGCCTCCACTTTGGATTTCTCTCCAAAAGTTACCCCAAAGGGGAGGAAGACACTTTCTAAATTTCTACGGAGTATATTATCTCCTCGTAACTATGGAGTCCCTCACTAACCTACCTTAACTAGTCGCCCTCCCACAGGCTACATCACTAGTTCCCTTCCGGCGTACATCCCAGCGCACGGTCTGGATCGTCTTGTTCGTCACCTATCCACCGCTTGCTTCTCGTCCAAACGCCCTTGCAGTGGGCACCGTGGCGCCAACCTGCAGGGGCCAAGGGTTTATTTCGAGCCTAGGCGCTTAGTTATAATTGGACTGGCTGAACTCTACGCCAATAGAGTCCGCCCGATTGTGTCCGTGACAGCGGCCACCATTGTCCCTTCTTTTTTTCCCGAATGGCAAATACCCTGGGAAAGTCACTCGGGGAGTACAAGTACATCCAGGTACATACTGCGTGTACGATGACGAGGTACGGTGTACATGCAAACGATATACCCAGATAGGGTTACAGCAGGCACTCTGCACCGTGGACCCCCTTTTGGCTCCAACTCCCGTCATTTACTCCTAGTTTACCTTTTTTCGGTTGAATTCCTTTTCCCCAAGTTAGTTAGCACTCGCATTAGTTTACTTGGTCGTCTGGTTGACCCCTCCAAGGTGCCAAGACACACCCCCACTCAGTACTAGTTTCCACAGCCCAACCGCCCACCACGGGACCCCACCCGCATCACAAATCCTGAAAACGTGGGACGGGGGTTGTGCGCTTGATCGTGGTAATGTGGCCAGGAATCCTAGTGAAATCTCTGATCGAGAGCTTGGTCTAGCGTGGAGGATAGCAGGTTTTGAGTAAGTAGATCTACTTCTACAGTACGGAGGACGGCGTACGGTCCTGATTTGCCTAGTGGGTACTAAATACAAAGAATGCGAACTGGATTAAGGTCAACCTCTAGGGAAGGGGACCCTTGCAGAAGCAGGAACCGGAGCACGAAAGTAGCACGTTGCCGGCAACGACGGTTTGGAAAGTATATACCAAAGTTAAAGCTGAACAAGTAAAGCCGTGTGCTGTCGGATTTGAAACAGGATCAGGCGTGTGTAAAAGTCATTTAGAGGAAAGCAGGTAGATATTGTTGCCCGTTCTCAAGCCCAGTCCAGACCAGGCAATAGCAAAGTCATTCAAATTTCAAGAGGCATTGAATTTAAATTTTCCCATGTTCCATCCAGCGCCAGTAACTTTAGCTAATTGTGTTAGCTTGAGCTTCGGGCGAGAAACCAAAAACATAAATAAAATTAACCACCAAAACATCGCCACCGAAGTCGGACTTCACAGCGCATACGTAAAATCGGGGTTCTCCCGATCCGTCAAATCAAGCCACCTACCGGTCCGGTCGAGTTAGCATTAGCGCCGACAATAGTAGCGTAGCACCCTCAACAAAACAGAGGGCCAGAACCAGAAAAAGCATGCGATGATACAATCAATGGAAGGGGGAGTGACTGACTCTTGATTCTCTAACCGGACATAATCCGGTCGCGCTTGGAGCTCCAATTTCCGCGCATTCTCCTTACGGTACCACCACCAGATGAACACCATGATACCCAGGCAAATGCTCAGACACACGATAATGGTAATCTCGGCGGGGACGTAGTGGGGGGCATCCTTTGGGCGGAAGGTTTGGGGTCCTGCCGTCGGTAAACACGTCAGTTGACTGGTCCTGGCAAATGAATTTCCTGACTGTGGAGGCAAGTTGCCAAGACTCGCCAAGAAGTCTCAATCAAGGCTTGATTGATGGTTCTCTTCTCCGCAGTTCGCACACCGTCTTCTTGAGTCTTGACAGTGACAAAACTCCACAGTAAGGCAGGAGTCTAGTAAAAAAAAAAGAAAAGGAATGGGTCATTGGTCGTTCGCTCACCGATGATGTTGCCCACGCAATATCCGATCAGATAAAGAGCTGCCACGGTTGTTTTCTTCGTGTATCCGGCTACATTGGACGAGATCATCGACAGCAGCGCGACAAAGGCTGTCGGACTCGCTTGTGTCATGTAGTATCCGATCAGGCGGCCGACGTTATGTGACTCGGGGAGTGCCACGATGAGGATGATGCCAATCAGTGCAGAGACGAGACCACCCAGACTGCACAGCAGTCGCTGGTTTGTGATGTGGCCCATATACCCGTTCAGCACGAGTGCGATGACTTCGACCGCGCCACCGGGGACACCTAGAATAAGACTCTCCTGCTTGGTGAATCCGAAACTAGTAATCTACAACCATCAAAAGCTGATTTAGCCACGGTCTTTCACTCAGCGGGGTCATGGACGCACCAATTGACTGAAAAAGTTGGTGATACCACCGTTAGGGATATCCGCAATCAGCGCAAAGAAGAAGAATGCCCAGGTCATCGGGTCCAATAGTGCTTCCTTGACCTGATACATCTTAAAGTGCTTGTTACCGATACCCTGCTGGTTATTTCGGACTCGCACCACCGCCAGCACCCGGTCCTCTTTCTTCAACCAGCGTGCATTCAGCTGGTTATCCGGCACAATCCAGTAGAAGACCAGGCCCAGCAGGATGGTCAGCACGCCGGTGAATAGGAAGACAATCTTCCAGGGTGCGATCGAGGAGCCGTGTTTCTCGGTGCCGACCGCGATCCCGTAGGCGACTACGCCGCCGAGGATTTGGCCGACGCCGTTGAAGCTGAACCAGATATTGACACGAGAACCCTGCTCTTTCTTCGTGTACCACTGCGGATTTGATCAGTAAGAGCTTTCCATCGTTGGTACACGAAGGTACACGGGGAATGCGTGAGGACGAGACATACCTGAGAAGTGATGAGGGCAAAGCCAGGCGTAACCGCAGCTTCGAACACGCCGAGGAACAAACGGATCGCAATAGCTCCAGCGTAGCTTTTGACACCGGCAAAGCAGCTCAGAATTAGGCCCCAAGTGACGATACATGCAGCAGAGTATTTTCCCAACGGCAACCGCTGCAGCAGACGGTTGGTTGGGTACTCCCACGCCAGATAACCTATGTCCCCATTGTCAATCAAGCCCATGCAAGAGATACTCGTGCATCTCGCAAGGTCTATCTCCAATACGCACCGAAATAAAACAAACTTCCCAGCCATTGATATTCATCTCCCTTGAGGTGTAAATCCTCCTTCAACCCCATAATACTCGCATACGATAGGGTCGTCTCTGCACGCAAGAAAATCAAGTTAATCTCCGAGCGCCCACACAAAACAAGCGTCCATCTTATAGTAGACAATCCAACCAATCCCAGACTAAATGAGAAACACGGAAGAAGGTGATGTGCTACGTACTATCAAGAAAGTTCATCCCATAGACAAAGCACATAATCGGCATCATATGCCAGTCAATGGTACGCAGCAGGCGACGATTCGTCGCCTCGTCTAGCTCGATCGCTTCGCCATGCATGTCCTCAAAGGCCTTCATGGCCTCGTCTGCATCGTGCGCATGTTTCTCCAGCGTCGGGTCGACGTGTTTGGCAGTTTCGATGTCGACGGCCGAGGATCTCCCGGCTACTTTTTCTTCCTCGGCCATGATGGGCAGACGGAGGAGGGTAGAAGGAGAATATGATAACTATTCAAAGGGTATCTTGAGAATTGGCAGAGTATATAATAGAAACAAGGGATGGAAGCGCAAAGCGATGCCGATGTCAACACAAGAATGGCGCAGCTCAAGCAATGCAGCCAATTCAAATGGAGGGGAATCGAGAAAGCGGACACTGGCGATAGTAAATAAGTGAAACACGCAGGCAGCACAGCTCACTCATGGTCCGCGATTTATCCGTCGTGCCCTCAACGCATACCGTGGCGTTATCTCCTCGATTTGATATTAGTTCCGTCGTACCCTCCTATCAAGCCTCGCTGGGTCACCCCCCACGATAAGCCGGATATCAAGTTAGGAAATATCTGGGGTTAAGGTCTATTCGCTGCGCGGACAGTCATTGGTCACCACGGGAGGGGGGAAGAGGAGAGATCGGCAGCGTCGCCCGGTCCGACGATGAAATGCTCTTATCAATTGGACTCCCAAGCCGGTGGTGGGGAAAGCTAACTGTGTCCAGGTGAGGAGAAAGGTGAGGAGGTGAGGGGGTGACTCGTGTCTCGGGGGCTGGATAGATGCTGCGCCGCTTGGAAAGGGTGTTCGGAAGCTAAAAGAAGCTCCGTGGGTTTTTGCCGACGCGCTGGAAAAGTACTGGACGGACGTCACTTGGAATGTTAATTCGCGTCTATGATTTCTGGAAGGTCGCTGTATGGTGGTTGTTGGCGATGTGGCTGTTTGGGCTGCAGATGAGCTTGTCCGTGCATACTCTTATCAGCCCGAATCCACCGTGTAACCGTGCCAAGGGTGGCCCCTCTTAACACAGTCGGAATCAAGAAGTATATGGAAGCTTGGTCCGTTGACTATCTGATAAGTTTAGATTTGCTATCTTTGAATTTCTCTTATCAACTTTCCGGTTTTTCAACTTTCCGTTTTTGACCCCAAAGGTACATAGGTATCGTATGGCACCACCATAAATATGTTTAAATTCCTCTGTTCATGGTCGTAGCTGGACAGGGCGATGTATTGTTTATCGCCAGGTTAGATGGGCAACTATACCCAGAAAGTGTAGGCGAACGTGTTCCATTGTGCTTCATTGACAGCCATTTATACTTTCGCACCCGTGCCCAACCCCCGGGTTCAAAGATTGAGGTCTTTATCTTCAAATTTGAAACTTAATTTCAAAGTACGGACAAGTTCCGCGATTATATATCGCATCTTCGAACTCCAATTGCGATGCGCTCATCCAATAAGCGATGCACTACATTCACTCGTTATGATCTTCTCTATCGGGGTGATATCATTTTAACCCTGAGCGCAAGTGATTTCCGTTTTGAAAAAGGGGAGTCTAGTTTTATACAACGCCAACACTTCCCAGGTATAAGTTGCTCCTCTCTTCGATCATCAATGATCAAAGCTCCTGAAATATAACCCTACCACGTTCGTTTGAACCCTAAATTACAGCGAATTATAGGGCGATGGTCATACATAGTCCTAGATTTCTTCGAAGACCATTCACGGCTTTTCGCTTCCGGCCCTTGATCTAATTAGACAAGTGCATTTTCATATATACTACTTGAATCAGATTACCGGCCGGGTCAACTATTATAGAGTAATCAGGATATCTATTCAGAACTCACCGTGCTCCGTGCGATTAAGGTTATACCTAGGACGCTTCACCGGCGTTTCTACTATTATGTTCTTCGCCGTCTACCTATAAAGATAATTGTTAAGTCTGCACTCTACGAGCGAATCGAATCTCTTTCTATCTCTACTTTGATTGCGCAAGAACTGAGCGATTAGCCGAGAGTTTGGGTAGGCAATTATTTAGGAGATTAGCTAGGAGATGAATGTGGAGAGTAGCTAGGAGACCATTCAGGAAACGGACATGAAACCTTAAAAAGGCAAAACAATAGCCGCTCCCAACGCCGCCGCAGCAAGCGAAACACCCAAAACAGCACCAAATCCATTCCAGCTCGACACCCGCAGCCCCAATCTCACACCCGCATTCGACGTCGTAGCAGCCGTACCCGTAGATGCCGTCGAGTGTCCCGTCCCGGTTGCAACTCCGGTGCTTGAACCCGCCGCAGTAGCTGCTGCCGTACCCGCCTTCCCAGTAGCAACGACATCAGACTCATGATGAATCAAGGTCACAGCCGAAACAGAGATGATAGGCGTATAGCGCTCTTTGAAGCGTTCTCCATTGTCCACGACTCTAGACTCCGTTGAGATGCTATCAATAGTCGTCGTGGTGGTAACTACCGTTTCGATCTTGGTCCCGTCGGTGGTATACACCGACGTCGACCTATCGACGGAACGAAGAATGTCCTCATATACGTAGCATACTGATGTAGGTGTGTATGAGGGGACCGTGGTGAAACAGTCGCCGAGGGGATTGGCTGTGAAGCCACTGGAACTTGAATCAGTATCATATACAACACAACAATACAACTAGTGGTCCATAGCATGAAGATTAAGCTCAAGTGTTGGTTCTATACAAACATACCTGGGACAGCACAACGCCACCGTCTCACTAGGCTTCAAATTCTTCGCCAGCAACGTAGGCATATAGTCAAAATCCGGTGTCCAGTGACTAGTCCCATACCTCATCGCTCCCGACGTCGTATAAGCCTTATCGCCATCTCGTCCGGCCAGTCCAACCGTCTCCCACCCCGACGGACAATACAGACCGGGGGAGTAATAATTTCCCACTGAAGCGGTCCATGTGTCGTCGTAGCCATCCGCCAGACTTGTCGTGGGAGATGGGGTGACTGTTGAGGGGGGTGCGCAGTCTGGCCAGGCGGTGGTTTCACATTGCACATTGTAGTATTCATAGGCAAAGATGTCGTCTTTGATTGTTCCCAGGCCAATGTGAGATGTACCAGAGCAGGACGGGGCGGGTGTGAATGTTGTTGTCAAGGGACCGTAATTGTGGAAGGTCCAGGATGCGTCGTTGACTACTGCTACGGTTGTCATTTTGGCGGTTGATTGGGATGACAAACCCAATTGAAGCAGAAGAGTATGTGAGCAGCAGGAGCGACGAGAAGAGCAGCCTATACAGTGCAAGAGGAATGTTGTGACCTTTTTATAAGCTACACGGTCCCTTCGGATAATCGGAACTTGACGATAGGGAGAAATCCACTACAAGATCCAACAACCACTAACAAGTACTGACAATTCACTAAAACCATCGGAGAAACCCCTAATCGAACGCCCGTTCATCCAGACCCTCAACTGAGGGTGAAAGGGCCCTCGCTTGTCGGTGCTTGCATCTCCGCCCCACGCGCTACCGGCTTGGCAGGGACCGAGTCTGCTTCGATTTTAGCCGGCGGATGGGCTAGTGGTGGAATAGGTTAGCAGCGTCTTTCAAGGTCGCATCGTCTGAGTCAGGGACAGGTTCGTGAGGCTGCTGAGAGTTGTGCTGGAGCAGGGAAAGTGTGTAGAGGGAAGTCTTGGCGTAGTGCTTGGGGAGATTAGGTCTTGGCGCTTGATTTTGGGAGCCTTGCAAAGCTGAAAAACATCCGTAGACTGATCATTCATTGTATGAACTTGCTAAACGTCACATAAAAGAAATTTAGGTTGGACATGATTGCGGATCAGCCGATCTGATGTTTGTCTGTCATATCACGTGATTATCGTTTCAATGTACAGAAATATAAGGTAGAGCGTATACGTACGTCATAGTCAATTCTATATGTTTTTAATCCATAATTCATACCGACTCAATGTTCCCAGACTAATGCTTCCATAGAATCCATCATCTACTGACCACCCACACGGGCCAAATACGCCTCCCAACCCTGCTGCTGATACTGCTTGGCAGCCTCAACGGGATCGGGCGCAGCATAGATACCCCGACCAGCGATAATAAAGTCCGCACCACGACCGATAGCCGACTGCGGCGTCTGGTACTGCTGGCCCAGCTTATCGCCCTTGGACGAAAGATTCACACCCGTCGTGAAAACAACAAAGTCCTCACCCTCCGCCGGCGCAACACTGCTCTCCACCTCACCGAGCGCCCTCGTCGACACAAAGCCCAGCACAAAGCTGTGGTACTTGCGCGCATAGTCCACTGAGGCGGAGGTATACGCACCGGTGGCGAGGGAGCCCTTGGAGGTCATCTCGGCGAGGATGAGGAGGCCGCGGTCGCTTCCGTAAGGGAAGTCCGGGGACTGGGCGGTTTGGGCGAGGGCTTCGACGATGCCTTCACCGGGCAGGACGGAGCAGTTGATGATGTGGGACCATTCAGAGATGCGGAGGGTGCCGTTGTGGTATTGCTTTTGGACTGTGTTGCCGATGTCGATGAATTTGCGGTCTTCGAAGATGAGGAAGTTGTGTTTGGTGGCGAGGGCTTTGAGGCCGGTAATGGTTTCTTCGCTAAAGTCGGAGAGGATGTCGATGTGGGTTTTGATCACGGCAATATAGGGGCCCAGGCCTGTAAGTGAGGGGTGTTAGTGTGGATTTGGACGGTGATACTTTGTGATAACGTACGGTCGGCAAGGTCCAGGAGCTCCTTGGTGGTGGTCACATCGGCGGAGACGGTGACGTTGCTCTTCTTGGCTTCGGCAACTTGGAAGAGTCGGCGAGCCAGAGGGTTGGGGTGGCTCTCGGCGCGAACGGCATAGGTCAATTGGGACTTGGACGACATGATGGCGGGGTTGGCGGGGGAGTAGATATCGAGAGGAGCGGTCGTAGATCGGAGATCAGGAGATACGATTGCAAGTGCTAATAGGGCCTGGTAGCAGTTGCTCGAATTTCAGCTGCACAATCCTAAGACCTCAATTGAACACAATTCTCGACAAAGTCAAAGTCAAAGATGAAGCATCTCGCAACCTCCACGGCGGGAACTTTTTTTGAACTGCGCCACAGTGGGGCACCAGCCACAAACCCGGAGCTCCGTGGCTAGTTATCTCGAAGATAAATTTGTACGGAGTACGGAGTACAGAATAGGAGAAACGAACAGGGACACTTCTACATTACCACCTCAACGTCTAGTCACACAAGCGGGCAAACAGGACATCACGACGTTTACAAAGATACAGCGGATCGAATTTCTCCTTGGAGAGATTCAAGAGATCCTCCACACAATGAAAGAGGATCAGTGTGAGCAGTGTCAAAAACAGTCAACAGACGCCCGAGGTTTCCCGGCTGTCGAACGGCATTCCGCTCGCGGAGGCTAGGAGCGGGACTGATAGTGAATCCCAGCAAAGCAGCGATACAGACAGCCTAGCAGGAAGCAGTATTGCGGCTGAGCAAGATATACCGGATCTTTGTGTACGATGTTTTAACACATGGGAGGCGCACATCCAAAGTGGACCATATGAGATCCCTGACTGCGAATGGGATGAGGGCCGAGGTCGGAAAAAATGCCGATACTGCTCGAGCCGTAGAAGTGAATGCGTCAAGGTCAGTTGTAACTACACACTGGTCCCGACGGTAAATATATTTCTGACATATACTGGAGATCCCTGCCTCTATGCGTAAAGGCATCCTTCGGCGGAAGGCGGAGCTATACCAGGCAACGTTAGAAGAAGACCTCACGGAGATCGGACGGAAGCAGAAGCGATTCAATGAAACATACTTCACGATGCATTCTAGAGTAAGGGCGACAGTATCGAGCGAGGAGCGGCGACGGCGGCGGCAGCGAGCGGCGCTTCAACGGGAAAAGCAGCGGAAAGAGAATGAGAAAATAGACGAACAATAACTGTATGGTATTGAATTAGAGGAAACCTTTCGAAAACGCACTTGACGAAAAGAACAAGTAACATTTCACCCATAAAGAAAGCTATTCATTAAGTATCGCAAATTTCAAGATACAGATACATTAGAGTAGACCATAGTCCTCAGTTTTATCTAGAAAGAAATCAAATCCCTGGCCACGCCAAACACACTCAATCCCCACAGCGCAGCCTGCGCAAACCAGAAGGTGCCGCCCAACATACGGCCCTTGCCCTGCGGCTTACCCGAGTACACGTACCCGTACAGGAACAGCGAGCGGAGGAGCACCCAAGCGGCACTGATACCCGCCGCCAGCTGGGGGTACTTCAGGCCCGCGACGAGGGTGAAGAGCATAGTCTGGGAGGCATTCTCAAGGAAGTTGGAGTGGGCGCGTTGGGCGCAGTTGAATTGCTCAGCCTTGGCCTGGTCCAAGCAAGAAAAGTGGTTAGCGGCTGAAATGGAAAAAGTAATGCTGGGTGTTTGACGATGTTTGCTTACGTTCTCCTTGCATTGCTCAACGGTGGCGTAGCAGTGCGGGTAGGGGACCTTGGCGGCTCTGCGGAGAGAGGTGGTAATCGCTCCATGGACGAAGCCCAGGACGGGGATGGCGCCCAGGGCAACGGCAATGGCGGCGCTGGAGGACTTGTCAGTGTTGTGGACTCGGATCGCAGATAAGAAAGAACAAGCTATTCAGTGGCTGGAACCCGGGAGTACCTGCATTACAGGATGATGGGCCCAGCCAGGGCTAAAGGGTACCTAGATGACAGGGGTAAAACTTACCCGTAGTTCTCGGGGATAGTAATCTGGACCATGATGACTGGAAGTGTACTTCAGGGGAAGATGATTGTATGGAATAGAAATTGGCAAATAAATGACGCCGATGGCGCGTTCCCCTCTTTATACCGTGGCGAACGTGTAGACGTGGTCCTTGAGCTGGAAGCCGGGCAAATGAATCCATCCGAGCCGCCTCCGCATAAATGCCTAGTTCCCCTTGCTGCCACGCGATTCGATCGCAACGAAGATCATTTGATTACTATTCCACGTCCGCGCATGGAATTGTTTAGAATTTGATCTACAGAATAGTTTTCATGTGGACGCTCTGATGCCGGGGAATTCATCGCTATTGGCCGGCTTCTACGTGTCCTTTTCATTGAAGTATACACTGTCAAGGTAGGGGTGTCGGAGATGTCTCCGCCTGGCCGACGGATGGGGCTTCGAGGCATTTTGACAGGTCGGCGTCCCAAGAATAGATAGATTCAATCTCTCAAGATTGGTTCCCATGGAATTCCTGCCCCGTAGATAGGGCAGAAGTAGTGGTAGAAGTAGGACGAGGTCTCCAATACCTACGTCATGCCAGTTATCTCGGGAGATGGATGCGGTGCAACGTGCCTCCGAAGATGTGGGGATATATCACGGAAGTCGGCCCGTTGCCTTCCCAAATTTAGTTTCTCCAAGAGGTGTCTAATCAAAGAACCAAATTCTATAAGCCGGCGAAAAAGTAAAAACAGATCAATGACCTATAAATGCAAAATTCTAGCTCAAAAGATCAACACTGGTACCACCCTGATTCTCAATGCTGACTGATCCACATCTGCCCATACTTTCGTTGCCTGAAATGGGGATCATCGAGGACAAGACCAAAGACCAATTTAGACGCGCATTCGACTAACACTACCGTACTTGGCCTGCCATGCAAAAAAGTACAGTAGCGCTCCCAGTGGCTGTCCAACCAGACAGAAACTCACCCAAAAGATACAGTTACCAATCGTCTTGCCCTGCGGGCCACGCATCTTCTCCAACGGCGCCGTAAGAGCGATGAGGGGCAATTGGAACATCATGCCGAAGAACGCAACACCTAATCTCTATTTAGTCTACCATCGAGAAGAGGCGATACTAGCGAGGGAACAGTCTTACCAATAAAGTTATGGGTGGGAATGCCCACCAGCATTTCGTGCAGAATAGCGGACAGTGAAAAGACCATCCCGCTCGCGGCGAGAGGACTCCAACCTCGGCCAACGAGCGGTGAGTACACATGCCGCTTCATGAACAGATATACCGGTCGATTCCACGACCGCCAGTACACGCCCAGACTGGAACTGTTCCACCAGTCGGTATAAAATTCACGGTCTCCGAATTGCATCACTTCCGCCAGGGCATTCAGCAGAGCCTGGAAGAGGGCGAAGAATCCGGCCAACCAGATGATCAGCGAGATGGTGGAGAGTTTCATGACGCGCTCGAGGATAGAAGCGATATCCATGACGGCGATTTTATCAATGGAATTGCGCAGTACGGGGGCAGCATACTGTGCCGAGAGAAGCCAGATGAACACTGCCAATCCGACAAACTCTGCCAGCCGCTTCGCGACAAAGGACCAGCGGATTGAGGTGGTGCGCGGGTAGACGGGTTGGTAGACTAGAGTCGGGGCCATCCAGAAATACGCCAGGTTCTTGAGAGTCACGTTCCGGGGATAAGGGCAGGTCGCGTAGATTTCGGGCAGACCGGGGTCTGCAGAGGGGTTGAGAAAGGCGAGGCGGAGATCGCGGTTGGTGAATGCATAGGAGCAGTTCTTGAGCCACACGATAATCGCGTGCAGCTGGCAGAGAGTCCCAATACCTGGGTGGTGAATATAAAAGTACACTACGAAACTGGTCAGGGCTAGGCACATGGTCGCATTCAAAGTGTGCAGCAGAGCCGTGTAGCGCCAGGTAGAGCGGAAGCGCTGCTGGTCACGCTCTTTTTCTTCGGCAGTCTTCTTTAGGTGGCCAACGGTCTGCTTCGCGGCCCATGCTGCAGAGAGCTCGATAGCATAGGCCAGGAATAGGTGACATGGCACGAGGGCGAATAGGATGGATCCGAGAACGATGTCCTGCTTGCGGTAGTCATGACATTTGATGCAGATCAGGACGCCATACTGTCAATTACAGAGTTAGAAGCCGCTTGACATGTGAGTCTGCGTTTCGAGACAAAGATAAAGGCATTTAGCGAGAACGCACTTTCATGAAATTCTCAATGATCAATCGAAGATTCATGGCCACTGCCCCACCGTATCAGTTATCACATGCTAATTCCAGTTCAACGGGAAGTATCGATCCCTACCAAGTACTAGCACCATCAGATTCCTGAATCCAAGAAAGCTGGGAGTAACCTCTGCATCTCGGCTGAGGCTTGAGTGTCGTAGCTGTGCATGGTAGGCTGCGACATGGCGGTATTTGCTATGACGTTTCTTGCCAATGGGCGCGGGCGCGGGAACGGACGCTGAGGCGTCGACTTGGTTCTCGGCGATGCCATTTGCCCGAGCGCGGGAGTGCTCATGAGCAGTGGTCACGGCCTCCGTTTGCGAGGCCATGGTCAACAAGCTTGATGAGACGCTCAAGTCCAGGTAGAAGATAGTTTAAGAAGGAAAAAAAAAACTCGCTGGCCAGAGTGGTCGAGATCAAGCCAGACGGAGGGGGAAAGCTAATTAGTTCGAGGCTCTAGCGGGCGAACCGGGAGCAATGCGCCAAGTACAAAAGTCCCAGAGCAAGGCAAATGCAACGCTCTTAGTTTGTGATCAACATAGTAGAGAAGGGGAGGGGTAAGAAGAACCCAACAACACTGGCGAGGGAATATAGAACACAGGATGAAACAAGCTATGGTAGAATCGAATTCGCGATGAGCCTGGCCAAAGGAAGGGATGAAGGTATAATCCGAGCGCCATCAACCGGGCAGCCGATTACAAACGGCCCAATCACCGCCTCCGAGAGCTCCCCAAGGGCCCCCGGTCAACTGCAAAAGCTCCGACCTTCTCCTCCCAACGCTTTCGCCTTCTCCAATGATAATGCGCTGAAACTGCTTTCTTGAACGCTAATCGCTCGGATTACTCTCTTTTCACGATTCATGCATTGATTGCACAGCTTTCCCCTCCAACCCCAACCCCACCAGGCGACCCGAAACATTCACAAAAATCGGTCCACCCCCAATGGCCTACTACGATGAGCATGGGGGCGATGCCCCGGGGAGGTTTACAAAGAATTTTGAAGGTCCCGTCGGGCCTCGTCGGCCAAGTACGTCTATGATGATACGCCGAGTGTAGTGTCCGCTCTCTTTCAGGGTGTTTTCACCCGATGCGACGGCCCCGACTGACTTGGATGTGCTCACAGGATTGGTCACGGATTATGGCTCGTCGATGGTACAATGGATGCGGACGCGACGACCTCGATACCGCGGCGAGCACCGCATGGAGATGGAGCGCCCGAGCCCCAGCTTCACGGTAGACGTGAGTGTATCGCGTGAGGAGTGTGTCTTGGTTATCCGGGCAGAGACTGACCGTGTTCGCGTTTGCGATAGATGCTTCCACCCATGGCGCGAACTTATTCGCCGGCCGACACGATACCGGTACGGCATTTGCATCAGTCGATTGGAAAGTCGAAAAAACCTATTGTCGTGGTACGGTGGACGCCCGAAGGCAGACGGTTGTTGACGGGTGGACACACGGGAGAGTTTATGCTTTGGAATGGAACGGCGTTTAATTTTGAGACGGTGATGGATGTACGTGATACGAAGCAGATGGCGGCAATTTACTCGATGGATCCTGGCTGACAAAAACAGGCGCATTACGATCAAGTCCAAGCAGGTGTCACATCTCTTGCCTGGTCTCATAGCCACGAATGGTTGATCTCGGGCGGACAAAGAGGCGACATCAAATACTGGCGACCAAACTTCAACAATGTCGAAACGATCGACGATGCCCATCACGACGCAGTGCGAGATTTGGCCTGGGCACCAAGCGATACCAAATTCCTCTCTGCTTCCGACGACACAACACTCAAGATCTTCGATTTCACATCTCGAACCTGCGACACCGTTCTCTCCGGTCACAACTGGGACGTCAAGTCCTGCGACTGGCATCCGACAAAGGGACTGCTGGTCTCGGGTTCCAAGGATCACCAGGTCAAACTCTGGGATCCACGGACGGGCAGGTGTCTGACCACGCTCCACAGTCACAAGAACACCGTCACCTCGACGCGATTCTCCCGCGTCAATAACAACCTGCTTGCCACTTCGTCGCGGGATCAGACCGCGCGGGTATTCGATTTGCGCATGATGCGGGATATTTGCATTCTCCGTGGACACGAGAAGCCCGTTTCGTCCTTGACGTGGCATCCTATTCACAGCAACTTGCTCTCTACTGGAGCCGAGGACGGCTCTCTATACCACTACTTGCTCGACGAGCCTAATCTGCCGGCCGGCCATGTCCCTACCGTGGCACCATACGACAGCCTCGATCCGGCCAATACACCCCCGCAGGTAATCTTCCCTGCACACCGGGTGCAATATGCTCACGGCGCTACGATTTGGTCTCTGGACTGGCATCCACTAGGCCACATCCTTGCATCTGGATCCAAGGATAACTTTACTCGATTCTGGTCTCGGGCTAGACCCGGAGAGACTAATTACATGAAAGACCGATTCCATATCGGCGAAGAGGCGGCCGAAGCCCAGGGCACCTGGAGCCGTGGATTCGGCCGTCGACAGATGCGCGAGGAAGAAGAGCAAGAAATGCAGGACGAAGCCGAGAGTCTCGTCGACCAGCGACGACCCGGTGCGCCTACATTGCCCGGTATTCAAGCCGGTGGCACTCCCCAGCCCGATGGCGCCGGGTTCCTGCCTGGCATTGGCGGTGCTCAACCGCCTCCTCCGCCGGGGCTACCAGGTATGGCCGGTATGGACCCTGGCCGGTTGGCCGCCATTATGTCTTCACAACCTGCTCCGCCACAATCACTTCCTCCACCAAACCAACCAATTCCTGGGTTCCCTATGATTCCCGGCATGGGCAATGCTCCGCCTATGAACATGGATTTGGCGCAGTTGCAAAAACAACTCGCATCGCAAGGATTCCCAATGCCCCCGAACATGAATATGCCACCTGGATTTGGCGGGTTACCTGGTCTACAGGGCAGTGGAATCCCTGATGGTGGTCGGCGATGAAGAGCGTTGGGAGAAAGAAGGTGACGGGTTGCATTTTATGTGCATGTCAAATTCGGTATCGCGGAGCTGGCGTAATGGACATATAAGCATGTGATAGCCATTTTGATTTGCGGCCGGCGCTCTTTGGCGAATATCAATTCTTCGATGTATTATACAGACGGAAAATAGGAATCCAATTCCCGAGTCGGATGAATGGGCTGTCCTGTCCGATGAGCCGAGAATGTTGTTTTGGACCCGTTGTAGCTGGAGGACGAAAGGCCGCAGGCGATGGATCCGATATGGTCATGTAGAGGTTGCTTTTGATGTATCCTCAGAGCCCACCTTGCATAGGATAGCTCGTCAGAATCAGAACCATCACGTTAACACCACCCCAGATCATAGGCAGGATGGTCGACATCCTAAAATTGCCCGCTTCATACACAGCACCAAGTCTAGTTCCGCAGTAGTCAGTAAGCCAGGCCCAGCACAGATCGGCCACACGAGTCCCGAAACCCAGATTACTCACACAAGCCCAACAATACTCCCAGCTAAAAGCCCTTCCAACCCCGCAACAATACTATACAAAAACGGCACCAGCCATATGATACTCCAATTCCGACAGTGCGTTAGGACCGCACACCCCGCGACTGTGAGATGTGTCGCGCCGTAGAAGAGTAATGTCCAGTAAAGCGTGAAGCGCCAGATATCCGACGTGTAGTAGAGGTAGTACGCCTCCTTGTGGTGGGAGGGTAGTGGATCGTACAGCGATGGGAATCTGGGTGTTTGATAGTTGATCGGGACTCGGTTATTAGCCATGGGGGATATGCTGCGGTGCCGAGACGGCTAATGTGTCGATAAAGGCTATTAATGCATCGTAGGTTGAGATGGGGGGTGTAAGTTGACCTCGAGGGGTTTCGCGTTTGTTGTCTAGAGCTTGGAGTCTCAGGGTCTGTTTCGGGCTCCTGCCGCATCTGGGAATGACGATGCTTATTTGCACTGTTTGACAATTCCGGACCTCGGCTGCGGATGGGTCTCGCTCGTCGTGGGTCTGGGGTCTCCGCGGTGACATCTTCCTTCCCCTTCTACTGCCACAACCTCTCATGTAGACCCGTGGGCATTGCCTGTCCAATCTAGGTCCGTGAATTATGGCGACCGAACGCTCTCTGGCTGCGCTCCTGCGCTCATTACAGTCAACTTCCAGTTTCGAAGATGCTTCTGGGTAAGTGGCGCCATCTACGCATTGCTTCGGGCATCACCGATCACCGACTCACGCCGGCTAACGCTCTTGACTTATTCTCTTAGTCTTCTTCCCACTGCGACCAGCTTCTTATCTATTCTCGGAAACCCCTTGAATTTGAGTCTTCTTGCATCGCAGCTCCTCTCTGCACCGGCACTATGGAATCATCCCGTCGATCTATTCGCGTGTCGCAAAATTCTAAGCGTCTTCAACACGGCCGCCATCGCAGTCCTCCAAAACGATACCACAGAAGAAGCCCAGATACCGCACGGTGTAGGCCGCAATCGCCGAATTGAACGGGAAGCATGGGTCAAAGCGATCGCCGAGGGCGCGGACGACAAGTCCCCTCGCTGGCGACACATGCTCTTACTCGGCGGAATACTGCTCGGGTTCGAGGGACAGAATCGACAGGGTCTGCCGTGGCATACTCGGACGAAGTTGGAGTCGGCATTGGCGACGGCTGCGCAACTAGCGTTGGAGGAATTGGATGCCGAGGCTGGCATTGATGGATACTGTATCACCATGGTGCTGAACTATACCTTTGAGCTTCTGTCGGATACGCAGCGGAGTAAGCTGGATTATGATCGCTTGTTGCCAATCATGGTGCGATCGGTGTTTCATTCTCCCGAGGGTTTGGAGGGCGGATACTTCTTGGGCGCCATCGATAAAGATGTTGTCGAGGCTCCTGGGAAGAAGTTCCGCTGGGCGCCCAATTCTGCGACATTTCGATATGTGACTGCGGTGGCTGGGCGTCCCTTGGTCGGTGGCCTTGGTCCGTTGTCCAGGCTGGTTGCACATGCGGTGGAGAATGTGCGGGATCCGAAACTAGTTGCGCAGTCGGTGGACTACATGGCGGATTTTGTGCGGACGCTTATGGTACAGTGGCGCCAGAATAAGTTGTCCGAGGTCGACGTCTCGGAAGAGATTGAGTTTTTGGATGCCGAGTCGCTGAAGACTACGATCCCGGCTCTGTGGACGCTTTTGCGGAACTGCATGTATTCGGTGGTCATCGTTCTTCGTGCCGTGCTGGGTAGAACGATCAATGATCCGGCTCTTGCTTCTGGCAGCAGTAAGTTTGGTTCAATCTCGGCTTTCATCCAATCTACCTCAAACTGACCTTGTCTACTTGTCTAGGTGCACCCTATCTTTGCATGCAGTCTCTCCATATTCTTCGCAACTTATACTTCATATCCTCTCGGACAGGCCAGACCGGATCGTCGCAGCAGAATTTCGTGTTCCTGACATCTATCGATATCCTCTCTCAATATCCTGGTTTGGCCGAGAAATTCCTGCGCAGCATCAAGCCTAGTGATATTGGTCAAATTCCTGATCACCCTGTGGAAAGATGTCTCGACCTGTTCTTCTTGAACACGGCAGAGCATTTCCCCTTGGTCTTGGGCTCCGAGGCTAGCGAAGAGCTCCTCCTGTCGGCTGCTTTCCCGTACCTTGCAGCCGGTGCCAACAGTCTTCTTCTCGAGATTTTCGAAGCAGCTCACAGCTTGGTGCTTGTCGTCTTTGCCATTCCTCACAACGCGGAATTGGCTGCCAAGCATCTCCCTTTCTACATTGAGAACCTCTTTGCGGTGAGTCCTCCCACGCCGTCGTATCATCTAATACATTCTAATATTGTTCAGGTGTTCCCCGAAAATCTCTCAGCAAGACAATTCCGCCTTGCCTTTAAAACCGTCATCCAAGTTACCGCACCCCCCTCCCCCTTAGCCAACAGCCAACCCCTCCTCCCATCAGTCCTACTCGAAGTAGTCCGTGACCGGGCCCTCAATGCTTCAACCGTACCCATTCCACCAAACACCCAAAACGGCTCGTCCCCAGATCAACCACCCCTCTCCGCCCAAGCCGTCCTTATACTCGCCTTAATCGACTCCCTCTCCTTCCTCCGTGTAGACGACCTGAAAGAGTGGCTCCCACTCACCGCGCAACTTATCAATGCAATTTCCGATCGGGGCATGCGCCACGTCTGCATGGATCGGTTCTGGGAGGCGCTGAGCGGTGGGGAGATGGATGTGGATCGGGCGCATTGCTGCGTTACTTGGTGGAGTACCCGCGGTGGGCGGGAGCTCGTGCTTTTTGGCGCCGAGCCTGGTGCCGGTGCGGGTCCAGAAGGGGAAGAGGCGGGCCCATTTATGAGTGGTGCCGTTGGAGCTGTGGCGCCAGAAAGTAAGTTGTGAGGTGTATATAGCTGAAGACTTGGGGAGGGCAGCATGTGTTGCATTGTATAGCGTTGATTGTGTTTGTACTTTATATACCAGGACATTATGGGTCCAAATTTTAGTGGAAACTTGCAAATAAGTTGTGTTGTGTCGTTGTATGAAGATGGTCTGTTCTGAATCTTTTTGGGCGTATGGACGTAACGAAGAAGCATGTATACTCGTCCGCACTTGTCCTCTTGTGCGTAATGACGATCGCCCTTTAGCTCGCACACCCCCAATATTCGATTACACCTCTTCCATCCTCTTCCATTCGGCCTCGTCCCAAATGGTCCGACGGTGCTCGGATGGAAGATCGCCATGCAAGTCGCCAGAGAAGCAGGCTTCCCAGTATCACGTGTGCTTTGCCCCGGAGAACATCCTGATACACACCACATGCGACACTTCTGAAATCTCCAGGTATGACAACGGTCTCTAGTCAAATCCAAGTACCGAGGCTCATTTAACAATTTGACAGATGGCTGCCTGTTTGATTTTGAGCTATTATGTACAAACTCCCTTATCCGACAAGCAATGCTGACATGAGGCCATCTACCTCTCTATTTAACGAATCAATGGGATGCCGACGGGGGTTGTTTGACGGTACTCAAGATATTCGGTGCCAAAGAATTGAATCAAAAAAGATTCCTCGCCTATAAAGAGGAAACACTTCGTCAGCCAGGACATTCAAGCAATAGGGCAAAGACCGCCAGGTCCACGAGGAAACTTACGCTTAATGCGAGTGGAAAAGAACTTCCACAGCACGAGGGCATACCCCACGAAACACACCACATTCCCCAGTACCAACTGCGTGCCCAATCCCCACCAAAAGAAACCAAAGTAGCTCGGGTGGCGCAGATATCCATACAGCCCAGTCTTAACCAAGACATGGCCCTCCTGATGCTCGGACTGAACGTGATGGTTGAAATTACTCGCGGCCTGCGCCATGGCCATCGTCCTTACAACCTGCCCGATAATCGTCAAGACGAATCCTAGCACAAGCAACACCGACACCAATGTCCCAGAGAACGGCTCCGGGAATGACAGCAGCCGGCCCAACCGACTCGACTCCGGCCAGAAGAAGTGCGAGACGATACACTCCACGATGGCAGACCCGTGCGCCACGTTATACGCCCATCCGTTCGAGGTGAGGAGGAATGCGCCCACGGACGCATACCGTGTGTTATATCGTGCCGTGACGTAGTACTCGAGGAAGTGGAACAGGCTCAGCGCCCCGACGAAAAAGGGTACGCGCCAGAACGGGGTTTGGAAGACCGTGGTCAGGAGCAGTGTGAGGACGAGTGTAGCGCCGAGAGTAGTCCCTAGGAGGAAGGCCCGGAGGGAGATGCCCGACAGTGACTTGGTACCGTCGGGGTAGTTTGATCGGTCGAGGTCTGGCGCGGAGGAGGAGGAGGCCAAGCCAGAGCTTCCGTTTGAGGCGTTACTGAGTCGGCGCTGGTGCTGGAGGAAGGATGGGTGCCATTCTGATTCGGCGGTGTGTGCGAGGCGCTCGATGGGCCAGGAGATGTTTGGGTCACCGGGGGTAGCCTGGGAGCCGGAGGTCGTTGGGTCGGTCATTTTGGAGGGAAAGGAGAGAGGCTCTGGAATGCGGGGAGTTGAGTGTGGCGTGGTGGTGATGGTGAGGATGAGGAATAGAACGAATGTCTCAGGATGAACACGAGCGGCGGGGGCCTCTTTTAAAGAGTGATCAGAGCGCCATGTTTCATTGTGTTCGTGTTTGGTTTGGTAGAGCGTGGCGGGTTGAGAACAATCAATAGAAGTTTTGATTGTTGTCGGCCGCAAAGCTCCGTTCCAACCGGCGGACTTGGACCGAGCTTTCTTTCTTGTCTTGATCTCCGTTTCCAACCCCCCATTTTGCCAAAGACACCCCCACATGGCTCGGCTTAGGCCCTGCCTCGAGTGGCTCCGGGAGACTGTTTTAACGACACGTAGACATCTTGTTATTATACCGAGAAACTCAACCTTGTGACCCGATATATTCGAGAGTCCCAAATATCGGACGAGAACATGGCGGAACTCACTGAGCGCGAGAAGATGCTCCGCGGAGAGCTCTTCGTTTCTTTCACTCCGGACCTCATTGCGGCTCGGAATCGCTGCAAATATGCTTACACGCGATATAACAATGCCGGTGAAGTACCCCGAAGGCGACTAGTTGAGCTTTGGAAAGAGTAAGTGTATATTTCTACCAACCACCACCAGTTCCCCACTTTGATACTGTCATACACAATGTCCAACCTGTCTTGTCCATTAGTGTCATTGAGGACAAGACTCCTCTTCCTCCACAATTAGATGATCCAGTGGCCGATGATGAGCTTTTCAAAGACGAGCCCTGGATCGAACCACCCGTCAAGGCAGACTATGGCTTCAACGTCATCATCGGGAAGAATGTATTCATCAACTCCAACTGTGTCTTTATTGATAGCTTGCCTATTACTATCGGGTCTCGGACACTGTTTGGACCCAACGTGAGCTTGTTCGCCGGGACTCACCCCATTGATCCGGCTGTGCGAAATGGCATGGAAGGTCCTGAAATGGGAGCTCCGATTACCATTGGCGAGGATTGCTGGATTGGAGGAAATGTGACTATTCTGCCCGGGGTGACTATTGGCAAGGGCTCGACCGTTGGTGCCGGCAGTGTGGTGACCAAGGTATGCTTCGTTCCTTGCTGAGCTTCTTTGGGTTTTCTATGCCCTTATCGGATGGCTACAACTCGTTGCAGACCGTATTGTTTGCTAATTTTGGGCCATTCAAACAGGACGTGCCTCCCTTTCATGTAGTTGCGGGGAACCCGGCTAGGATCATCCGCAAGATTGAGACGACCATGAAGGAATGAAAGAATGATGCCAGCTCTGCAGGAACTGCTGAGTAGAGAGTGAAATTAAAGCAAGAGTTTATGCGGTTTAGTAACGCGTCCTAGGTAACAGTTTACTAAGACGGGCACATCGATTTGAGCTACCTCTGCAGCATGCATGGCTGGTCCAGTCAGTGATTCAAATGGATCATCTTGATTAAAGAAAAGAAGCTAAATCTAGGCTTCTGCTAGGTGATATTGTAGTTCTGATCGTTGCTCGAAGTAATGTAAACTGTGTTTGTACATACTCCGTGGTGCTGCCGTGGCGGGCTCCTCGCGGCTCAGCCACGGGCTACTTATGTTGTTTGCCTAGACTAGACCAGGACAAAGAAAAGTACTGTACAGAGCACGAGCAGGGAAAAGACGAGAAAATTGAATAAAGACTCAATCAGGGATAAGCTACTAGCAGCCATACTAGAAAAGTAAATATTTTGCTAGTAATTCAGGGTCGATCCTGTTAATGAACCACTCCCCACAGCACAACGTCACCGATCCCCAATCACGGATCTTCTCTTCGCGTCCCCCCAAAAAAGCTGTCGATCGCCGAATCGTTAGATCTCTCTCCGCCAAAACAGACCTCATCTTCCTCTGAGTCTGCTCGCACTTTCCCCCGGTAACTTCCGGCCATCTTCTCTCACTTGTCACCCTTGCCTCACCTCACCTTCCTCCCTGCTGGCGGCCTACCTCGACTTGAGGAAAATGTCATGGCTGAACCCCCGCCAGCGAGCTCTCGCACCCCGCCTGGCGCGCCGCTGAACGAACCCACGCGACATCTCGACTCGATGGAAGAAGCCGGTCCCGAGCGGGTCCAGAAACGACCACGCCTGGATAGTGGAAGTGGTGTCAGTCCATCCATCTCGATTGACGCTGCCGCCGTTGCTGCGTCCGTGTCTGCTCCTGCCTCAGCTGTCGCGACGCCCGCCGCACCTGCCTCTGCCTCGGAGATGGATACCACACCAGACCAGGCTCGCCCCGCCAGAGTCACGATTAATGTCAAGTCTCCGACCTCCACCTCCGAACTGGACATTGCACACACCATGCGCGAGCCCTCTCCGGTGCCTCCAGGCACCCCGACGCGACCGAACTCGACCGAACCCAACGGCTCACCTTCAAACGTTATCTCCATCTCTTCCTCCCCTACCCAGAGCCCAGAAATCCAAGCTGCCGATCCTGAAGATATGGATGAGAACTGGAGGCCACTCTCAGACGCGGTCCAAGAAGAAGAAGTGGTTGAGGTTCATGACTTGCCCTCTTCTTTGGTTGACACCTTTCCCAGAGTCCGTGAGAATCTCACAGCACGAGATAACTTGCTCAGAATCGTGAGCATGATACAGAAAGGTAAGAGCGCTCTCTATTTCTATTGCTACGTGCTTGTGGAATCTGTTATACTGAGACTCGGTGGAACAGCTGACCCCCGTGATGCGGATGCCGCCTCCGCGGTGAAGTCGTGGATGGATGACTGCGTGAAGAACCTGGATCGTCTGACCCTGGAAGAGTTTGGCGAGTCTCAAGAATTCTGGCAGCAGCTTCCTGACGCGGTGGAGAGCGTGTTGCGTAGACCGTGAGTTCCCGTCCCTAATATGAAAGTGAACATGCAACAAAGCTAACCTCTTTTGCAGACATGAACTGTTGATTGACGATGGCTCAGGCAATGGACCCTGGACCTGCCTGGAAGAGTTTCTCCTTGATTTTGTGCAGATCGCCCTTCAGATAATACGCATCGACATTATGATCTTGCGCCATCTGGTCGATGATCCGGAACTTCCCGCACAAGATAGTCTCTGCAAAGACTACCTTCAGCCTCTCACATTTGTTTTCCTCTCTCCGAAAAGTCCGATCCCTTTGTACCGAACTTTGGACAAAAAGTACCCTACCGATACGAATGACATGCTCATGCGCATTCGGGCAAAAGCACTTGCACCTCCGATTGATCTCGTCCAAACACTATCAGAATGGACCGCCCTGACATTCGAACTTATTCCCCGACATACACACTTGACCAGCTCGTTAACCCATATTATGCTCATCGCAAATGCCCTGGTAGACTGCCACATAGAGCGCAGCCAGAATGTGGACGTAGATGAGATTGATTCCCCATTGCCCGACTCAGCTTCGATCCGATCTCTTTATGAGATGGTTCGCTCCATTGACGACAAGTATCAAGAATGGATTAGCAAGAAGGCCGCCTGGGCTACGAGCGATCTGAGTGAGCAGTTGGTGCGTTCTATTTCACATCACTACAAACACCACTGCTCTCGCAACGCCGATTTTGTGAACCAGCTCTCAGAGGATCTCTCTATCCCATTACCAGAAGACGCCAGTTTGACAGAAAAGTCCTTGATCATATTTTGGATGTGGAAGCTCGGAGTCCTTAAGAAGCACATCATGGAAGGCCGCATGGAGCTCCGGGTTCACGGTGTGGAGACGATGCAGTCCGACTTGGTGAATGTGTGGAGATCCAGTATCTCTAACAATCCGGGAGGTGTCAACTTGCCGTTCGTGAAGCAACTGGTCCGCTTCATTCAAGATAGCAAGATTGTGGATTACCTCGTGGGTGTCGACTCTCATCCGCAGTTGATTAGCCGGAGTAGCAACATCGTCGGCTTCCTGATTGTGACGGATACGTACACCAACTCCGTGACGGATGTCATCTGGAAGACCGTGACGGAAAGCCAAGATGGTCGGGTCGTCTCCGAGGTCCTATCGATGCTGACTCGGACGTTCAACATGCACATCACTGCTTCTGCAGCTTTGCTGTATGTCTGCCAGAAAGTCTTGGAACTGCCTCTCGCTCGGTTCGATGTGAATATGCTCGAGTTTTGCAACAGGTTGCTTAGCCGGATGTGTGAACAACCCTCTGATCGACGGATCTCGGGCAGTTCTGACCACGATTATGTCGATGCGCTTCCCCTACAACTCTGCGTTCGTCTCATTCGGGACAGCACGGCTGCCGATGACCTTTCCGTGGAACAGAAGAAAAGTCTGCAAAAATTTGGCAGTCAGAAGCTCATGGGCTTCATCGCCGCTGGTATCAGCGAGGCTGATAGGATGGCCATCTATGAGCGCTGCATCCAAGACATTGCGGAGAAGAACCAGTTTACTGCCGGTAGCATCCAAACATTGAGCGCTCTTGTCCCCCCTCATGATGTACAGGAGATGTTGAAATTGGCAAGTGACTTTAACTTGACGGGCTTGGTTATTGACGATATGCTCCATGCCGTGAATGCTCAGGGTGACGATTCTACCCACGACCTTTCCCAATTTGGTTTGGTGCCGCGGTTGACTATCCTCTTCCGACTGATCGACATGGTCCCCGAGACTATCACTCCGGATCTTGGGAAGTCCTTGTGGGATCAAATCCTGTTGTCCCACAAGATAGGTGCGGAGGGACGCCAAGCTGTGTGGAATATGCTGGTCACTGCCTTGAGTCAATGCACCGAGGCGAATCTGTTCCTTCATAGGTGCATACACGAATATCTCCCTAATTTGACCCCCAAAGATTACACGAAGGAGATCTTGGCCTTTGCAAAGCAGGCCATTATCTATGAAGTGCGATTCAATGCTCCGTCTCCTGCCGGTGAGGGCGAGGTCGTGACTATCCCGGGGATGGATCGCATCTGGAATTTCATTCTCACTGCTCCACCTGGTACGATCGAAGTCCAGGCCACGGAATTTGCCGTCAAGGTTTACCTGGATCATTCGATCATCGCCAGTTCGCCACAATCCGCGATCGAGGCCACCCATATTTCCCTTGTCGAGCGATGTGTGGATCAGCTCAAGTCTGCTGCTGCGACGCTGAAGGAGGTGTCAGATGCCAATGGAGATTCTGCTATGGAGTCTGAGACCGAAACTGGGGACATGAGCCCCGAGGAGCTTCGATTCCGACGCTCACTCTATTTCCTTCACCAGTTACTAAAGGGACTGCGCGCCCGCCCTCAGTACACATCTCCCAAGGGCTCCCCTCCAATGCTTCCAGAGCGGCCAATCAAAGGAGACCCGATCACCATATCTTGGCAATCCTTCAATGGAAGTGCCAACTCTAAAATCAAGATCCTCCGAATTGGTGATCTGTCGACTGCTGGCGAGCTGGTTGAACGACTCACTCAGCTGAGCGGATTTTCCAAATTCACAGCAATTGCTGGGGGCCAACGCGTTGACTTGACAAAGGACCCTGAGCTTACCGTGAGGGAAATCAAGGTCCTTCATGCAGGTCTCCTTATCATCCGAAAGGCGCCGGATGCCCGGGAAGTGACCCGAGCTAGCAGCGGAGGCATGCCGCTTACATCGGTCGACTCCGAGGTATTGAAGCACTTTGATGAGCTCTATGATTTGCTGGCTCTGAATGATGATCTTGCACGAGAGGTATGTTGAACCATAGACACTACCAAAGTATATGGTCTTTCTGGCTAACTAAAAATCTTTTAGATCTATGAGTTCCTTGTGACATTCTCTCCCCAGCCCCGAGTCAGGGACCTTGTCAAATCTGAGGCCAGCACTGCCAAGGGCTTGTTCCCCTTTGAAAAGCCATTTGTCGCCTTTTACTCATTTAGTGCGCTTTTGGCTTGTCTCATCGAAGAAGCCCTTGAGGATGATCCTAACCAGATCTTCATCTCTCACAGTATTGAGGTTCTGGTGAATTTCTTGATGGCAGAGGAGCTGTCCAAGTCTCTTGACAATAACTGGAACTTACTGAACCTTGCTGCAACCGCAGTGGAGTGTCTGTTGGATGCCATTGCCCTGCACAGATCCTCCAGTGAGAAGACTCTGGTAGCCCGCGACAAGGCTTCTCTCGTCAGGCGGGTACTTCACTTCATTGAGACAGCTCGCTCCGTGACCGCAAGGCCTTCACTGAATATGTCTGTTGTCCCGAGATTGATTTGCAACTCCTTTGGTGTCCTGGTGGAAGGGTCAATTCGTGACCAAAGCTTTTGGGATGCAGTCAAACAAGAAACGCAGCTCGGCCCCTTGATTAAGACCCTGCTTCTCGAGGAGACTCGACAGCCAATCCGAAGTGACGTGTCGGAGAGGATCAGGAGAACCTGCAGCGCGGCAAAGTCCATGAAACAATCGTCAAAGTTGAAGGATGGCAAGTCGACGAGTCCTTCCAATGCAGATAGCCCCGCTCAGGTTGACATGCTTGCTACCGTCTGGGACGCTTTTGTTCAAACGATTCCAATGGCTCCCGAGTATGCATCTCAAGCTGCCGAGTTCTTCAATGTCGCTCTCTGGGTCTTCCGCTCAGTTGCAGAGAAATCCCCGCGAGATGTTATCTTCACCCAGTATCTGAAAGAATGGAGTGAAGTTATGCTTCGTCACGAGACTGAAGAGGTATGATCTTACTGATTATGGTTTACAGTGAATCCTTGCTAACGTGAATCTAGTTCATCGGACGCGAGCTAGTTGATAACTTGGTACTGGGTCTTGCTGGGCTTTTGGAGCAGTGTCTTGAGTCAGCAGACTCCGCCAATGTTGACTTGGAAACCTTGTACGTTCCTTGCCAAAAACTTTATGGCGCTATCGGCTGACCTGTCTTCTTACCCTCACTATAGTGACCTTGCAGAGCAAATCATCAGCAAGTATCTGTTTCCAGAGCTTGCTAATGAGAATGATGAGATCATCGTCCCTCGCACGCCTCACATGCATACGGAGACGCGACAGAAGCTTTACAGTATCATCAGACTGCTGTGCAAGAGAAGTGACGACAATGTTGTACGCATCATGCAGCATCTGGAAGGGGTAATTCCGCGAGGTTTGTCTCACCGTATCCCTCCCCTTGACGAAGCTACCTTCTCACATTTCTTTTTTTGGCAGATGAATCGTACAGTCCGACCTGGTGCCATGACCGCACCAAGATGATCCGAGCCCCAGAGGGGTACGCCGGTCTTAAGAATCTTTCGAATACGTGCTATTTGAACTCCCTGATGACCCAATTGTTCATGAACACTGAATTCCGTGGGTTCATGCTGGGTCTTAGTCTTGTGGATCCCGACGTGTCGCAAAAGCTTCTCGACGAGACGCAGAAGCTCTTCGCCTGGATGCAGGATACCTGGATGAAAAGTGTTGATCCGGAGGGCTTCGTGGAGAGCATTCGGACCTATGACAACGAAGCGATCGACGTCACAGTTCAGATGGATGTTGATGAGTTCTACAATCTGCTTTTCGATCGCTGGGAAGCTCTGATCATGAATCCGGACGACAAGAAAAGATTCCGGTCTTTCTATGGAGGCCAACTTGTTCAGCAGATCAAATCCAAGGAGTGCTCCCACATTTCAGAGCGAGAGGAGCCATTCTCTGCTATTCAATGTGATATCAAGGGCAAGGCCAGCCTGGATGAGAGTCTGCAGGCGTATGTTCAGGGAGAGATCATGCAAGGAGACAACAAGTACTTCTGCTCGGGTTGTGGCCGCCATGTGGACGCGGTCAAGCGTGCTTGTTTGAAGGACGTTCCCGACAACTTAATTTTCCACCTCAAGCGATTTGACTTTGACATGGTCACCATGACGCGAAGCAAGATCAACGATGAGTTCCAGTTTCCCCGACTCATCGATATGACACCGTACAAGGTGGACCACCTCTCTGATCCCAGCATCCCAACCGAGCCCGACATGTTCGAACTGGTTGGTGTTCTGGTGCATACTGGTACCGCGGAATCGGGACATTACTACTCCTACACTCGTGAGCGGTCATCGAACGGTTCTTCGCCTCTGTGGGTCGAGTTCAATGACTCGGATGTATCCAAGTTCGATCCGGCGACTATTGCGGACCACTGCTTTGGGGGTCAGACCGAAGCAGCCCACAACATGGGAGGTGTGCAGATCAACAAGGTCTGGAACGCCTACATGCTCTTTTACCAGCGGGTTTCCACGATGGAAGAGCCCCGGAAGGACATCCAGTTCTCTAAACCGGGGTATCCTGCGCGGGTTCGCGTTCCAACAGCCTTTGCCAATCACATTGCTATGGACAATGAGTTGTTTATTCGGACTTATTGTCTGCTGGAACCAGCGTACATGAAGCTGATCCCCGAGATATTGTATCGCGTCCGACAGATGGACCCCAATTCTTTGAACCACCCCCAGCTGGAGGTGATGGGAATAGAGCTTGGTCTGGACACATTGGAGCAACTGATCGCCCGGACGAAAGAGCCAGTAGGACTTCTCGGTGTCTACGAGGAACTCAAGATGCTGATTCGAAGCCCCCATGGTGCCCTTCGCGCACTCCAGTGGTTCGCTCGTTGGCCAACTACAATGCGAAACCTGGTGCTGAGAATCTTCCAGTATGAGGTTCGGCAGAAGGAAGTGTCTATCATCATCGATGCTGTTCGTTGTTTGAAGATCTCTTTGCAAACACCTGGCATCGACGAGGAGAAGCGAGCCGTCTGGCAGAATGACCTCGAGGAGGCCGTTGGGACCCTCGTGTCTATGCTCGCAGAGCTTTGGCCCGCTCTCCATACCATTCCTCGCGTGTGGGACGAGTACTTTGAGTTCTTCATCAAGCTTACCGAGTTGGGGCAAGAGACCACCGATGCCATTCTCGCTAATGGTATGCTCGTCAAGTGCTTGGAAATCATATGGCTTGACTCTGAAGACCGCCGGGCCTTGAAGGGACGGTATGCTGGCTATTGCCGGTTGATCGACAAGGGTCGTCAGTTCTCCTATAGAAACTTGATGACCCTCTGCGCGATGCTCTTCCAGCGAATCAATTTCTCGCTTGCACCAGTCGCCTCGATGACTGCTCGCGAAAGGGGTGCTGATGGTCGGCCCTCGCTCAGTGCGGCGGAGGCTAGGTTTATCAGACCCCTCGAGTATCAGAAGCCTACAGACGACTGTGCGGTCCTTGTGCTTTTGATGAAATTGCTCCATCATGATCAGATTTGCGTCCAACCCGAGGTCTCTCAAGTCATTGTCACTTCCCTCCTCGAGCCCGAGTCTGGCTTTATGCCACACGTCTTGAAGACGCTGGAAGTTGGTCTACGATACTCACCTGCCGACCTCTGCATTCCATTCCTTGAATGCGCGGTCGTTTTCTGCAAGCAAGCTTCGGATGAGGAGTCTATCATTAGCTTGATCAATTTTGTTGCAAAGGGCGTGGATTCTATTAACAACCGCGCCGGGAACGAGCATCTCGAATTTTTCACTCAAATTTGCAGCATTTCCAACGAGCGACTGCATTTGGATAGTGAATGGTTCATAGCGGCTGTCGAAGATCGAATCCCGGATTTTGTTCCAACCTTGCTAATCTACAATCATCCAAATGTCCGCCGGCGCACCATGGATGTCTTGCACAGCTTACTCTTCGTCAGTGATAAGAGCGAGATGGCTGACGAGGAGACGAAAGCACGATTTGCTCGTATTGCTCGTGAACTCACGTTTGCCTGTGTCCAGCGGATCACCGCTACATTCATCATGAGTCAGATTCAGAGCGTCGAGTCCCGAATTGTCTCTCCCATTACTACAACAATCACCCATTGTTTGGAGACGTACTTTGACGAGAACGACGAGGATGACAAGAGACAAATCGAGCAGGCAAATGGTATGTTTTGACTCGTTAACCCCTTTTACTTCTTTACGAGTATTTACTAACATTCTTTCTCTCAGCGGTCTTGCTACGTCTCCAAGAAATGACGGTTGATGTCCCGGACGACCTTGTCTCAGGTATGTCATCCCCATGTTCTCCCCCCAAGAACCCCCATATTCTGACTTGGATCCCAGATTCCGAGATAGCCTCTGCTGAGGAGTGGGAGGCCACATCCGCATTGGCCAGTGACTCCGAGATGGGTCTTGCGGGAACCCCGTAGACTTGGGCAGTGGAGAAAGCCTCTCGCGGCCGACTTCGAATCTGGCTGTTTCTTTTGTCCTACCCGGCGTTTGGGCTGTTTCCGGCTTTTGACTGTTTCATTTAACTTGCACAACGAGCGACATGGATCTTATGATGGCAAGATTCCTTGACGATTTATGACCTTTTGCGTGACTTTGTTTGTTATCCCTTCACCTCTCTGCATTGTAGAGATGGGCGTTATTTCCGGGGGGAATGGGGGACTATGATCACCCTGCCCGGATGTTGCAATAAAAGGCGTTCGGAAGAGACTATGGCTCTCTATGAATGATACAGATACTACTTTGTACTATATCTTGTTGACTTTGTAGTTTTGCCATGCGTAGAGAAGTTAATATGGCTGTTTATGGTAATGAGTATTACAAGACTAGTCAGGAAGTATGGCAAGGACCATTGAGTATCACTTGTTAATTAAGGCTGCATGTGTTAGGACACGGATTATCAGAATATCACGTTGAATAGTGAACCAGTAACACCGTCGTGGATGTATTGGGGCCAGCCTCGCAGACTCTGTCACAACGACGAGAACAGAGAAGCGAGACCCACGCGCAACATCCATCTAGTGACGAACCCGAATAGCATCAAGGAGAGTCTGAATCATCTGATGATCGTTCACCAAATGATAAGCCGGCTTCCCATCCATATCATGCTCCCGACAGATCAACATGGGAAGATCATCTCCAACATCGTAAGTGAAGAAGGTCGCCTCCAACCCATGCGCAATCACCCCGTACACCCGCACGGGACGACCGTGGCGGCGCCGCTTGCCGAAGATCGTGTCCAGGTACAGCTCCAAATGGACGGTCCACTGGTCCAGACCCTCGTTGGCGTTGGCGCTGGCGTGGTCTGAGGCGGTACGGCAGATCACCACCAGGAACAGGTTGGAGCTGTTGTTGCGGACGTGTTGGACTTGTAGGTCGTACCATAGGTCCCGCTCGTTGAACCAGCCGTGCTCGCGGGGGCTGGTTATGTAGCCTTGCCAGGTGGGGAATTGGGTGGTGAGGATGCTATTCCAGACACCGAGGATGGAGGTGTTGCGGCCGGGATGGTGAGGCTGGAGTTGGTCGATTGCCTGTTTGACCGCGTTGTTGGAGAGCTGTGAAGGTGGGGAGGTTAGTGGTGGTGGTGATGATGACGATGATGATGGACGGGATGACGATGATGGACTGGATGAAGGTACAGGGGATTTTGGAGGGATTGGGTACTTACGTAGGTGGTGGTAGACATTTTGGCGTTTGTTTCTGGAAAAAGGTTCAGTAGTATCGGGTCGAGGGGACGGAGAGGATGGAGATGATTGAGAGAGATTGTTTGGGTTGGAAAGCAAATGGAGAAGGTGATGAAGGATGATGGAGATGGACGAGGTGGGAAGGGAGTAGAAGAAAGTAGATGAAGTTGAAACAGTCGAGAAGAGACGACTAGCAGCGAGGAGGTAGTTTTATACGGAAGGTCCCGAGTTCGGTATAAAGAGACAATTTCAGGAAAGAACCACCACGACCCGGCCAGTTGGCAGGATACGAATCTTCACTGTTCAGTGAAGCAAAGAGAAAGACGGTGGGATGAGTATAAGTGCATTGGAATATCAGCTTTATCAGCTAGCTCTCAAGGCGCCTGCGCCCAAATAGCGAAGAACGAACCGCCAGTCTATTATTTTACACGCCGTGGAGAAGAGGAAAATCCAACGTAGCGTAGATCAAACATCCTCGAACTCTTCTTCATCCTCGTCAGATTCCTCGTCCTTCACGTCCGGCTCGGCCTTCACATCAGGATCCGACTTGATCCTCTTCATCGCGGGCCCATCATCAGCGGGTGTAGATGGAGTGCCAACGGAGGACGGGGCAGCGCTTGAGGTGTCGTGTTCCCTCTTGATACCTGTCAGGCCAGAAGGAGTAGGAACACTGGTTGGGCCAGGCCCGGTGGCCGGAGTCCCTGGGCCACTGGGTCCAGAAATACCAACGTCTTCGAAATCCTCGTCGAAATCGTCAGAGTCTTCCGCGCTGCTCGCATCTTGTTCATCCTGGAGGGCCTTTTCTCTGGCCATCTCGGCGTAATATGCGGCAATCTTGTCGTTCGAGTCATCCAGGGTGGGCTTTTGCTCCTCATCTTCGAGGTCGGGTTTGATAGAGACTCCGGCCTCGGTCTGAGCCCGAGCAGGGGCAGCAGCATCGACAGTAGAATGAGTGTGCCACACGGGCAAGGCGTTTTGCTTCTCCACGGCGGCCTTGCGGGCAGCCTCCTCGGCCTGTTCGGCAGCACTCTTTTCTTCACTGGAGGTAAGGGAAATCTCCAAAGCTGCAGCATCGGTCTTGAGGTTTCCGCGCACCACATCTTGTGCCTTGGGCGGCACGGGGATGGCCGCACGAATGGGATGGGTGCTGAGGTTTCGGGGCACTTCGACCTTGTGGTCCCAGGCAGTGTCAAAGTCGTTCGGCGGGATCTCCACAGAGTCAATCTGTTTCAAGAGCTTGAGCATATTGTCGAGCTGTGCCATGAGTTTGCTATTTTTCTCATGACCAGTTCGGTCAATGCCCTCCTCGCCCTTGAGATCTTCAGTGCGCTCCAAGATTGCGCCACAATTTTGACATTCAAACCCTTCCTCGGAGACGAGACTCAGGACGTCCAGTTCAGTCCATTCCGCCGAGCATCGGGGACACATATATTCTTTGCGCTCCTCGCTTGGTGTGTACTGCTCCTTGATTGTTGAGGTCAATTTGGAGACCTTGTACTTGATCGCATCGATAACCGGATGAAGGGGGATGTAGTAATATTCTCGATTCACGGGGCGAGTTGATCCATCGCGAATTTCAGCGCGTGTGCTCCTGTAGTCCCGCAACGATCATCTTTCGTTAGCCGAATCTCGCAGGCCTAGTCCATAGATACAAGTCATACACTCCGATCAAGCGATCTTCTCGTAGTCGCGCACACAGTTTCCGCAGGTCCTTCTGCTGCATGCCCATCAAGAAAGCGAGATCCTCTGCATGAAGGCTGTGGTAGGTCAGCTAAAGTGAACATCTCTCATCCAGCCACGTCCCTAGCAGATCATCGTACACTGAGTGAATGAAGAGCGCATCCACGACCAATATATGTCGAGTCTCGTAAAAAGCGCGTACGACGCTGCGAATGAGGGTATTGGCGAGATCCATGGTTGCGATGGAGAAGTTGGCAGCGCAAAGTCAACCGTAGGAGATGGCTCGAGGCTGGGGGTTTGGAAGACAGAGCTTCTGATGGCGGAGGTTTAACAAGCAGGAATGATCGTCATCTCTCACTGACTCGTCGTAAGGGCAGGCCCGAGCAAGGAAAGGAGAATGACGGCGCAAGGAAGCGCTAGGCAGATGCGCCGGATCGAAGATGTACAAAAAGGCTTCCGTTAGTTGTCGCAGAGAAAGCTTCAAGTGATACCTGGAGTGGCCTTGGTGCCTGAGGTTGTCAGCTACCGAGTTGAGACTAGTTTGATGTCTAGGACTAACCTGAATCGGACTAGCGTCCTCTGCCGTGGAAAATGTACGCGGCCACCAGTCGCAAAGGCCGCGAACTATCTTTTGAGAAACTCGAGTTCATGCGCGCCTCTACCCTCTGGCAGCGCAATTTTGCTGGTTTTTCCTGGTCTTTCCAGGCACATATATCTCGCCAGTCCTCTCCTATCTCCCGAGCACAAACCTTCGCTAGGCAACACCCCCGATCCCTTCACATCGATTCCAAAGCCGAGACCGAGCTCAAGGAACTCTTCCGACGAGTACCATGGCCGACAACACGACGGGAGGAGCTGGCGCTGGTTCAAAGCGTAAGAACCGTAATATGGGAAGGTCCGAATGGAGGTATGTTGTACGGGGTGTGAAATACGCGATCGGCGCCCAGCGGCTAACCAAGGAAGTCGACAAGCCCTAGACAAGAGGAAGCGCGCTGAAGAACGGGAAGCGGCGAAGCGTCGCAAGATCGAGAATGGTGAACAGGTCACGAATCCGATTTATGCTACCGAGTTCTCCAAGGAGGAAATTGACAATGAGGAGCGCCGGCCGAAGAAGAAAGTTGCGGTCATGATCGGATATTCGGGAACTGGTTACTACGGCATGCAATTGTACGTGAAGGTTTCCCTTTATCTCAACGGTAATCATTCATTTGACACTAACACACGTCCTTTCTAGAACTGAAGACAAGCCCACTATCGAAGGAGAGCTGTTCTCAGCCTTGGTCGCAGCCGGTGCGATTTCCAAGGCCAATGCAACAGATCCCAAGAAGTCCTCCTTTATTCGCTGTGCCCGTACCGACAAGGGTGTTCATGCTGCAGGCAACGTCGTCTCGCTTAAGATGATCATTGAGGATCCGGACATTGTGGAGAAGATCAATTCCCATCTCAGCCCTCAAATCCGGGTTTGGGGGTTGGAGCAAACGGCAAAGAGTTTCAGCTGTTATCAGATGTGTGACTCTCGAGTCTACGAGTATCTGCTCCCAAGTCACTGTCTCCTTCCTCCTCATCCCAGTACATTTTTGGGAAGAAAGATTGTGGAGCAGGCTGAGAAGGCGGGCGACCTGGACCAGGTCATGGCCCGGCAAGAAGAGGTCGCCGGTTACTGGGAGAAGGTGGACGAGGAATACATCAAGCCCATCCTGGACAGCGTCCCAGAGGATATCCGCAACATCGTTCAACAATCTCTCTTCTCTAGCGATGCGACTCCCGAGGATCTTGAAAAGGAGGATCTACCCGCTGTGGAGGAGCCAGAAAAGCTTACCGAGGAAACGACGCAGCCGCAAGAATCTGGCCCTGGCGAACCGAAGGAAGACCAAACATTCGTCATGGACCCCCGACAAAGGCTTATTCTTGACACCACCAAGGCCGTCAAGGCAGCTTATATCAAGGCCCGTCGAGCCTACCGGGCACCTCCGTCTCGTATTGCTCGCCTGCAGGAGAGCCTTGACCGATATGTGGGCACACCGAACTTCTACAACTATACTATTCAGAAGACCTTCAAGGACCCCTCGGCTAAGCGCCACATCAAATCATTCAACGTTAACACGACTCCCGTGGTCATCAACGGTACCGAGTGGCTTAGTTTGAAGGTTCACGGTCAAAGTTTCATGATGCACCAAATCCGCAAAATGGTGGCTATGGCTTCCCTTGTTGTTCGTTGCGGCTGCCACCCGGACCGAATCAAGGACTCCTACGGACCCGACCGTATTGCCATTCCTAAAGCTCCTGGACTCGGACTTCTGCTCGAGCGACCCATCTTCGACAGCTACAACGCTAAGGCCAGCACTCTTGGCCGTGGCCCTGTTAATTTCGAAAGGTTCACAAAGGAGATGGATGAGTTCAAACAGCGTGAAATCTACGACCGGATCTTCCGCGAAGAAGAACAGACTTCGGCGTAAGTGATCCTCAGAACTAACTAAATCCTGTTTCTTTGACTTTCTGACTCACCTTTTCATTGTAGATTTGGCAATTTCTTCAACCACATCGATCACTATCAGAACAACTTCTTCTTGTACTGCACTTCTGGTGGTATCGCGGCTGCGAAGCTTGTGACTGCTCCTACTGAAAAAAGTGCCTCCAAGGGAGAAGGTAACAAGGCCGATAAGGACCAGAGCGCTGCATTGGCCGAAGTTGAAGGTTCAGAGGACGAGGGTGAGCTGCCCACTGGTGGTGAAGAAGGCAACTGAAAGGAATTTTGTCCGAGACGGCCTCGAGATTTCTTTAGCCTTCATAGCATATAAAAGTTTGAATGACATGTCCAATCGATGTTAGAGTATCTTGATTTTTTGGGTTGTGGGGAAAGATGAGACATTTCAAATGGTGTAGCCCAATCCACCACCGAAGGCCAAGAGCACAGAGCGTGACGAAGATAAACAAACCAACACTAGCTCAATACACCGAGCAAAGACACAATATTTTCCTGGGGCAGATAATTGACCCAGACCAAGTCTCTATCTATCTCGTCCTAATAGAAAGCCGTCATTCTACTGTAGAGAACAGCCGCGATAAGCTAAGTATGGTTTTGGCTTGTGTTGCCATGGATCCACTCGCTACTGGCCGTTTCTAATCACCCAAGGGCTCTGCGGACAACTATTTTCCAGGCAAGCTGAGGCAGATTCCCAACGCTTCGATCGGGCGTAGCGTCAATGTCAGCCTGATTTGTGTAGCTGCGTGGACGCGCTTTTCAAGAATTTGAGACCTCTCGGCCTATCGATTTGCAGGCATGTGTGGCGCTGCCCGCCGGCGTGGTCATCCTATGCAGGGGAAGCACAGCGTGAGGCTGAATCGGAAAGCGAGGCCTATAGAATGCATTATAAAAGAGAGAGGTTTCAGCACCGATTGCTTTGTTTTCCCAGTCAAAGTTCTCCTCCTTCTAGCTCCATCTCCTTCTTAACCATCATCATCTGTTATCCTCCACTTTTCAGGTCCTAATCCACCCCTGATCCACCATCATGCCCATGTTGACGACAGCCGAACGAATTCACGCGGTGGAACTCATTATAAATTATGAGTTCCATGATAAAGCTCTTCTTCGGGAGGCCTTGGAAGCTGCCGGGGCCGCCCTGGCCAGGGAGGGCAATAAACGGAAGGCGCTTATCGGGGACGCCGCCCTGAGGCTCGTGCTCTACGAGCTTGGCTATGAAGATGAAGCGTCCACTCGTGAGAGCCCTTTATATTTGCTTTTTCATCGCTTGTCGAAGTGTTAATAAGATCAAAGGTGACATGACAAATGCCCAGAACACCAGGGCAACCAACGAGAACCTGGCCCAGATAGGCTTTTCCCTAGGCTTGAATGTCTACCTGCATTTAAATCCTGCAGCCCAAGGCGTTGTTCCTGGGCGGCTGATGGCAACAACCATCGAAGCAATCATTGGCGCTGTCTACCTTGACAGCAATAGAGATCTAATGGCGATTCGTCGCCTCATCCTTCATCTGCGCATCCCGCCGACGCTCTAGTGAATCTCGGTTAGGTACGGGAAATGCCGCGCTCCATTACCAGGTCTCATTCATCTTCTAATTGCTGATTGGTTCTTTAGCTCGCACTTCCCGAGGGGTATTTGTATACCCTTGTGGCTATAGTTGCTGGTAAATGCCCTGGTAAAGAGACTTTTCAGACCTTGGCGATGGGGACACCTTTGGTAGCATGTGTCCCTCTCGAGAAGGTCTGAAAAGCTTCTTTATGATGGCATCTGGTGGTTAGTATAGTTAGAATAGTATCTGAATACTCCTATGGGCGCCAGTCATTGGTATATGTCTTGTACGAAGATCTGGCCGGACCTTTTGCGACAGGAAGCCTTTTGCTACCCAGCTTCCTATCGCAAAAGAGCCGACCAAATCTCCGTGTCAGCCAGATACCATTGACTGGTGTATGCAGTTGTTTCGGCTTTGACGTTGATTCTGTTTACGTTTACAGGGAGATATTCAACATATCGACCGCTGATCTATTGGCATGGCTTGAGATGATCTATTTTTGCGTGTTTTTGGTCTCTCCGCGGTTGCACTACGATACAACATCGTAGGGCCATTGAACGTTCTTGGGTATTTGCAGTCACCAAATTTAATCTAGTCACTCGTTCCAAGTCGATCCTCAAACTTTGTAAAATCTTATAGTAAATTATTTTGAGGAAATCTTCGAAGGGAGATCTCTACGCAAGGAAGGCCGGAGAAAGAAGGGCAAACTTGACAACCTTCTAGATCTTGGAAATTCTCGACAAAAACCTTCTGGCCACCGGGACAACGAGAAGAACCACTCGATGGTACGGCGATAAAAACTTGAATTCTAAATCGGGTAAACCTTGGAGATAGATGATAAGAGGAAAGAATCCAGAGGCCAGTTCTGATACATGACAACGAGCTCACGGATCAAAAAGATCGAACGTCAGCTGTTGGTGATAGAACTAGTCCAATCCGATCTGGGCCGCCGCGAAAAGGGGCAATCTACCCAGCACAGAATCGGAACAGTAGATATGAAGCATAGTTTAGTAAGTTGAATGTTCCATGGATGAAGTCCGCCAAGCTTTCTTAATTCATACTAGTTGAGAAAGTCCCAATGTCGTCAGCGTCCTATTTTAGTCCCTTGCTCCCTTCAACCCTTTGATTTCACGACCTACCGAACTATCACGATGAAATATTCACGCACTCGTCTCGAACGCTACCTCAAGGGCCTGTGCAAGGCGAACGAGGAGATTAAACCCCCTTATTCTGAGGTGTTCCCAGTGCATACGCTCGCTGGGCTTCCTCCAGAGCTATTACTTTTAATGTTCGAATTTCTTTCGGTTATTGACATTACTTGCTTATCCCTTTGCAATCGTCGATTTCGGGAGCTATCCTTGCGTCGGATCATTGTGCAATCTTCTCACCCAGAAGACGAGAAGCTCTTGGTCTTGAGTCGATTGGAAAGAGACTCTCCTGAATACTTCGCTTGCAATATATGCCACGTTCTCCATCGGCATGATGGATCTGAAAGTTTCGGACTAAGTGGATTGTTCCATGAAAGAACGTGTCGACTACCATGTGTGGATGAGTGGTTTTCGGAATCATGCATCCTGCATGCTCTTTACAACTGGACTTATCATTTGTCTTTCCTTCAGCTTAAACTCGCCATGAGGCGGTTTTACTACGGTTCAAGGGCAGGTATTAGCACGGATTCACTGTCGTATACACAAGTCAAGCAATTTCCCCCGGGTACAATCTCGCTTTTCTCCCAGGATGCAGTTATATATCCGAAGCTCCCTGGGCTTCATCTCCGGATTCAGAAGATCATACTGGTTAACACACCGGACACGTTAGTTGGTGTTCTCCATCGCATATATTGGCAGAGTCCTATGCGTATCTGTATACACTACGGCCCCGAGGTTGTCGTCAGATTTGTGGAGTCTTTACTGAGAAGACAAGTGGCCTCCTTGACCCATAACTGTGGGTCGTGCAACACAGATACCGAGATCAAAATCGTTGGATTCAATGGACAAATAGCACTCTTTGTGACCAGGTGGACGAATATAGGCCCTGGCCTGACTGAAGAGGACCCATTATGGATGACTCATGTCAATCCCTATGTTCGACTCGATGATCCCCCACACCCAACGTTGTTTTGCAGTCCCCGGTTATGTTTTGAGAAGACGACCTCTTGCTCATACGAAGAGCTACAATCCCGCAACCTTGGTTACCTGAACGACCAGCAATATCAAAATGGCAAACCCTTCCAAGCAGCATGGGATTATTGGTACATCTCATACAAAGAGCCTATGAAGGGAAAGAGAACCAACTCCGTATGGTTGTATATCAAAGACCGTTGGGCCATATATCGAAGGGAAAAGGCCGATGTAAAGAGAAAAGCCCGAAAGTCGCCCGTTTATAAGTCGCCTTCAACAGAAGCTCGTGGGAGTGACTCTTCATTTGACTTTTCTGGAAACATACAACAGTTATGGTTTGGTATGGATTCATGGGACCTTTAGTTACTGATGCCTCAATTGAGTTGGCTTTTGAATAATCAATCCTCTCTATTTCTTATGAATCCCGTCAAGGGTGATATACTATATGCCTTCCGTCTTGATTAAGACTGACCGTGACTTTAGTCAAGTGAGGAAGGAGCGACCTACAGCACACCACCCGTAGCTCTCACCTTCCCCCGTAGCTCTCACCTTCCAGCTCACCTCCTTCCATCTCACTTTCTCTCCTCTTATCACCTTTCATCTCACCTTTTCTCATTTTCCGTCTTTCACCACGCCACTCATTCAAAACCACGTTTTTCTTCGAAATTAGCCAATACGACTCTATTTCTGCCAGCATGGCGACTTTCCGTCCTTCTCCTCTCCGCCCCTCCTTTCTTCGTCTCTCGTTACTCTTTCCTCTCCCTTCCTCCTCCTTCTTCTGGCTGCCGGTGCGATGTCCCTTGCGGGGAGAAACGTACGTTGTGACATGGAACTTATCCTCCCTCTCAATGGACATCAACTAACTGTATGTGCGTTCACAGCAGACAAGAAAGTCGACCTCGACTTGGGAACGAAGACCCCTCTTTTCGTGATGGCCTTCTTCCAAGCCATCCCGGGTATTTACAGGACCTGGGTTTGGGCTTGGGAGTGGTGGACTTCACCTAAGGAGAGCAAGGATAAGGGTCAAGCCGTGGATTTGGAGCGTCTTGGGTCTGGCCGAGGAGGGCGGCGGGGCCAATTGGCCAAGCTCGAGAAAGATTTGGGCGACATGAATGGGCGAGTGATTGCGCTGGAGCTGGAGGTGGGGACCGGGCGAGCGAAGGCGAGTGGGGTGTCTTTTGCTGCTGGCTCTTCGACTCCGATGAAGCGTAGGAAGTCTGGACCACTTCCTGGACGATTGGTTTCCTGGACGGTTTCCTGGACGGTTTCCTGGATGGCTTATTAGACGGTTTCGTCTCTACGTTGAATCGGTAGGAGAATACCTATTCTATTATAAGGTTGAACTAACAGTTTTTTCCTGTCAGACAAAACCCTCAAAGTTCCAGAGACTCCTTTCCATTCAGGATTATGGCCTTCTCCCCCGATAGTCCGCCAGTCCGCCGTACTAGGGGATTGAAGCCTCACCACTTTTATGAGGTCTTTTGTGATGAGGCTTTCGAAAAACTATCAGATAGCATCTTCACCGTGAGAACCTTCGTTCATCAGCTGTGATGGTATCTTAACACATGATCAATATTGCCTTTCGCCCACGAGTCACTCACCGCAAAGATTGGTCGTCTTACACCAAATCACCCTTGTCAGACTTGAGGATTTAGAAAGACAGACATTCATCTCTTGAGGGTATGCAGTGCATATCCACGATCACTCAAATGAGCCCCTTTAGATGTGAATGACCATCATCTTCCCACATATTACTATCGAGAACGTCTCGGCGACCGTGCCAGTAGCCTCGCGCATCTCCCCGCTCTGGATATACTTCGTAGAGCTTAAGCATCCAAGCGCGGTCGCTGGGCGTATTTTGGTCGACCAATTTATCCATGAGGTCCCAGATTCCTTGGACCAGTCGTACCCACTCCATTTTGTCCTCCAGTCTCTCGTCCTTGAATGGCTCTAAAAGCTCAGCAAGTTGATCCATCCCTATAAGCCCGATTTCCATAAAAGTAGTGTCATGCGGCGTGCTCTTCCAAAAGGCGCTGACTGACTCCGGTATTGTTTCATGGTCGAGTTGCGGAAGAACTGCCATTAGCTGGCGAATAAAAGGCAAGGAAGCCTCCAGGTTTGTCCGCTCATGTTTGACATATTGGTAGGCTCCAGGAGTATCGTGACCAGCCAGATAGTTCAACAAGAGATCGCGCAAAAATGGGGCAGATCTATCAGCTGTCCGTGCAAGCTGAGTTTGTTGCTTGTCGTACTCGTCAATGGTGTCTAAGTCGGCAAGTCGACGACAGAGGTGACGGAGATTGGAGGCTAGAAGGATGTTGCCGTCTTTCTCAGCCGTATCAAGGGCCCGGAGCGCCGCGGCTGACGCTTTTTCTATGTTGCGGTTGCGGAGGTGGTTGAAAACGGGAGTTATTTGGTCTGTATACCAAGGGGGCGTAGACATCTCAAATTCAAGGTCACCCGCCATGAAGGAATAAATGTCTGTCATCCAATCAGACGAAGAGGATATTCCATCGCCTTTGCTTGGGGGCATGAGAGACCCCACCAAAGCGTGCAAAGCCAGAGGAAGCATTGATGCATGGTCTGGAAGGCGCTCGGGGCCCTCAGGGTTATCATCTCGATAGTTTGTCAAACTTCCCTGAGGATCATATTCGCCTTGCGGAAGGCATTCCATGACCGAGGTCGCAATCTTGAATCTCATATCCCAGGAGGATTTGCACTGTTGCTTAAGAACATTCACTTTGTCGAAAATTCGGCTGGTTTTCACCTTATCGCATTCCGGTGATCTAATAGCAATACCGGCCTCATTCAGCCAGTGCGATATCTCCATCAGAATAAACTCATCTTCATTTATCTCATCACAATCTATACCAGCGTCCCTTATAGCCTCAACACGGGCCAAGAGAAGTCGACGGATTCGCAGAGGCACTGGCAGCTCGTTATCCAATCGATATCTCTGCACCATGAGAACGACGGTAATCAGAAGATGCATGAGCGGCAGCATGGTGATTTCTCCCGGAAGTGGGGCGAGATAGGATTGAGGGATTTGAGGCTCTATGCTCGCCAGGTATTCCAAAGCAACGTGTGTCAGGAACAGTGGACAGAAATCCGGTGCGGCGAAGCTGATCGGTATCAGGACCATGAATGGTAGCCACGCAAAGTTGAGATCGTTTTCTGGGCTGACAAGAGCTAGGTTTGCTTGCAATTGAGCAGCATCATGTCTCATTTTTCCAACGGCCGTTATCAAATTCCATTTCTCCCTCTCAATAAATGGAAAGGATGGTGATTGAATGGCCCGAAGGTGACTCGCGTTTCCTGACTTTATCTCGGCTTCATTGGGGTTGAGATCGGCCATTTGATACGCTCTACTTCCCATGCAAGTATAAATGTTCAAGAGGACCGTGTGATAGGGTAACACAAGCAAGATTCGACGAAGCCAAAGAGTAGCAGCCGGGTGTATCTTGTACCCCTTCATACCATCGATAAGAGTTTCTGTTTGCCCCGTTATAAGATTAGCAGCCATGAGCAACTGTATCGCATTTTGCAAGGAACTCATGGTAATCTTCGATACCACAGGGAGAGAGTGGGAATTGCTTCGAGTTTTTTTCTCCATGACGGACGACTCCCGTGTGATGGACCAGAGCTCAAACGGCAGAAATGAGCTTTCCAGCTGAGACTTGGGAATGTTGTCCACGATATATTGAATGATTGGAACTCTCATTTGTAGATTGTCTCCTTCGAAAATTTCCTTTATTTGGCTTGGATGCGGTATGATATCGATCCATAAACCAATCGAAAGCAAAGCCCAGAGGTCTTCATATCGCTTGTCCTTTGCCAGATAATCCAAAATTACCAGAAGGAGACTGTGGACACGTCCAAGACCACAGTCGTCATTGAGATTCAGAGATTGAAGTTCAGTAACTCGGCTTTCCATCAGGTTGGCTCGTACTTCGTAAGCCGAATGTTCGTCGAATGCACCATCCCATAAGAGGATGGCATCTAGTCCGTGAAACTTGCCACGAAGTTTGCTTGATTGGCTCTTCAGGGCAACACGATTGTATTGCAAAAGTTCAAATACGCAGTGAAGATGTGTATCGGTCGACTTTTTCAAATGTTCTGGCCGCGGAGATGCTGTATTTGGGGGATAAAGAAGTTGTAAAACCTCCTCATTTGTCATGCGGGTGCTAAGCTCAAACAAAAAATCGCTCGTCTCATCTGCAAGAATTGGCAAGGGAACAGAAGATGTCACTACCAATTTGAAGCCAGTAGTGGACAGAAGTTTTGCCATGCGAAGAAAATCGGACCAGCTTTGGGCAGTGTCTTCACAACTGTTGTTGGATAAGTAAGGATAGATTTCGTCGAGGCCGTCTAGTAGCACGATGACATCCTGGCCCTTTGAGCTTTCCATGGCCTGAGCTAAAATTCTGATAGGATCAGAACACGAAGGATTCGGGATCCTATTTTCGTCAACAGCTCGATATATGCAGTTAGCAATAGCCAGACAACCGAAGGTGCCATCGTCGTTACGCTCGGATCTAGTCAGAGGTACATTGACATAAATGATGCGAGAGAAGAGCTTTATCTCCTTCCACCACCAAGTCAAGTGCTCCATCAGGGTGGATTTGCCGTTTCCAATATCGCTAACGACGTTCAAAAATGACTTCTCCTCTCTCATCAAAGCGCTTAACCGACGGATGTCATCTTCTCTACCAATCATCTCGGGTAATGGGGAAGATTTTGGGAATGAACTGGCCGCGATGCTGTCCACAGTTGTAAATTCTTCCAAGCGAAAGTCATTTCCGCCCGCCGTGTATATTGCAGGGACTAAAGAGTCTTGCACCTCGACTATCTCGTCAAATCGAGCAGGGCGAGAAGTACTTGCTTGCAACGCACGACGAGCGGCATACCCGGACTCGGTGAAGGTTTTTCCCTTCTTACAGAGTGCCTCATAAAACGAGGATGTTAGAATTTTGGCAGCGGCGGCTTTCAATTCATATCTCATTGCGAAGACACCATTGATTCCGTGATTCAAAAACTCGAGGGCAAGGTGACTGAACGTTGAGGTAGTCTGTGCAGTACGGCAGGCACATAGCACAGCCCATTGAACACCATTTCGCTGTAGAACCTTGGCAACGGTAAAAGCGGCGTAACTTTTGCGATGCTTTGTAGTCGTGTCAAAAAATTCCAGAACCGATCTAGAGTGTAACGATAGAGGTCAGTTATTGGAGAATGCATGAATGCCCGGGAACGTGGGGGAAGGAAGATCTTTCCAAGTTCCGTTGAGGATCTTTTACCCTTTCTCACGATCAACCCTTCCATGAAGATCAAAATGGACCAGGTCGATCTTCTCAGATGGAGTTGTCGAGTCCAGTTTTCTCTCAAATTCCTCAAACGTTGCCGAATGTACAAATACCAAATCGACATTGGAGTTGCCCGCCAGAGTCTGGACTAGGGGAAGGCTCGTTAGCCTAGGGTCGACATCTGACCTTTTCTGCGATCTCGCAGAGACAATCAAAACTCGAACCCGATCGATCGAAAGCGTCCGCATAGGGCGAAGAGCAGTTGACGGGATATGGCTATGTAGCGTCCTGTGGATAATTATGGGACAAGCGATGGTGTCGAAACTCTCAAGCAACTCCCAGTAGATCTTATCAATGCTGTTTTGATCGTCGGACAGGATAATGTTCAATGTAATCGTTCGAGGACAGCCCGAGTCCGCTAATGATCCTGCGGTGTCGATCCCCAGTTGCTGCCACAGCGATTTGCCATAGCGCCGAAGCACTGCTGCTGCTGCACGAGCGCGGTACTTAGAAAAAGGGGTGTTTACAAAATCCTCAATGTACCATTTGACTAGCTTTTCCTCTGACTCCAATTTGAAGGGATCTTGTAGGACAATCGTCCTCTCTTGGCCGTCGCCGCTGATGACAGCCCTCCAAGACCGAGTAGACAGAGCCTCTATCTGGCGGCAAAATATATGCATGATGCTATAGGTAACAATCAGGAGAAATTGCGCTGGAATCCAACCTCGGAGCTAGGTGGCAGGAGCCTCTTTGCCTTATAATGGCGTTTCGGTTGCAAATCGAAATAAAGGGATTCGAAGCCTTCCGTGACAACTGCTGACGAGGTGGCTGTGTTGGTAGACTGGCTGGAAATGCGCCACAGCTGAACAACATCGTAACGACCACTGAATGCTCTAGTTGCTGCCTGATACCGGAACTAAGGCTGCTGACGGCCGTATCATTACTTGAATCACGAGATGCAGGAGTCGCTTTTGTGAGATGAACGAACTGACGGTGCAATAATAAGCGAGATTTGGTCACGATTGCTCTTCTTCGACCAATCGCTGTTTCGTTTCTGCGGCACGTTTTGCTTTTTTGGCTCGGATCCCTGACATGGGCGCACTAGTCCGTACATACATCAACTCATTCTAAATCGAGACTGGCAACGTGACTGTGGCGTCCATGAAGACCCCAAAAGATGTTTCTTGTGGGTGTGGATTTGACATTCACTTTCCAGTCACCACAAAGCAAACATAATCCAGCTCCTATATGTCCGTACCTAGTTTTCATTATCTGGAGCCCCTCAACCAGCTCCCCGGGTCGGAGATCAACACCCTGCTCGGCCGATTCGTTCTCGACCGATGGAATCCAGGTGTTCAGGGCTTCGAACCGGAGGACCCATCCAGAGTCATCACCGAAGAATACATTAGCGAAGATATTCATTTTGAAAATGCAGAAATGCGCATCGCCTCAATTTCCCACAAATCGGCCCAAGCCAGCTTGAGTCGAGCGGTAATGCTTGGCAATTCTCATAATGGTGAGGGTGATGTGGTGCTGCGTAGCGCGAAGGTGATAAAGAGAGCAATCAAGGATGCTCGAGTAGCTTTTACGGCTCTTTTGAATGACCTCGAGGTTTCAGAAGGTGTCAAGAAGATGATGCGCAGCTCCCGGAAGCACACCGTGTGGATGATTACGGGGATTCTTTGTGCGACTGATGCGCACATTGGCACTATTACCTCGACATCGAACCTGTCAGGTATGAAGACAACAATACCAATCCCGAGCTTGGAATCTACCGGGCTTTCTCTGACAACACTCGGCACCGGTGGAGGGACTCTATCATCTTCCCGTCGTGTCGTATCTCATCTCAATCTGGAGGCCGATATCTCGGGCAGCCGCATATTTGCTGTGCAGTACTGGCGGTGCGAGCTTCGACCCATGGACCGCTTGTTTGACCGGTGGAGGAATCAGATGGTTCTGCAAGGCAAAGGGGTTCAGAGAGTCAGTACAGGTCACAGAGGCCTTGGAAACTATGGAGATGACGATGGATCGAGTGACGATGACGATCCGGATGCACATACACTAGTAATCTCCGGTGAGGAGATTCTTGATCCGAGGAATGACCCTGAAAGTAATAAAGAACGGCCTGTTGTGACAAAGACAGCCTGACGGCGATGAGCAGACATAGCAGATCCGTTCAGGAATCCTCTCATGTCTTTGTCGATTGAGAGGATGAAACAATATCCATACAGTTTTCTGTGACTGTAAGTTCAGAGTATATGATGTATCCGGAAAAGATATATCAGCGACCTACCATACTGTGTTTAGATGGGCAGGATTATGTGACTGTTTGACATTTTACTACCTTTTTGACATCACGGGGCTCATCTGAGGATTGTGGGTATATTTCATCAACATCAGTTTTACCAGCGGATAAGCTTGCGTTTTGTTCAGAAGATTCACTCTTAAATCTATTTTTAGCCATGGGGGAAGGAAAACGGATCTTACCTGGTAAGGAGATAAATAAAGATGCATCACTGAAGAACTGACGTTTTAAACGCTATGATAGTCAATATGGTTTCAACCTTATGCTCTTGCCAGACTCCCCTCCTCCGATCATACCTTAGAGGGCAAACCCCACCCGTATATTGTTGCTCTCTCTTACGAGTCTGGCGCTCTCCAAAGCCTATCTCCAGAGAAGCCCCACGATAAGCACTTTGTCAATGTTTTTAAGGTTGCGGAATTGCGCGGCTACATCAACTCCTACGAGCTCTTAGAAGCACTCTCCAACTTACGAAACCCTTATCAGCTTGGCAAAGAAGTGATTGCCACTAAACCTACTTATTTCCCGGACCCCGCGAGCCGCTTCTCTTCGCAACACGTCGGAACCCGAATTGTACGCCGCGGGTTGCATTCGGTAACTACAATTATCTCAATCCACTTTACCCGCAGAAGTTGTCCTAAACCAAACACATTAACGCATTGATATTCTACAATCTGAAAAAAGAAAAAAAAGAAAAAGAAGCATAACGGGCCCCAGTTCAGGCAACCAGGTACCACCATATAACTAGCCTCGGCACTAAGTAAACTCAGTACATAGATCGATAGTTGTAATCTACCGCCCTTTCCCATAGAAGAAGCTCAACCCCACTCAACAGAATTGGGTCATTCATAATCCACAGAGCCACCAAGGAGATGTTCAGCCGACTGCCCAAGAAAGTACTACCTGACCCGGATAGAAACTAGCCCGATGCCCTTTGCCACCGGCCTTTTTCCCTCGCAGACTCAATCCTTATTGCTGGGAGTAAAGTTGAGAATATGTGGTTTCTTGATGTTGAGAATAGACGTATTGGTAACCGGAATGGGCCAGTTTTCTGAGAAAGAAGTTGGTTCCGCTGGTCTGCATCCACCTCTGTACTGTCTATCAAGACTCCAATTAGTTCAAAGCCAATCAGATCATCTGAGTATTGACTCTACCTTGTTGCCATGCTGTGTCTCACTAACGCCCTGCTGCTGAAAAACGCTCGCATCTAGAGTGATATCTTACAAGTTCTGCTACGAAGGAGGAATACTGTGAATCTGTTGACCTCCAGGACAGAACGAGTTGCTGAGCATATTCAGCATGTTGTTGGGCTGGTACGTTTACCGGGTGCCTTGATTCAACTTAAGATAAACGACGGCGAGACGAGCAAAGTGTAGTCAGACATTCTACTGCTCTTCTACTGCCTCACGCCGAGTTTAACGCCGAGCTTAGTGGAGGAAGGAAAAGGCACTGATCACCATGAAGATGGAAGAGACCTAATGTAACGTCCTGCCGGCTCGTAATCCTACCGTTCCGTGACCGACTTGCTGTTAACGATGACGCATCAATGTCGCCAAAAAATTGAATAAGGTTAACACGATTCAATGCCATAGCTTGGCCGTGTAAGCCATTCAGGTACGACCCACTATATTGGATCGCTCGGATCTGCGAGGCTGATCGCAGCCGGCCCCACCAGAAGGATGTACCGGATGCTAAACGCGCCATTCCGACATTGGCGATGGCATCATGACTACCAAGTCTTGAGCAGGCTGAAGAGTTGCGAGCGATGTTCAGTGTGTAGGCCGTGTCGTACGGGATGTATGCCAAGTTAGGCACCAATTGCCTATAAGAAGTCGCAGTCTTCCCACCCCAACTGCTTTACCAATTCTTAAAGCAAATAACTACTCAAGTCTTAACCAACTACTTGAGCTTTAATAATGTACTTCTGCTAGAACAGAATGTCACAAATCTACGATACAGTCGTTGTCGGCGCTGGCATGGCTGGCCTTGTCGCCGCCCGCGACCTCTCGACCCGTGGCCGTTCGGTCCTCCTCGTCGAGGGGAGAGATCGCATCGGCGGCCGCACCTTTACCGACACAGCCTTAGGAGGGCAACTTGACCTGGGAGGAGGTTACGTGCACTGGACGCAGCCCAATGTCTGGACGGAGATGGAGCGGCACGGACTGGAGCAAATCAACCCGCCGCTCGAGTCAAAGACGGTTTACCAACTCGCCGACGGTAAGGTCCATACCACGGAACAGGTGCGGACGTTTGATTTAGTCGGTAAGCTGTTTGCCGACGCCAGAGAGAGATTTCCGTTGCCTATTAACGTACGCGCGGTGGAAAACGGCGATATCAACGATCAGACCTTAGAGCAGCGAATTGACTCGCTGCAGCTGTCAAAGCACGACAGCGACCTCGTCAGAGGCGCGTTGGGTGGGCTTGTCCACAACTATGCTATGCACGGGTCAACGCAGCTGCTTTTCGCGGTGGCGAGCAACTTTGGGAGCTATGCGGCTGAGCTAGAGACGGCAAGCTCGTGGTGTATCACCGGTGGGGTGAAGAAGCTCAGCGATGCTATCCAAGCCGAGTCAAATGCCGAGCTGCAGCTGTCTACAGCGATTACCAAAGTCACCGACAGTGGCTCGGGTGTTACACTTTTGACGTCTAATTGCACCGAGATCCAGGCCAAGACGGCTATTTTGGCTGTGCCGATCAACACCATGCGGCGTATTACAATCACCCCGTCCCTGCCGCCATCAGTCAGTAAGATGCTGGCCGACGGCAATCCGGTGCGTGGGAGCAAACTCTGGGTGATTGTGCGCGGACACGTGGAGCCTTTCTCTGCGTTGGCGCCTGCGGGACAGCACCCTCTCAACGCGGTGCGTGTGGAGAAATACTGGGGGGACAATACAATGATTCTATGCATGATTTCAGACTCAGACTCCATCAAGCACGATGACCACGACGCCGTGCAGAAGGCGCTGCGGCTGTTTGTGCCGGACCTCGAGGTCGTTGACACTGCATGGTACGACTGGAATGAGGATGAATTTTCGCAGGGCGGGTGGATGATGCACCGCCCGCGGCACTTTTTAGAGGGCGCGGTCAAGATTCGCGAGGGACATGGGCGGATTTCCTTTGCTGGAGCGGACATTGCGGCCATGGCGCCTTGTACCATTGACGGCGCGATGAACTCGGGCGCGGCAGCGGCTGTGCAGGTGGAACAGTTCCTCAATGGGCCTCGACATGATCTGGATCCGAATCCGCAGGTCAAAACCTGGAGTCGGACCATCCGGGCCCCAAGTTCTAACTTGTAGAACTGGAACCGGACCAACCACCCTGTGGTTTTTTCTGTCCGTTGTGCTACCGCCTTGTCCGCTTGTTTTGTCGTGTTCTGCTTACTTCTCCTCTCCACTCTATTTGTAATAACACATTGGCCTAGTCAGTCTTGAATCAATTTGGCCTCGGCCTTTTATATTCATAAAATAAGAGGGTAGTGGCACCGGACTCCACAAGAAAAAAGTAATGCAGATAATGTCGTTACTCATGCCTGCCGAGCAGTCGCTATTGTCTGAGATGTTGAGTATATGGTCTTAAATAGTAAGATCTCCTGGTGATGTGACAACATGTTTGCAACGTCTTCAAAGCACGAACAACTAGAAGGTAGCCTGAGTGACTGTCGTAGGTAGTACTGATTTCCACCCTTTCCGAGCCTTTGCTTATATACTTGGATGGCCAATTTTTCAGATTGGACAGGGCGTTTTCGGCTTTACGGATAGTCTAAAGATATATATCTGAATATCGTCTTAGTCAACCGAAGGAATGAGTTGTATTTGCTATATCAATATAGTTCTTATATCAAGTCTAGTACAAATTCAAAGACAAACAACCCATACGAAACTACGGACTGAGTGAGATAGGCAAATTGCATGGAGTTGCGATCCTGGATATTGTACTCTTAGGACATATGGTAATCCGCTAGGATGGCATCGGCAATTTTCAGAGCCATACCGTAGAAGACGGTCATGACATGGGATGACACCTGGGTGGGCGGAATAGAACCATCGATAACTCGAAGGCCGAGGGTGCCGTAGACCTTAGCGGCAGAGTCAACAACGCCACCAAGCTCCTTGGGCATCATGGAGCAGGTGGATACAGCGTGCCAGTTGGCACGGAAATTCTGCTTGACATATTCAACCCAGTCGTCCAGGGTAGCGTTGTAGGGCAAAAGGTCGGCACCAGGGATGTCCTCGCCATTAAAATAGTTGGACATCTCGCCACTGTTTTGGAGCTTACGTGCAAGCATAGAAGCAGCAGCTTGACCAAGGAGATCAAGCTCGTTCAGTAAGAACTGGGGATTGTTGGTAAATGACTGGAGGAATGGATCGGCATGAGCGATGTGGGTGGAGCCGCGGGTGAAGGGAATGAGATCCCACAAGTCAAAGTTGATTTTACCGTTGGTGTCCATGAACAGCTCGGCATAGGCAACGTCCTCGTTGAGGAGCCAGTTACGGTAGTTCTCATACTGAATCTTGAGCGCAGTAGCGTTGTGGAAGCCACCACGGGCAACGGTCTCGTCAGCCCACTGATCCAGCTTGGTGTTGAGCAACCCGACTGCCATGGGGCTACTTTCACCGAAGACCTCAGTGAAGTTGGCGAAGTACACGGCCTGGCCTTGGCCGTCAGCGGATGGCTTGGCTCGTGCTCGAACAGTGGTAGTAGTCTGATCCTGCATATTGAGACCAACGGGAAGGTCGACAAGCTGGGTAATGTTGAATTGGTCGAGGACGGTCTTCATACCGATACCAGAATGTTCGAGAATCAACGGGGAGATGGCAGAGCCGGCGGCCAATAGGACCTCCTCCTTAGCGTAGACCTCGAAGTTGACGGCCTTATTGGTACCGAAATTAACACCAACAGCCCTAGGGCCAGCTGCGGTCTGGTTGAAAAGGACTTTGCCAACAATCTGGCCCGTAAGAACGTGCAGGTTGGGCCGCTGGTAATTTGGAAGAAGCCACGCGCGGGCAGCGTCGGCACGGGTCTGATCGGGCAACAAGTTGTTGTAGATCATGGAGACACCGCGGGGGTGACCGCAAAGGAGGTCACCCTGGGTGGGAACTCCCATGGCTGCAGTGGTGTTCATAAGGGCTCTCATGAGGACAGAGTAGGACCGACCATCGTCACGGGGCCCGGCTGGAATAGTACCATTGAACCCGTGGCAAGAAGCGTTGAAGAAATGACCGGCAGCAGTTTGGATGGAGGTTGGGTAGCGGGCGACTTCAGCCTTCTTCATGTACTCCTTTAGGTTGTGCCAGTTCCAGCCGGGGTTACCGAGGACAGTCTCCCATGAATCAATTTGAACTTTGTCGGGACCCGTCCAAGAATCACCGTTGATCAAGGTCGATCCGCCGAGACCTTTGCCGGATTTAATGTTCAATGTGCTGTTATTAATGTCCATGGAAACGGTGAGGTAGTTCTGGTCTACCGAGCTGCCGAAGACGTGACCATAATCATTAGGATTTTCAATTATCGGTCCATCATTGGATTCGTAGAACCCCTTCTCAATGACCAGAACGTTGATTTTGGGGTTCTCAGACAGCTTGGTAGCAACTGTTAGACCAGTTAGACCACCACCGGTGACGATATAGTCAACAGTCTTTCCGGCGACCATCTTGGGGTCGGAGATTAGGCTGGCCTGGACATTGACCTGCTCAGGGGCATTGTAAGCCTGAGCAGCAGCAATGCTGGAGAAGACAGAAGCGACAATGATAAAATTCATGGCGAAAGCAGAAAGAAAGGCTGTTTTGAATGGATGGAGGATCTGATTTCTGTGTTGCAATGAAACCAATGTTTTGCTAGGGATATTTAACACCTATATATACCTATTGTTTTTCAATGAGAGGTCATGTACACCACGTGCGGTCAAGCCAGTGACCACCAGGAATACTATCACAACTTCTGCGTATTTCCAGAATGAATTTCGATAGGAACATTCCATTCAGTGGATTTCACAGAACACGTGGGACAATCGTGTTCATGTAAATGTAAACACGACTGACACCGATCCTCAAGGAAATTTCCGGTGGCTTCATTGGCCACAGATAACGAAGTTATGGTCTAGTCAGTTGTGATCAGCATAATAAGCGGAGCTGTTGTCTATTGAAGACTACAATGTATGTAATCATCAGATTCTAGGCAGGTCGGGCTTTGAGCCTGTGCATCTTGGCGTGCAGCATGTACAGAATTATTGGATCAAGGCTGGAATCACATATTCCAGACTCATGGTGAGCTTGAACTGAAGAAATCAATCAGTCAGCCCCCAAGGTAGAATTCAACAATAAAACCTTATCTAAGGCAAGAATGATGTCAAAATTGGATTTCGTGCCGTTAGTTGCCCTCTGCCCCCCTGGATTAGCGACTGCTTCCAGCACATTGATCTTGCAACAGACACCGTAATGATTATTTTTTGGATAACTCTAGATCTCAGCTTTGTAAATGCGACATGTTAAAATTTAGTTTGGATTCCGGTGAGTTGATCAGGGTCGGCTAGGTCAGTCCAAATTATAAACCCTGAAGATCCTCTTTTTCGGCGTGCGTCGGCTATTGGTGGACATTGTGTTCGGCATGCCGAGTTAACTTTGGGCTCGGACTCGGACTCGGACTGCCTCGGGCGCCAAAGTTTAATAAAACTTTAATTCTGACGTATCTACCACCTTTCCCATAAGCGGACCTTCAAGTCTGTTTGCTCCTCTGAAATAACTAACAGCCGTCCTCGGTGATGGAAAGTGTTGCAAAGTGACAACATGCAAAAATCATTATGCTGCCCTCTTTGCCTCATTGACCTCCACAGCTAAATCGATCTCAACTCGTAGTTACTCTCTAATAACGCCACGAATTCCGCCCAATAAAGAGTTAGCATTATTCAGAAATAACAACAAGACGTGTCCACCGAACTGCTAGCCGTTTGCACAGACACTGGGTTCTTCTATCTGGACTGCACAGACTGGAAAGATGGCTCTCTGTCAGGCCGTCAGGTTCAACAGCTGTTTCAAATCACGAAAACCCTGTATGATCTCCCTCAGCGCGAAAAGAGTGCATGGGTAGCCAACCATAATCACGAAGAGGAAATGATCGTGGGTTCCAAGGAGGCTGGGGTGGGCTCAGGGCCAGTCGTGGGGCGAAATGATGGGTTTGAAGGATTCATGGTTCGCGAATTCCTTCCCATTCATGAATTCTGTTCGTCTCTATTCGGGCGTTCTGATGAGTCGACTCGTAGATATTTGAACAACCCCCGCGGAATGTCGCTGATACTGCCACCATGGTCGCGCCTGGCCCACTCCAAGCAGGCGGTAAACTTCTGCAAGCGAATGTATCTGCGCTCCGGGACATTAGCCTCGCCATTCTGGACAACCTGTCTCAATCTTTGGGTTTGACAGGGAAGTTCAACCTCACATCCGTTCATCGAGCGGACGAAGTATCAATCACACCCCTCGGGCTTCTCAAGAACCTCCCCTATGGCACATCTGAAGATATTGGGGTGGGCCACATCGCGGATACGGACGCGGGCAGCTTGTCGTTTGTGTTCACCGAGGTGCCAAGGCTGCAAGTAGCACTTCCAGGAACGGATGAGTGGTTATATATCCTGCCGCGAGAAGGCCGTGCGATTGTGAATGTAGGAGACTCGTTGCATCTTGTTTCGCAAGGGAGACTGAGGTCGATTTTGCATCGTGTGGTGCCGTGTCCGGATGCCCTTAACCGCACCAAGTATACCGTCGTCTTCTTAGTGCGCCCAGAGACCGACGCAGTGTTTATTGATGGCAATGGAAAGGAGGGGAAGAGTAAGGATTGGTATCTCAAGAAGTTTGAAATTTTTGAAAAAGGAAACATTGATCAGAGCCACAGTGCAGTGTTGACAGGACGGAATAACTATGACCGGTGCTGGAACCCGTTGGCTGCGGCTTCGACTGTTTAGACCATCAAGGGATCCAGCAGGCTATGACGCCGTCTAGACCTACTCGATAGCAACTACACTTTACACTTGCCTTTTGACTGGCTTCCTCTGCACGTGTATATCGAAGATTTATGTGTATTAAAATCGTGGTGTATCCTACTATTGCTTGCTCTGCTCGCGCAAAGGCTATCCGTTGTTGCTGCCCGCCAGAAAGCATACCGCCCCTCGCTCCTATAACTATCGAAAAACATCGCTGAGTTAAGTGTTAGTAGAGGTTTACTCACAATCAATAGACAGCGAAGAAAGGCTGCAATGAAAGAGATGACTAACGGCAGGGAGATTATGAAATCGTAGATATTGGCATCCTTACATACTTAGATGACCCTCTCCTCCGAAACACCCTCCTCATTGATTCCCAGGATAATATTCTTCCTGATTGTTCCTTAGTAAAGTATCGGCTCTTAACTCACCAAAGCAAGATGGCTCCTATAGCTCTTGATATTCAACTTAGAAATGTCTTTCCCATTAATCAAGATATATCCGGCTTCGGGACCAAAGAACCGCTCCAACAAAGATATGATGGTGCTTTTCCCACATCCACTCGCTCCCACAAGACCTATATATTGTCTTATTTGCACACTCAAGCTGAGGCCGTTAAGAACCAACCGCTCCGGTCGGTTAGGGTATTGGAAATAGATATTGCGCAATTCCAGGCTGCCGTCCATTTCTAGTACCTACTCGTCAGTTTCTTTACGGGCGTCAATAGTGACGCGTCGGCTCAGCAGGATTTTGATATCTTAGGCTGCTTAACGGGATTTGCTCATATCTAGTGCGAAGGAGAAAATCTCTCCGGCGCTAAATACTCCAGCGATAACCGCAGCGTAAGCAATAAAGAATTGCACCATTAAATACCCCTCATGAACTATTAGACTTCCGCCATACCAGAAGGCTAGCGCGATACAGAGAAATTTGGCCGACTAGGAAGCCGCATATAACGTGGATGACTTCAGCGTTGAAATAACCGACTTCTTTCGCTGTGTTTCCCAGTATATTGTGGTATTCTTTCTGCACATAGCGTTCGAGACTTAGCGATGCAACCGTCTTGACGGTAGAGCTTGCCTCGCAAGCATACATTACCGAGGCTGTATATGCCGCCTTTGATTGTTGCGCAATCTCTCCAAGGATTTTCAGTCGGACAAGACTACATATAAGAACAATTAGAATGGTTACGGTACAGATAAGTCCCAGCTTCCAACCTATTACAATCGATACAGCCACGCCAGCAATCAACGTCTTTGAAATAATGAAGATGGAGCCTAGCGTGACACCACTCATCCCCGCAATGTTGGTAGCATCCGTGGATAATGCCGCTGTAAGCGAACTAGCTGAGAATCCAGGTTTGTCGAACATAAAAATATCCTAATAGAGCATTACGCGGAAGGATGAATCTCTGGCACGGTGAATTAGGCGCTCGGCGCAGTAGGCGAAACAGAGACCGGAAGCTCCCCAACCCAGAAATGCAGTCCCTCCCAGCATCAGATACATCAGAGTCCAGAAATTGATATCATGGCGGAGCTTTCCGTACATATTAGGAGGTAGCGATAATGCCGAGATGGTCTTGCCGTAGAACACAGCCTGCCTAGGGAAACGCTCAGCCTTCATACTTTGAACGCCGCACGAGAAAAGAACTTACGTGGGATTTCCTGCGCCTATGATAACCGAAAAGAACAGACGCAAAAGCATTGTGAATGTTTCTTTTTTGTTGAAGTGGGCGACAAATTTCATCAACTCCCACAAGGAGTCTCTGCGGTCGTAGGGCTTCCCGTCGGAATCTGACTCCGGGCCGTCGGTAACGAGGCCCTACTCAATCTGGTACGTGTGCTTGTTGGACTCATTGCCCTCATCTTTCGAATCAGGAAATTCAGTATCTGCGTGGAATCTGGGCGTTTCTTCACTGGGGCCGATATCTCTTTCTATTGACATGCGCTGCTTCTCTACCAATTCGTAACACACTGATCGTCTCTTGAGTAGGTCTATAATAGATAATATAATCTAATCCTTTATCGGAAGTAATTCGGCTATCTCTTACTAGTATTTCGCGAGTAAATCCGTTATTATAATTAGGGAAACGACCTTTTTAGCGACCGTTCTCTCGGTATCCTCGGCCTCGGTAACCCTCTCTCTATAGGCGAGGAGGACTATCTTATTAGAGATTTTATAAGGGATCCCTAAAGATTGTCTTTTATAAAGGATCCGACGGTCTATTATTATATTTTCGCTTACGTTCCGCCTTTAATTTATTTATTTCCTAGAAGTAATAGGTAACGTCGATTATATCTTCGCGTATCTTAGGTAACTTAAGTATATAAAGATAGATAGTATTTTAAAGGCTAAAGCTAAGCTTTATAAAGAATATAAAGACTCTCTCCTTCTCTACCGACCGTAGAAAGTATTATTCTAGAGTATCTAGACGTATATAGAATTCGCGAGGATCTTTATCCTAACCTTAATAGATTCTCTCGAGCTATCCTATAATATCTATTGGGAATGGAAGGTAGGTTTTCTTTAGAAGTGGTGTTTCCCGATGGAAAGGGTCTTCGGCAGAGAACAGGTGGAAAGGTCTAATGCACACACACAACAAAGAGGTATGCAAAAGATAGGATTGAAGAGAGACGGTTCATGAGAAGGCACGTAGTCAGCTTGATTGACAAAGAAGAAGGGTTATGTCAAGTATGCTCGAGAGCAGTTCTCATGTCATGAAGAGATGTCAAACTTTTTTCAATTTAGTTAGAAAACATGGTGATACTTATATCGCGGGGTACACAGCAGAATGACAAATAAAATAGAAGGAACATCCTTGGAGTGTTGAGTAGTCTCCTGCCTAGGTAGGCCATTGCATGTAAGTGTATGCAATTGTATGTAAGATCGTTGAGGATCAATCTGATCGATCTCGTCGTCCGACGAGGAGGTCAAGTCATCCAATGAGGGGTAAGAAAAGTGGGTCCTTGGTCGCATCTCGACCGCACAAAGGGAAAGCCCCGCATTTGCCATTCAGATGCATTTCAATTCAGCATGCATCTACCATACATGCTGACAATATCTAATTTAAGGCTAGCCGTATTCTTAATAAGAGTTAGGATCTAATCCCTAAAGTAAGGCTAGTCTTCCTTAGGGTCTTAGGAGAGAGTCGGTCCCTTTTCTTTAGTATATTAGTACTATCTCTACCGATAGGTTAGGTTTATATAGCTAATAGCTCTAAGGATCTTTATATAATTATTATAGTATTTCTTTAGAGCACCCTCGAATATTTATTATAGATCGAGAAGCTACTCCTAGCGTTTCTAGAGAGTATAGTCTAATTAGAGTGCGCCAAAAACCGCAAAACCGCAAAATCGAACCAACCCAAACCGCAAATGGGTCGGTTTTTGGGGCTAATACTAGAAACCATTATGGTTTTTGGTTTTTGTTGGGAATGGGAGGTAGGTTTTCTTTGGAAGTGGTGTTTCCCGATGGAAAGGGTCTTCGGCAGAAAACAGGTGGAAAGGTCTAATACACACACACAACAAAGAGGTATGCAAAAGATAGGATTGAAGAGAGACGGTTCATGAGAAGGCACGTAGTCAGCTTGATTGATAAAGAAGAAGGGTTATGTCAAGTATGCTCGAGAGCAGTTCTTATATCATGAAGAGATGTCAAACTTGATTCAATTTAGTCAGAAAACATGGTGATACTTATATCGCGGGGTACACGGCAGAATGACAAATAAAATAGAAGGAACATCCTTAGAGTGTTAAGTAGTCTCCTGCCTAGGTAGGCTATTGTATGTAAGTGTATGTAATTATATGTAAGATCGTTAAGGATCAATCTGATCGATCTCGTCGTCCGACGAGGAGGTTAAGTTATCTAATAAGGGGTAAGAAAAGTGGGTCCTTAGTCGCATCTCGACCGCACAAAGGGAAAGCCCCGTATTTACCATTCAGATGTATTTCAATTTAGCATATATCTACTATATATACTAATATACCCCCTTAGCTCTTAGTGAGTATCGAAGTAAAAGAAATAAAGATCGAAAGTAAGAGCTAATAGAAAGAATAGAAAGGGTAGGAGAATAGGCCTAATATAATAGGGATAGCTCTATACCTAACTATTTAATAAAGGTAATATACTTATTAGCTAGTAGACGTTTCGTTAAACCGTTAGCTAGTATATTAATTATCTTTACCTATTTAATAAGTAGGCGTTTAGCCTAAACTTCTTACCGAACCTATAGTTAGTTAATATCTATATACCGTAGTGTCGTCTAGAATACTAATTTCTCTCGTTTTAGTAGGTTAATAGTCTACTTATTATCGTAATTTAACGTCTCGGCTTATTCCGTGTTAAATTAGATAAAGGAGAATAGGCGTTTAATCTAGTAAAGCTATTTAGCTACGTAGCTACTAGCTAGTAATTCAGCTTCTGTTATAGATATAATGATAGTCTTCTACTTACGAGACTTCCACTTAATTAGGCCACTAAATAATAAGAAGATAAAACCTTTAGAGCTCTTCCGATTATAGTTATCGGTAAAACTCGCGTCTAATACGGCTATAAAGATCTAACTATTTAATTAGCTACTACTAAAATAGATAGCTAGATCTTTAGTCCTATTTAAATAGTAGATAAGATAATCTATAGCTTTTAGGTATGTTTTGTTATACCTAGTTAGCGATTAGGCTAGTAATTAGTTAGCGAAGGTAGTGTCTAGTCTAGTCTAAATAGAAGGAAAGAGGATTAATCTATATTTTAACTAGTATTATTTAACGTTCTTAGGATTAATTAGTCTAATTAGGTTAGGATCGAGTTTATAGTTAGAAAGGAGTGGTGTTTTTAGTAGTTTCCTATCTAGAAGGTAGTATTTAGTAGCGATTTTCTTAATATAAGCTACTTAGCTAATCTAGGTTTTTCGGCGTTTCCTGTCTCGCACGATTCGAATTCCGATAAATTAGTTAAGTTCGCTATAGTCCTTTATCTTATATCGCTCCGTAAGGTATTTCTTAATCTATTAAGTATATAAGGTCTTACTTTTATGGTATATAGCGAGAAAGTCGTTAATAAAGATTATAATAACTATACGATTATTAGTATAAAGGGCGAGGTCATTAGGATATAGTTTAAAACCGAGTGAGAGAAGTATCTCTTTAACGTTATCTTCCTATCTCTTACTAGCGATTCGTAGGCCG